ACATCGCCAGGAGGCAAAGGCGGAGGTAGGGGCGGACAAAGTGGAGCGGAATGTGAAACGAAAACGCTGCGGTCGTCGGAAGAAGAGGTTGTCGCGGGCGAGCCCGTGGCTGAAATTTGTGTGACAACATCAACATCTTCGTGAGCTTCTTGCCCCTCAAAGGATAGTCTTCTGGATGTTGTACAACCCCCTTCATCTTCAACGGGGCTCTCTGGCGCCTTTGTAGTTGCTTGGGAACTCCGAGCAATACGTTTGCTCGATATCAATTCTGATGCGTCCCGTACCCATTCACCGCCCGAAGACGCTGAACGCTCCGCCTTGGCCCACGCGCCTGGTATTCCCCTTAGCATGGTGTTATTTGGCTGCGGAGGCGGCGCAAATGAAGGTGGAGGGTTCTCCTTGGCCCGGTTGTTCCTGCTCACATCGTGTGCAGATATTGCTAATGTGTGATCTTGTTGTTCTTCACTTATCGCTCCTCGCTGAGACGACTCGCAGTTCCCTTTAGAAGCATCAGATAGAGGAGCTGCGTCCTTGTCGTAATCTTGAAGAAAGTATTCGTGTTCAGGTCCAGAAACACGAAAATACTCATGCTCAGCTCCTGAGTCGGGACTGTTGCTGTCCTGGGCCGTCTTAGAGGTTGCCTTTGAGCTGTCTCTTGCGCTGCTTTTTTCGATGACAGTTTTGGCCGCACAAGGAGTCGCCGTCAGTTTCCGAACTGCTTGGGCCAAGTGTTCGACAGTGTTTTCTTCGTCCTCGCGCTCGACAGTCGCTTCCGCATCCTCTCGAGTTAATGTTTCTTTTTGTCCGTAGATCTTTTCTGTTTTGGTTGATGCAGCTATGCTTTCCGTTAGGGCATGCCCATCATTGCGCCCCGAGGTGGAGCTATCTTTGGTATGCAATTGGCTTGTTTTCTTTTCGCATGCGGACGACGTGACAAATGATCCTCCGAAAACAGTGATAGAGGTCACGTCCTCGTTATTCTCGGAGGAAGTAGTGCCTGATGAGCATAGTTCAACACCTTTTGTACCAGAATAGGATACTCGAACCGCCTGCAAAACGAGCGCCTTCAACTCTGCACAATAAGCGTCCCGCTTCTTATCATCTTCTTCCATATCTGCAAGCTCAATGGGTGATACCTCCCATGGGGACTCCCATCGATGAAGATAGTTGCGATGGAGGACAAAAGAATCATCGACTACCACCGTCCAGGATCTATTTTTGTTTGTGGATTCCAGAGCTTGCTTCCCCAGATTGATGAGCTTTCGCAGCCACGCTTGAGTTCGTTTCGTAAACATTGACGAAAAGCCCTTGGTGGTATCATTAGCAGCAAGCTTGTCTCGAACATGATTATTGGCCTTGGGATTTGCTCGTCTAGCTCCTCTAACATCCGTAACGCCAGCCTCGTCTTTTTCAGCATCCACCGCACCCATCCTCCTGAAGTCGCCTGGGTCCTCGTTGGTCCCTTCATCACCAGAAGCTGTAACAGTGTTAGCATCTTCGTCAATGTTGACTTTACAAATTTCGTGCTGCTCCTCGTGGTGGGTGCTCCAGGTGACGTCGAAAGATGATGGAGTGACATTTATCTCAGGTGGACCCACTCCGCGCGACTGTGGTGAACAACCGAACAGCATTTTATGAACGTTCGAAAGTAGAGTTGTAAAGGAAGGAGCGGTCAATGAAGAGGACACACCTGCAGGTCTTTTGCTTGCATCATCTCCACGCCTCTTTGCTTCCACAAGCTGCGGAATCACTGATAGCGGAACCACAAAGTAACGGAATTTGTGGCCCTCTACCAGCTCTAACTCGGCCTCTGTCGAGACTGATGTGATATCCCAATTTTTGTCCTCTTTACAGAAAAATCCGGTGTGCAACGCGAGGACCGGGCAGTTGCGATCTAGTACCTCCAAGTTCCTCGCGGTTCTGTTGTCAGGAAGAATGCATGAAATAGAAATGGGTAGACAGAGGAAGGCGTACATCAACGCACTAATTAAAGTACTACAATATTTATCCTATAAGACCCTGTAGTTGGGGTCCTCAGGCCTCTTCATTTCAACACAATGAAGCGGAGATCCCTTTGCAAGCTGATCCTCTTCATTCTAAGAAGATGTAAAAACAAAGCTCTATCCGTAAACTTTTCTTCTTTTTCTTGCTTCTTCTTTCCGATTCTGGTGTTAACAACGTTTGCCGACCTTGATGACGAATGATGTTGCGCACAGCTGGCAGGACAATATCCCTTAGATGTATGTCGGCAGTTTTGGCGTCCATGGCTACATAATCATGGTTTTTTACTTCTTCGGCTGCACAGCCGTCTGAATCGTCTATCGGCGCCTGTGCAGTTTCGACGCGCTCTCTAGCTGCTGCATTTACTGCAGTCTCAGCCGAACTTCTAAGCAATGATCTTCTGTAGAAAGAAAATAGGCCTTGGAAAACCTTGCCGAAGTTGGGATTCAGGATCGGAGAATCAGTAACATGACTCTGTGCGCTCTCGGGCGGACAACGCGAAAATTCAGTCGCACCATCATCATCCTCGTCCAACGAGGCCTTGCTTGAGACTTCTTCGCAGTCCGCATCTTTTTTTCCTTGGTCTCGCTCTTGCACTTCGTTGTGGTCATCATCGTGGTCAGCTGTTGTAATAGGTGGCAGAGCTATATCAGCTCGAGGGGCGCATTCATCTGTCAGGACTGATAAGGGAGCGGTTTCCGAGATTCCACAGTTCCCGTGTTTGTCGGTGTTTTCCTGCTCACCTCTTACGGAAAGAGAAGCTTCTTCATACTTTTGTTTCGCCTGCTCCTCATCGCCAATCGGATGGTGGCTATCCACTGGATTAAATTCACAATCTGGTGCACCCATCCCGTCTGGCTCAGGCTCTGCTTCACCTACTATAGTTTTCTGGTCAGCGACGGAAGTACTGGGTGAAGATGCTGGATCTGCTGTATCATCCGTCACGGACAGAGTTGTGGCTTTCCCCTTCTGTTTTTTGTTTTTCTTTGTTGCTTTCTTCTTTTGTGGCGTCTTTCGATCGCCTTTGGAAGCGACTTCATCCTCTCCTCGCATCTGCGGACACGCAGCCGAGCTTGCTGACGAGGAAAATGCATCCACACCGAGACCAGCCCTCGTTGCAGAAGAGGAAGAGACCTGCGTGGTAGCTTTACCATCACGGATTTGATCCTCGGTCCTCGTCGTCGCGACAGGAACCGGTGGCATCACTTCGACGGGCTGCACCAATGACGCTAAGAGTTCGCCGTCTCGCCAAATCTCGAAGGCGTAGTCCGTGATAGTTAGCGAATCGACGAGATAATACTGAGCGCTTGGGGCTTTGAATCGTGGTGGCGCGGATACTTCAATCTTCACCTCACGGGCAGCTTCTCCGGATTCCGCAGCACAAGTTTTTCGATGATCTTGCTGAGCATTAAAACGATTCTGCGCTTCAGCATATTCCCGTTGCCTGGTATTGAAAAAGCTCTGAGATTCTGCCGGAGACAATGACTTGCGATCCTTCTGCACTTTGATGCAGCCCCAGAATAGCGGATTCTGCTGTGATTGGCTGACCAACACGACTTGAAAAAGCGTCCCTGCTGAAAAAGACTCGAATATGAAAGCTCTCTCACTAGTAAAAAAATAATGAAAGTCGTCCACTAAGAGAATGAAAATACTCGTGATATTCACTTCAATGTCACTCATCGTCGATCGAGACCTGCAACATATCGGATCGACTTGGTCCTGCTCCTGCTTCTTTTTGAGACGGCGGCGCTATTGCTATTGTAGCCCTTTCAGCTACAAGAAGCCTGGACTGCTCCTACTCATCTTATTGTAAGCAGTTCTTTGACAAAGATAAACACATGACAACCTGTCACTTCCTTGTAAGACATATCGAATATGTTTACTAGTCAAAATCATCAAAAAATCAATGACTTAACTTCACGTGGCACTGGCATCAATCCCCCTAGTGCGCCAGCAACGACTTCGTACCGAACATGCACCTTATCGCACGTGTGAAGAGCGACACTGCCAGCCCCTACCCACAGCAGAAGGTCTCCCCGCCGTGGAGCCCATTGTACTAAGCTGATACCCTCTGGTAGAGGTAGTCGTGTCTTTTTTGCTCGCTCGGATTCTAGACCATACAGCAGGAAGTTTCGCTCAAGAATTTTTTGATGCACTTCAGGTACCATATTGGGGTCTATTCTCTGCATGAACAGTGCAGCCATTCCAGCGGTGGTCCCAACTACGTTCCTGATTCTGTCTATGGCAGCGAACCGGTCAAAGGCCTGCACCGCTGATGCGACTCGGTCCGTTAGTGACCTGTTCGTCATAAAGCTCGCCTTTACAGCATCGCCAAAGGCGATGGCCGCTTCATCGCGCAAGGTGTGCGAGGAGCTTTCCTCGTCCTCGCTCGTTTCTGTTAAAACAATGTCGCCCATCTTCTATCTTTTATCGAGGAAGAAAAGTCATTTCGCAGTAGTTCGAGACTGAGACTGTCGTAAAAAAATATAAAAACTTAAACTTTATCTGGTGACAGTGACCACTACCACTACGGATATGTCCCACGAGATCGGGTTCGGGACCGCCACATCTACTAGTGGAAAAATATTTTTTCATTTTTGGTCGAGAGTACATATCCCAATTGTGTAAAACTCATTCCCCATCGAGGCATGTTCTCAGCCTTCAGCAGAGACTTCTGCAATGATGTGCCGAAATTTCTAACACGCTGCTATTCTCATGTGGTTACTCGTTTTTTTCTATGAAACAGCCAGAGCGAAGAATGAAACGCTTGTTCCAATTCACAATACGGACAGAGATATCCAAAACACCGATCATTTGAATTTCTCTGGCTCCAGGTGGTAACCTATTACAAACTCTATCTATATGTTGATTGACAGCCTGATCCATATCAGAAGATCATATGGGCAAACCGAGATGACTGATGCACAAATTTTCTGTTTCAATGCCATTATCTGATTACGGATATGGAACACTTAGGGCCGTGGAAACAGATGCACTTTACGCAGGTAAACGGCCATCACATTATGGATATTCACTCGTTCTCGATGAAGAGCGATTTCAGTCCGTGTAGTGTATGGGGAAAGGGGAAAAGTCTCGTCTGAATTTGAGTAAGCCATATGGCAGAGTAGAGCAAATTGTAGCTACTCAAAAATGCCAAAAAAGATTAACTAGTACATTCTGTGTTTTATTGCCAGAAGTAGCACATCAGATGTTTATTTTGTTGACAAATTTGAGCGCCATGGTTTGCTTCTCTACTAGAGTGTCTTGGTACAGGTAGGTCGCCATTGCTGTCTCCCCAAGCGGCTCTTGCCTGTAGCCTACGAGACTACCACAACCTTTGCATTGGAAGCGGTATTGCTGCTCTGCACATGAGTTGTCTACTACCCCCTGCGCATTTTTCTTGAGGACTATCGTTTTCCGCTTTGCTCCGTTCGCGTTTAGCCTGCAGAGAAACCGGGTTTCCTCTAATATGGTTGCAGAGTCGAAGCTACGCACCGGCATGCGCGCTAGTTTGCCTGCGTCGGTGATGAGCACCCACTCGCCGCAAAACTTGCAGAAGTACGTGATCAGCTTGGTTTCCCGAAGGACACTATCTGCCTCCGTCATGTTCGAGATCTTCACTCGTTTCGCCATCATCCTTGCTTCGTCACCATCAGCGCCGCCTCGCATTAAGGCGCTGTCTACTGCCGCTTGTCGTTTTGCGTCCCGCTTCACTTCCGCTAGCGTTGGCTGTCTCGCAAATCTTCGCTCGAGAAGCAAGTCCTGTTCTGCCGCTAAGCTGCTGCCGGCAGCGAGTGTCGTTCCGCCTGGTGGGACCGTTCCGCTCCCCGCAAGTGTTCCAGCCGCAGCCCCGGCACTGCCCGCGAGATGATCCGCTCCTGCTCCTCCAGCACCGTGATCGCCGTCGTCGGCTTTTGCCTCCGCACCAGGATCGAGCGCCGCCTTCACGCCTGTCCCAACCTGATTCTTCTCCCAGAATCGGGACTCAAAGGATTCCATTACAGCATGGCCGCCGCCTGTGTCTGACACCTCGATCTCGATATCTTCCATGCGCCGACTCTCCTCGAAAGTCGAGAAGGTCTGGGCACGCTGGAAAAAACCCGTAACATCTGACATCTTGTTTTGTTGGTGCTGGTATTAAGGACTACAGAAGACTTAAGAAAACAGCAAATCGAGGAAACGAGAACAACCTTGTTCCTCTAGAATCACGATGGATTATGTGCGACACATCACAGGTGTTACTGAAATCAAATGAAGATAGATGATGAAAGCGATGGATGGAGGAAAAAATGACACGAAGAGGTGGGACGAAAGGGAAACACGCAAAAAAGACTGCTGCAGAGGATGTATTCAAGATTGTTGTGGCCAAGAATTTACGATAAAAACACTAAAACAGGAGTCACTTCTTGTCGTTTCAAATTAGTGTGATCAGTCTACCTCTACGTATTTTTGATGTCGTCATTCACGACATCGCGGAGAGATCCAAAAAATTTTCTCTTCTCGATCTACTTATTTTCTGTGGGCTAGCAACTACGAGTGATCTTCACTTTGATTGAGGCCATCTCCTACTTCTTCGCCTCCCTGTCCCTCATCTCCTGACGAGAATGAAGATATAAACATAAATATTCATATTCGTCGATCTTCTCGTTCTATTCTTCTTGTACGAACACAGTAGCGTTAGATAGTAGCTCTTTTGGAGATCACTTTGGACGTTCTGCTTCTTTCATGTCGATGACGACAAGCTAGCATAGCATTCTGATCTTTGACACGACCATGATGACTTCCCCTTTTCATCTTTCTGTGCATTCTCGCGACATTTTTTCAGGAGCGTTCACTTTTTGCTGCTAGAGACAATTTCTACCTAGAATATACGGGGATCGACGGTTACCAGTACAGCATAAGGACGAGATCAAGCAATATTTTTCAGCCTACACACTAGTGCCAGATGCAAGTCAAAATTGAAAAACAAAGTTTGGTATTGGTTTCAATTTATGCTAAATCATTGAATGCAAACAAGCTTCCAATGAATATGGTGTCGAGGCGAATCGAAAATTCTGTCTATGTGCTGACAAATGACCGAGAATCCGCTAACTCTCTATTGCCGCAGCAGGTGAGAAAGTGGGAAAAGTGGGAGGCCCCCTCTCGAAATATCCTGCATACAGTGGCGAGATGGTTGCCGCCACGTCATGCTCCGGTACTCCATCTCGTCCAGGACTATGACCTAGTTGAGAATTCTGCAATGGATGCGCTCCTCCTCCTCCGTGCGTATTATATCTCCTATCAAAACTATGATCAACGCGATATTGACCTGATGATGAAGCTGCATAGTGATGATGAAGACCTGCTCCAGTTGCTACCTCATTCGCTCTTGAAGTAGCTAGTGTCTGCGCTGTAAGCGGTAAAGAACCTGAAGATGTTGAGAAACCTCCATGTAGTTCATGATCCTGCCAGTCTTGCCCGTTTATGTCCGTGTCGGTATCTTCAGTCTGTTCGAAGATTTCGTAAACGAGCGTCGCCACAATGCACACTATGGTAATGCCGATAATGTCCATGGCCACTTGAATCGTAGCACTCGCATGCGCAGGGTCAATTTTCAGCCGATGAAATATCTGCGGGAGAAGCGTGCCAAACGTTACGGCGAAGAAGTATGAAAGCGGGTCTACAACGAATTCACTGGGTAGAGCTGCGGTTTCTTGGCTAAAACTTGTTGCAAAGCTTGATCTATTTCAACCTTAAAACTCGAAAGGACCTAATGAAACTGCACCAAGTCAACATAAGAACACGATGAAGAACATCGCCGACGAAAGCGCAACACCGGTATAGAAGGACGTTATCCGTTGAACAGCAGTCCTGACACCTGTGGCGATGGCGAGAAATACGGCCAACAACAGCCCGATTTTACACTGGTGCCAGGTGTCGACCTGTTGCCGAAGGGCTAATCGACGCACAGCATAGACAACCGCTTGTCCGCCTGCATTGCCTGTAGTGATGATTGATATCGAGGTGTCGTTGCAGTTGTAGGTGACAACATTAATCCAAGAACATGCACAACCACAAGGGGTCTCTGGTAACGGAAGAAGCAACTCGTCAATGATCTACACTGTCATGGTGCCCATCGCCGCTTAACAAGCAGTAAGAATTTAGGCTTTAGGACCTCCAGCTCCGACCAGCATCGTCAAGAAATAGACGATTGAAGGGTGTCTTTCGATCAGCTCTTTGAAGCTTGCGAGCACAAAGGATGACGTTGACTGCAGTGCTAGAAGACCGACTAACCACAAGGCTCGCGGCCAAAAGCGGAACCAGGCCTCGTCATTTTCCCCGTCCTCTACTCCGTTGTCGGCAGTATTCATCTGCGGCCGCTCGGCAGTATCCGGAACATCAATACTGCTTGTATTATCTCCATGCTGAATCTTCTGCCGCAGAACCGCGTTTTCTTGCCGAAGATTCGCGACGAGACGCTTAAGCTCGTCAATTTCGGAAGAAGCCATGAGGACGCTGATGACTAACTTACTAGACCAGCAATAGTACGATTAAGCACAGAACAAAATGTCTAGAACTACGTCTAGCACTACTGGGACTTTAGAAATAAAGGTTTCGAGAAATTTATTCGTATCTGTCGTCATCGCAAGGTCTGAATAGTGAACTGCAGTTACAACTGCGGCCCCGTGTAATTGCAGGCGCTCTCTGGTCACCTTCATGAGCAAGCGTCGACTGCAAGAGATGTGGTTTGTTACGAAGATCACCTCAGTTTTCCTTTCGTGAATGAAGACCCATTCTACTGCTATTGACCTTTTCGTGTCATGATTCTGCGTACGACTCCCAATGAAAAATGCAAATGTCAGCTTGCCCATATATTTCCAAAATGTATCTTCAACCATAGTGCAATCAGCAAAATCATCATCAACATTGATAAAATTTTTGGTCCCCCTATTGTCCCGTAAACACTAACCACCAATGTAAAAAATATACCAAAAATCGAACGAATGCAAAAACTACAGACACGTATACCACACTGAGTCATACCTACTGTTGGCTGTATAATCATGAGGAATATTTGTTATTGGTCGATAGGCTCATCTGGAGCAGACCAGCATTGCATTCTCATTATTTTTAGGAAATGGAAATATCGACAAGTATCAAACTACCTATGCATAGCAGCAAGTACTTAGTTGACAATGAATTCTTGAACCACAACTCCCTGCGTCATCTTACAACTTCTATCCTATGTCCAAGAACAAACTTCAAACAAAAATGTATACAGGCATTGACCTCCAAATTATCAGACTTTCCGATCAGAATTTAACTTTGATTTGAATTTCTTCCTTCGTGAATCATCGAAAATATTCATCTTGTTTTTGTTCATTGATGTTAACACATTACTGGATACTTAATCAATATGGAGTTGCATTTAAACTCACAAATAAACTTCGACCAGGGTCGTGTCACAGAATAAAAATATCCCCGGCAAGAAATGCCTCAGCCGCCAAATGGATGTTTACAATAAGAACCGCTGCGAAGAAAGCAGACGAAAGCACAGCTACACCACACGCTACTCTCCCACGATTTCGGAACAGGAAAAAGATAGGCTTCCTACTATTTTTCTCCAACGAAGAAACCTGGGCATTCTCTTCAGCTCGCTCAACAGCGTCCCTCGGAAAAGCAGCGTATCGGAGAATACTTTGTGATGGAGAAAGGTCCTCGAATGCTGCCTCGTCTGAACATGGATCTTCATCTTCGTCTACAGGCTTGACAAACGGAACCGAAATCTTGAGACTGGGTGTGTTTCCAATGGACTCCAGGCCTACGACGCGATTTCCGTCTACTACCAATGTCAAAGTCTTGTCATGCTCGTCTTCCACCTTACTCGGCTGCTGTGCTTGCGAGTAAGAGACGCCTCCCGCAAGGCCCACGCTTTTCTCAGCCTGCTGCAGAGCTTCGATTTCGGCCATCAGGCGCAGCTCTCGGGATTCGAGCTGCGCTGTGCGCGCAGTAGACTGCTGTTGCTGTTCCTGCAAGACAACGAGCTCACCGCGAAGCCGCAACTCTTAGACACGATATCATAGGAAAAGCTAGGACATCGAGTGATGTAACTCGAGGTCTATGCGTTATGCTGTGTTGTTACCTGCGTAGTCCTAGTACGATAATGGTATTGGTAAGTAGATGTTCGACCTCTTAAAGACATGAAAAGATGAATAGCATGCATGGGTAAAAAATTGCTTTGTTCAAACGTAGATTTTCAGAGATTTTGCCCTAAGATATTTGATGCCTGAGCTCCCCAATGCTGCCAGCTAGCTGCCCCTCTAAGTCTCCGTACAAATCGAAAAGCGGTGTAGTCGTATTATGTGACTGATCTCTACCGGTTTCGCTCATTGAGAGCTGATGGCGAGTCGGTGAGCTATCCTCGGATAGCAGCACTTCACGTACCATCATCGGCGGCGCATATTCCACCGGCACTCGTTGCTTCGCGGTCTTGGACGGAACACTCGTACTCACGGATGTGTTGTCAGCGTGTAGTTTCAGATCAAAGGCATTTACCAAATGCCTTTGCGCCTTCGCAGGCGAGGGAGCATCAGCATCCTTGGACCGCCACTTCGGATCGGAATGCCATTGTTCGCCTCGATGATTCGTGTAAATCTCGTCTGGCGCTAGATGTGGGCGCGGCGGCGATGCACGCACAACAAGAAATTCCAAAGAGGCCTCCGGATTCTTGTGCGTTCCACAACTGTAACTTGTGCTTTTCTTCTTGCCAACTTCTACCGTTGCTGATCCAGCACGCGGTGTACAGGGAGCAGGATCGTTAGCACCATAGTCGTCCATAACCTCTTCTTCGACAAGAATTCCATCACCCTTGTAGTTTGTTGCAGCAGTGTCTGTTCGAAGTCCGATTCTACTCGGCGAACTTCCTTTAATACCTCGTGGCATCAGCATCGGAAAAGCAGCAGAACACGGACTGTACAAAATCGACATAGACGGAGCCATGGCGTCATTGCCGACACTCTTGCCATCAGCTCCCGCAAGAACAGCCTCATCTTCAGGTACAGCATCCGCGAGTAAAGACTCAGCAGGTTGGAGGACTCTGCCTACAGAGAGAGTAGGCGTTCCATTTGCATTGCGAAGCAAAACGTCAGTCGATTGCGTCACTTCTGTACGAGGAGTCATCGTGGGCATAGGATTACCATCCTCGTCAAGTAATGTTGCGGAAAGCCCAGGAGTAGTTGTACAGTCTGCAGCACCTCCGATCGCTGCTGCATTTCTAGCATTGAAATACATCTTTCGAGCTGAATGCTCAAAAATTGACGGCGTCTGTCCTACTCGTGGCGTGCTCATTAAGGAATTGACCGGCGCAAACGTCAGACTCGGTGCAGGAGAGACGTTCTGTGGCGGATCCGACAGTGTTTCGTCAGTGATACCCGATCCAGGAGACCGCGTCGTAGCAGTCGTGTCAGACCATAAGAGGCACGTTGCAGTTGAGTGGCTTACCCCGTGATCATTGGTATCGATGTTGACGCCATCCCCAACTTCGGTGCATTTCAATTTTTTCTCGTCGAAGGCATGATTTCTCGTAGCTCCAGCATCCCGAGAAGATGCATTTTTCTTGAGCGGATGTTTCCGATTAGAGGCGAGCGCGAGTCTGCGTCTCCTTGTGCTACTAACTTTCGTCTTGGTGTCTTGTTTTTGCTGGTAGCTACCAGAAAAAGGGTTCGCGTCAGGAGTGACAGAGGTCGCAGAGCTCCTCGCAAAGTGGTTCAGGTACCGAGACGGAACATGCACTTCAGCAGCGCTTCTTTTGACACTTTTTTGATGCTCTTGGTTGATTTGCGCCTTATTCTGCAGAGCTTTCTTCACTGGCGATCTAACTTTACCACGTTCAGGTCGCACACGCTTCGACAGCCTCGGTGCTAAGCTGCATACTGCACTAGGAATACGCTGAATCTTGTTTATCAGAGTTAGAGGGTGCGTGAATACCGTAGCGTATCTAGTACCTAAAAAAACTCTACGAAAATGGCAATACAACATGAGTATAGTGGGTAAGCCTTGAGGGATTGCCAAAGCAGGAATGGGAGTGCATATATCAGGCAGCATAACTTGAGTTGCTCTGGTTCTCCACTTTTTCTTTCGACGTTTGCGGTCCGAGCAGCGCTCGCGGACTTCATACCGGACGAAAATACTGGGGACTTGTGTGCCGTTAGACGCGGTGTCTCCAGGGAGTGAGCACCGCTCTCTATCCGCGGCGTGCCTAGTGACAGTAAACTGATAGTGCGCGCGACAGGCAACAGCAATGAAGCTCCTCCGCTCAGGTTTTTGGTCTGTGCATGAAGATCGAGCATTCTCTTACTACCACCAGGCGAGAGCCCTGGTCTTTGAAAGGTCGTAGCACTTCTATCTTCTTTTCCTGTATTATCCAGAATAGATCTCCCGGCTTTTCGTGAGGGCGAGAGAGGCGAGAAGGGAGTCGCGAGATCCAGTCGACGAGGCGCGATTATCGAGGACAATTCATTCCTCTTTTGTTGCTCGACTAGTGGTCGTCGTGCTCCAGATTGCAACGTGAACAGTAGACTCGGTGATGCTGTTGTGCAACTACTGTTTGTCTCCGCGTCTTGCCCTTCTTGCTCAACCCCGCTTTCATGTGCTTGCGGTCCGTCCATTGCAAATAAATGATCTTCACCCTGATCATTCCTTTCCTCGTTTCTGAAAATCAATGAAAACTTGTTAGCAATCTTGCCCGTCGTCGCTGGTGATCTGGCAAGTCGAGCCGATGGTTGACGCAACTGCGGTACCTGCGCAAGGGGGCCTAAAACGACACTGCGAGCGCGGTTAGTGCTACCACTTCTAGGCGTAGGCCTAACGATGGTACTAGGTGTCGGCAAGCGACATCCCGGAATTTTCAGAAAGCTAGTCGCGCTCGATGAAGAGGAAATACCGGTTGGCTCAATTTTCGGTGGAGTCGTGGCTCTGTTTGAAGCGGTAGCTAGATCTGACTCTTCTCGACGTGGCTTCGACCCCGAATCGGCGCTCGTAGGAGCAACGCCTATCTTGCTTCCAGCACTAGGCGGCGTAGTCTGGGGAGAACATTGTATGAACCATTCAGTTTGTTTCAAATGAAAAAACGACAACTCAAGAAATGTCTAAATTCATTATCCTCAACATGTAACTAACTAAGTAAGTCTAAGTGTCAATGTACCCCCACTCGCTTCCGGTTGCTCGGGTCCGTCCGTGGCGTGTTCCGTTTTGAGACTTGCTCGTCTAGCTCAGCAGCGTACTTCTTGCGGGACTGCTTCCGCTCCTCGTTGATTTCTGGTGTCGTCTGCATTTTCAGACCTAGCTGATTTAGTTTCACACCAGCCGTCATTTCAGAGCCTTTTGTTGTATCGGTGTCGCCAGCGACAGCGTGACTCATTTTTGTGAGCTAATTGGTGGGTGACTGGTGGATATATGAAAATGTGATAACAAGAAGACAAGGTTTAGTAAGGATGAAATAGACTCGAGGACAACAATCCGCTGATCAAAAACCAGACCAGAATACCGAACAATTTTTTCTGGGATGCGGGAAAAGGTTTGGGCAACAACTATCAATGAGAATGAATTCACTGTTGCAATGAAGCTGCTTTCTCATAGGTTTTAGGTTTACACTTTGAGTCATACGAAAACTCCATGTGAAAAAATCAATATCAATGATCGCGTTAGCTATTGGGAGTCGTCAAAAAAAAACATAATCATTTTGGAAAGAAAGCAAGAAATCACCGAAAAATATCGAGTCTGATGCGGTGCATCCGTTTTACCTTTTCCTATACGCCATATTTGCAAAAACTCAAAGGAAAATAATCCAAAAAGACCGATAGCGGGATTGAGCCTCGCCGGCAAAGTAGAGATACAGAGTATAACTACCATGCTCCATGCTCTTTCATTCTCCACGACCACAAAGAAAAAAAACGAAAACATTTGAAAATCACCGAGGCAGCCTACCACAGACTCAATATCTTTCCATCTAAATTTAAGCCAATCCTATTAGTTGTAGGGCCGTTGTGTTTGTTCTGTATAGTCACCATTTCAGAGTATCGCGATTGTTTTTCGACAATCAGGATCGATATTTTAGGGGATTCCTTTCCTTGGTAATATTGTGGTGAGAGTAGGCGTTCTTAAGGATGGTGCCGAATGTACGGCTCGAATATCTGTGCAAAGAGACACAAAAACTATATCGGTTGTAGCAGTCGTCCACATCCACTTGATACTCAAGTGATAGTACTAGAGGACCACAGGTAAGAAATGTGGCGGTATAATATAAGTACATGATTAGCGAGATGCATGTACAAACTAGCAGCGACTTTTAGGCACCTGCTCCATCGATCCCTTGTTCTTCTCCATTGACTGTAGTTCACCTCGTCCTGTCCTCGTATTCCTCATCTCTTCTCATGCGTTTTGGAGAATTCTCTTCTTCGACCAAGTTTACGGTCAGCCGTTCGCGTTTCTGGGTACCACTAGCACCGTCCTCTCTCTCTCTGGCAGATCGTTGTGCACTTTTACTGAAGAGGAAGTTTTCCGCTGCAACCCTCTGGGTAGTTCTCTGAGTTCTTTGGGTCTCTGGTTTCTTGGGAGACGTGGATGATGGCCTTGCTCCTTCGGCGGCCTTGGACTTTTCTTCTTCACGAAGTGCTTTTTTCCTTTTCTCCTCCTCATCCTCAGCTTTTTGGAAGTATACGGCAATACACGTCAGATTATCTTGGCTTTTCCGCCTGAAAGCCTCGTTTACTATAGCCGCACAGGCAGAGCGCGGGCCTTCAGATGAGGCAGAAAACTTCGACAACATGCGGACGACTTCCTCGTTTGATAATACGTCGAAGACACCATCGCAAGAGAGCAGCACAGCGTCACCAGGATTCACACTGCGAATTGACACATCAGGAGTAGCGATGATCAGGGGAGCCGGAGTATTTTTGCTTCGTATTAGAAAAAGAGAACAGTTTTCTGCGGCAATCATCATGTGTTGCTACTTTACACATTTTGCTTGATGAAGAACGGGGAATCGATATCGAGGAAACTAATCAATCTAGTAAAAGCCTTAACTTTATTTTGAAATCTCTGTCACCAAATGAGCGCGAGACTGCTAGTGCAACCGGCTCCCGTTCCTGTCCGCTGAGGCCTAACTGTCGCTGCTTCTTCATACGACGTGCCTGTTTTTTAAAGGTTTGACTCTGGACAAAAATCCAGCATGACGCCATGGTTAGGTAAAAACGGATACAGTGCATGTGGATAAGGCTCACAGCGTCTGCACCATACGAGATAATGTGGCGTTCCAGTAAGTATTTTCCCTTATTAAGGTCTATTGTGAGGGACAAGATATTACTCGTCATCAACATCAAAAACTTAACTATTAAGTGGGCACCTTCTCTTCGAAATCTTGATGCGCAACTCGCATACAGCCGCCTAGATCGATGATTTTTCCACCTGCTCGTTTTACCCGTTCTTGCTCACGCTTGTCCTCGGCATTGTGGTCCTTAGTCAAGGGTTCGCATCGGAAATAGGGTCTTGCTCCCTTGGAGTTGTTTGTTGAATGATCCTTACTCTTTTCGTCTCCCTCTTTACCCGGTTCCTTGTCTTCTCCCACTTCTTGTTGCTCCTCCGCAGTTACTTTCCTCATCATAACCGCGCGAGAGTCGCCTACCCAGAGAGTGACCAGTCGGGTGCCAAGCAGGAGAGAAACCACAGCGGTAGCGCCGTCTGGAACTGTCCGAAATTTCGCCAAGAATTCTGCATCCAAGGCCTCACACACACGAGCCAAGGCAGCTCGTATTCTTTGGTCGGACCAATCTCCCTTGTATATGAAGCAGGAAATAGATAGTTCGACTTGAATCTCTTTCGAAGGTGATCGATATCATCACATTCACAGCGGACTTCAATTTTTTGGGACACCAACCTTAACGAACTACAATTATGACGTCAAGTTGAAGCTATACTCGTGAACATAAGATAAGAGGCAAGTTCTGGCACGAGCCGGAGTACGAAACGTTTCGCTATTTGTTCGGAACAAACAGCGCCCTGATGACCATCAAAGACGCCGAATAAAGCGCATGGGGATGGAAAGTGGTCCAAAGGTCCTGGTGGAGGCAATGGAGCCGCAGGAGGAGAAGCATCTGGATTCGCATTACGTCCTTCGTGCTCTTTTTTAGCTGGCAAGGGATCCTGTTCCGTTGCGTCTTCTCCTCTTTCCTTAGGCTTTTTGGAATCTCCACTCGCTGAAGAAAGACGTCTACTTTCTTCTGCGCCACCATTCTCAGGTCCCCCTCCGCTAGGCCTTCGCGCCCCATTGGTGTCGGTCTCTCTAGAACTAGTGTCTTTTATCTTAATAAGGTCGTCATCGTTCTTTGTTTCTGCTAGCTTCTTACTCTCCTCTTGTCCTACGTTTTTTACAACCACTATTTCATCGGCTGGCGCTGGCGAAGGTGCTTTTGGTTGTCCAAAGATACATCGCGCAGTGTGCTTCAGATCTCGCACTATTAAATGACGGTCTTCCTGCTTAGGCCTGCGTCCTTGCATGAAGGTGAAGTCAGCGGCAAAACCCAATCGGTCTGTCGTTGTGTCGTCAAGTCGCAATTGCGTGTGAGTCTGACGTTGAAGTTAGAAAAGGATAAAATTACAACACCCCCTTCATAAGCTCGGCATTTCGAAAGGATTTAGACCTCTAGTTAAACAACAATGTGGACACCTATGCAGCTAGGTTTTGCTTACCTTCTAGAAGTTCAAAATAAACAGTGATCAGGACAAAGCATGGGCCTTAAAAGCTGGTAAGATCTGGTGCAGCACCGCCGCTTGATGATGTCGTTGTACTTGCTGCCGCGCCATCCTGTGTTGAAGGGTCACTTGATGGTATTACGAAAAACGCCTTTCCATCGAAAAAAACGTTGGTTTTACTGTTGTACCACGAGCCTTCCGCTAGAGCAACGAAGCCAGCCTTCGTGAACAGTTCCTTGTCCACTTCTGCTGTCTGTGGCACCATTTTTTTCACAAAGAAACCCTCAACTATTCGCTCCCTCAATAGTGCTTGTGAGAACAGGTAACGAGTTAAGTCAACGTGAGATACTTAAGTGCCAGAATGACTAGTCGCGATGCTTGTGAACAAGTTCTTTCTATTCGTCGCGGCTTAAAGACATGAAACCACAATCAGAAACATCACTGAGTTAGAGTGGAAGGAAAAGACAAGAAACAGTCGAGCGGGATTATGTGAGGACACCAGAAAAATAGAGTACGGATTCCGCAAAAATGAAGATGAATAGAACTACGTCGCTATGTTGAAAGATTCTCATTAACTACATACTTCTATGTATTGGCGGTTTTTCATTTTAGTACAAACATGATTGAACTACAAGATTATACGGTTTGGATACGGATCGACCCCTCAGACCTCTTCTCTCATACTGATACTTATTGCCAGGCGACCCTACAGATCATCTTCAAAATTAAAAAGAAGTTCTCGTGTTATCGCAATCGAAACTTTGTTCTTGGCATCCTGTTGATGCGTAAATATGATCGTTTCACGGATCCCAACGAGCAAGTTTTGCGATCCGTTTTGCTGAAAGATCAGGTCCATCTCACGATCACGAAACCGATGAAATTGATCGAAAAAGAAGAATTCCTACTATGTATATCACTCTATTGGTGACCTACTGCTGGCAAGACATCATCAACCGACTCAAACCGTATAGGTGGGAGTCGAACATCAATAACATCGGTGGCTGGGTACTAGGTAGTGCTCAGTATGAATGAACGACGCAACACAATGACAATACACGTCTTGCTTGATGACCTGTTTCTCAATCTTCATTTTTGTTACGAATGGAAAAAAAAAGTTAGACTTTTTCATTTTTTCGGACCAGCGAAAGTACAAGTGGCGAAGACTCTTAACATCACTGTGTTCCGAAAGCGCCGTATTCCCCAGCTACATTAGAGCTCTAGCGAGTGCTAGACCTGCTCGCCTCATCTAAACTTGAGTATTTTCTCAATTTTTAGTGCTCTGTTGTTCGCTGAAAAAAGTTACTATAAAAATAAACTGCGGGGGTAGCGAGAATGAAATGCAAATGAGTCTCTCCTTAAGCAGAAAGGACTTCGAGAGGCCTGGTTTCGAAACAGCGGAAATCTGCATCAACACCAAGTACGCCGCTGTGAGGTACAGAACGGCACCAGCAACCGCAGTTTATGAATACGAGCCTCGATTTCTTGACTTTTGATCACGAAAATATTGTTGACTAACTCTATATGCGTCTTATTTGATATTACATTCATTAACCCTCCACCTTCCTTATTTTTTTTCGCGCGACGGTGGTTCCTTCCAAATGTATATACCAGAAAATCTTAATCTTTGTTTTTTCTAGACCCGAACCCGACTTAAATCTTTCATAAACTTGAGGCAAACAGAAAAGCGACACTGCTGCTCACGTAGTGCGTTCTCAGGAGGCCCGGGTCGCGCATCCACCGCAGATAGATTGGCTCAGCTTCGTGAGGCAAGCCGAACTCTCCTTCTGCCTTGAGTTGCGCTAGAGCATAGATTTCGCTTATTTTCGGCACAAAAAAAGGCGCCTTTCGCTGCATCACCACTGCGGCTTTGTGGCTCGTCTGGTCGATGGCATCGTCGCGCTTTATGAAGGTGGAAAACAATTCGATTCGCCTCTGAGATAGAGGACTTCCGACTCATTCTATGGCGGAGGCATTTCCCTTTCCCATCTATATTGATACCTCCTCTAGCTACAGGGAAAGCGATCAAAGCTAACGCCTCACGACTTACTTACTTACTCACTTACTTACTTACTTAATTAAGTAACCTAGACTCTTCACCAGGTCAAATAATCTTAATCAGAGTAAAAAAAATCCTCCTGATGTCATAAAGTAGAAATCTCCGACGGAATCACAGCAGTTGACGCCGACAGCCCAAAAAGAAACCTTCCCGCTGTATGTCGCATCCTTCTCAACAAAGTTAGAGATAGAGAACCAACTTGGGTCATCTTCAATTAAACTTAGGATACAAAATTACGTAAATGTCATATGATGTGGAGCAAGAACAGTGATGTGACAGTCTGATTTCATTTCCAAGTCGCATACGTAAAATAGTGGCCTTAACGATGGGTGCCACACAGTACATAGAGCCGAGATAGCGATATCCGACACCACGTGTGGTTTCCACGATACTCTCGTGTGAAAACTGCAGCTTAGATGCGTCTAAAACGGACTCCGCTGGAGTTGTCGGCACCAAATTTCGATAGGAAGCACCGGTGTCTGCGAAGACCACTCGTTCGAAATACAAATTGTAGTTCCAGTACCTTTTTGGTGGAGTGGATGATGCGAGCAAGAAAGCAGTTCGTTGCGATCTGCTTTTGCATGCCGTGGGCACACTACGATAATGACCAACGTGGGTCCGAGCACCCTCTGAACTCGACTTCTTTCACTAAATTTAATCAAACCTCGGCAATAGACCGACAAGCAAGTGCAGTTTAGTACGAGCACGCCCCGGCCAGTAGCAGTGCAAGCGAAAGACTCACAAGCGTGGAGAGAAAATAGACATTTTCTGCGCGGTGCCGGAGCAGAAAAATCAGCAAAGCGGCATTACCGAGCAGCCAAAAGAGGTTAGATAGAGCGAAGGTACGAAAGGTAGGTGCCTAGTAAAGGCAGGAACATGCTCAAATACTAGATACTTTTCCTAGTGATTCCATCATTCATAAAGACGAATAAACTCTGAGCATCGAAGACTGCATAAACGGCAAGCACCTGCGTCAGGAGGAAGTCAGCAAACGCGAGGCCAGCGTACAGGCGACGCTGTTTGTACTTGGGTAATCGAACGATTTGCTGCCGCCAAGACAATTTCCCGAGGAATAGGAGGTGAATGCAAGCGCGCTCAGGAACTTCGCCGACAGGGAATGAATATGCAAGAAAAGCGTACAACGACTTATTTCTCTACAACTAATTCATAGAGCAGCCGCTGACAAGCCGATACCGTTCACATCAAATCTACCTAATCAAGGTCAACTAAGACAGAGATAAACAATTGTAGCTAGTAGAGGAGAACGTCAGCACATAAATTGGCCTCTTGTTTTTCCGCCTTCGGCGGAAATAGTTTCTTCGCGCTAATCATCACGGCGAGAAGCTCCTCGATGACAACGCGGCTTTCCTAGCACAATATGGACCGACGGGCGGTCAATCATGTACGCCTCATCTTTGCATCACTTTGAAACTCAATGATTGAAACATTGGCTTGATCAGATAGTTTGCTGCGGATTATTGCCTTTCCTGTACGATATAGTGGAGTAATGAATGCTTATTTTGCGGCACAACCTGACGTACTAGGAGCACTAAGGGTAAGGGGCCTCCGCCTCTGCATTAGATTATTGTACAGCACACTCGCAGTGTATCTCTCTTGTCGCTTTTGCGTCCTTAACCGAATTGTTCGTTGTGCTATCTGCAAAACAGACATCTAAGCAACGACCGAAAAGTTTCTAATCACCGAACAAGTGCTCTACTTCTGTCTCATCATGATCTTCATCTGCTGGTATCACCCTGAGCAGTAAGTATTCATCGTCTACTCCAGGACCTCCATAGAGATGACCAGAAGCATCATGATCATGTGCCAAATCCTAAAATCTCTCTCCGTCCGAGCTACAAACACAGACACAGTATCAGCAAACCGCTATAATTAACAACAAGTCAGTACAAAGCAAGTCACAGCTGCAGCTATAAAGCACCGAAGGAGCCGTGGTCACTCCAGAATACATCTGCTGGAATAACACGTAAGGTCGCCGATGTAGCATCACAGTAAGCTGACATGCCATATGTGTTTACGCAATTTTGAATCTGTCGAAGTTGTCGTGATAACCGTGGGTAAATGTATGGGAAGGAATTTAGGATCTGTAACGAAAGAGCTGCAACATCTGTGGCGGTTGTCCCTGGTACTAGCAGAACAGTGTCCTCGGGTAAAATGCCTACTGCCCTGCTTATGGCTCCACAAGTGTGTTTTTGAAACTTTTCGACGTCTTACTGCTCTGTTTAGGCCGTCTAGCCAGCCGTCGCAGATCCCATGTTTCTGGGCTTGACTTTCGCGTCGTCCTCCAAACGAAGCTCGGTTTTTGAGTAGTAGTAAGGCGCAACTTCGGCTAGCCACTTCGCCTGCACCTCGATGCATTCCCGCATGTACTCTTTTTCTGTTTTCCACAACTCGTGGTAGCAGATCATTTTGGGCTTAAACTCCAACAGCGAACTGCTCGGATGAATTTCCACACTGTGAGGGTTTTTCAGTGTGGTGTAGCTTCCGTTCTTGTTCAAACGAGCACAATGAAAAAAGTAGCCAGCGAGAATGGACTTGCGAATGCCTTCTTCATTCCCGGGATTGCTGGATACCTCGATGTCGACTTTCTTCAGCAGATCCAACAGCTGGTCTCGAATATCGCGCGCTCTGTTTAAGGGTCGGTACTGCAGGTAGTTCTCTACGCACCACTGCTGCGAGAACCCCGTGTCCTCCCACTGCTTGTAGATATTCAGCATCATAAAGTGGTCGCCACCGGCTCGATGGAAGTTCTTCTTCGCGTTGTCTGCGTGAAGTGCCTTCTCCTTCGGTCGGAAAAACAATGCATCACCGCAAGTGAGCACGCTACAGATGGAGACCACCTCGTCCACGACTTGGTACTTTTGACTGCTAATCAAGGCTTTTGCCATCATCGGCTCCAGAGGAAACTCAGCCATACGCCGACCTGATGTTGGAGTTCAGGAACAACGTCTATACTGTCGGTTCACGATTAAGAGAAATCGAAGCTCACATTTTTCTACTCAAATCATTAGAAGTACCTAATGTTGTAAGTTCTCCCTTGCTGTTCAGCGCCATCAGTCCGTACAGCATTTCCAGCGACTTGACGAGAAAATCTGTCGGCGGAGGGTCCATGAAATCGAAGCGCAACACGTCTGAGACGTTGAGCGCTTTCAATTGCAGCACGACATTGCACAAGTTCGCTCGAAGGATCTCTGGAGTATTCGAATCATCTAAGTTTTGCTCGAATTCCCATTTGGTGAAAAGTCGAAAGCACTTTCCTGGCATCACACGACCTGCACGACCTGCGCGCTGGTTCGCAGCCGCCTTCGAAATCGGAACGACCTGCAAGCTACTCATACCTGTCTGCGGCTGAAAGGCGCTCTGCTTGCAAAATCCAATGTCGATAATCATATTAGAAGAGCACCAAGAACTGCTAAAAATTCACAAAATAAGGGAGGTCGTAGAAACACAACTACTTACGAGCGAATAAGGCACATTTTTCATCCAGCTATGAAAATCATCATGGTAATGGTCCTTCTACTTCTAGGCATTTCACTTAATGTTAGTTTTTCTGAGTTTATCTAAAAAGTAGTAGTACACGGAATCCTATTTTTCATTATTTCTCAGGTCAACATGAAAAGTGAATTTTCTTCGCCGTAACATAAACAATGTTATCGATTGTGATACTGGTTTCTGCGATATTTGTGGCTAAGACCACCTTTCTCGCGCCCTCCGGTGTCTTCTCGAAAATCTTGGCCTGTAGCTCCGTCGGCAGGTTGGCATAAATCTGGTTGATGATCAGTTCCGGTGCGCGCGAGCCCAGCGCAACCATTTTTTTGGTAATCAACTCTGCGATCTCTTCTATGTCCTGCACACCGGTCAGAAAGACCAAAATGTCACCCACCGGCTGCGTGAGGTGAATCTGCATTACAGTGTGCGCCGCAGCTTGCTTGTAGTTCGCTTCTGGGCCCTTCGTGTAGTGAATGCTCACGGGGTAGCGACGACCGGGGACCGAGAAAATGGGACATCCGTCAAAGTAATTCGAGAACTTCTCTGCATCCAAGGTGGCACTAGAGATGATCAGCTTGAAATCTTCCCTGAAGCGCACAATGTCCTTCGCCAAGCCGAACAAAATGTCCGTATTCAACGTGCGCTCGTGCGCCTCGTCGATGATGAGCACAGAGTAGCTGCCCAAGTCCGGCTCGTTCAAGAAGTCGCGCAACAACATACCATCTGTCATGTACTTGACCAAGGTTTTGTCGCTCGTACAATCCTCGAATCGGATGCTGTATCCGACCTCGTGCCCGAGCTTCACACCCAACTCTTCTGCAACTCGCGCCGCCACACTCATCGCGGCGACTCGTCTGGGCTGTGTGCATCCGATCTTTCCGAATTCGCCGTAGCCGACTTCTACTAGGTACTGCGGCACTTGTGTCGTCTTTCCGCTCCCTGTTTCACCCTGCAGCACGATCACGGGGTGCTCTTTTATCGCGTCCATCAATTGCTATGGATTAGAGGAGGCGCAATCCAAACATCGACTAGTACAGATGATACCAAAGTGCTAGTCAAGGAAGATTGCCATTTCGCCTTAAACACGACGCATCGAAAATCGTACACGACCAATGAAGACAATTAAAGACATACGGTTGGAGTTCAAATCTTGTGCGAGATTTTCATCTTAACTTTCCACTGGTAAACGGGTAACTGCATTCGGCCAGCCATTAGCTTGTCGCGTTTCCGTTGCTGCTCTGCTCTCGCTAGCGCCACGCGCTCATCGCGACTACGATCAAAGCGCGCGTTGTCACCTTCTGCGGTTGTAAGAGCAGCGAGGGACGAAGCACCCTGCTGGCCGGAGTGTGCGTAAGACGAGCCCGATGCGGCCGTGACCGTCGATGCAGTTCCGTCTTTAGCCTTGAAATTCCCTCCATGCGTCTCGAGCATCTCGAATTCTACCTGATTCTCCATGATAAGCTCGTAGCCCCTTTTTTCTTCTTCGTCCATAGTCTTGCGGAACCGGCCCATCGCGGTTCGCAGCTTGTCCTGCTCAAACCGCTCTTGGTCACCGAGTTCCTCCTTGTCCCCACCGCGTCTCGACTGCTGCAGTCCCAAAGTTTGCTGCAACTTGTCCAGCCTGTTCGTGCCCGTTTCCTTGTCCAAATTGTCCGGCATCTGGTAGCCGTCGTATTCTACGCCCCGTTCGCGCCGCTTCTTGTGTTCCAAAGCTTTCTGGTACATCTCTTCCTGGATCGCCATCTTTCTCTGTTCCTCCACAGTTAGTTTCTCGTACTGCATCAGTTCTTTCTGCGCGGTTAGAAGCCGCTTGGTGAGCTCCAACTGGCGGTCCTCACGCTCGGCCAAGTATTTGTGTCTGCCCGCTTGCTTCAATTGATTAATCGCGTCGCGCCGCTCTTCTTCGCTGCCGAAAATGATATTACCCATACTTCCAGCGCCTATTGGGCCGCGACCATCGTCAGCTTCGCCTTCTTTTCGGAAATTACCTCGACCGCCCTGCCCAGCCTTGTCCTGTCGCCGCTGCTTCTCGTTGGCAGCTTTACCCTTTAACTTGGCATTCAGTTTTTCGAGCTCGGCTTTGTCGGCATCAGCGTCGATGCGATGGTCGACTTCGCGGACCATCCCGTCTCCACTAGAAGCTGCATCTCCCTGGCCTCCTGTACTGCTGCTGCTGCCTCCCACCGTCTCGTTCGGCCTTGCTCTCTTCGCTGGCGATTGTTCGTCTAAACCCTTGGCTAAGTCCTGTTCATCGTCGTCCTGTTCTGCCAAAAGCAGCAGTTGCCGCTCTCGCTCCGCCTGCGCGGCGCGCTTCAGACTGCTCGCTTGTAAGGCTTGTTTCGGCCCATAGCTTCCCGGGTTTTTCACGATGTCCATCAACTTCTCGTAGAAACTCTTGTCCAAGCCGGTGACGGCGGCGCCCGAGCCTTGTCGGAGAACACGTTCTAACTCCAGAGAAGATTTGCATCGACTCGCCGTATCGTAGAACATGTCAACGATGGACGGCGCAGACATATCCAATGCCTGAAAAACCGCATCCTCCACGTGCGCAAGGATATGCGCAGGCGCGGATCCGGCCATCTTGTAAGATGATGAATATGATCAGACTACGTAGCAACTAGAACTACACGAGAATTGAAACCATGTACTTATATGGATAACTATGGATTCAAAAAATTTAAAATTTTTCTTCTTTTCTATGTATAACAAACAATATATACATATACGAGAATATCAGAGACATATAAAAAGCAACTTACGTAAAGGGAACGGGTTCGGTGCGTGGGTGAGAAAAATAAAGTAAGGGCGGAAAACAACCAAAAGTTAAACCATCTGGAATGATGGCATTCGAAAAAACATTCATATGGATTTTTGAGAATGTAATCATGACGAGCGCGATACAGGCAAACGGCGTCTGATGGGAGTCGAAACTTCAGTCTTGCAAAAGCTAAATCAATCATGCCAGGCAGTGGTTACAATAACATTACAATTCGACTAAACCGGTGGCTTTTCAAGAGGAAGGACTCTTTGCGGCAGGGCAATCCACTCGGGATCAACAGGTGGGAAGACACATTAACATGATTATGATTCTTTTGCGACTGCCGTGCTCGTGGTTAGAGACCGCGCGCGTGGTTAGAGACCTCACTTGATTAAAGGACAGGATTGTAATTGTGATTCATCTGGGTCTTCTTCAGAATCGTTTTCGTACCAGGCACAGCATAATCATTACCATGGTAGTCCTCTTGTAGCCAATGATAGCAACTTCCACGATCGATCCCGGAACAGAGAAGTACTGATCATGTTAAAGGCTCCACCACCAATTCTTTTTCATCTCGCGGTATGCCATCAAGGGGAGGTCGAACACAGTGACAATGTATTCTGAACTTTGACGAACTGCCAGTAAAAAGTCTATAAAGGTCAGATTTAATTTGTCCTAGTTGTCCGGTTTGATGTACTCGGGCCAGAGCAGGTTCCTTGTGGCATCAATGATGCGAGAGAGAAAAAGACGTCCATTTTTTGTGTGGGTAGAAATGAGACGCAACATCTTACACATTCATACATCAAGATTAGCACTTGCACAATCTCTTTAACTAAGTCTTATGTAAGGATTTAAGTACGGGGAAGGGGGTCATGTAAGTGGCTCGGAACTTAATAGATGTAAAAAGATTAAAGGGAGCATGTGCCTTTAGATACTGCGTCTCCTAGAGCGGATTTTTGAACAGGCAAGCCTGCTAAGAAGAAAGTGGCGTATTGTTTACCTTCTCATATTTTGGCACTGGCGCGTCTGATGGTCTTGACATCAACCTCCATTTTCAGATCAGAAGCAGTACATGTAAAGCTCTAATACTTCTCGCATTCCCCTTCCAATCCTACGATGCCATATTCGCATAATTTCCAGCATGGCTCTTATCAATGTTCTTAGATTCTTCATGCGCAGCTTGGCGGTCATCGTATGTTGTGTTGGGGTAAACCGTACCCGAGTTGCAATTCATCATCATCGCGCGCACTGAAAATGCCATTTGCTCTACCGACAGAGCCGGACTCCAGCCATCCGCGGAAATTAGAGTGGCAGCCACCTAGTCCCTCTTATAAAATATATCAATGTATTTAGTTTTATGGACACGAAAAAAATAGTAGGTTGTATTTTCTTCTATCTCAAGTGTACGACGTGGGCGTGATGTGCTGCTTCTTCAAGGGATTTTGACTTTCAAGTATTCATACATAATGAGAGTAATTCCATGCAGAGTGCTCCTTGTTTCTGAACCCAGAACGAGCCCATCGACACGGTAGGACGCACCAGACGGAGTTTCGGTGCTTCCATGGGGAAATGGTCCGTGAACATGACCTCGAAATCCAGTTGCGCGACTCCTGACCGTCGCATTTCTCTGCCCAAATGAGAGTCTTCTGGCACGCCACTGGTCAAAATCGAAACCTGCAAAAAACGCATATCTCCCTCAGTTGTACTTGGTCCTCCGGGCGCAGGAGAGGTGTCCGGGGGAGCTGATGATGAGGAAGAGCTAGACGAGGCAGCGGTGGCGCTGGAAGTAATCGGCATGACTGGATTTATTGATGTTGTATGAGAGAAGGATGATATCCTTGCGAAAGCAAATCCCTCCTTGCGAAGCCTCTCTTTGGCTGCATCAAGACTACGCCATTCAGCCTTGATACGTTTCACGGTGCGTGCTGGGATTGCGCTCTGTTCTTCTGCGCCACGAATTCGCATGCTGCGGAAGGCGTTTGCGATGTCCTCCGCAAAGTTTAAAGAAGCAAATCCACCTTGATTTCCTCCTTGATTTTCCTCTCGAGAAGCCCTGCGCGACGGCGATGAAGAGGAACCAGAAGCAGAGCCCGTGTTCGTTCTCGAGGCAACGACATTTGCTGTTGCAGCAAGTCGATTTGGGGAAGCTGCAGGAGCATTTGTGCTAGTTTCCGGCGCTTGCTGCGTACCTGTTCCTTCTGATACTATTTGCGTCATCTCCATTTGGTTTTGTTGCTCGCCACTTATTCTAGCAACTGGTGTTCTACCACCTCCTTGCTGTTGTGAATTCCTTTCTCCACTTGTTCCAGTTGCTTGTTGCCCACCACGAGCGTCAACAATCAAGTTCTCGACACGTCGACGGACTATCGGATTGTTGTGAGCGACGTCGCCATCCCTGTAATTCTCACGTCCGACCCACGGCAACCATGTCGAGCCACCATTCGCTGGCTCAGGCTCATTCAGTATCCTTTCTGCGGTCTGCAAATTTTCTGCACGTATTCCAGATGATGTTCCATCACTTAATGGTGCAGCGGTCGTGGTCCCAGATCCAGAAGCCGAGTGGTTTGGTATGGCTTGGTTGCCGCGTTGCTGTTGTTCCGGCAGTTGTACACCTGACCCTGATCGCGATCGGCCGTTCAGTTTAATGCAGTTCGTAATGTCTCCTCTACACAAAGGACACCGAACAGCCGTCTGGCCGTTTTGTGTCGTTAACATTCGCAATTGCAGCGTCATTGCACAGTCGGAACAGAGAAAATTAGAAAGAGAAACTACGAGAACCAAACTGACAAAGAAGCAGATGGAAATTTTAACTTAACAAACGGACGAAAAACCGAGGATCGGTTTCATCCTAGGATGATTGCGTTTGTGAGTGATTGATTGTTGGACAAATTAGTGGGAATCTGTATATTTCCATTCATCTCCAGGCCATAAGACAGAGATGCTTGCAAGGCATCACAAACGTGTCGCACGTGGCGCTCATGCAAATGACGCAGTCGGTATCCTCTTCCTCACCACCAAAGAGGTCTTGCACGTGGAAAACTTGCTTTGAAGGACCCACTAGGAATTTTTCCACGATCTTCGGTTCGCAGGTACGTGCATTGATTGCGAAAAAGTAGAGAAGTGTGCCTTCAGGCGGCAGCGCGTCGCCTACTTCTGGCTCGTCGGCCCAACCGCCTGTCGGGGAAGGGTTTGAGCTTGAGCCACCTCTTTGTCTGGGGCCGCCGTCCAACGATAAACCTCCGCCACCACGGCTTCGTGGCGCAAATGTCGAACCACCAAAATTAGAGGACCCCATCGCAGTGAGAAATACGATGGATATGCTCGTCAAAACGACGGTGAATATCAGTCAGCGTCAGATGACGTGATAGCAGAAGAATCTAGGCGTGCACACAGATGTGAAAGACAAATACGATTACTGAGGTCACCCAAATCAAACCATTTTATCTTTCTGTACCCTCTAGGAACTTTAGGTCTAGCATGATTCGAAAAGTGTACTAGCATTCACTACACCTAATTTTCTTCGGTCGCAGCTCCAGAGCCAGCGGCCATCGCATTTTTTGTTGATCTGGTACAAAGAGATTCGGTGACCATTGCGAAAATTTCACATATTGTCGCGCCGATGCCACTGTATATTCACGCGTCTCCGAAATGGGGCCACTGGCGCCAGTACTTGCATTCATTTGCGTCGCCAAAGCACCTGACGTTTTCGCAGCACCTTGTTGCGGTCCTAATGGTGTAGTCTTCGCTCCAGAGGAAATGGGCTGTAGTTTTGCAGCATCCTGCGCAAAAGCTGCATGACCATCCTTTATTAGGAGTGGCCACTCACCTGTCGTATCGCTCAAACGAGGAAGAATGTGCAAGGTCACTTCGAGATCTTCATCGAATCGAGGCCCGCTTGAAGCCGCTGAGCCCCTAGACGCCTTCACTTTAGATCCTGGACTTGACACACCCGCAACTTGCCTCCCTATCGTCGCCACAAACCGGTAGTCACTGTCCGTCTCCTACCTTAGAAGCGGACGCACCTTCAATCTACAACGTAGTGGTGTAGGTACAATGAGAAAGTGAAAGATTATAAGACGAATTTTAGTATCTTTCTTGGAGCAACATCAATAGCAATAGCTACCTTCAGAACATCAGGTCTCTTCCCATAAATTTCGGAATTCATAGTTCAGGAGAACAAAAGGCGGACGATACCCAGCAGCGTGTGACTGCGCTTGCCGCTGTACCACATCTGTCTCCGCCTCATTGCCTCCTTCAAGAGTGCCATGCTCAGTCAGCTTGACCACCTTTTGCTTGGGGAGTGGTGCATCGTCATCGAATTGCCTACGGCTGCTCTCGACGTTACCCATTTTATTGATTTTGCGCTGTCAGCATTCATGAAAAAATACTATCGCCAGTTAAAATTATGCGTTCCCAAGATAAACCAAACCGAAAAAAACGATTACAATCCAAGAATTACTTTTCTTCAAATAAGTGGTAGTACAATCGAGGCATAATCGAAAAATTCTAGCTCATGATATCGATGTTGCGAAATCAGAAGCCAGTTGTTTCTCCTGAATGAAAATGAAAAAAATATAGAAACCATACTAAATTCCAATACGGGGGGAAAAGGGAACGCGGGATAGCGGGACGCCACAAAACATGCAAAGATGTTGACAAAGGCTGAAGATGTAGATGAAGTGTTACAGAGAATTTTTCCGTTCTATTTCTACCGCACCACAAGTCATGATCATGTTCAAGCCTCATTTCAACCACCATGCTCCGGGCTTTATGTACATATGCACTCGATCTCTCACCGACGACGGATGGACAAAGCGCTAGCTGTCTGGAAAAATTATTCATGTATTCACTTTCGTGTCCACATTGACATTTGATGAACCGGTCGCAAAAACGTAGGTATTTCGATTTCCGACAACTGCAAGCTACTGAACACACCTAGGAAACGACGACGAAGCTCTGGGAACCAGCTCTCTGTCATGGTAACATCGTGGATTTAGATAATAGACACGTTGCATTCTACTATGCACGACATGGTCTCGAAGAAACCCTTCTCGTCACTGATTAGAATAAACCACACTGGAAGCGTTTTAGACAGAATAGGTCTACGGCGAAGGAAGTCCAGCAACATCTTCCATGATCGCTGCTAACAGTGTGCTCGAAGTGTCGTCTTTTCACATCATCCAGATCACTCTCGCTGCCATAATTGTGGCCACACAAGCGCTCCACTATGCTGCTTTTGCTGCGAGCAAGGCTTCCACCTCTTCGTTGATCCAAGGCAGAACGCGCGCACTGGGTTCTCGGATTGCGAGCGACGCAACTCGAGATAGCATCGTGGGATTGGGATTAATCTCTACGACTTTGGCCCGATTATGCGCGCGAGCAAGCATAGGCATTTGCCTTGCGGGATCTACTTTACCAGTGGTGCCTACCATGAGGACTACGTCACTCTGCATGGCTGCCCGAATCGCGTTCCGCAAGACGTGTTTGTCCAGGGCCTCGCCGAAATAGATGCCGTCAGGCTTCAGCACGCCAACAGGATACAGACGTTCACTCTTGGACAGTTTGGTTTTCTTGGTCGCTGAGGCTGATGAAGAGGGGTCGCTAGAAGGGGTGCAGGGTGCTACTACTGATGCAATCGAGGAAACAGCTTCTGCAGAAGATTCTGCCTTGTAAGTAGTACTCCTTGAGGAACTCGTCCTCGTGGAACTTGTTGCCGTTCCTTGCTCCCCTTTCACCAAGGAAAATTGCAGAGATTCCTTGTTCTTCATGCGCTCGTAATAGAGATTGCCTCTTTGACCCGTACAATGCGGGCACAGTGGAATCTCTCGTACTCGCGGTCCGTTTTTCAGTTCGAACTGGCTCAACGTCGTTGACTCACTACTGGACGAAGAGGAGGAGGAAGACGAGCTACTAGCACCGGGTCCCGCGGCGACTGCACCTCCAATAGCACTAGTGACTGTCTGGCTTTTGTTTTTTGGAGTACCCGGTTTGCCTCCAAGACCCAGCTTGCGGATTTCAGCACGCAAGCTGGTCTCCCCATCGCTGCTCGAAGAACTTGAGTTCGATGATGCTGGACTGGAACCTCGGCTACTCTCTTTATCCGCATCAGAATCATTGGTTTCTGACACGACTGATATAGGCTTCGCGTTAGCTTGGGAACTACCTCCAACAGTGGCAACCACAGCACCTGTCGTTGCTCCCTGTCTCCCTTTGTTGGCCGTTGGAGCTGCATTTTTCTTTCCCTTTTTTTTCTTTTTGGTTTTCCGTCGGCAGCGAATGGCATACTGAGTACAGGCCTTCCTGCATTGTTCTGAGAGTGTCGCATCGGGATGAACCGTGTCGTAATCACCTGCTTTTGAGCGATCGTGTTTGACCCGCTTCTTCCCTTTTCGTATGGCGCCAAACATTCCGCTTAGCGCTGAGGACGAATCTGACGAACTACCGGAGTCGTCCGATTTCTTTTTCCCTTTGCTGTCCTCCTTTTTACTGTTCATATTGGAGGCTTTGTCCTTATCCGTGGGAGCACCCAAGCAGGCTTCTAGTCGCTCCGCTGTCAGTCGGGCAGGAGCCCGTTGTGAGCATGCTGAACCACCAGAGGATGCTGTTGTCGTTGCAGATTCTGCCACTTTGCTTGCGCTGTCTTGGTCCACCTCCATCTTTACGGGACCGCCTTTGTCATCGTCCTCATCTTTTAATGCAGCACCTCCTTCTCCTTCTCCCTTTCTCTTGTAGTTGTCGGTTTTTTTATCTGCATCCCCCCCAGGAGCGTCAGGCAGGTGTTCGCTATCCGATCCTGCTCGGTCTTCCAGAAACTCTGCCATGTTGTTGCGCAAGCGGAACTCCTTAGGACACCCCGCCTCGCAAATGATTTTGTCTACTACATCGCCCATCGGCGTCGTCTTCTTACATCGGAGGCAGATAGCGCGCACCTCCGATCCATGAACCTCAATTACGTCCTCCGACCCCGCTCCCTGATGCAGGCCGTCCACATTCTGCGTCACTGATTTTGTATTAAGGTTTGGAGGAAGATTAGGAATGTCATATTTTCTAAGTTAGTAGGCCTTTTTTTCAGATATGGAGTCCACGCATTGGAAGGAAACATCAAACGATTTCTTTAGTCAAAGATATCGAACATGACGATTGCAGGATGCTGAAAATAAGTACCTATTTTGAAATGCATGCTTGCCAGCGCAGTGTGTGCTGGATTGTGCTGAACACTGCGAAGGAGCTTGAAAAATTCTACTTCAAAAGCCCAAACCTTCCGTGGATCGAGTGCGAACCCCTTGATAGACGAGACTTCTTCCGGATTGTAGAAATTCCACAAACCACCAGGATCGCGGTACGTCGGCACACCAGATTCCGCAGATATTCCGGCACCTGTGAATGCCATCCGTCTCGACACCTGGGCACGGGCTATCCAACGGGCCGCTTGTCTGATTGGCCCCTGAAGGATCAAGATTTTGGTTGCAATTTTCAATATGTTCAAAATGTTGGAGATGTAACGACTGAATCGTTGAACCATGATTGAACGATGGATTAAAGATTCGATGGTTTCAAATTTGGTAAAGACCATTATGACTTTGTCCTCGTTGTACCATTAGTACAACAACGAACTCAAGATTTCATCCCTAAAACAAGGAAGTACCTGTCCTGGATACAACCCTCGCTCCAATGAGGTCGTCAGCATAGCCGGACGCTCTGTTTTGCGACCGCTCCGGCAAATCAACATCTTACCAAAACAACATTCGACTGCACCATCTGGATAGAAAACCGCGCCTGCTTCCCCAGGTAGCCCTGTCCAATGCTGTTCAGCGCCTGCGTTCCACTTCTTCTCAGCTCTCACGCGAACATGATTACCGAAAAGCACACAGTCGCACCCGTTCTTGGCATCAAGGTCTCGACCGCCCACAAACACTGCAATCTGCATATGCTGCAAAGTATTTCTAGACGAAGAGGCGTTTGCTTCTTCCTCTCCATCTTGATGCGCAGAAATTGGAAGATACCCTGAGCATGCTCGTGGACTACTGCTTGTTGAATCCTTGCCATTTTTTGCTTGATCCACACGACGGTGCTTGGTTGAACCGGGGCTCGCTTCCTCTGAATCGACGACCATACTTGTCGTCACATCAGTATCTTGACCTCCCCGTTTTGCTGACGGTTCTAGTATTTCCTCAATGCTGTAAAACACAAGGAAAGCTTCTTCTCTAGACCTTGTTTTTACGAACGACATGCCTTCAGTCGTGAATGCGATCTCCATCGCCGCACTGTCCTCAGGATGAAGCCGTGGATCGCACCAGAATTTAATCGGAAACTGTCGTGCCAAGAGCATCATATCAGACGTCGTCAATTTTTTCTGCTTATTGATATCCTTCTTCTGCTTTTCCAGAAGGGTCGAAAGAGTAGAATCCTTCCTTTTGTTCTTCTTGTCGATCGATTTTTTCGTTTCATCTCCCTTGATGTTCTTCTCCGATGCGTCAGAAACTTCTGCCTCCGATTCCGAAACAGTGTCACTAGATGAAGTCTCGCTTTTGTTATCCGAGCTGTCGTCAGATTGAAGTAAAAGCGCTAGCCGCTCACTCCGTCTTCGGGTCGCGAGTAGCAGGCGTTTGCGTTCACGCATCTTCTTTTCCAACTCTCGGCGCCGCTGCAACTTCAACAAGTGTTCCGGTTGTATTCTTGCCTTGGCAAGCCATGCAGCTTTCTCTGCGTCAGTGTGGTACAGATTCAAAAGAAAAGTCTGCAAAATAAGGTCCCACACGCCACCTTGCGGAGCGAGAATGCACTTCACAACCGCATCTGGGACAGCGAATACAGCAACTGCTTGCGCACTGCAGCTACCACGCTCTCGCAAAAAACTGCGAATATCACAGGTCTTCGGTCTTATTGAGGTTCCAGCTGCGCTAGTAATCGCATCATTCGACGGTGTTGAAGAAGAAGTAGCATTACTGCTTTCATCAACTACAGCATGTGTGTTGAAGCGTGGGTCGCTGAGAATGTTCGGAATCGGCACAAATTCAGAGGGTGCTCGACGCTTTACGACCTTTCCTCGTCGAATGACAGTCCGCGGCTTACTGCTTGATGAGGTGGGAGCTGTGCTCTTATTAACGGTCTCACTACCGGCCTTCTTCTGCTCTGCCACGGCCAGAACAGAAGACGCAGGACCCGCCGAAACTGGAGAACTCGTCATTTTTTGATCAATCTTTTGTCTAGGCGCAGGTTTCTTATCTAAAAGCGGAAATAACCGTAATCTGATAAAGCCTTGATGATATTCTGACAGTAGCCTGACTATCTTGAAAATTTGCTTGTTGCTTCTATGTATCTATACAGATAACGAAGCGACGATCATCATGTTGTGCTGACTCTGTAGAGAAACTTAACCAGCATTGGACAAAAAATGTAGCTCAACAGTGCTGGCAACTATCAACTAATAATTGCCGCCGACTAAATGAAAAATTACATGCTCGGTATCGAAAAGCGCTGATGCAGTAGACAAGTTATGACACTAGAAGATGAGTTAAGTCAACTACATGTACTCTTCGAAAAGCAAAGGATGTCAACGTGATGTGGATCTTCATAGGCGATCTCCAGCGCATCTATGTATAGTACGAGGAAGAAAAATGCTAGTAGATGTACCTGTCCTAGAGAGAACACGATCATGAGGATGCAACTTGTCGAGTATCGGGATCATGATAAGGAGAATCCTTCATTGTGCCTTCTGCAGCAACAATTTTGATTTATTCAGGGGTGGTGCAGTTTCACTTTCATCAAATTTCAATTTCTGCAGGATCAGAATCAGAAACGAACCTAACCTATCAATCTGTCAAAGCATTCGGCTATTGGGTGAGACTATACTCCGAAATTAACACGAAACCACTCACCAAGCAGCGCTTTGCTCGGAAGTTGAATGTAGATGCGAAGTGAGAGCGCGGCTGTTCGCAAGCTACGTCCGCGATCAGTCTTTGCCTTCAATCGTTCTGACTGGAGCACGCTTCATCCCCATAGACACAGAAGTCAAATCGCCACAGTTGTTGGAATTGTAATCATCATCTCCTTTTCTCAAGAACAAAGGTTTCCAACGTATTCATAAAAGTATCCGCTTATAGCGCTTTATGAAGAACAAGAACTATTATTTTTGAGCAGACCAGACACAAGAATGGTCTCGCAATCACAAGGAAGCGCGCACACCTCATCATCACAGGTTTCTTAGGTGTGGGATGCATCGATAGGTCTTTTTCCAGAATCTTCTTTGTGGTGGGATAAATAATTCGTTTGAAGCGTAATCGTTGTCACTCTAGGGTGTGACCTGAGAAATGTGTTTCAAGTAGTCCCTACATGTGGTCGTTATATTTTACAGGAAATTTTAGGAAAATTATCAGGGTAGCTTGCATCATCCTCCGTCGCGCGGAGACACCATGCTCGCGCGTACACACGCTCACGCGCTAGCGAAGAAAAGTCCTCATCAATTGATTAGATTTCAACCTAATGAGATGATAATTTTGTTACAATATCGATTGTTCAAGTAGAGCAGTGATGCTCAAGAAGACACGACAGCACCCAAAGAAGTGACTCTTGCTTCGATCGAATAGATGTTTCGCACGTGTCATTATTGCATCTTTACTTCTTGCACCCGCCCTCCATATTCTGTGCTACCCATGGCAACATTGCTGCTGCCACCGTCAACAGGATTGCTCACAGTTGGGTCGCTTGAAGCTGTGGTCTCCGAAGTCTCTGTCGTTGACGAGGCTGCTGTGTCGTTCCCGGCTGTACCTGAGGACGAAGCTCCTTCCACTTGTTGATAGGCTGGGCTTAGAAAAATGATCACAACTAAAACTATGTAAATCATTGGTAAAGGAAAAGCAAGGTACTACTAGACACGACGATATCGTTATGTGTAGGATGCGTACTTACTGACTGGATTTTGATCATCAAGAAACACGAGTACGTGTACGATATGATGGACTCTCATTGGTCATAACTTCTTTCCGTAGTCGTAGCCAGCGCCCTGCATGACCATTGTTTCTAATATCTTGTTCAGCCGAGGCAGCACCGACCGTGGCTCGTCAAGCATACCCGCAGCAATGCAGGCGTTGTCAAAAAGCAATTCTACACTCAATTTCGCCACATCTGCATTCGACTGCTTTATCGAATAGAGTGTCTTAATCACTGGATGCTTGGCAGAGACCTGTTTCACAGAGAAGCATTGGATGATGTCACCTTTGAAGTTATTTCCCTTTCCCGAGGAATCAGTCCGATGGCGATGGAGTGGGTATACTCCGCGCGCAGCACTTTCCTGCACACATTCACGGGCCTACTTCCCCGCGCACGTTTTGAGCTGGCTGACATGCCTGATATCGACGCTCGCCTTTTGTTACGTTTAATTACACCTAAGACGACGACGCATCGCTGAGGAAAAGAATGCCTCCAAATAATGGCCCTCAGCGGTCACGAACATACGCATCCCAGGGATAGTGGACAAAATCACAATAACCCACAAACAAAATACAAGAGAGGATGCCGAACCACGAAAGTAAACCCATGACGGTACAAGGGTGCCCACCCCATCTCTGCGACCCCAGGGCCAACCGAGCAACAACGGAACGCCAGACAAACACCACACGTTCGCGTTCCCCGAAAATAATCCCTACCCCTAGAGCAATCTTCCTAAAGCCAAACACAGAAATACAACCCACATCGAACGCCCTCGGCAAGGTGCTAGCGGTCGTACGTAGCTCGCTCGCAGCAAATGCAAGAGGGAGATAATTTTAATCAAACAACAACATCAAAGAAAGCCCGAAGCAACGAAGGGCAAAAAAAACAACCAAAGAGAAGGAGAAGCCGACGAACCAGACACCACTTCAAGGGCGGCAGCCTTTCTGTCAGCCAGGCGCCCGCACTGCCGGCAGCCTGGGCGCTGTTCTTGTTACCCAAGAAAGAGCCGACACTGACAAACAAGGCGCAGACAGGCCAGCCGCCTTCTCAGTTCTTGGCGTTGGCGCCGTCAGCTCAGGTTCGTCGGTCAGGCTAGACGAATGCTGTCGCTTCAGCTGGCAGAATCGCCACCAAGAAGCTGAGGCATCTTCTCACCGCTCTGGTTTCAAGCGAAAGAAGCTGCTCCAAGCCTCCCGCACTTGCTACTGTGTTGCTGACCTCACAGGTGACGCCCTACAAGAAGCGCCAGCGCCAACAAACAAGGCGCCGACAAGACGAGGAGGGCAGCGGAGAATGTATGAGGCGAGACTTCCCACAAAACAGCACGCGAAAGCGCCCGCCTGTGGTTCGCTCGCTTTACTTGCTGCATACCTCGAAGCTAGCAAAACCAAAGCGCAAGCGCCCCCGGCCTCCCCACGCACCCACAGATGAAGGGAAAAGGCGCCCCAACTTTTGCACCAGAAACGCCGCGAATGAAAGAAACAAGCGCGGCCCGGCGCCAGGTTGATTCTCCGCTTTTGCTTTGGCCTTGAATGAGGGCAGCACAGCAGCAGCGGGCCCAAGGCGCGAGGCAAAATAATACAGCGTGAGCCGCTGGGCCGGTGGATAGATCACACACCGAGGCCGAAACTCTTGCGCCCCGTCCACAACTTCCGCCCAAGCCTCAAACTGCCGCCGCTCCCTCTGGTTGCTGCGTCGTGGAGAAGTCTGGACTTGCTGGGCACGACGGTCCGCCATGGCCTCACTTATCGCCTCCACCTTCCTACGTGAGTCGGGTCGCCCCCGCGCGCGTATCTACTTGAGGCGCATCCAGATGCCTTGCCAAGTCTCTGCGCGCTTGTTCCGCATCATATAACACGAAAACAAGCCGACCCTTTTCGAAAGCTGTGCCAGGGTTTTCCGTGCTGCTCCGCTTAGCTGCTTCCATCTTGTTAGTCAGTCAGCTGCCTGCTTCTGAGAATGATGCCGAGGCAACTCAGTGCCGCAGTGGCGGGCTCCCTCATTTCCCACAGCAATACCCACCAGAAACCCCACCGACGTGCGCGCCACGTTGCTGGCACTTTCGCCGCACCATTTGCCAGATCAATCAGGCGCCACCTTTGCCAGGCTGAACGCTCAGGGCACCTCCCGAGTCAGCCACTGCGCTGCGCCATCCTCCCGCCCGCGAAAGCCGCGACGAGCTCGGGCGCACTACACCTCCCCGCGCATCTAGCCAGCGCATGCAAGTAAGTGAATGGCATCCTAGATTGAAGCAACGCACACGCGCTCTATCAGTACCTCTAATGTCATCGGGACGTTATCTGCATTATTCATGCTGGATCCGCTTGCGCCAGCTGCCATCATTTGCTTCATCATCTTCCGCATATGTGGTGTCAGGAGTGAAGTCACGACTGCCGGCGATGAGACTAGTCGATCGGTAAACTTGATCTCCATCGCTTTCGTACCTAGCTGCTCCTTCATCCATGACTTGAGCTCGTCCTGCTGCGCCGAACCTAATTGAAATTCGACATAACAAGCGACTGCAGTAGAGAGAGGTGAAGTGATGTCTATTCCGAAGATCATTCATCATCATACTCAGCATTATGGCAATGACCAGTAGGTAATTCACTGCGGCAAAGTTAAAAAGTTTAAAAAAATACCGAAACATCTTCTTGTCCTACACAATTTTACTCACACGACCCACATCCAGAAGTGTAATACTCAATTCAATCTTTTCGGCCTCAGTCTTGCTCGATTCGTCCTCCTTCTTTGCGTCCAAGTCCAGTTCAAAATCCTTGTCTTGTGCATCCACAGCGATAAGCTGGTGAGTCTTGAAGCCGAGGGATTAGAACATCTTCTATGTGTAACATAGTAGGTACTGATGCTTCTTATAACTCAAGTAATTGTATTTGCTGTAGAGGAGGAAGAGAAGGCATAGTTCATGGTCTCCGTCTCTCCGGACCTCCATTTGTAATGATTACGACGTATTTACTTAGTTCGCATTGACGATTCATTTCAAAGAATTAATCATCTTCTTGTTATCCAGTTTTTACCACGATTCCATAATCAAGAGCAGAGCTGATGACAAACTCATCTACGTCTTCGTGCATCAACAAAACCGCGCGCTTCCTATCCTTGAATTGCTCCATGTACGGAGAGTTCATTGCCGTCTCACGATTTGGGACACAGTAGTAATAGATATTCTTCTGTTTGAGTACGGCATCACTCGAAGAAACCATGTGCTTGTCCACGTAATCCTGCAAGGAAATCATCTCCCCCTCCGGAAGAGTGGAGCACCCGAAACGCAATAGCTTCGTCAGCTCATCCTGTAAAGCGAGGGTGAGTGAACAATGTTGAGATAAGTAGAGTGTTGAACTACGAAGACATCAAAATACAACCTCGATGTTGCTGAAATTGAAATAAACCATCAAAGGTATGTTGAGATTACGAAGTACCTTGTGTCGTCCGCCCGTTTCCCTATCCTCGATGAGACCAGCCTTCAAATAGTAAGAATAGTTTTTGTAAAATTTGAGATATTTTTCGGGATCTTTCTTTGCTTGCTGGTCTAGGAATCGCAGAAATCGCCGAACTACCGCAAGCGAAAGCTTTGCCATCATTAGGGCTCTCCAAAGTTCATCATTCAGTTGCATCCTTGAAGAGTATCAGGGAGAAGTCAAGGAGTCATACTTTTCAGGAATGCATCGAGACATGAATGATCTACAGCCCTAACATCAATTGCGTGTCCTGCATACTCTCTCGCGAGATGTTCAGCGGCATATCTTCGCAGTCCACGACACCTCGAAGCCAGTGCAGCCACCTCGGAATGATTCCTTCCGCTTGCTTTTTCACCAACACCCGTCTACAGTGAAGAGCAACACCTGGTATATTTGAAATTGGCGTAGTTGTAAACAAGTCTGACAGTGTAGTGTGGCGAAAAAAACTGGTGTTCATTCAGAATTCGCGACATTCATCATTGGTGGTTGCGATTCCAGGTACTTCTACATTATCTTTATCACTAGCAACTGCGATTACTAACCCATTCACAACGGGCAGAGTTGATGTCAACAATTTCTGGAACTTTAAGATTAAGAAGCACCTGCTAGAAAAATGTAAAAACATCCCAGTGAACACTGTAGTAAAAAATTCGTACCTATTTCTGGTTCCTTCGCGAAAAACCGTGATGGTGCGTCTTCGGGCACGTAAAAAAGACTCTTTATCGTTAAGGGTACGTCGGAGGCGAAACTCAATGTGTAAAACGGGTCCCCATAGCTGGTGCCCGAGAGAAACCGGTAGAAGTCCACATGCTCCTCTTCCGTGGCTTTACTCTTCAACCACAGCGGTTCTTGCTCAGATTTAAAGGTGGACTGCGCCAAATAATTCTAAGTCCAGGGAAGATCATACGATGGCGAGGAAACTCCGTACCTCTATTTGGCTTGAACGAACACGGAGTGCGGGATAGGATTGGGAACAACAGCGATAAGCTGCATCATATGAAGATGAAAAAGCAACGGAATAAAAATTTGTTGCCATAATATTAAGCTCTTTGAATGCTCCGTCTTCGTTCACAAAAAGCGGAAAGTCGACAAAGGAGCTGAATTTCTTTGCGCATGCTTTCACGGTATACAGTTTCGAGAATTCTGCACATTCCTCCTCTGATTAGAACTTATGACGGGATGCGGCGGCCCTCTGTTTCTCGTCTATTTACAATAGCTGGAAAAATGGCAGATATTCATTTTACTTGATGACCTAGATGACGGAGAAGCCTCAAGCACCTCGGTTCTTCTACGCAATTGTTTTATACATCTTGCTTCTTGCAGCCATAATTCAGGTGCAGAACGATCTTGGTTCCCCTGTCGGTGTAGTCTGGGATTTCGGCTACTTCAAACTCACCCATCCCATCCGATGTCCACTTGTAACCCAAGTTCGCAGCGTCTGCGCTACGGGTGAAAACTTCGATTTTATCGGCAACGACGAATGCACTGTAAAAACCAACACCAAACTGGCCAATGATGGTGTTGCTCTCGGACCCAGCTGCGCTGTCGCTGGTTTGCTCTAAGAATTCGCGAGACCCCGAACGCGCGATTGTGCCTTGTTTTCAATACGGTTTGTGGAAATCAGGATGATGCGATCAAAAAAGGATGAACAACGACGAAGGAGACGAAACACATGAACATGTCATGATTGCAAATACCACTTCTTAGTACTACTTAGAAGTGCTTACCTAAATTATTCACGAGCTGGTCTTTTGTCATGCCAATCCCGTAGTCTTGGATTGTGAATAGACGCAACGTTTCGTCACAGCTAAGCTCGATTTGCAGTTTCTTCTCTGCTGCTGTCAAGGTTTCTGGCGCTTTGCCACTCGTCTGCAGAAAGCGAAGTTTTTCACAGGCGTCGGAAGCATTGGATATGAGTTCCCGAATAAAGACTTCCTTGTCTGTGTACAGGCTTTTTGCAACAATATTCAACAGCTTTTTCGTCTCTGCCTTGAATTCCATTTTCTCAGGCTCGCTGCTGAAAAAACGAGCGCTTGAAAAAAGCTCTGCAGCAGACGCTCCTCCATATCTGGTAACGCTGTTGCTGGTCACAGAAAGGCTACTACCAGCCGCACCGTAATACTCTGACAAAGTCAGTGCACCTCGAGAGCGTTGCGCACAATTGAGGACTTGGCGTGGTGAACAACGCTTCGCGAGCTTACTGAGCACCGTCATTTTCGTCGTCGTTGTGGAAGTTCAGGATGTATAGCTATTGACGTTATTGCTATCGAACAAATCAAGAGAACTTTACTGCTTCTTTTGTGACTGCTAGTAGAAAAATGAAGATCACAATTATAGCCACCAAATAAGCAGAACATTAAACACCACTTCAGGCTAGCCTTGAGACTGCCAGAAACCGATGAAAAGGACCCGCCAGAACTCCATCTCCATGATCAGAATGATCTCAGCGATCTTTTGATCCAGACTACGCACTGCCTTGTCTGCATCCCAGCCTCACATACATAGACCAGTATCACCAAACAAGCCTACTTGCAGTGGATCAATCTTTCAAGCGATCGAGTCCTCGTCGACTCCCTGTTTTTCCATTAAGGTACGCCAATTTTCAAACGATGTGCGCCAGACAAACGACGTAAATTTTCTGTACTGTAAGATCGAACACTTTTCGTCACTAGACACAAAATGGAACTTCCATTTAGGGACAAGGCCGGGCGAAGACACAAAATGGAACCTCCATTTAGGGACAAGGCCGGGCAAACCAAGACTCATGATGGATTTGCGTCTTGTGATTTCTCGTAGCAACAGTGGAAAAGGAGTTTGGGAAATAAATGGGACTGCACCATCACCGGTACTTCTATGTATCCTTTGGTGCAGCTCCTTCAGCTTGTGACTTTGAAACAACATCCTTAACAGACTCTTTGCCCACTAACTACTTCTGCATCGTGACTAGCATCTTGACCTTTTAAGTGTCTTGCACTAAATTCCAAAGAAAGGCCTAGGAATTTCAGAGCTATCTGTATCTCCGAAATATGCGGACGCGATTCTGCGGGTGATGTTGTACTTGATGCTGTACCGAGAGTAGTTGTCTTCTTCGTGGACAAAGCTGGTGCCCGCTTCCGGAATACTGTACATCTTTGGAGATCTATGGAATACTGAATATCTTTGGAGATCTATTAATTTTACAAGAATACTTACTTGTCTAATCAAATTCTGATTAGTTTTCACTGTCTAATGGCGAGAAATATCCCCGCCAAGCCCACCAGCACCACCAGCACCACCGAGACGCAGACAAATACTGACAGCGTTGATGCTGTTTTGCCACCCGTGTTTCTGTCACCCTTCCCTGGCGCAGATGTCGTTGTCTTCGTAGTCGGAGCGAGCGTTGTAGTCGGAGCGAGCGTTGTAGTCGGGGAAAGTGTGGTGCTTCCACCACTCGCACAGGTATTGTCTGCACAGGGGACATTGAGGCCGCCCGCGCACTCGCCTGCGACCCATCGCGTTGCCTCGGAATCAGGCAAGCGCCGCCGCTGATTCGTGACACCACGAAACAGCCGACAGATTCCGCTGTTCCCGGATTGTTGCCACTATGAACGGAGAAAGTGCAGACGTGACATGTACAGCAACAAGCTGGCAAGTGTCAGGATATTACGAGCCCACATTCCGTTACTATATTCGTGGTGAATTATTGAGATGTCATTACTACTTAAATAAACCGACGTAAATAAATATATTCAAAATTTTCACAAATACAGAATCTTGGCGTTGCACTTGCACGGAGGTTGGTAGAGTATGAACTAGTCTCAATTTACTGGGTAAGTACATTCTCCATCCGTAGTTGCCATGACCACAGCTTGCAGTCATAAGCGCCGTGGCATTCTTGTTGGCACTCGTCCCACCCTGTCGGCCAGTTCGCATTACATTGGGAAAAAATCACTGCTTCTCCGACGCCGTTGCTCCATTAGAAAAAAAAAAAAACTAAAACGATATGCTTGGCCCTCGTCAGAAAATTTTCGTCAATCTACCCTTTCAGAGCGCTCTAGTCTCCTCACGCACTAGCGTCTGTCAATTCTAAGCAGTAGATAGAAATTGACACGAACTTCCAAAACAACGAGCAATTGGAGATATATATTAGCTATGGTATAAGTAAACGCGCTGTTTGACACCGCGATGACAACCTGAAAAGCGCGAAAAACCCAATCATAATTCCAGTAGTACCAATCCCATTTCATGGGACCACACGGCTCCAAATTGGGACCGCGGTTTTGCGTCGAGCACGCGCCATTACCCTGATCGCAGGCTGGCTCGGAAAAGTCGTCGCCCGCAGACGCACACATTCCGGTAACCCAACGGAGGGCGTTCTCATTTCCCGGCTGGATCCGCCGCTGGTTGGTGACCGCGCTATATTGACGACAGATGCCGCGTTCCGTGGTCGTCTGTTGCCACATCCAGTACTTGCAGTCCGCGTTTTCTTGGCAAGCATTTTCGCACTTACACCAAGCATTTCCTCCTACGTTCCCACCGTCCATTTCCCAACTTTTGGTAGGGTCGGAGAGCAATTCCCCCGGGGTCTGCGTCCAATAGAAGTTATCAAATTTGATCGACCGGCATGTGCGAGTTGAAGTAGCAGTCGTCGTGCCCTCGTGATGAACTTCTACTACCGAGTACATACTGGCCGCGCGCTCCTCTCGTTCGTCATGTTGCGTTCTCGAGTCACGGTCTTTCTCCTTCTCCCCTTAGAGAACGGGCCAACATATCGTCCCAGGTCAAGTCTCCCCATACACTGACGTTTCTAATTTTCTTGAATGATGTTGTACCAGTACCAAGAAGTTAAACTATAGGTATAGCATACAGAAGAGATATACGTAATTTTCAAGCAAGCTTCTTCTAGCTAAATACATCATAAAGAAGACTCGTAAACAGAGACAACATAGAAAAAGCAGCTAAACCACAGAAATCATTATGAGTTGGGACTTGTAAATGAATTGAGGCGAAAAGAGAGCCTAATTCAGACAGAAGGACAACAAGGACGAGAACAATGGAAGAGCAAAAGGGTCGCTATACGTAATTAACTTTTGAGCAAGCTTTTACATAGATACATAGAAAACCTAGTCGGGAATCCCCACGTTGGATCGGATGTTCCTCCTCCTAATGTTCGTGCCGCATCATGCTCCTGCGGCTCGCGTTTCTTGGTTCGGTAGCCTGCTGAGCCATCTTGTCTGCAATCGCAGATTCCCCGTCGCTGTCGACAGCGAGCCGCGCGCTCTGTGCTCGGTGCTTTCGGGCGAGTGCTTCTTCAGCTCTCCTCTTCCGTCCCACCCACTCGTTGGTGGGTTGGTTGGTCGGTTGGTTGGTTGCCGATGACGATGTCGATGTGTCCTTTTCTTCATCGTAACTTCCTTCTGGCGCGTTCCCGGTCGAAGACGAGGTAGCCCTCGAACCGATTTGGCTACGGTTTACCCTGCGAATTTCTGCACTCCTGAAGGAAGCCGAGTTGTTGCCGGCATTCCCATCTCCTATTGCTGTTGTACGCGACGCTGTTGTAAACGAAGCACAACACCACCACAAGACGAGCGACATCACAAAACGACGGAGCCGCAAGTGGCCGAAAAAAAGCTCGCTTTTATCGCGGCGCGCTTGGTTCCGCAAGACGCTAGCCGCGGTCTTCAGGCTTGTTAGGCCAATCTTTTAAGAAGCAGGAGGACTATTGATGTTGATGTATACAACTACGTAGAATCATTGTTACAGAGAGCAGGAAGCATTATTGGCTGATATTGTTGTAGCCAAATGTTGAGTCACCATGTCCTCCTCCAATGTACTATGTATAGTATTAAGAAGCAGAAAGTACAGTCCATAGAACATGAGCAATGTAAATCTACACCTACTCATCAATAGAACGCCTGAAGTCATCCATCACAGCACTGGCAGAGGAGCATAGGGAGAAGCGAGGAATCAGAAAAAAACCGCAGCTCTCTCAAGGAAAAACCTAGAAGAAACACAGAGACGCGAGGTCGTCAGGGACGGCCAATCCAGTCTGTCATGTCTGTTGCATATTCAAACCCGAAGTCACCACGCGTCAATTATAGACAGAGACATTCAGGACCAAGTAGCCACGCGCTTTGCTTTCAATTCATTGTTTGACCACCCTCACTCTGTAGTTTGGACTTGGTTGTACACATCAAGCTTGATCACACTCACTACTCGTCGCTCATTAGAGTTGACATCCCTTTCACTCGAAGATGATCCAAGACATGCATGAGCGGACTGCGCAGTACTAATCGTCACTACGCTTGCGCGTCTTTTGAGTGCTTCATCGTCATGAGCCACGCTGCCACACGTCATTCCGAAAGCATTGTCACAACATTATATCCTCTTTTTGCCTTGCCCACCAGCCTTTAGCCCCGGTTGCGTTTTACCCGCGACGATGGCCGGCGAGAAGTGGGATACATGCTTGCGCTCCTTGCGTTCCGGTTCCCACCTAGCCAAAATTTGAACAAAAAAGAAAAATGCATGCTTGTTAAATCCGACGCTGTGCACGCGAACGTCCGTTTACGAACTCTCGCTGTGGAAAGCAGGCTCTGAAATAAATGGTTCGGCAAATACAAGATCGTTGACATTCATTCATTCATTCATTCATTCATTCATTCAGTGCTCGCGAAAATGTTTCTTTTCTTTTTTTTTTTCCATAGGACTACATGCTGCCTCCCATTCAACTACTTAAATAACCTCATTTAACAACTTACATACCGGGGGAGCAAGAAGACCGTGTCACAACGGCCAAACCCCTTTTCTTTTCCATAGAACTACATGCTGCCTCCAAAATGAACAATCAACTAAGAACTTCCTTATTACATACTTACATACCGGGGGAGAACGAGACCGTAAGCCAACGGCCAACCCCTAAGACTATCTGAGAGAACTATACGCCGATAGCCTCTGTAAGAACAACAACTAAGGCACAGCCTAACAATGTAGGGCCCTGAAAGCAAGTGCGACGACCTGCAAGGGTATTACATGCCTGCTCAGCGTGAAGTGGAGCTACTGACGAAGAGAACCTACATAAATTAGGGATCACTCACTTAACCACACTAGCAACAGTTAGATCAGGTAAATAACAGGCCTTGCTAAAAGCGAACAAACTCATGTTCGTTGGTAACCGTATTCAATTTGATTTAGCGGTATCACCGACCGCTTTGTATTTTTGTCTAAGTTGCTCAAGAGATTATTTTAATTATTTGCGACTTGTACAAATGTGGAGGTCAGCCTGGTGGAAATTATTTTTTTTTGCATTAGGTGCATATATATCGATATAAGTTTCCGCCTCCTGTTTGATTTGCCTATATTCATCGACCTTGTCTTCGACGTAGCCTCTTCCCGACATCGTTTCCAGTCTCCTTTACCTGCGGCTTTACCTCCTCAACTGAGACGCAGCCTGCACCTGAATGTACTCGCGCATATCTGCACAGGAGAGACGTGGACGGGACGCCATTTCTTTTATTCATCCTATATTTTTCTCCCTCCGAGCTCTGAGTATGCTAGCGCATCTGCCATCTGGAAGATCTTCAACTTCATGTGTCCGTTGATTTATCGGATCCATCTGAATCGCCCTCTTTGGTGTCATGCTTTTTTCATTTTGTTCCTCTGAGATCGCCGCCCTTTCCTCGTGAGGATACGACTGCACTGAGCATACCCCGTCTGCAATAAACTCATGAGAGCTCTTTCTCGGAGTGTAGAAAGTTGCGCTGCATACGTGGCTTTTGTTTTCGCTTTGGAAAAGCCCACATATTTTCATCTACATAATTTCACTTCTCGCGTTTCGTGCTGTAGCTTTTGTGTTATTGGGCTTAAGCTCTTCGTGGACAATAATCCGCTTAGATTGCGCTTCTTATGCTGAGCACGCCATCGCGTGGTAGTATTTGTTTTATACATTTTTTTGTTTCTCAAGTTCCATATTCCTAGCCTTGGAAAAAGGGACTACTCATACCTTGGAGAATAGGTGGTCGGACGGAGGTTATTTTAAAAGTAGTTAAGTAGTTTCACGTTTGTACTCAGGGGCATAGTGGACTTTGCTTGTAGTTACCGTTTCTTTATTCCAGAGAGAAAGTATAACGCACCGTCGGCGTTAGACCAAGAGAAGCGTGATTGACGCGAATTGCCAATCACACCCACTAAGTGACGCAGATACTTATAGTAATTTTTGGTGCCTGCGTCTACGATTTCCCGCACTACGAACATTCAACTACCCCGCGGGAAGCCTGAAGCACGACGGCCAGGCACTAGAGCTATGCAAACGGTTAAGCATGACAGCAACCGCTATGAGAGATCTACTGAGTTTATTTTTTTTGTTACCTGGGTGAGTCTACATTTCTCGCGGCTAAACCATTTAATTACCCGAACGAGAGGCCTGAAGCACGACGGCCAGGCGTTAAAAATACGCAAACGATTAAGCACGACGGCAACCGCTGTAGAAAAGCTAGAGCCTAAGCCCCCCGGGCAGATTAGTCGACGGCTCATAAGAACCCCGAGCCCCCAAAACTAAGCCCTTCTGGATCGAACACGGATAGAGCTAGAGCTTTGATCTGGCCATTAGCTACTTAGGATCTGACGCCACAAGTGGTGGACACACGGTGTGAAGAGCGGCGACACTAAGATCAAACGTAATTAGGGTGAGTCGGCCCGCGTAGAATCATTAAGGTTTCACCGAATATATGATCACATTGGTGACATCACTACTCTAATATCAGCCGACACTCCAAACTCGCAATGGCGCATCTCTATCTGTGCATGCCAGGAATGCCATATCCTGTTCCTGACTCTCGTTCTCCAAATAAGTACGAACTACATGCACGACGATGAACATCCACATAACAACAGTAAGCAGGCACAAGTGGTACGCAAAAATCCTCATCTACGATCTAGCCCCGGCTCCTCTTCATATCTATTCTTTTCATACCAAGGGAGAATCTATCTCATTCAAGGACGAGCGGTCTGACAGTATTGAAAACCGATGAAAAGGATTAAGTAGCCAGAACTTCATCTTTATCGTCGGGATGACCTCACCGATCTTTTGATCTCGACTGCACACTGCCTCGTCTGCATGTGCATCGTACCTTCACCTAGACCAGTAACACCAAAACCATGCAATGCATGCATCTTCAATGCTTTTTCATCCTCGAGTGTTTTTGCATGAAGGTTAACAAAAACAAATAAACGATATTAGAACAGTTTATAAGATTTCCCAACATGGCTGGGCTGGGCACGCTGGGCACACTGGGTCGCTGGGGGACCCAAATGTGCCAGATCTACCGAATTCTGCGCCCAGCGTGACACTGGGCGTCTCCAATTGCGGGGCGCCCCAAGGGCGCCCGCTTGAGAACCCCGCCAGCAGTGCTAGGCTAGCGTAGGCCAAGGCCAACGACGCTGGCGAGTTCACCGCTGTGCACAGGAGCACGGCAGCATTGCACGCATCGAGCAGCGCAGTGCAGCGCGACGTAGCGCAAGCATGAACAGAGCAGGCGCAGCCCGCTACTGCGCAAGCTGGCGCAGCACTGCGCCAGCGCTGCCCTGAGCCTTGAGGGCGGCGTGCCGCTTTTGTTTATGCTCACGGGACGCGCTGCACCGCGTCCCCGCGGCGCAAGTGAATCCTTCGGCCGCGCAGGCTCGGCATGCCCAATGTGTGGGCCTCAAGTCCGCTAAGCGCTATCCAAGCGCCCGCCCAGCGTGCCCCGCGTTGCCACCCAGCGCGCCCCGCGTTGCCGCCCAGCGAGGCCGCCCAGCCACCCAGCGTCTATAAACTACTCTACGATATGCACCAGAGAGACCAGGATTACATTAACGTACCGGCATCGAACACTTTTTGTCTCTAAAATAAAACCTCCGTTCAGAAACGAAATCCTCGGGAAAACCAAGACACAGCTTTCGCTTCACTTCTTGATTCCAAGTGAGCATGAAAATTTGGGGAAAAAAACAGGGAATGAAGATTCATGCGTTCCTAGTGTGCAAGGAGACCATCATCGGTGCTTCTACGTATCTTTTGACAAAGCTCCTTCCGCTTGTAACTTTGCAAAAACGCCCTTAACAGACTCCAATCTGCCTACTAACTCTGCGTCTTGACTAGGATTTTGACCCTTCAAGTGTCTTACGCTGCATTCCAGAGAAAGACCTACGAATTCTAACGCTGCCTGTATCTCCGAAATGTGAAGCTGTGACACACCATTAGAAGATGTTGTACTAGATGTACTTGTGCCAACAAGAGCAGTTGTCTTGTTCGCGGACGTAGCTGATATTATTGCAGCTTCCGGTTGTGAGTCCTTGGTTGTAGACAAAGTAGCGACTCCTATTGCTGAAGCATCTTGTCGAAATTTGGCTAGAGCACCTCTAAGCTGCTTAAGGAGGTCGCTGGCTTCTGTCACTGGAGAAGAGGTTGACTGTGCTGTGTCCTTTTTTGCAAGCGCAGCTTGCTTCGATTTCTTCTTACTTTTCATCGCCTTTACCATTTTGATGCTTACTGTTGTTTGGGCATGACAAATCAGAAACTGGTGAAACTACTTAACAAAAATGATTCGTCTGAGTTATGTCCTAAAGCAATAGTGAGTACACTTTCTACTTAGAATCTCGGCCTACTATGCGAGAGCGTTCATTCTACCCTCGTCCGTCCATGAACCAGAGCCTGCTCTTGTAGTAATCTTCTAAAAGCAATTTCTTGAATGCATGTCTTTTTAGTGCGGCCTAGAAGATCATCCGATTATTAGACCGATACGAGCTGCCCTGAGCAATTCGTTGTCATTATCGTGCCCTTTGCCTTGGATCTTTGGTCGTGAATAGCACGATCCACTGCGAACATCAAGATCATATCTATATTATTGATTCTCGGATCACCAAGTCGCATCTACCTCAGGGATGCAGATCCTTAAGCTTGAAAATGACCATGCAATTGCAAATCGTGAGTCTGACCTGAGCAATAAGATCCGTCTTGTAGTCGATGGATTTTTTCTATTTTTTCGGCGAGAACATTACAGCTCGCCCTGGAAGGCGAGGAACTGTACGTGAGTCGTATTTTTGGCTCGTCTGTATCTCCTCGCGGTTCTTTGAATTCTAGAGCATTATGTAATTTTTTATTTGCTTCGCTTGTCGTAGAACTTGATTTTATTTTTTATGCTCGCTTCAGAGCAATTGTGTGGTTAGAACTTAAAAGTAGATGTAGAATGAAAGTAGACACATAATTACGCAAAATTGATGATAAGCATAGCCTCTCTGTCTCGCCAAAAGCATAAATTAGACAACGAACTGCAATCGTTTGGACTAAAAAACATTGTGATATGATTCGTGATTCAACATTACGAGATGATGACGAATGAACCCCCACATGGGTACTCGTCAATATCGACGTTTGTATTGCATGAAGGGATAAGCATAAAATTTATCTCTAGATGTATTCAAAACATAAGAAAGTCCATCATTATTTTTCTCAACATTCCAAGATCTTTCCTTTTTTTTGGAGTTTCCCCAGATCGCTCTAACTTCGTACTACCGACCGCTCCCGCACCCGAAAGACTTTCGCTGCAACATCAAGTAGCTCCACCCGCATGCACCAAACTAGTAGTAGAAATTCATAATATTTACCCAACATGTCTCGTTGGATTGCGTTTCGGTTTGATAGTTTCCATCCCTGTGCTTTTTCGCCCGTCTACCCGAGGATGGCCACTCGTGTTTTGCGCCAACTCTGTAACGAAATCCGCAATCATATCCATTTTTAGAGGTTACTACAGCTTGAATTTATCATATCTGGAATAAAAGAGGATCAAAATAACAGCAAACAAGATCTACGTTTTTATGACATAATCGCTTGTGAATCTAAGTAAGTACCACGGACACGCAGAACGATACGCGAACGCGATTTAAAATACAGGTCATAAATTCAGCAATCCCACTTTATCCCGGTGGGTCCACTCGCGACGTCCGGTGGCTGGGTCGATTCGGCTAGGAGCTGGAGCAAAAAGATCGAATCTCTCTGTTCCATCCTTGTTGCTGGCATTCTATATTAGAGAATTTTCATTGACTTCTTCGCAGAAAAGCCTAACTTGAAACCCACAACAAAAAGTGGCTGAATAAAAGGAAGTACTGTTGTATCATGAGGATTCGAATCTATTCGGCAATGTATCATAAATTCAAATCGTATTCCAGTGGATTAGCCATCTCATCATCGTCCATTGGACGTGTCACCGCGAACTCGAGTGCGGATTGTAGAGTGTTCATGGCTAAGTTCGGTCCCTGATCGTTCACAAAGCACTTGTCCAAGGCCGCAGGCTTCAGAGTATTGACGAAATACGTCGGAAAGGAGAAGCAAGGCAAGTTCCGCTCCTCACATTCAAAATCATCGAAAATCAGCTCATGCGTTTTTACCATGAAAGAGTAGAGGGCCGAAGCGGGAGTGAAAAAGGAAAAGCTGGCTTAGGAAAAGAGATTTATAATATTTATATATAACAACAAGAGTCGTTTCGTCTAGCAACTCACGTGTCGTTTGATTCCAAACAAAGAAACAGAAATTTTCAAATAGCGCTCCTCCTGCTCGTTCTTCATAATATTCGAAACATGTAGTTTTCCTGGCTCTCCTTCAGACTCCATGCGATTTGCGAGATGCACAGCTTCGCCCCACACGTCGTAGCTGAACCGTACACGGCCAATCACGCCTGCGACAGCGGATCCAGAGTGAATTCCTAACCGCATTTGAATGGTGTGCTGCTCTCCCCGCGTATCTCCAATCTTTAGGTTTCCAGTCGCTAATTTCTTCAGAACTTCCAGCCCGAACTTGCACAGAGTCTTCGCATGTTCAGGATTTTGGTCTTCCAAACCAGCCGCAGCCATATAGCAATCCCCTATCGTCTTGATCTTCACGACGCCGTTGCGCTGATAGATGTGATGATAAACACGGAAATGAGGCTCGCGAAAGTCATGAAAAGATACGATCGACGGATTTGTCCTCTGCTGCGAGCAAACTTCCTAGGATTTGCATAAACTACACGATGTAGTTCGCGTCATAAGGACCTTCAGATCAGCGTGAAAGATATTGTATTAAGGTTTTGTACCGTAGCATAGGAATCCCAGATTCCAAACATGGTGTTGAGGCTTTTCACCAGCTCCTCCGGTGTTGTTCGGGAGCTCAGATCCGTGAATCGTACAATGTCTGCGAAAAAAATGCTGCAACTGTTGTAATAGTCAGCAAAAAGCGAAATGCTTTTTTGCGGCAGGGTCTGCGTGCCTTGCTGAGGAATTCCACGGATTCCACCTTGTTCCCCAGTCGTCGGGATGCCTCGAATACCTCCACCTTGTTGGAGAAGGGGTCGCATGCCATCCACCCTCTGCCCCAATCGGGCTGCGTCACCAGGAGTGGGAGTCTGATGAGCTGGGTCACGGACAATGGAATTTTTCATGATGTCGTGCAGGTGGTGTAGGTCACCGTCTTCGCTCCGCGCCCCCATAATGCGGGCGACGATGTGCCGAGGAAAGATGTTATCCAGCAGTTGTTCATTGCGCGCAATCTCTTGAAACACTCTTGTGGACTGGATGTAATCTCGTCGCTGCAATACCTCCAGCAGGTAGGCCAAAATCAGCATCAGTATCGCGACACATATCACAAAGGGAAAATCCGGGATGAGAAAGTGAATCCACATGCTGTTCCCGTAGCGCTTGCGCTGCTGGACGCACCGGCTGGTTGTGGGCAGATCGCAGTGTTCCTGCAAGACGCCATTGATGTAGTGCAAACTTGAAGCGGTTGACTCCTCTGCGTAATCAGCGCTGTATTTTTCCCGAGTAGTCAACTCGATGCCGTGGTTCGTGCAATGGCACATTTCCATCCATCCTCCGAGATCGCTCGCCGCATACGTTCCGAGCGCAGTCACGTAGGCCGCGTAGAGCAATCCGATGAACAACACTGTGGACCACATCAGCAGCACGAAGGGCAGCCGGAACGTCGTTGCGTTCAAAACCACAAAAGCCACTATCTGCGACTCCGTATTCAGAGGAAACAATTCCCCGAGGAAGTTTTGCCACTGGTCTCTATCGCGATCGTAGTTGGGTAAGCTCGTCGGCTGCACAAAGGCCACGAGGTAGATGAAACTCAACATCGAGATGATGGAGCACAGGAAAAGCACACCGTGAAAGTGCGAATGAACTTCGTTTGTGAACGTGATGATGCCCCAATGCAAGAAAAACAGAACTGGGGTTACTGACAAAATCGGTGTTGTAGCAACAAGAGGTCTGTGGTGGTCCGCACGCCCACGGCTCAGGCAGACAAGCACCAGCGGTATGAGGAAACTTGTGTAACGAACAAAGCGTTTACTTCGCCGTACGTGGTCAAGCAGGATTAGACTTCTACTGCTGGAAAAGAGCCCAAGAGTACTTACATCTCCGAAGTTCATCTACTGAGTACTGGGTACATCTCAGAATCACAGAAATCTACCATATTGAAATTGCAGCAAGATAAGCAACGCGCTTTACATGCCGAAACGCACCCCCACCTCCTGTGTCGAAAATATATGAAATTAAAAAGATTCTCAACGAACAACAATAAACCAGGAGTCCCTGCTCTCTTAACTTGAAGCCCGACTCCAAATCGTCATCTTCGTATGCGAGGGTTAGAAAATGTAGAGGAATACCGAATTTTTGCCAAAGCTCGTCTGCCTGTTGTTCCAATTCCTCAACCTTCTGTTGTTCCTCCTGTAAAATCTTGGCACGCCGTCCGTCCTCATCCACCAAGTACTCCCATAGTCTTCGTACTCGAGTTCCCACAACGTGTAAACACCGTTGCACAAAGGTTTTATTCAGCATTTGTAGGGGTTAGACGAGGTAGTTATTGTTCGTGACACAAAAGGAACAAGCAAGGACAACATGATCCAAAGCGATGGTATTAAGGTAGAGATCATGAAACTACCAATGTAAAAAGATACAAGGTGAATAAGCTTGTCGGCATAAAGTTGGTTTTTCGCCCCAAGCATCAGCATGTACATGTGAAAATCGAACTCCGCAGGGTGTGGATAGTAATTGTACGAAACATACGGCGGACTGTAGTGACTTGCAGCAGCCGCCAAAGTTGAAGAGCTAGCGCTAGCAGGGGTTTTTGTCATGTTGACACTATCTACTCTGATGAAGTTTCTCATCGTACCACGGGATGGTGTCGCTGACACGCCTGGCTTCTCCTCATTGTATGCAGAGGGCGCGGAGCCGATGGAGGCACTCTTGTTCACGTCTCTTCGGTTTGCGGAAGAGTCACTTTTCGCGCGCAGCATGGCCATCTCAATCTCATTTGTCTTAGGTTGTACTTGTTTCGCCGAAATGGCATTACGAGGATTTCTTGCATTAGCCTTATTAGTAGAGGGACCCGTGTTCTTCTTCTGCTTGTCGAGAAGAACGAAGGTTGGCAAAGGTTCACCAGCCACTTCCACAACAACCTTTTCGTCCGGAAATGTCGGCGCTTCGTCATCCCCAACTGAGCTGACACCATTGGATAGTAGCTCCTGTCCAGCATGATCATTTTTACCGGACGACCTGATATTTTCGCGCTTTTGGTCATGCACTCCTTCGTGGATCATCTGTTGATCTGAGGAATTTGAATTGTGGTAATCAGCAGAGCGTGGCTGCGCTCCCATGTTGCTGATATTGGTACTACTGTAAACGCACCTCCTCTGCTCGCTTTGGTGCTGCAGTCGGAGGTAGTATTCCCAGCATCGCCAATGAAAGTCTTCGCAGTAGTAGTGCCAATAGAGACGGTGGTCCGACCTTATCTGTGTTTCTTCGCGCTTTCGGACCTCCGCAGTCCGCGTATCCGCTGCAATGTCCTCAGCAGTGCGACCAAACAGAAGCCGCGAAAAACACTTCCGGATTTCGGCGAAGCAGCCCACGAGCAGAGAGCAACACATGAGCATTTTGAAGCAACGCTGTACGCTAGAGAGGCAAGCACGTAACCGACTGCTACACGACTTGCAAGCGCCTTTCCCTTCACGGCCGCTTGTCGTTAGAATCTTCACATGAGCGACGATCCCCTTTTTACTTAAGTATTTCTTGTCAATCTTGTGGCCCTATTCTCTTAAATCTGTAGATAACAAATTTCAGTTTGATTTATTATATGCCGCGGTAAAAAAAATGGAGTCAACATCATAACCAGAAGTATTAACAAGGGATGCATTTTTAATACCAACTAGCCGTAACATCGTTGATGTAGAAGACGCTGAGTCTCCTCGATTTCTAGAAGTGAATGGCCGCTCTTCACCGACAATTCTGCGCGAACGTCTTCTACGATCGCTAGATCGACTTTCTCGTCTTTCTTCCCTTTCTTGTCGGTTGAATCCGCGGCGCAACGCACTTCCGAAAGTATGGCAGAGAAGCGCGATGCGGAAGGTGCATTTCCTTAAAGCATGAAGGCATCTATCGCGAAACGGCGCTTCCGCTGCACTCGTCCTAGAACGAGTACTCGTCGGCGTAACAGTACTTGTGCGATGCAGCGAACCTTCTCGTTCTTCATCGTCCGATGCTGATGATGATTCTCCACGTGGGTCAAGATAAACATGATCTTCCACTCTTCTGGTAGAACTATGCTGCGAGGATGAAGCCTGGTGGACTCTCGATGCTCGGCTGTTACGTCCACGTCTTGTGCTACTCCTCCTCCGCTCAACATCATGGTGTGACCCTCTCCGACCAGACCCTCCTCTATGTTCTCCACGAACATGCGCGTCTTCATCTTCATGTAAGCGTCTGTCACAAGCGAAGCGGCGACGGGCAGATTTGAGACGGTCCCATGTATTCCGTGCGACACCCCATAACTTCTCTCCCATCGACTGTGTTTGGTTTCCATCTGCACTCCTATCCCTAGTGCTTGGTGAACGCGTCCTCCGTTGGAGTTCGTTAACTTCGCTATTGGTCCCGGATAACGTGTAGCTTCTGCTAGGGTTGTAATCTCCCTTGTAGCTACTTCGCTCCGCTTCTCTCCTCCTATCAGCAGAACGCTGAGTCCAATGTTGATGCTCCCTGCCGTTCCGATACGAGGAAGCATGCTCGTCGAAGTCCGTCGGGTTTTCGCCGTCGTAAAATTGAGAGTAGCGCCGCCTACGTCGACTCGTGCCATCACCCGGCCGAGTTGCGAAATGCGCCTCTCGCTGCTCTCGCGAGAGCTCCAAAAAGGAAAACAATGGACAGAAAAGGACATGCTCCCGCAAAAGTATGCGCAAGTTTCGAGACCCGCGTCGAACGTGGAAGAAGAGTTCCCTAAACTTTTCACGCATCCAAAGCACAGGACCATCAGCGCACGTGACAGGAGGTCTGCTTAAGGACGGCACATCATTGTTATGATCCACCATGTCGCCATCTCCTTCTCTATCCCGTCCGCCGCGTCGTCCCCGACGCACGCCAACTCTGACATCAGATGAGCTAGTTGAACCGGAGTAAGACGTGCGTAACGTCTGACAATCTGAACTTTGCCGTCTCACCTCCTCAAGCGGTAGTTGTGCTGACGGAGAACTACGGTCCTGATTGCTCAATGCTTCCCCATGACGGTAACCCCCACCTTTATCGTTGTAGTTGTTGTAGTAATCTTCATTCCCACGAGTAGACCTAGTAGGACCTCCATCTCTCGCTGATATTTCACCATCACGACCACTTCTACGATCAGTTTCACGCCCCGCAGGAGACTCGTCAATCGCGTTTTCAACATAACGATTGCTCGTGCGTGTGCTCGTTCTTATCCAACGACGAAACGACGCGTCCTCGATGTAGTCGCTTTCGTCATAGTCTCTGCAAGGCACATCCTCTTTGGGTGTGGTGGTGCCGCCACGTCTTCTGTTATTGTGGTCCCTCGGCCCTTCAATCGCGTGTCTTCCCCTATATGCCCTCTTTGCTCCTCTGGGATCCCTCTGCCTCGATGTACTAGTACTGTAGTATTTTCCACCCCCGGAAGTCATCACATCCTGGTGCGCCGCGTGCTGCTGCGACGCTCTTCGTGAGGTCCGCGAACGTCCTCCCAGAAGCCTTCTAGTATCATCTTCTGTGAGCTCGCCTCCTGTGCCACTTCTCCTTCCATAACCTACTTCCAGGACGTCAGGCGAGGTACTGCTAATAGGATTGAGCTCACGCGCGAGAGGATGTCGACACTTCTTCCTGGTGCTGGCAAAGTCCATGTCAGTCACTTCTTCCTCTTCAATGTACCTATCTTCTCTATGTTTCATCCTTTCGTCTTCACGATAAGCGATCCTCTCAGGAGATGGAAGTCCTTTCTTTGCCGACCCCGGAACTTCTTCCAGCGAACTCGAGTGTGAACGTTGATGCTCAGCGGCTGGCCGGCTAGAAGGAGGCTGCTGGTCCACCTCTTCTATCGAACCTGAGGAATTGTTCATCTGCTGGTCCGCCCTCCATCGTGGTCTTGTTTTGCGAGACAAGGGACCAGCTACTCCTGCTTCTACGTAATGATGTTGATCGCCCTTCGTGGCAGTAGTACTAGCAGGGTCGTGCCCCTTGTTGATGCCCAAGAACTCGGCCTCCTTTGGTGGGAGCACACTCTCTGGCTCCTCGGAATATGTTGGTAGGAAAAATGGTGTCTGTCTCGCGACCGTTGCGCCATGATCTACTGCTTCATCAGCATCGCTCTTACGATGAAGATGAAAACCTTTCTCTGATACCCGTTTCTGGCGCCGAGCCGGTGAGGAAGAGGATGAATTTCCCAAATAGGATCCGTGGCGTTCTTGGCCCCTGACAGTGTTAACATCTTTATCTTCTCTACTATTATTTCGGTGAAAGTAGAGAGGCTGGTGGCTGACAACTGCTGGAAAATTTTTTTCCTCGGTTCTATTATGAACTACCGTGCCTTTCTTCATTTCAACAGCATGCTTCATGTTCTCGTCTTCATGATACATCAATGCGTTAGCGTTTCTCTCCGGCAGTGGTTCTCGCAGGGGCGTTGACTGTTGTTGAACAGACAGCCTCGCATCAACGACATGACCCGCTGATACTCTGACGCTCGGCTCCCGCGAGCTAGGAGGCGCAGCTGGACTTGTGAAGATGACCGTCCCATAGCGACCCTGCACCATTTTCGGAGTGCGCTGCTCAGTTGTCATGTCACCACCCTTTTCCCCCACCAGCTCCTCCCCTTGGTGAACTTTTAGCTTACTGGTATCTCCTCCCACATGAAATTTGCACGGCTCTTCTCGCCCTTGTCGCTGATTATTTCCTTCATGATGAGCCGTCCCAACAGAGAAGTCTACACCAATCGTGTCATCCACTGCAAATGCGAGCGTACGATCAGCATGGCCCTGACCTACCGCTGAAACTGAATACATGATATCGTCTACGATTTCGCGATGTACTCCTGTCTTCGCGTGCTCTCCCCTGCTACCCACACTACGAAAAGAAGCCATACCCCCACCCTTCTGTGATACAGACGGAGTGCCAGACGGTGCTCCCTGCAAAACAGCGCTTCGTTCCCGCGACAGCGCTTCAATGCACTTCTTAGAAAGGCGGTTTTATGATCATGGTGGAAGCAGAGAATGAGAACTACAACACACGATTCATAGCCACAATAGGGTCTTCCAGCAAGAAAAGTGGACTGCCAGCGAAAATTCTGTCCACTCTGGTAAGTAAAAAGTGAACCTGAACAGATCATGACAGTTCATTTTGTATAAAGTCCCACCATAGTTGTACAGCCTGAGGGACGCGACGAGGAAGTTGCAGCCCGCTGAAGAAGAATGCCGACACTCGTTAGGCTCAAAATATGGTCAAATTCCGCATCTTCACTGGCTTGCTGTCGTACCAGAGGGAAAGATGGAGGGGTCTCGACTTCGCCTTCAAGTGGAGGCAGCAAAAACGGAAGCCCATGTTGATCGCTGAAATCTACTGGAGCAGAGTCGTGGATGCCTCTATTCTTACCAGAAGATTTGGAACGTTCGGACTTCGTAGCGTTTGCTTGCACTACTTGCTCAATATCTGTGCCTGTATTGACATCGACCACCTCAGGTTGCCCTTGTAGTTGCCCTTGTAGTTGCTCTCGATGTTGCAGTTGTCCTTGTAGTTTCTCCGATAATGTGCTGGGCTTGATATCGGAGCTTCTTCTCTCTCCTGGTCCTGCTGCTGCGCCTTGGCTTTCGTCATTACTGGGTACTGCAGTTCTTCGCTGTGTGGCGAAGGGCGTTGTTGGCGAAACGAGGCTAGGCTCCGACAACCTGCCTCGAAAGAGACTCAATCGCAGGGACGATGGAGTAGGGTCTTCGAACAAGAGTCCCTGAGCGCGTCCCGCAGGACTGCTAAGATCACTTCCAAACACTACGTTTGGCACAGCCTGCAAATCTGAAGCGTTACTAGAGAAGCTGCCATCGTCTGCTGGCACTAGTGGTTGAGGGTGATGAAATATCTTCATCGAATTTATTTGCGCTGGGTTACCAGAACCAGCAATAGCAGCATCAGCGATTTTTTCGACATTAGTGGAACCGCTATTGCCACTATCATCTGTGGTGTTGTTCGTGTTTCTTCGGTCGTCTGTCAGCTCTTCGATGTCGGTATCACCGATTTGATCTAATACGATTTGGCTCACTAGATCTCGACGTCGCTTGCGTGCGGACCTGTTCAAGGGTAATGAGGATAGCCTCGTACTGCGGCTTGTTCCCGGATGAAGCGTCGCGTTTTCAGCTGAAAAAAGATGCGCATCATGCGGTCCCCCCACTATCAGTTGGTCACCGCCTGTCGGGACCACATCTAAGGCACGAGGGCCCGACAAATCACTACTGGCACCAAGATCGTGAACCGCAGCTGCAGCGTCGACCGGAACTGCTTCCGTTGCTGAGGAACTTGAAGATGAGCTTGTACTCGTTGAACTTGTCCCATCAACTAAACGTGGTGGAGGAGCATAATCATATTCATTTCCTCCATGTCCTCTCCTGTCTTGCTCGATGAGATCAAGCTCTCCACCCGTGGAACTGGACAAGCTCTGTCGTGGGTGAGGCCTAGACGACCGGACGCTCCGACGGGCACCCAGCAGGTCTTGCTCTCCCTTTTGTGCGTCTCCTCCTATAGAGCCAACTTCCCCAAAAGCATTTTCGGTCTGTCTTCCTTCCGACGACGCTGGCGTTTCCGCGCCGTAACCTCCACCAAGTGGTAGCGCATTCACCTCCATCGGACCTCGACCTCCCGAAGTTCTCTGGTGCTCATTTTCCAGAACCTCGAGATGTTCTCGTCCAGCACGACCACTAGCTTCATGTTGCTGCTTTCCAACCCCAAGAGGATCTGAAGCAAGTGCAAGAGGGGCCCCGACAGCATCACCATAGGCCCCGCCTTCAGCGACATCATCTTCATGCAGTAGGTTAATATCGTGAGTCGTGGGAGCTCGTCCCGCCAGTTCATCATGATTCTCTTCGTGCCTGTGATTGTGAAATCGACCGCTGCGCGTGCTCTCGAGAAAGCCTGTAGCACTTCTCCCCTGTCCTGTGTCGACCTCATCCTCAGTGATGTGGGACAGAAGAGGCTGCGTTAGACGGTTGTCGAGCTCGCCGGCCGTACCTCTGCGAACGGACAGGCGAGCACCAGAGGAGCGGTCCGAGGACCGTTGCAACCGTCCGAGCATTGTCCGCGCACCTACATCCCGCAAGGCCATCGTAGACGTCGGGTCACGAGCTGCTCCTGTCACAGCGCTGGATGATACTCCATAAGAAGGAGAAAAAGCGCCCACAACCGTCGCTCGTGGAGTAGGATCCAGATCTCCAAGCACCGAACCGCGGTTGTTCTCCAATATTCTGCCTGCCTTCATCTCAGAATCGGTCTCCCGATTTCCTCCAACACTTGAACCTGTATTACCACGTAAGTTTAGCAAGCCCATAGCAGTATTGCCACTGCTGTGGTTGTTGTTGGAAACGAGATCCGCTAAATTCGTCGTCGAGGCAGTCGATCTCGAGCCTTGACCCGAGCCATGGCCTCCGTACACGCCGGGAATCGCGGCAAAGAACGAGGTTTGGTCCACGCTTTCCCGACGTGGAAAAAAGTTTGCTGTGCTTTCGCGATCGAGGAAACTGTCCTCTTGCCTCGTATTTCGCCGCGTCGCGTCCCCGAGATCTTGCCGAGTGAACCGTCGCGCTGTCTCCGATATCAGAAACGACTGATCTGCCTGGCTGCTAAGCATACTGAGATCTTGCGCCTCCGGCTCCTCGAACCTTTCAGAAGCATTCGCTCCATAGAGTGGCGATGAAGTCAGATTAGAACTGACGAGCAAGCAAGTAGACCATAGTCATGGGACAACAGAGATAGAGTGACAAAATCATGATGAAGGAAAATTTTACTACAAGGCGACGTAGCGGAATTCATCTTTTTATCATTTCCCTTTAAATTTACAACAAGACTCTTCAATCTTTTGCAGCCATACCCGAGGCAGCGATTGCAAAATCGAGACGCGCTCCATCTTCAAACGCTCTTTTCTTTGAAGACTTGGCGGACATTCTCATCGCTGAAGAGCCGGCTGCACTACCACCGCTACCAACTGATGTACCGGGGGCGGCCCTTCCTTGTTCCGCATCGCTGTCGTGTATTGGCACCCGCTCAAGATCGTCGCCAAGGGTGAAGTAGCTGCCACTAGCCACACCCGTAGGAAGATAGTTCCGAGCAGGCACGGTACCTCCAGGGGCCCCCATGCTCTTGTGGGGATCGTTATTTGTCTCTCCACAAAGATGTTGGTCTCCCTTTTGACCAACCAACGAAGTATCCCTGTCGAAGTGACATTCCAACTGGGCCTTGGAACTCTGTGCAATTGCTGTCGTTGTTGAGAAATGCGGAATGATTTGCTTGGAACGACCCGAATTTGGAAACCTCATGGGTAATTCTTTAGCGTTTTGAGCACCTCCCCTGTCGAGTAGCTCCATTTCGAACTCAACGGGGGGGCTGTCACTCTCAGCGCGAGGCGCCAGCGAAGCGCGAGAAGGGGAACCTCCAATACCGAGTCGGGCGCCTGCTCGAATTCGCCCTCGGGAAGTTATACTTGAAGAAGTCATCTCAATCCCTTCGACACCATCGGCGCATCTAATATTTCCACGGGGCAAGTGGTCGGAATTGTAGGGAGAATCGCTCGGCGGTGTCCGCGAACGGATACGAAAGTTCTCACCTGGCAAAAAGCGACGCCCCCTTATTTGTTGACAGTCAGCGTCATTCGTATTAATCATAGAAGGTGGATCTACTTGACCGATCACAGTATACCTGGCACGCCATTCAGGATCCACCCTGGGGTCCTCATTTCGATTATCGAAGGCGATCATTTCAATTTCACTTCTGCGTTCAACATGCTGTTCTTCTGCCTCGGCATTCTCGGCTGCGCCCTGCTCGTGCCGTCGCGCAACATCCCTGTTGCGCTCGCGATCAAGCCGAGACGATCTTTTCCGGTGTAAATGAAAGCGCTGCCGCGAATGCCCCACTTCATGTTCCGCAGAATGTGCTTTCTTATGGACAAGCCCCATCCTGTTTCTGCGTCTCTTTTTTCGCCTTTCTCGGTCCCTGTCTATGGCATCGTGCGATACCTGAGACGATGTAGTAGAGTGGCCTTTGTCCTCCGAAGAGCCGCCAACTAGAGACCCACCAGAGTATGACGAATACGACGAACAGGAAGACTCTTCTCTTATGGACGCTGATGAGAGTGATGAGCCTGACGTAAGCGATATCGTTGACGCGCACCGTTTCTTTCTGCGCCGAAGCAATTCATCCTCTCTACCTCTGGAGCTTTTTGCCTCCTGTCCAAGAAGTCGCTCTTTGTCCCGAGAATGTGGTCCACCGCGTCCTCGGTTTTGAGTACTACGGTGACTATGTCGATGATGCGAATCTACGTAGTAAGTTTTGTCGATCTCGTCTTGATGATCGTCCTCGTCTCTTCTCTTTCTCCTCCGCCGCAGGCCAGCGCGCTGTCGCCCGTCATCAAGTGTGTCGTGGTGAAAGTCATGGTTTCCACTGACTTTTTGTTTTTGATAGGCTTCTTCCTGCTGGTAGTATCGCTTTCTTCGTCTTCGCCTTTCCTTTTTTCGATTTCTCTTCCTCCTTCGCCGTCTTTCCTCTTCCGAGGAAGACGAGGACGACCGCCGACGTCGCCGTCGATTCTTGCAGTACTCTGCTGTTTCGCTCAAACCCATAGGCGGGGGAACAGGCCCCAGCAGCCCGCTTTGCTGCCACACGACCTGCATCGCGTCAAAATTCTGCTGGAAATCCTCTGGCTGCATTCCGCGAGGCGGGATCGGGCCCCGCTCGTTTTCAGGAGGTAGAAGCTTTCCGAGTTGCCACGGCATGTGCGTGCTGCTGCGTCCACTTTCCATTTGCTCAGTGTGATGCTCCGCGCCCAAGAACATGCTGCTGGACGTTGTACCAGACTGATCCTCCAATATCCAGTCCAAGGCTCTATTTGCAGGCGCCTGCGCTTGTTCACGACCACCACAAGCGCAGTTGTAGCTCGACGAAGACGAGCCTCCCTCTGTAACAGTAGTACTATTTGCTAGATTAGACGTCGAACCGCCATGATCAGCGACGACCCTCCTTTTGAAGCCGCCCTCTAGTCGGGGCTTGCTTGACAACATCGGTCCCACTCCGGTGTTCATCCTCTTCAAGTCGTCGAAACTACTGCCCTCCCTCAACCCACCCGATAGGATCCCACCAGCCGTCAACAACGTTCGGACCTTCGCACCGCTAGTGGCACTACAATAAGGGTGTCCTGGTGGCCAGTCGAACAACTCTTCTGGAAAGGCAGGTAGACTAGTTTTCTCCAGAAGCGGTGCCAGCCAGTCACCTCCACGCACTTCTCGCCTCCTCGTGGACGAACCAGCATTACAAGCGTTATTATCCACTCCAGGCGATTCGCTTTCCCGCTGGTCGGCAGTGGTTTTGTCGCTACCTGAGTTATAATTTCCACTGCCGCCAGCTCCTCGAGTGCCGGCTTCTTCGAGAACTTCACCATCAGCGGAAGTACTAGGCATAGAATCAACTCGTCCTGATGCGTCGATCCCTTCACCTCCATGCTGCCGTCTTCTAAAGGGAGTTGCTCCTTTATTTCCATCTTGAAGAAGAACGTGATGTGCTAGAAAAGCTGCCCGCTTTTGCTTGATTGCAGCCCGAGAATCCCGGTAGACCGTTCGTTGCTCTTCCGTCATTTCCTGCAGCCATCTCGCGAATTCATGGAAGCCCGAAAGGTCTGGTGGAAGTAGCGAGTTTTTAGATCGAATAGAAAACCACAGCGTCTCCTCCTGTTCGGCACTAGTGTTATGATGATTGTTCGGAATCACGTCGTCCTCATGATCATCTTCTCGGATTTCTATAGGCGGCCCCTTCACCATGGTCTTGTGCTCCTCGGTGCCACCTTGCCTACGATGCTCCTGCAAAAAATGCTCCCCCATGCTTAATACGCTGTCGACTTGATGTCCCTTTTCGTCCAAGCCAGTCGTGTTGAGTTCACCAGGATCGTACGGAGGGATGAGAAGCCCACCTGGGGTCACAATCTGGTCCTCTCGGGGATCAAACCAGTATCGTCCCAGTTGCAACAGCTGATCTTCGTGACTTCTAATGTCACGACCACCCACACTACACAGGGACGGACCCGTTGCATCGGTTCTCGAAACGTCTTCGCCTACTGCGCCATCTTGTGCTCCACCTCGACCAGCGCCAAGCATGTTCATTGTCCTCCCAGCGGACGACGTGGCTTCCCGCGCTCTGTTGTTGCTGTCCTCGTCCACCTGGCCTCGCGCACGCAACTGCTCTGAAAATTGCTGCTCTTGCGATGTATAGGCAGCACGCACCAGCTGCCCGACCATATCGTAACAAGGCTTCGCTTCATCTGCCTCACGGCTGGCTGACGCAGCACCAAAACTCTTACCTCCACCTCCACCATATATTCCGCTTGGATTCATCGCATCTTCCGCCGGATCATCTTTTCGGCTGGTACTTAGTATATACTAGAAACTCTCAGCTTTCGTTATTTCATCAGACGTTTAATCCCATCACATACTTTGAAGCAGAGGAAAAGTATGCTACGAGAAAGAGAAAAAAGTTTGCACAGGAGTGAGACATTAAATCAAAGTATCAGTACTCCCCGAAAGAACTGACTTTTTCCACACTTTCCTGCCTTAATTTGAAAAGCAAGGCGAGTCCGCAACAGTTGCAGAACACGAAGGAGAGGAAAGAGCCCAAAAGCCGCACTGGCCAAGACCGAGTGATGCAGCAGTCGCAGTCGACACGAAATGATGGCACATCTTTAGGAGGTGGCGCCACTCCGTGCGCTCTCGCAGAAGAGGATCCTGCAAAACCGTCAATCAGCACATTCAGAGATCGCTGCCACACCCCGCCACGGCCGTGGAACCGCGACCCTTTTTGTTCCCGCTTTTTCGCCTTGCCATTGTTTGTCGTTGTTGATGCACTAGCGGAACTTGCTCGACCACCTTGTTCGGTAGTTGTCTCCGGCGAAGCGGAGTCGACACGAGGACCCGATCGATGGAGATGTTTTTGCGGATTTTTCTTCTGGTCAACAGTGTCAGACCCTGAGGATGATCCCTGATGTTGCTCTTTGGATGTAGGACCTCTGCTCACACCGATCTCGGGACCTTGTTGCTGTCGTATGCCAGTATCTTCTGCCGAACCTGAGGAACAAGTCCTGAAATTTTCGTTCGAGCCTGCTCTTCTGAGTGAGTAAGACTCACGAGCCTGCTTAGAGGAAGATGACTTTACACTACCTCCACCTCTACTACCACTTGTGCCGGTGGTCGTCCCGCTTTTATAGTCAGCTCTCGCGCCTCCGAGCTCACCAGTGGCATGACCCTGCTGACACTGCATCTTGATCTTAGAACCCAGCAAGAGCAATGATCTTCAATGTCCGGTAACAGGAAGAACCTGATTATGGATCTGCATCTCCCTAGGAGTCCAACCTTCCTCGAGACATCTGTCTCCTAGTTAGGCCGTTTTTTCAATCATGCCATTTTCCGGTCAGGGTGTGCCTTCCCACTCAACAGGGCTCGCGGAACGCCAGGTTTCGAATCTCTGCATATTTAGCATGCTGCAATACCGGAGCCTCGCCATCTGTGCGTTAGCGCGAGAACGAGCGAGGCGGGCAAACACAACTCGAACCGGGCCTTCCTCAGTCATCCATCCTTCGACGCTCCTCCGCGTTCCCATATGCTACCGACCCGATATGAGGCAATCTAAGCCGACCAACTAAACTTCCTCATAATATTCAAAGTGATTGCTGAAATTGTCGTGAAGAGCTAGCAGAGGAACACAGGCTTCAGCACGACATGATTGCGAAAGGTCGCTAACGGGGTGCCTCAGCCCTTCTGCTCTTCATCTCCAGCCTCTGTAGTCTTGAAGCGTGGATCGTGGCTGGTAGACATGTCTAGAAGACCGACCGCGATTCGTGAGGAAGATGATCCCTGCTAGTTTCTTCCATGAAGGATCCTTGATTATCATGTGGGCGCAATCGACAAGTTTCAAATCATAGATTTTGCCACTAACACCTAGGTAGAGGCACATCACACGACGCATCGAAGGCCCACCACGATAGTTCGTTGCTATAGAAGCAAAACCTTTCTCCTCTTGGGGTGCGAAGCACATCATTACAATGTTACCATTATTATTCAGGTGGAGTCCCAGCCCATCCGAGCACTTTGGCTCCATGAAGGCTATCCTGAGAAAGTTGAAAGTTCAATACCAAACCAGTGAGCCGAGACCCCCTATGGATCGATTCATTGTGCAACTAAGCGCTCAATCATTCATGTGAAAAGTAAGAACAGTCGGCGGAATACCAGGATTGTGATGATGTTGAAAACGTAGTAGAAATAGGAAACGCTTAGAAGACTTGGCGAAGTCCTCTGGTGAATGGGCACTATACAGAATTGCTCCCCTCGAGAACCACTGTATCCGCGGCTTAGCCGAGTTCTCCTCTGATGAAGGCTACGCTTGCTGAGCGCCCTCCTGAGCAGAAGCACGCGCTACATCCACTTCAACGGCATCACGTACTCTGGGGACTCGCTATACCCAAAAAATTCCAAGTCGAAGGCATAGTGTTCCCTCACGAGCGCCACGTTCTTAGGTGTCCACAGAGCCTCCCAAGTTGTCTCACAGTTCGCATACTTGAGCGTTCGCGGATTGAAATCGCAGATTTTGCGTTCAGTATTCGAAGCAGGAAGAACTTTCGGAAACTTCCTAGGCGGCGGCTCGCAGTAGTTATACTCTTCACAGAGCAGCACGTACAGCTCAGCCAAGTCGTCACTTATAGTTTCTAAATGAAGAACGAAAAAATCATCCAAATCGCGGATGGGACCTGTGATGTGGTTTGGGATATCAAATGCGTCAGCCGTCGCAGCAAATTGTTATTGTTACGCAGAGAAGTCCCGTTGATTTGACACATTCCTGTTGACAGAAAAAACTACGAACTACGACTACAGTTTACAACTATCTAACAAACACTTTCTATTCATTTTTACCATTGACGTCTAGGAAGGTCTCGTCGTTGATCATATCTTCAAATGGCCGCATGTGGAAGATATCTGAGACGTCGACTTCCGACTCCACGTGATAACAGAATCCTTCACCTAGTTTTACGTCTGGCATCACCGCATGTCCTAATCGAGAAGCCAAGTCGAGATCCTCTTTGGTGCTACTATTCGTACAGATCTGCGGAGAGCTTTTGTCAGAGGTGTTAGAGTGAGTCAGATACACCCTCACAATTCACGACGAGCTGCGAGGAACAGGTATAGTACAAGAGATATAGTACAGGAACGCCGAGGCAAAGTTCTATAAATATGTATATTCCTCACTTATCAAGAAAGCCAATCGGTTGCGCCGTAACAAAATATTCAGTGAGATCTCGGGTGAATCCTACTCCGTTCCGTCTTCTCCACGTCGCACGCAGATCGAGCATTTTCCTTAACCACTCCGAAAAATCAGTCCAATCTTGGTAAGGACCAAGACGTTTCTTGTTCCTCACTGGTCTTGCCGAGGAAGTGTCGTCTACAGATGCTCCATCTTCAATCTTTTGCTCGTCCGAGCTACCCACCTCTCGAGCCTCTTCCTCCTTTGCTTTGCGAATAGCCTCGCTTGGATGCATACCTGTCGGCAACCATGCAAACTGATACATCGAGGCCATCCGCACGAAAGGGTTTCTCGCCAAGACCACTTTTTTACGCCACTTCTGCTTCAAACAACAGTTCGGACACAAATGTGCAGGAGGCAAGAACCGCATCCAGGTCCAGTGCTGTTGCAGATCTTAGAAAACATTCCTCTGTTGATCAATGGATATGTGGCAGAACTAAGATAGAGAAGATTCTAATTTACGAGTTTGAGTTTCATTGCAGTCATTTCTTGACTGCCGTACTACGCACCAAACGATGAGTACAAAAATACGCTCATAAGTATGCGCGTCAGGTGGAAACCGGTGCATCAGCCTTTGCGACAGATCTTGCACCACGTCGTTCTTGTCGATGTGACCCCAGCTGTAAGTTTTGGTAGTTGTAGTATGAGTGAGGTTCTACAAAGAAGTGCATCGTTAACCTTGATAATGTGATAATGCGGTATATCGAAAAAAACCTACAGGGAATGACGAAACTACGCCAAAACCAAGTACAAGTCTAACTCCGAAGCGAGCCAGTCGATCATCACCTTCGGTCGTATCAGCATTGACTCCATTGCCTTACCCAACGAACTTCGCGTATAAGGCTCGACATCGAGAATATAGTTCACCGCACTACTGGTGCCACCCTTTTTAGAAAACAAGAGGTCATGAAGAAGTCCTTTTACTCTGGTTTAGCACCCAGTATCAACTCTTTAATCGATCTACTAGTCGTACAGATGAGTCAACTTGTAACTCATCACTGTAATCGAGAAGTCCGAACCCCTATATGGCTATCGCCTTTTTCATAATTTTCGGTAGGACAAAGAGGGCAATCGGGGCTCCAAGAGGACAGTGAAAGAGTTGCGTGAGCATCCCGCTCGACGTGTCTGGTTTCCATATTTGACAGTTGGAATTGAGAAGTATCTTTCGACGATCGCGTTTATCTGGCTCGTCATATCGGTGTGCCTGCATGATGCACATACCGCCTCCGGCGCCGTATGTGTCGCAACTATGCTCTAGGAAACCCTTCACAATAGACGCGATCTTGCTTCCCAGAAGTTTACTGCTGTCTGAACTAGTACCCGAAGAATCTTCTTCCCTACCCCCTGTATCAGCTATAGATTTTGAAGCTCCTCCCCTGTGTGGTCCTGGATTCCTCAGGGTGTCCATCATCAAGTCCAAAGTTTCCGGCAGAAAATGACAGTGCTCCTAATTCATCTCTGAGGGGCTTTGCACAGCTCTTACTAGGAACCTGGCCCATGATGTAGTCGTGTACACTACAGCGAGTGGAGGTAAGATTCTCATGCTGTCTAAGTATCAGATGAATCAGATATGAATTTCCCCTTTACTTGTAGCCATAAAGAAAATAGCTGATACAGAAATGTCCGTCATCCAGGACTTTTCGAACGTCCACTAGTAATTGGACACGAACCGCTTCCTCTGTGGTCACTAGTGACCCCTCTTTGCTCAGAACATCTTGCAACTGCCCACCTCCTATATTTAGAAGAGCTGCCTCTTCTATATTCATTGTTGCATGGGATAAGCCTAAGAGTGTGGAGGTGAAAACTAACCGGTTGCTTTACTTAGTGCTTTGAGCGTCGCAGGACCTAAACCTTCACCTAAGAGGTGAAAGCCAATCAAGATTTGCAGCACACCTCTACGAGAAAATAAGGGGGAAACAAGAACATCCTTGAGCCAAATTTTTCTTCTATATTTATTGTATATTTCACTACTCGAAGATGTTGTAGATGCTTCTCTTTGTTGAGCGACTCCTAGTTGTATACTAATAAAGATGTGGAAGTTGACGCTGATAATTTTTCATCTCTGTGGTGGAAAAGCTGAATCACTTATTTTGGGCCTGTGTCTGACATTCACCAGCATGCATGCTCTAGGGCTCAGGGCTGAAGGCCTCCCCGATCTAGGGAGGCCCCCAGCCCCGGGCCCGATTCCCCGATAGACAGCCGGGCGGGAAGGCCGCCAAACGCCCACCTTCACGCCCTCGCGGCTTCTTGCCGGTACCCTACCAAACCCATGCCCTTGAGCAGGCCACTCAAGTACCGACGGCCGGGGGTGGAAGGCTTCCGAAGGCAGCAAAGGGGGCCAGGCTTGACCCCCTTGCCGTGTTGCATGTCCCCGAAAGACCTCCCCCGGGTGTGCGGGCTCCTCACTGGGGGAGCCTCCCGGGGGGTGGGAGGCCTCCGAGGGCAGCAGGTGGCAAGCCTTGACCCCGTTCGCCGTGCTGCATGCGTCAGACAGAACCCAGGCGGGCACGCTTTGCCCCCACTCCTCCTCGCTTTTGGTCGCCAACCCCCCGGGCGTTTGGTGGCGGCTGACGCTGAATGAGGGCAACCCCGCTAAGGCGGCCAGGCCTCGCGGCCGTGGCTGCCTTCGGCGGCCTTCTACCCCTGGAGGCCGTCCCCCTGATAGGGTCCGAGAGTCGGGACGCCTTTGGGATACACGCGGAGAGCCGAAAGGGGGCTCCGGCTCTGCTTTTTGAGGCCTTCGCCCCCGAGAATCCTCACACCACCGCGGAAAAAAGGGCGCGCCGACGCCACCACATCTCCATCCACAGGGGTGAGGGGAGGGAGGGCCTCCCTCCCTGGTACATATATTTATAAAAATGCATATTTACCAGACTCTATCAAGCCTTAACCCTGCAGATAGCTGCTGCTGCACTCTTTGAGACACGTCTTTCATCCACTCGGCGACATCAGAGAGGTTCATATATTGCAGCAGCAAAGGCTCTAGTTCGGCATTCACCCTCTCCAGGGCTTCCGGTTGGCAGAGATTGAACCAGTGCAATTTTCCTTGCCGATTCGGGACTCGATAAAGAGGCATAGTGCTCTGCATGATGCGGTGGACTTGGTCCAGTATCTGTGGTGGGTCCGTGTCATTCCAGGCCAGGGGGAATACCGTGCCTCCCTTCTTCTTGTAAGCGGACAGGGACACCGCATCTTCGTAGCTTGCAGCTCCAAGAACAACCTCAAGAAAGAGTAAATGGGCCACGGTCCGAAACAACAGGGAAAAGATGCGGCTCAGAATAACGCAAAAACCACCGTGCAACAAATCCGGACTCCTGCCAGGACGCAAGCAAAGTCGCGTCATTTTATTCCTCGTCCTTCCACCGCCGAGAAAGCCTGTGCTACCTAGTCAACATATTCTCAGTGGGAGGAGGACGGGTAGAGACACGGCACACTTCAGCGCTCTTGTGCCACCAAATACAGCACTGTACTGTGCTCTTCACTTTCCTACGGATCCGAACACGGCTTTGCCATTGAATCCATTCGAGATAATCTGAAAAGAAACCGATATCAGCTGCAGAAAACGCGCTGCCTCCTCCCTCTTCTCGTGTTGATCTCTTGATACTTTTGTTTGCGCTCTTGACAGATTAGCCATGACATAGATACTCTTATCATGATCGAGGAGTTGGACGTAGGCGTGCTACAATTTCGTGCTCAAGACCACAGCGAACACAGCAGGCCGAACGACAACAGCTCCTAACAAGTTCTTGGCACATTTGATGTTCATTGAAGCCAAACAGATTTCTTCCATTAATTTCCAAACTTGAACGTTGTTACGGCAAATTTTCCGACTACATCCATATTCATCTGGCAGATTTATCTTGTGAAATCAACTGAATGAGTGAAACAGAGTACACGTAGAAGCACTGCTTGCAGTATGAAAAATAGTTGGAAACTCAGGGATCCTTGCTTATGAGGTGCTTGACTACAGATTTTTAGAGTCGTATGCAGTTTTTCTTCAAATAGTACTCATAACCAGTATATTCTTCGAAAGGCAGGTTTCGCTGCGTCACGAAGAAGGCGGGGGTCTTCTGGACAAAAGCACCACCACCAGGAGGTAATTTCTTACCTGTAACTTCTCAGGAGTGAATCTGCTTGGCAACTGTAAAAAATTTACGTACTTAGTTAACAACTTATCTGCGATAACCACCGCCGCCTCCCCATTGACGGTTGTTATTGCCGTAGCCGCCACCACCTCCCTTGTTGTTGTAGCCGCCGCCACCGCCGTACTTGCCGCCACCACCTTTATTGGAGTAGCTGTTGTTCCAGCCGCCTCCTCCTCCTTTGTTTGAGTTACCATACTGGCCGCCGCCTCCTCCATGATATGAGCTATTGCCCCCTCCGCGGTTGTTGTGGTAGCCACCAGAAGATGATGATGATGAAGACGCACCACCTCCCCAGCCGCCATCGTTATGTCTTTGCCGCTTATTATAGCCGCCATCGTCTTCCTCCTCTTCGTAACCCCCACCTCCGCGTGATCTTTTATTCGCTTGATTTTGGGCTTGGATCCATGCGTTGCTACCCACTTCGGGTTCGCCGACGTCGTTGCCACCACATGCTCCGTAGTTTTCGAATGCGTCGCGGCGCTTGCCCTTGCCCTTGAGGGACTTTCCTCCGCCATTCGGCGCCCCCATCGTGTGTTTTGTCTCCTCGAAGAACGCCGCGATCAATTGAAAAAACTTCTGCAGAAATTGCGTCTCCGGTTGACTCGGAGGTCGATGTGGGTTCTCGCAGAAGCGCGCAAAGACGTATTTCAGAGCCCGTCGGACCTGACACAGCATGGCCGCTTGCCCGCGATCGTTCTCCAATGTGAATTTCATCCAGCCATCGTGCAGAACCAGCTTGTTATCCTCCATACGCTCTTCGCCAGCCATCAGGCAGAGCACTAAGGGATGCACGAGCGACATCTGTTTCAAAGAGTAGCTGCTCTCCACCTGCAAGAGCTCCTCGAAAATGCACCACTCATCCTGCGAAATCACGTCTCCGAGACCCCGGCTCGTCCCATAGCAGGTGCTCAAATGTGCGCTGGCACTCACTTTGCCGCCTTTGACTTCCATCTCACGGGTATTCTTACCACACCGCTTCACGGCGACGTTAGGATACAACCCGGCGGTGAGGACGGCGAGAATCAATGCGTCCTGTCCACAATTCCGGCTCGCGTAACCGTCGGTGTCGCCAAGACCTGTTAGGGAGTGAAGCTCATGTGAAATACCAACTCCGTTCGCCTGCAAGGAGCCATATAGGATATCCTTCTACTAAACCCTATGTCACACAGTCATATGAACAATCATGCTACTTTCTATAAAGCTGAATTAGTACCTTGTTCTGGTAGATCTGCGCGCAGCTTGACGCCTTGATCGGCCATTTGGCGAACTGTCTTTGCGTTCAACCCGTGGTCTCGCATGAAGAGCATGTCGGTTCCGTTTTTTGAGTGTTGCAACGCGCGAAGCAGAGCGATGTGATCACTGACGTAGGGCGCAGCAATTCTCGTCTTGTGGCTTCCCGAGTCCGCACTTGCGTCCACGAGAGCTGACACTTCTTTGGTCACTTCTCCCGTGACCGGGTCGCGCTCTTCTCTCGGCTGCTGTTGTCGTTTGCCTAATGTCAAGAACGGGTCGCGGCAAAACGCTGTGCTGCCGACAACTTGCAGAACGTCGTCCAAAACGCCGAAGAGGGCTGACCACATCACGGTCTTTGCCAAGGTCGGAGGCAACGAACTATTGCATAAGGCTTTGCCTAGTGGTGTCAGATTTTCGACAGTATCCAGTGCCCCAATATTCTTCAAGAGCTCCACTGCGTTAGTTATACCAAGCATTTCCGGAGGAGTCGGCGCTTTCTGCAAGAAGGTCTTAATCGAGGTCGAACCTTGCTCGGTTTCGAGCAACAGCATTTTTGCAGCAAGACAGGTCTCCTCAAGGGGAGTCCGAAGAAGCTCAGGCTCAGTGAATTCGTCCATACCTAGAAGAAGATTGATTTGAATGAATATGAATCGTCGCGGCAGAGATTAAAAAACATTGACATTCTTACTTGTTTCACCACGATTGAAATACGAAGACCCAAACCAAATTCAAATTCAAATGAGTCGTTCTCCCTGAGTTAGAGTTAGTACCCTCTTCCGCACGTTTTTTTGAGAAGAGGTGAAAGCAGAGACCGCCTTGTGTTCGTCCGGCTCGTCCCGCTCTCTGAGAGACAGAGGCTTTCGAGACCCAACTTGTCGTCAAAGTAGCTACCTTCAAGTACGGGTCGTAACTTGTTTCCTTTGCTCGGCCGCAGTCGATGACGAACTCGACGTCCGGAACCGTGATGGATGCTTCTGCAATGTTTGTGGTGAGCACGATCTTGCGCACACCTGGGTCACGGATGGGCTTGAAAGCTTCTTGTTGTTGCTCCATGCTAACACTGCCGTGGAGTTGGAAAATCTTGAATTTCTCTTTGTCCAAGTCCGCTTCCAAAATGCGCTGGCACTTGTCGATGTCGTTCCATCCGGTGAGAAACACCAAGACCGCGCCAAGCGGTTTGTTCTTGATCTGCGCACGTGCTGCTTCGTCGTCCTTCTTCTCCTCTAGCTGCGCTTTGAGCACGTCCTTGTAGTTCTTGTCGATCCACAGAATGAGCGCTTCAATGATCGGGAAGTCGAAATCCAGTCCGCTTTGTTGTAAGACGTCCATTTTCGCCAAACCGTCTTGGAGTTTGGCCTTCGAGAACTTGTCTTGTTTCAGCAACGGACGGATGTGGTCCGCGAGACCCCAGTAGCCGTCGCCCCCACGTCCTTCACGCTGAAACACGGTGCGCTTCCACTCTTTCTCGTCCACCATATCGATGCCAGCCGACAAAATCCCTGGTCCGAGCCACTTGCGGAATCCGGGAACTTTCCACAAGGTCGTCACGATCTGATCCAAGTACAACTCCTGCACAGGAAAGGTACGACCCGGGATGTGGACCTTGTTCGCGAGGCCCGCGAAGTAGTTCTCGAAGGTTTCGAGTTGCAGCGTGGCGCTCATAAGCACGAGGCGCAAATCGGGTCGGCGCTGGACCAGGTCACGGATGAAAATCAGAGCGAAGTCAGCCAGTTTATCGCGCTCGTGGACCTCATCGAACACGATGTGAGTGACTCCAGTCAGTTCCGGGTCCGTGAAGAGGCGTTTGCGCAGCATGCTGGTAGTACAAAAGGTCAATCGAGTCTGCTGTCTCGTTTTCCGCTCCAAAGGCACGTGAAAGCCAACCATATTCCTCTCCATGTTTCCGCCACCACGCTCGTCCTGCACGCGCTTGGCCAAGGAGATGGCCGCGATGCGCCGAGGCTGTGCCACCAAGATGTTGCAGTGAGGATTGCCATCTAGTAGAAACTGTGGCACCTGTGTACTCTTACCGCAACCCGTTTCACCGGAAATCAGCGTCACCTGGTTCAAATGCACGCTCTCCAGGACATCTTGCCGAAGTTCCCAAGCCGGCAGCGACTTTCGCGTTTCTCCCAAATCGTGGTTTTCGCACGCTTGCTCCACAGAATCCATATCCATAGGAATGTGCGGGTATTCGCCACCATCTTCAGGTGCAGCCACTCCAGAGGCAAACTTAGAACACGAACAGTATACCAATTCTTAACGCAGCTCAATCTAGTTAGCTGTATAGTCTTCATCTCTCTGTACTTTTGTGTGTGTCTTCATGTCAATCTATCAATTTCTATAATTGATGTTGGTTCTAATTTGCCTCTTTTACATTATCAAACTGTTGTAACTACGCACATGGGTAACATCATCTCGCAGCTTCACACCTCTAGTTCTTACGATAAACTCAAGCTTAAAAATAGCTCAAAATCATGTTGTCATAATCTTATTCCGGTGTACGGTCGATTGCACATTGGCCTGCGCCACTGGGCGGTCCAGGGGTGCTGCTAGCCTCGCACATTCCTCAAGACAGCTTTCTTGTGGCCCTTTTAGTCGTAATTCCGCTCCATTTTTCCCGCCGCCGCGTTTCCCGCGTCCCTTAGCGGTCTGCAACCCGCCCGTCGGGTCGGAAACGAAGACGCGAATATGTCGTTCGGGACCCTCACCCTGTGACAACGTGAACAAACCGAAACCCTCTGCGATGCGGTGAACATATTTGCGGTCAGCTGATGAGAGAGAAGCAGGAAAAGCAATGAAGGCTTCAGGTTCGCTCTCCGTCTTGGCCTGTAGCTCGGAGAGCTGACGGCTCACGTCTTTACGAAATGACTCTGTAGTCATTTCTTCGAACAATCTTTTTTCCAATTATAATGAGTTCCAGGTATTAGCTCAAGCTCAGGTCGCACATGAGTCAATTTTCATGAACACTAACTATTAAGTTTTTCTTCACTCTACCAATTTGAATTCATATACTCCGAGTCTCTCATTCGTCGTAACCATCAACTCACTTTCAAGAAATCATCTTCATCATACATAGATCGAATCGCCGACCTGCACCACAAAGCTGGTATTGAAATAGAAACGATAGATTGAAAAAATCATGGACGAGGATTATGGGCATTTCTTGAGCTCTAAGTAGAACAACGATCTTAACAATGCCTTGTCGTGGCTGAGAAGCCCTGATAAGACTGTAAGCTTTTTCTGATGATCAAAGAATAAAGCGACCACGCACAGAGAAGAACCTGCCAATTAAAGAGGTACTTCAGATTTCATTCAAAAGTTTGAATCTGGTAGTTGAGATTTCATTCACATGGATTCGTAGTTCCACTGACCTGGAATGGTATTCACAAGAGACGGACAAGCACTTAGAGTTTGTTCGAACCTCGAAAAACTGAACAGAACAGAACCTGACCGCAACCAAAGGCTCTATCTTGCTTTCCGAGAATTCTCTGTTGCGATCTCTCGAAACGAGAATCTCCAAACATTTTCATTTCTACGTTCATTTTCTTTCTATTCAACGTATTCCACACGCTTCATCTAATCACCGCATTTATCCCGCGATTTTGTTTTTTCACAAGAAAAGAATCCAAAAGGGTCGAACTATAAAGTCGAATAAAACAAGAACCTCCTGTTCAATGTGAAGAAGGGGGCTCGATAGGAACAAAGAGCGATTCAAAACAATTCAATCCTTCCATCCACAAATAAAAAAGTTGGAACACTACGTACTCTTCCAGACACACATAACATGAAAGTGAGGAGATAATCTTAAGGAATTCTCGTCACGTTTGGACGCGCCGATACTGTGCGCGCTATTGGAATCCAAGTAGGCGATCAACTGTGAACTCGAAGCAACATCAGTTGCCGAGAAGCTCCGAAAGGTGTGTTGAAACTGCGCTTCGCCAGACTGTTGTCTTAAGGTAAAGCAAGCGTCCTGTACAATGACGACATGATAGCCAGCATCCATGGCGCCCAAGGCCGTCGCGAGGACACAAAAGTCAGTCTCTACTCCCACAAGCACCAGGCTTTTGATCGGATCAAGGCGGTCGTCGTGCGGCTTAGTATCCTCGGATGAAAAATACTTTTGCAGCATTTCTGGGAGTTGAGAACTCGACGAGGCCAATGCGCCTGCGCCGGTTTTTCTTGCTCGGTGCGCCCCCGTGGAAAAGTAAGGAGCGAAATCTTCCAAGGTCCGGGTTACATTCTCCACAGCCTCAGATTTTTTTAGCTGCAGAACTACCTCTCATGCGCTCTTGCATCAAATCTTTAGCAACAATGAACCACTGCGTATCATCGTATTCATTTCCTCTCATCTCTTCTCGCGTCTTTGTTGCTTCACCTTCAAACTCTGTAAACAATAGAAAGTCGGAAGATGCTGGTGCACCTACTTGCTTCCCTTCTTCACGTTTGCCACGCAATAGAGCTATTCTATGCTTTCTTGTTGGATGCTTTACTTCTTGTTCCGCAAGGAGCGTTCCTTCGGGTCACGTGGAACTAGAACGAGACCGCACGAATCTTTGCGCTGCTTCGATCACCCGTTTCTGCGTAGGAATATATAAGGTTTGTCATGCGCACTCCAGCATCGGACGCCTTTCCTGCTTCATAGTCGGCGTGACTATTGTAGAGAAAGAGTGGCTGCATGTCAATCACCACAACTGCTAATGCAGAAGGATGCACAGGAATTCTGGTGATCGCAGGCGACCTACTGTGATCTTCTTCTACACTAGTTCTCAAATTTCTCTCGTGCAGAATAAGACGATATAAATATGACGACTTACAACACACAGATGCATTGGGCTACTTGTGCTCTTCTTCAATCTTAATGCTGAATGAGTTAGAGGTGATTGAAACAATTTGGCAGCTATCATGCTACTAGATTAGAGATAATGCCTGGTGTAATCACTTGGATCCAAGAGATACTCCTGGATTCAGACTGAAGGACCGCGCTTTACATCAGAAGGAGCACTTTGCGCTGCAGACCTATTCTTTCCGATACAACTACACGCACGAGAGAAATAGCACGTGCTTATCACTGAATCTTAGTCTGTCTTACGCAAGTTCGACTTCGATTCCAGACTATCTGACACTCGCATAGCAAGAACACGATCTGCTCTATCGCCTGATGCTGAGAGAAAGAGAGTGTTCGCTGCTACTTTCGATCCGGGGAGAGTTGTTGTTCTGGTCTTGTATTCGTCTATATACGGATCCGTATCCGACAGAATTTATATATATCAATCGGATGTTTTTGGCCACCAACAAATGGGCAGAGTACAACTCTACTTCTCCCCTTTTTTCCCTCAGTCCCAAGCCCATGCATGCATCCGTCAACTCTCCGGAAGCTGCACGACATCCGACCCCTCTAGCGCTTCCCTTTCCACTAGTATAGAGTAAGCAGCCCGTACGTTGTCTTGATAATTTCGTGCGGTTGGGAAAATATCGTTCCAGTCTGCTCCGTACCCGAAAAGCGCAAAATCAACGGCGTAGTGGTGGCGCACCATCTCCACCAGTTCCGGATCCTTATTCCAAAGATCCGCCCAAGTAGTCAAGCAATCCGCCGAAAACTGCAATCGCTGGGTATGAAGCATGCCTAGGTGGAGTCAACGGGTTGTAGAACTAGAAACAAATTACTTAGCTAAAACTAAAAGTTGCAAGAAGCCTGACAACTACGACGTAGAACATGTAATCGCACAAACAGTAATAGGTTGCCTACGCTCTGTAGTTCTAATCATTCAGTTTCAGTTGGACGCGGCAAGTAATTCAAGTTCAACAAGCTCCTGCAACCAACCTCATAATTCAAATCTAAATCGCATGCGTTTTTTCCCTGTGGACGGCGATTAGTCGTGGGATAGACCTTAGGGAATGTTGCGCGGGCCCTCGTTTTAGGAAATGTATCCGTTCCAAAATCGCTTCGAGGGTCTCCTACATAGTCCGAGGTTACTTCCATCTGCTCTCCTGCATCATCCTCGACGAAAAATCGATACGCATCGTCGTCATCTTCAGAGTCGGAACTTGTTTTTTCATATTGAAGTTCATGTTGCTGTCCTTCTAATGTTGCACTTGCAGTCATCTCGTGTCTAGCGAAGCTCTCATGAAAATCTGCTTCTTCGGTTTCGAGTGCAGACGAAGGAGCATTCCCTTTTATTTCTTGTGAAACTCCTGATTTTCGCGAAACTCCTCGACGGCAATACCGACCGTAGAGATCGCAGACGCGGTCATACAGTTTGGTAAGGTCTTCCTTCATCGTCTCCAGATGAAGCACAAATACCTCTCGTTGGTTCACCTGCCCTTCTCGCCCACTAGAAGTTGCTGCCTGATCCACGCCTTTCTCAACTGCAGAAGTTGTTTGTCCTTCACCAAACATCTCTCTCCAGCTGTAGACGGATGCGAACCTCGTGTCCCTCAGCATGTCCTCAACAGGTCGAATATGGAAGATGTCGCTAGCGTCAAATTCGAACGCGAAATTGACGCAACTGTACGTCCCGACCTCCGAACTGTGGCATTGCTTGGTTCCTTCGCCCGATTTGAAGCCTGCGAAGTCGCGGTGGAATGGTTGCAGTCGTCGGAAATGCAGGAGCTTACGAACCCAAGTGCCGAACTGAGACCAGCTGTGGTAATAGCGATCTGGTGCAGTCTGATTTAGCGCACTGTTGGCATAGTGGAGCTTAGGCTTATTCATGTCGTGCGGCTTGGCGTTCTGATCGTCCCTACTAGTATCCAAAAGATCGACCCCTGCATCCGGTACTTGCTGTGCCTGCGCGCCGTCATAGCCTTGGAGCCATCGGTACTTGAAGAAGCTGGCCAAGCGCACAAAAGGGTTGCGAGCGACGAAGACAAGCAACCGGTCACGGCCTTTGGCGCAGCACAGCGGACACAAGTGCGCTGGAGGCAAAAATAAGCGATGAGGCGCGTTTTCCTGTTGCTCTACAGTTGGCGGATACCTGATTATGTTCATTGATCGATGATTGCAAAGAGGCGATGGACGATATTAACTTGACGGGCATTATCGTCAATACTCACACTTCGTTAATATGTTTCTTAAAGAATCGTAGTTGGCTGCTAGAAGAAATGAGAAGTAGAATTGCCATCATTCGCATCGATTCTAACGTTTTTCAAGTACCTGAGTGTTGAAAGACCTGTGCATCACTCGGTTGGCTATCGCTGCGGCCACGTCTTGCGGCACCGCCCACCAGCTTGCTTCATCCGAGAGCCATAGCATCATGTCTTGGGGGCGTTTCTTCATTTCCTCCGCACCGCGTTCTAAAACTGGCTTCGCTTAGAGCGGCTTGATGGACTTTACCGGTGAAAAATAACTCAGACACATCTTAAAAGGAGGGACCTAATACAAAGAGTGAAATGGACATGCTTCATCATCCAGCTCACAACCATAACAGACGTCTTCGTGGTTCAAGAGCCAGTTAAGTCCGCTTGTCGTGCCCGACTTCGGCAGGAGAAAGACCGCAACAGGCAGGTTTCGAGGACAGTGGAGCAGTTGGAAATAGAAAGGACCTGCACCAGGCGACCGCATTTGGCAATTCGAATTCAAGAGCACTGTGTCGCGGGTCCACGTTGAGACCGGAGGAGAGCTTGAACTATCGCCTAAGCGTTCCTTAGTGTCTTCGTCTCCACTTTGATGTGGCCTCCGGTCATTGAATCTCGTGTGGAAGATACACTGACTGCTGCCATACGTGTACCAATCACACTGAGTTCCTGCTGTAGGATCTCCAGTGTCATATTAGCGAAAAAATTACGTACACATGAAGGGCTTGGTCGCGCGTCTCCATTTACGGGAAGTAGCGCATGTACAACAGATCCAGGGCTGAATCTGAGATGGAGTCGCAGACAAAACCTCAGCCTTAATCATCCTCCTGCCCATGCTGTGACCCCACGCCTTCCTGACACAGTGGAAACCAGAGTGGGTCGTCGGCGTAACCCGGTCCGCGGTAACGCATCATTGACGCGCGTCGACCCAGGCGGAGCTGTTGCAATGTTTTGCCAGAACGAGGCCATGCCTGCACCTCCACTGGCGAAACAAACCATAGTTGTAGATGCCGAGAAAGGCAACGCCAGAAGACTAAGGCCGAGTAGAGGGACCTTCTTGGAAGATGAGCTGAAGCACTGGAGGACACGGGTTTTTTCATCATGATCCTTTGTTGTGTCTTTTGGATGCAGTACCTCTACCTCATGCCTCTCCTCAGTACCCTCTAAATAAACGAAAAGTCTCCTCATAATTTGTCAAAATCATACAGCATAGAATATTACTCATCTTGTCACGGACTCTATACTACTGCAGCTCGGTCATCGCGGCCTTCTTTTTCTTTAGCCGAAATAACTACGATATGACAGAGAAACTGCACATCGAGACACGCAGTCTACCACGCTGTGCGAACAGGGATGAAGTCAGTCCATCCGAGGCGGAGAAGGCGCCATGCGTAGTAGTAGCTGACAAACAACATTCGATGTGTGCCTCAACTGTGTGGCAGAATCGTTGAGTTTAGTAATTTTCTGCGGAAAACCAAACAAAAATTGCACCCATCCACGAGCATACAAATTTGTCATTCGTTTTAGAGTTTAAGTACGACCGGAACAGACGAATCAAAGCTGAGAAAGCACTACCTCACCATAGCATAAAGGTGTAATCAAACTTCTTAAACTGACTTGTTTATGCAATAACCTTAGCAGTATGGTGCCCTACTGCACACGAGCAGGAACAAGAACAACGAGTTGCAAAATCAATCGCTAGATAGTACAACTACTATTGATTAGTTAATTTGCTCTTGAAGTATACGTAAGATGACGAAAGCTGACTCGTCCTTGTGTAACGTCGAAAACGCGAATGGATAAAGACAAACATGATAGCAAATGACAGAGAACTTTGGTTTCTAGTAGAGTAGAGGATAACAGAATGACAGATATTTCTACAAATTATATTTCATCAAGTACACCTACTACCGCGTTTGACTCCTCCCATCACTAGTATATTGTAATATGTCTGCATCAAGCCTGCCAGGGTAGCGACGACAAAGCACAAAAAATTTGAGTTGAGATTCATGTCACTATATGTGTCGCGAATTATGTTGGTGCTCCGGTCCGCTCACCCGCAACGCTTTCTTCTCGGTCAAGGCCCGATGCAAATGCTGTATTCTCAAGAATATCTGTCTGCTTTCGCGAAGCAAAGCTAAAAAAATCCCGGAGTAGCGTCAGCCTGATATTAGATCTAGGAAATCCGCAACATCCTTAGTAATAGTACTACTTAGGATGTTACTACCCCATTGAAAGAATTTGGATTAACAAACTGACAGTAAGGCTCATTAGAACAATACCCAAGTAAATTGGGTGAGTGTTGCGACAGTTGCTTAATTTAGCTGAAAGCCTTAAATGTCGGATGGGAAGTTGTTGTTCACCGGTTCCGCGTAGTAGGGAGGCAACAAATTCGACAACTTCTTGCCCATGTCAACTTTGTCGTTGGTGCTCTCGAACGCCGAAAACGCACTGCGCCACCCACTCGCAGCCGAACGCTCACGAGATATATGAAAGTGAAGAGGTAGTCTGTAGTCCAAGACTCAGAGTATAAGCACTAATCTAATCAAATTAATAATGGTGCCACTTTCACTTCAGACTGTAGTACCGTGATGAATTAGCCTCACAAAATTCTCCCTCGACAAGTGGGTTTTGGCGACCAGTAAATGTCTACTTCCTACGATCATCCTGTTTTCTCAGCATAATAATGTTTGCGGAGACTGCTTCGATGCCGTCGATTGAGCTCAGAACGCAGCTGCAACGCATCCTCGAAAATCCTACGTTCTATCACAGTCCAGACGTCTTCCGCACTCTCTTCTCGAGCCAATAATTTGCTGCAACGCAGAAACTCCGAATACCACTGTGGCTGTGATGGTGTGTTCGAGGCCTCGCCCACATTCAACATACCAGATGAAGTCCCTTGTTGTTCCTGGATGTTGTCGTAGTTGTAGTTCTCATTTGCAATTATAACTGCCGTTGTGGTTGTCGTTGCGGTCGTACTACGGACTCTCTGGGGTACATTTCTTAGCTGTTCAACTGGTATTCCAGCTCGGTGCTTCGGAGCTGGTGCTAGGACACGACGTGGAGTACGATTAGACGTGAGTACGATGAGGGAAATGTTGATGTTGTGGAAGCGCAAATTATAAAGTTCAAGTTGATGTATGTTTAGCTAGTAACATGAGAAAAGTTAAACAAGAAGGAGTACAAGAGACAGTATCTATAAATCAGACCATCTCCTACTTTCTCTACTACCAGTAATAAATTGATCGGAGTCACGGCCACCCATTCATACGACTAGCAGCCTCATACGCAACCGCAGGTGTAGTTGCTGTCTCTGCCACAGGCATGGGCGGTCTGATCGGCGCACTGACTGCCCTCATCACGTTATTCGCCGTCGCAAGCGGCGGACTAGTAGGATTTCGGATAACAAATTGTGAATCCCGGTAATGACCCTGGCTCTTCAGCAAATCGCTGACTTCCGCATTTAAATCTACAACTTCCAGCTCCTCCGTTTCTCCATCTCCTTGAGCAGGTTGTATAATGTTGTGTCCACCCTCGTCGTCCGACTGAGTACCCGCCATTGAGACCTGTTGATATCGGAGGTCGCGTTGTCTGCCTATCTCATCGCATCCAGGAGCTCCTGGCGTGAGAATGCTGTCGTCCGATGCAGCAGATACACTACGTTGGTTGCAACAAGCAGCCCAACTGCAATATTGATTCATTAGTGCTGTTGACGAGGACCCTTCGGACGTACCGTCCACAGCAGATGAGGTCGCAACTGACCCGCCTGTACTCAGCGTGCCAGTTTGATGTGCCCCCTGAGCCTTGGAGCGCAAATCGACAAAATAAGAATCCGTCGCTAGTGCTTGTAAAAGCGCCAGACCGACGGCCTTCGTCATCGGCAATCCTGGGACTAGACGAGATAAGAGCACAAGCGGCGGCTCCAGCAGTGCGTCGTAGTGTTCGTTATTAAAGACCATGTCTACGAGGATGCGACGTGGAAGCTCATCCTCAACTTTTTCTTCAGTTTTTGAACCCGACGTCTGCTTTGGATCAGCCCCCTCAGTGCTGTCTACAACTCCTTTTGCAGGACGAGGAGCTCCTGCTTCGGCTCCTGTCGCCTCTGAAGTTGTCTGGGTACTCATCGATGTTCCGTGGCTAGGAGTGGAGTAACCAGTCGTAGATGAAGCGGGTGTTGAGGAGCACTGGCGTTCAATCGGGAAGGAGGATAGGCCAAATCTCGAAGAGACGACCTCTTTTTGTGAGCCCTTGCTTCTCTTTTCTTCGTCTCCAGTAAGAGTCCCAGTAGGAGTACTAGAAGTATCTTCTCTATCATTTTCACCTGCAGTAGACTTCTCGCCGTTACTCTCTGGACTGGCTTTGGCACTACAGTCCCCATCTCTATTGTTGTCAGGAACCCAGATAGTGTATCCACGTGGGTCGAAAACACGAAACTGCACAGGAGGCCACATCTTGGCAGCAGCCCATAATTCCAAATTTCCAGCCCAAGTCGAGGTTTTTCGTAAAGAAGCCAAATGGTGCTCCCGTGTTCCACCTATGAGCTCAAACCCGAGAGCATCATCATCACCGTACGAGGAAAATTTCATTAGAAGGGATTCTTACGGAGATGGAATCAAGTGACCAACTTGCTGACGTTATAGGGAGCAGTGGTAAGTGGTCCCTGATTAAAATCTAAATGCGCCTCACGTACTCCTCTGAATTTTTCAATTCATTTATTTTCCGCCGAAAGTACTTACATGTTCTGCTGTGATGCAATACTTGTTACGACCAAGATCTGCTATCATAAGATGCTGTCCCAATTCTCTTGCATAAATCGCGCGAGTCCAAATCGTAGGAGCAGCGGTGTATTCATAATCTTGTCTGATAGAATGGCATCTTGCATATGCCTTTCCTTTTCTAAGGCTTTTCGTTCGAGTTCTTCATCTCTGCTGCGATCGACTTTGTTCTTTCCTTTTTTTTCGTCAACAGCGCACATTGCTGCAATCAACATACGGCTACTAGCTCCGTTGTTTTCGCCCTGAGCCGCTGGTTGCTCAGAACCGTGCGTTTTCCCTGACTTTGGTGAACAGCTGGTGCCGAAATTCGCTGCCCCTGCGTTCATCCAATTATATGAATTAGACGAAGCGTTTGCACAGGCGCAGGACGTCTCCGCGGTCATATTCACAACTCGCTCATCAATGATGTGAATACGTAGCCCGAGGACGCTCTGCAGTTTGTTCGATCAAAGGAGTATAATTATGTAGCCGTAAGCATGCTAGTAGTTCGTGTCAAAGAAGCAGCCGACTTGCCCCGACTTTGTTGTGCCGGAAGTTCTTGCGACGGTAGCGGAGACGCCGTCGTGGTGGCTACTGGAGATGTTTTCCAAATCACATTTCCGGACGCCACTGCTGGTGCTTCCCGATAAGTTTGCAGTATTTGACACCCAGGCTAAAATGAAACAAAAATAGAAGAGGTGGGAAAATTAGTGGGGATACGATAGGGTAGGCAAAAAATTCAATTTAAAGAATTTGGCAGTAGAAACTAGCGCTGGAAGTAAGCTCAGGACGATCAAAATATCGCCTAGTATTCAAGCAATTTCTAGGGTAGTTGGGGAAAAAGAAGATACTACTGCTCCTTGTCATACCGGTCGTTGACGGCAGGGGGGTGTAAAAGCTCCTGCCCCGTGTCGTATGAGAGCCGCTGGATTCGCGAACACAGTTGCAGCGATGGGCTTGACAACTAAAAGGCCATTCCTTGCCCGTAAATGATCCTCAGACGTCAATGTCGCACTCGCTTCTCGTGGTGGTCGAGGCGTCGCTGTTATTTGTGGTAGTGGAGAAATTAGAGCTTCCAAGCGACACTTTATTTCTTGCACTGACTTACAGAACCGCAGCATTTCCTTCTAAAAATTCATGCTCATGTCGTGAGCAGACACACAAGCGGTGTTGCGGACACAGCCTTTTAGCGAAGCGGAACGAGAAAAGAACACACGTCGACGTCGTCGTAGACCCTGTGAAAATTTCAGTAAATCACATTGAGAGCCTTAATGCGGGTGTCGAAAAACTTCCCACCGCTGTCGAGCGGTCTGTTACAATAAAGGAATTCCCCTGCGAAGAAGAAGATATCATAGGATTTGCATCTGCTCGCCGCGGTGTTACCATTTCTGCTTCGGCTACTCCTGCGTGCATTCGCATTACGTATCGCGACGGGGAGGACGCCTTCGAAAGCGGGCAGCTGCTAGTTGCCTCAGTAGTTGGACAAGATGACAAGAAAGAACAAGGGTTCGGCGACACGTTTTGGTACGCCGTGACAGCGGAAGCTCCATCTACTTTCTGTTCTCGAGAGTATGTGGAGGAGACACCATCAGCAATTAGAATTCCATAAGTTGGGTTTTGTTAGGTTAGGTTAGGTTAGGTTATGGATCCTTCACATCGAGCTCCATAGCACTGAAAACTTTTATACATCAGTTTAAGACGTCTAGGAAAAGATAGCATAGAATTCGTCCATCTCCTCGCGTTTAAAAAGTACACGACCACACTCAAAATCAATATATTTCAAATACGAAAAACCAGAAGCCCATTCCTCATAACTCAGCTGCCGAGAGCCAGGGCCCACTTGCATCGACAGTTCTACTGTCGTGTACAACCACATTGTCGACTCTTGCGTAAGGCTTCAAAGATGTGCCTGCCGTGATGTGTGTACTACCTCCACTTGCCGAGACTAAGCCAACATTCTGTTTCCGGTCTAACTCTAGCGAGCTCGTCTTTCCTCCATGAGCTGCACCCTGGAACTTCGCTAGGACGTCAGTTGCCACACGTACGAGCTGCTTTTCGTAGTCCAGGCGCCATGTCAGAAGAAAGAGGACTGATGAGAACCAGCAACTGTTATCAGGATTCTGTGTGACAAGCCGTAGCGCGTCTTTCGTTCCATCAGCATTTTTAGGATAGAAATACTCCCCATCAGCTACTTCTCCAGGCTTAAAACCGCGGACGGCGGAACTTAGAACACTCGACATCAAAGGGAAGAAAAATCAATCAAGCATCGTCTAGGGCTCGCAGAGCATATGCACACTGCACTCACATCAACGGATTACTCTCTAATTTGCTCTTAGTCATGTTGCGACTGAGTCAAACGAATAAATTGAAATACACAAGCACCAAACAACATAGTCGCATCATGCTGCACCGAATTTGCGATTCGACTGTGTTCTCAGACCTACCTGGATGAGCTGAGTTTTCTTTGCCTCCTCTCCCTCCTTCGTCGGTCGCCTCCTGCAGCTGTGCGCTATCAGTTCCGTCGGTCTGTCCCACTATTAGCGACTACGCAGTAGGTTGTACCGAATTGCATCTGTCACAACTTTCTTGGACATCTTTTCTAAATTGGCTTCATCCCTGGAGCAACAACTACATCTTCAAATAAGTAGGTGGCAGTCTAATCCTACAGGTTTTACATTGAACACTAAATAATCTGAAGTCAAACAAATGACACAGACTGCAAATAAAAGACACGACTAGAGAAACAAACAATCAACTTCAACTACTCTTAATGCTTCTCTGCGCGCCGAGGAGAACGGCATGAAGGGCCGCCGCCGACTCATCCGCCTTTCTCCCATGAACCGGCGTCGAAACAGCCCGCCACCTGCTATACGATTCAAAGGTTGTAAGCGACGCGGTGGCTCTTGTGCTCTCCTCGCTGGGCTTGGGCTGCCTCGTGAGCCTCCGGACATGGAACTGACGCCGAAGCGAGACCCTGGCGAGCCTGGGTCCGACGCCTTAGGTGAAGCCGGACTCTTGCCCTTCGCGGCAGAAGCTGGACTCTGGTCTTTGGAGTCTCCTGAATGTACGGTCGTGGGAGTAGAAAATGAAAAGAATGGACTCAGCCTCAAAGGGAAGTAGTGAATGTGAAAAATGTTGGTCGTGAATCTTAGTACAGTGCTGTATCGAGGAAGTCCCCGCGCAGGGATCATATTGACTTCGACTGACGGAGACGAACGTTGAAGCGACAAGCATAGCTAATCGAAACAAGCTACAGTTGCATGGCAAAGTTACCTGCACTCGCTCTCGCCTCTGCCAAGGCTGTGGCGAAAATTTCTTCTAGATTCCCCTGCTTACTCTCGGCGCCGTACGAAAGTGGAGCTCTTTCCACCGGCCTCGTTCCTGCGTCCCCACTCCCCCTCAATGTTCTTCCATTCAATGAGCATTTTTGATCCCCACGCTTCTTCGCAAGTTCAGACAGCACTGAGAGGGAAACCACCATTGGTCCTGCTGCGCCAGACTTCGTCTGCCCTGTTCTTCCTTCTCCTGCTTCCTCTTCTACGTCCGTTTTTTCTTCTTCGAAGACCATCCGACGACCGCAGCCCCAGCAGAGTGGGCCTCCCAACGGCGTGAGACCTTCGCCCTCTCCGCCAGGCTGATGGAAGGCACGCGCACCAAAAGGGCTCGAGTATCGCAGGGCCCTCGTTGCTCCGCTCTCCTGCCCAGCTTCTAAAACCTCGGAAAACGACTTTGTCCGTGCGGGAGTCATCTCCACACGACCCACTGCATTTTCAGGCGGACACCCGCAACTTGCGCTTGCTGCAGGAAGGTATGGACTTACACTATCGCGTATAGCGCTGCACACAGTTCGTCGAGACCCTCTCTCTTCGAATTCGCGATCCGAATCTGCTGCGGCAGCACTTGAGTCGGCACTAGTAGTTTGCCTGTCGAAGTCTCCACCTCCAACACTCACCGGGAGTCTAAAATCAGCGTTTTTTAGATGAGATGAATATGTAATCTTCACCAGATACAGATAATTACAAGGACTTCCGCCGTTTTTAGTGGGTACTACCAAGAACATTCGAACCATGGAGCACAAAATTGAATATACCTCTACACAAGATCATAAAGATTCTGCTCTCTGCTTGCTGCGGCCGCCATTTGCTTCGTAACCCAGCGCGTACTGGTCGTCCGTCGCGTTCTCCGTCGTCAAAAACGCCAGTATCGAATTCAGACCATCACAGAACCGGTTCCACAAGCCACCAGCTTTAATATCATCAGACGCTATCTCCAGGGGCTGTGGCGGTGAATCACACACAGACACATTTTGTAGGTGCTTAATACCAGTTTGGTGATTCCCCTGCCGGACAACAAAATTGCCATCGCTATTAATAGACGAGTCCGGGACAGTATAGCTTCCGCGAGATGTTCCCTTCGCTCCTTCAAGACCAGCTCCAACATTGTCTTCCAAAAGTGTAGTATTTAGATTTTGCTCCAATATACCTCGAGCTCGGGCTGCAAGGATGTTGTTCTTCGTTAAAAGTGGCTCCGCTATATCATATCTCGATTGATGATGGTTTGGCCACGGTACAGGTTCAGGCTCACCGGCCCCCGAATCTGAATCCGACCAGATCGTTGGACCACCTCGTCCTCTAGGGGGGCTACGCGCACTTTCCGGCCACGAAAAAAGATTGTTCTGGTCCGAATAAACTTCCGGGTCAGACAAGGAGCCTCCGAAACCACTTCCACTTCAAGCGTTAGAAAAGTCAAACAATAGGAATAAATTTTGTATTCTGGTTCTTGTGGTTGATGTACTTAATATTCTCTAGTGTGATCTTCACACTATAATACCCTGCTGCTAAATCCACTAGAGTAGATATCGCAGGGGTAGTTCCTTTCCGTAACACTGTATCTATATGTGCCATCAATTCGAATCCTTTTCACGACATAATTGGACGCGGTTCTAGTGATAGTGTTGCCTTAACTTTACTGAAGTCGCTCGATCTCTTACGCGAGTCTCCTGCATTTTCACAGCTTCCTCCAAGCTCGCTGGCAGGCAATGTGATAGCGACGTCATCCTGAAACCCTCTTGTAGCTACCTGCTCGTCTCTAGACGGAAGGCTTAGAGAAAACTTTTCGGCATCATTTTGACCCAATCTACTTTCTGCTTGTCAACCACGACCTTAACCAGAAAGTAAATGAAAGCATGCTATCATCCCTACCGCCCTGCGACCAAGGTAGCAGAACATACACACACAGAGTAGAGGACCCTTCCATTAACACAAGAGTAGAACAAAAAAAGCCAAAAAAAAGTCCCCCTTAAAGGTCTGAAGTTGCTATTTTTCGGACCAGAGTCGAGCCCAAGGCCGCTAAAAACTGCAGCAAAGCAACTTGGCGTCTTGCAGTCGCTTCCTGTGCTTGACGGTACAGACGCCGCCGTTAACGTAGATGCTGCTGCAAACCTCGTCGAACCCATCAAACACGTCAAGGCAGTAAGCATGTGCTTGTGCATACCTCCAGATGTCGTCCCGCTAACACCACTGCTTTTTACACAACCACGAGGACCGGACATATTGTCGGTTGTCTTCACACGATAAGGCGCACTATTGCAGGTACTCCTGCTTCCGCTCACACGACGAGCAGAGGGTAGTTGAGAACGCCACTTTTTCAGATTTTCTAGCAGCGTTTTGAAATTCAAAAAAATGAATTTTTCATTGCTTTTAATCACATCATTTTGACCTCGTAACTGCAGTATAGCTGATAATGTGATCGATGCAGTGAGTCATCAAAACAAAACCCGCCAAAAATCTACTCTTTTCAGATTCATCAATACAATTAACGTCATCAAGCCGAAATAGATCAGAAAACGATCTGTCTACTCATCATCATATTGCATCCCAAACGACCATACGAGGCCATCGGCGGGATGATACGTTTCCTGCGGTTGTGAAGACGGCAGAGGAAGCGCTAAACCGTCATCGTCTAGGTAACAATTCATATTTTGCAAACAAACTCAGATGACAAAATCAGTCTAAAATTACTCGGCAGGATCGTTCCGAACCTAGTGTAATCTACTATCGGAACAGATCCCCATGCAGTTGGCGTCTTTCCTCACACGCGAAGTGTTAAGCAGCTACATATGATCATCTTGGAAAGGATCGACTGATTTTTTGTTTCTTCATGTAGTTTTCCTCTGGTTTTCCCGACGTCTTATTCTTGACCGATTACATGATCGACACATAATGGATTGCGTCTTCAAGAAATCTTCACGAACTGAGTACGGCTTCGCTTCAGTCCTACCGAAGTTTTGCAAGATCTTTGACATGAGATTGTAGCCTATGAACACCGTAGCAACCCATCAACCAGGTACGCAGAGAGCACGACGTGATTCAACGAAACATGCATCCTGCTGTATGGGTAAGTAATTTCAAGTAGTGCTTGTGCTATCACATTCACACATCAATCAAAATAAAGGACTCATTTTAGTACTCAGTCTTAGAAGCTGAATTGTTTCATCACCAGATCCATGGTGCTAAATTCAAGCATCACCAATCCATCGGCACAGGAAAAAGGACTTGTGTGTTATATCTATCCATCGGATTCCCGAATGGTTTCTCTGCCTGGTCTCTTTTCTCGCGAATGATTTCCCTGCCCGCTTCATCTCCACCTCGCTATGAAACGAAGAAAGATGTTGTACTTTTTTCCATGACGCTATCCATCATGATACCTTTCCCTGACCCTGGTGCGGGTTAGAAACTGCCTTATCATTCAGAGCCAGCATGCAAAAAAAAACGGAAGCTTGGGAAAAGGTCTTGAGGACGGAAAAAACTGCAACTCTATCTTTGTTCATAAACTATCTGGTCGCATTTGGCCTCCCGTCTTCACCTCTTTCCCGGTGATCGGGTCCGTTCCTGCGTAGTAATCTTCTCGAAGAGCCTCGTCCTCGTTCGGGTTTATTCTAACATGAAAGATGTGAGCTCTAAACTAGAAGTAGGGCTTCAACATGCTTCTTTCTTGATACCTATGGATAACATTTGGGCAAGAATCCTAGGAATAGTTTCTTATGCGTCCATAAATTTGACTGTGAGATTGCAACACCAGAGGTTGGGTGGCGAGTGCGGGATGATGACTCTGCGGATAGAGCGTTACCATTCGATACACCTGCAGTGGGCTCTTACTCAGCCCGGTGGCAAATTTCTGGACCATACCCATTGTCTTACTAAGGGAGAAAAAACTTGTTGTCCTTGTCGCGTTGTTCCTACTCGTTTTCTCGTTCCTTATTCTCACTGGAAGGCCTGCATCATCGTGTGCCACAAAACTCGATGTCCTTCTTGCCTTCTGATTTCTGGAACACGAACTGGACGCCGTTGTATCAACTGAGGCATTAGACCAGAATCGAGGATCTCCACCACCATTTGACGCCATGCGATGACCATTTTCGAGGTGCCGTTCGTGTTCAAGATTTTCCAGAAAACTAGTCCGCCTGCGCGTTGGCCCGGGTGTCGACACACTAAAAAAGTGCACCATCATGGCGAGTGCATTGTCATCGCCCAACATTGCGACGACCATGATTGTAAAAGCGTCCAAAACTCGATCGTGTTCTTGGAACAATCGTGGTATGCTGCCCATCAAAATCGTAGTCTCGTAGAAGCATTCAATTTCAAACTAAATTGTGATATGCTGTCAGAGATTCGTCAGTAATCCACATAAGTAAACATAGATCAGATGCGAGAACGAGAAAGAAAAAGAAGCTTCAGTGTGCCCAATAGACTCGTCAGAGGGCGGTGGGAAGGAGGGAGCTCGTATCGCCATAGGCCAATGCACCGATGACTACACCGACGTTGCTGATATTGTACATAACAGTCAGACTTCCCAAAATTCCCCAAATCCAAAGGTTGCCGCAGCACTGACCAGAAAAGCAGTTTTCAGTAGAACCGACATAGACTGATTGCACAAAGAGATTATTGCTCTTGAGTAATCCTGGCGTCGCGGCGTTCAATGTCATGACCGATAACAGGGACTCAAAGAACACCCAGAAAAGTGATGCACTAGCAGCTGTTATTTGACATCTTGTAAGAAGTATGAGAAGAAGCTGAGACAGGGGAAAATGCCTCAGTCACCGATCGAGCCAATATCATAGGTTTCGTGGGAAATCTAAGGATGATGTTAACGGAAACGGTTGGTAGTGGCATAATAGCGTAGGTCATTGTGCGCGTTCAATCAAAAAGAAGAATGAAGGTTCATTTCTACCGAGTCTGTAGATATCGGTGTCAGGAGAATTATAGAGAAAGTCGTAGAACTTATTCAAAGTCAGAATATCATCTGTCCAAATTCAAAACACATACACAGATTTACTACATTATTAATATGAGTGTTTTCATGTTGATCGAAGTCAAACTCTGAACAAAATCAAAACAAATATGCAAGCAACTACTATCAAAAATGTGTAAAGCAAACTTTACTGTACAGGCGGGGGGACAAAATGCTGTTGAACTCATGCGAAAAGCATGTTGAAGCTTGCTTGTTCATTTATACTAGTTCCTTCTACAACTACATGTAGATACATGAATTGTAGAGGATGCCCCGCGGAGGGAAACTAGGGGAGGCCGGTGCACTCCACCCGTCGCCGGCAGGTACACCGGACAACACTGGGATCACCCTTTCGGCGTTCTCGGACTACAAAAAAAAAAAGGTGCCCTGCGGAGGCAAACTGATTGACTGATTGATTGATGCCCAGTCGGATGCAAGGGCTAGTCTGTTGTCCGGAGTTGTCCTCTGCGGTGGAAGTCTCTTGCTAGTTCTGAAGTAGCTACTGCAATTGCTTCGGTAGCAGTCATTAGACATAAAAAAAAGGCTAACGTCTGAGACAGGGGCAGTGGTCGTCATAGGCTTGTCGGATGAACACACTGAGTAACGAAGTGAGCCCAGCATAACCGTGTCATACTTCGACCATTTTGTCACGCATGGAAAATCCACAGCGCATCGCAAAAAGATGTTCGTACTAGCATTATATTACCACGATATAGGCGGGTCCCGTTTCCCTCATCCCCGGCGGACCAGATCTTACCAGAGGAGTTAGCGTAAGCCCCACGATCACCTGATCTTCAATCAATCCAACAACATCTATAACGGTAGTCTATCTCTGGATATGTTTTGGTTTTCATCAACCTTCCTCTTCGACATGGCTTAGGCAACAACTTTCGAAAGTGAAATAAGAAATTGAAATCTAGAATGCTAGAAAAAGGGATCGATGCTGTTCAAATAAGACATAAAAGAGAGAAGTTGGGGCTCTATTGTATTTCATCCGATCAGCTCTCTTGCTAGGAATATATCAACCAATGAGAAGGAATACTCACAACTTCGATAAATCGATATCAACCGTGGTCTGTTAGAATAACTCACAATCTCTGCATCGTGCTAATAATTCTTATAAGTTGATAGATAAAAAACATAACAAAAAAGAAATCTATATTATTAATCTATATTATTAATCTATATTATTAATCTATATTATTAATCTATATTATTAATCTATATTATTAATCTATATTATTAATCTACGCCGCCATAAAACTCCCCGCCTAACCCACCGGAGATTAGTCGCCTCCTGCCGCGAAGGTATTGCCCATAGCCTCCTGCCCTTTCCCCTCACTCCTAAGCCCGATAGTCTCCGGCCGTTTTCTTGTTGGAGTTCACCTTTCGGCCCCGTGGCAGACTACCAGAAAAGAAGCCAGAAAAATGCCCGACGGGGGTAGGGGCGCAAGCTGGCGAGAGAAGTCCCAAGAGAAACAGCCGAAGAAAGACCTTCGACCAAAGACACCTGGACCCCAGACCTATGGACCTATGGCGATCTTTGGACCGAAGGCGACCTTCAGACTGAAGGCGATCTTTGGTCCGATCTTTGAACCAAAGGCGATCGTTGGACCTAGCTACCAGAGACGATCTTGGGACCAAAGACGATCGTTGGACCAGCGGCGATCTCTGGACCAAAGGCGACCTTTGGACCAGACGACCCCTGGACCCAAGACGACCTTTGGACCCAAGACGACCTTTGCTATTGCTGGACCCATGGCGACCTTTGGACCAAAGGCAACCTTTGGACCACCGGCGACCTTAACCTTTGGACCACATCCACCGGCGACCTTTGGACCACAGGCGACCTTTGGACCACACCAGACGACCGCTGGACCAAAGTAAGGCGACCTTTGGACCAAAGTAAGGCGACCTTTGGACCAAAGTACGACGACAAGTAGAGCGACCTCTGGACCAAAGTAAGGCGACCTCTGGACCAAAGTAAGGCGACCTCTGGACCAAAGTAGGCGACCTCTGGACCAAAGTAAGGCGACCTCTGGACCAAAGTGAGGCGACATTTGGACCAAAATAAGGCGACCTTTGGACCAAAGTAAGACGATCTTTGGACCGAAGGCGATCCTTGGACCAGAGACGACCTGTGGACCAAAGGCGACCTGTGGACCAAAGACGATCTTTGGACCAGAGGCGTTTTTTGGACCAGACACGACCTGTGGACCAAGGGCGACCTTTGGACCAAAGACGACCTTTGGACCACAGACGACCTTTGGACCACGGCAGACCTCTGGACCAAAGCCGACCTTTGGACCAAAGACGACCCTCAGACCAGAGGCAACCGCTGGACCACAGACGACCTGCAGACCACTCCACAGGCGACCTTTTAAGGCGACCTCTGGCCCAAAGTAAGCCGACCGCTGGACCAAAGTAAGGCGACCGCTGGAGCAAAGTAAGGCGACCTTTGGACCAAAGTAAGACGACCGCTGGACCAAAGTGCGACGACCTTTGGACAAAAGGCGACCCTTGGACCAAAGGCGACCGTTGGACCAACGGCGACCTTTGGGCGACCGCTGGACCAAAGACCTCCGACAAGACAAGAGACCCGCGACGGCAGACATCTGACGAACGACCTCTGCCAGAAAAACTGCCGCCCGACCTGTGGCGAGAAGCCCTACCTCGACGAAGATAGCGAAGACCTTTGACGAAGGACGCCAGTCCGACGAACGCGGTCAGTCTGGCGAAAAACGTCAGTCCGACGAAGGGGCAGAATCAATCTCACGAAGGAAAGACATCCGCAGCCCGAAGAAAGGCCCCACGCAGCTTGTTCCGCTTCCGACGCAAGGCAGACGCCTGGCGAAGCAGTGCGCCGGTCTGGCGAGGGGCGTCACCTGGCTGGTCAGTGCATCAGCCTGACGAACCAGCGGCGCCATGCTGAAGCAAGCCATCAACCTGACCAAAGGCGTGAGTCTTGGCCCGGCGAGGAATGTCAGCAAAGCGAGGCGCTTCAGTCTGACGAAAAGCGTCAGCCTGACGAGAGACGTCGCCCGACCCTGACGAAGGGCCTCAGCCTGGCCCACGACGTCCGCCGAAGGGCGCCGGCCTGTCGTCCGACGAAGGCCGCCAGCCTGGCGCAGCGCGTTGGTCTGACGAACGGCATCAGTCTGATGGAAGGCCTCAGTCTCCATCCTGGCGAAAGACGTCAGCCAGTCAAGAGGCTTCAGCCACAACCCGAAGCGCGACGCCCCACGCCCCCGCGAAGTGCGCCCGTCTGTTTCTGACGAGAGACATCTGACGAAACAAAGAAGCCCCGCCAGGTGTAAGCGCGTAGAGAGACCCGAGCAGCGCGGCCCTGCGTTGCTTATGCTTTGTCTTGTTTGGCCCGCTAAAGCCGCCGCCCGTTCTTGCCTGGCGCCACCGCGAGGCGTTTGCGTGCGTTGGGGCTTGCGGATTCTTGTGCGTGTCTGGTGGCCCTCTTCTGGTTTTTTCGTTGGACTGCCGTGGGGGTCTTGCAAATTCTTAAGAATTTGCATGACCCCCCCGGCAATCTCATAAAAAAACCGAAGGCAGCGCAATGCCCTGCACATGAGTCGACGCATCGACCTGAGTCGGCCACCGTCGGCGCTCGGCTCTTGTCGTAGTTAATTCGTAGGGTGCAACAGCTCACCCGCGGGCTGTCTCTACTCTAGCGGCTGTAGCCCGTGGGAGGCTGCAGAAAAGTGCTTAACTAACTTGAAGCCGGGCGAAGCTTGTGGAGGCTAGTTACTGTATTCTCAAAAAGACACATTTGGGTCGCATCCTAGAAGGAACCGTGCACCTGCCGATGCTGCGTTGATTATACTCCTCACTTTTTGCCTTTTCCTGTCGTCTTTTGCTTTTTTGATGGTGGTCCATTCTCGACATCCTCAGTGGAACTCAAATTCTTTTTAGCCAATTTAGCCTGCTCTGCCTTTTGTTTAAGCGCAAACGCCACTTTCTTTTTCCACAAGGGTGCGTTTGGCTCCTCGCCTTCCTGAGCCACCTAGAGAGGATTATCAATTTTTGGCAGTGAGTGGTTGCGGCTCTTGATTACGGCAAAAAGCAAATTTAATCATTCGCAAAATTTTATCACCTTCGACATTTACTCACCGAAATGTCTAAGTTAAAACAACAAGCTGCAAGAACAAATTGCAAATGCAACATACTTTTAGAGCAGGTTGTAGGTAATACCAAAGCCCACTGCGCATCGTTATCAGCGTTCGACTGAACCGGAAAGACCTGCCGCAAAATAGCCTCAAATGCCGCCTCTGTGCTGATGTCTTCAAACCGGTAGCCAACATGCATCCGCAATTTCATAAATTTTTGCACTATGCGCTTGTTCTCGCTAGGATTCTTCTTCACGATTGGGTGCTGTAGTACTGACTGCGCCCACTGTCGGATAAGGCGTTCCTCTGTGATCTCGTGCTTGAAAATTAGACGCCGAAAGCTAGTAGAGTTGCATTGTTGGACATGAGACTGCTGTCTCCACCAATGTGATAATTCGTCGTGACCAGGAAGAAAGAAGTGCTTAGGATCCGAGGAACGAAGGACGATCACCGAGGTTTGATATCTTTGACGTCCATAAAAGTGGCAAGAATTTCCTTGCTTTACTTCTCGCAGGTGCTGTGCCTGGTGGCTTTGCGGGAGACGATGTGTCCGCCTCCTCTTCTGGGATCTCGACTTTGTCGTCATGCAAACCCGGAGCGAAAACTTCGCGTCCTTTCAAGAAAATAATCTGCATCTCCGTGTTGTCCTCTAAAAGATTCCGCAGTTCGCCTAGTCATTAGAAGACCAGGATGAAGACCTTATAGTATTAGTACCCCTTCCCAACACACTGAGCAAGCAAAATTGCGTCGAGCGGTCCTCCTTGGAGTTACATGGATGGATGCTCACTCTTACATCATCTACAATTTGTTTGATGAAACCGACAACTACAAGTACGAGTCGTTGCCATAATTTAAGGAAGCGAGATTCGGAAGCATGCTGGTCATCGAGGCGATCGAGCCCGTGATGGAGCCAGCGGTTTCGGATAACTCTAATTAGCGCTCACCCTTAGTTACCCATCCTGGGGACCATCCTGAATCCGGTCCCCCCTTGAAGTAGACGTCTCCAAGATGCTTCCGAAGATGGATCACGGGAAGCCTTAATCTAAGTCGTCCATTATATCGTCGACGGCAGTCATTCCGCGTCTATGCCGAAATTTACGATACTGCACAGGATGAACGCGTCGCAACTGCTGACGAGATATTTTTAGTGGTTATGCCTACTTTTTTGACAATTTGAGCATGACTTTGCTTTACAAGAGGAACTGCAGGATTAGTATGAGAAGGAGTAGTGGTGTTAAAAGAGATGCAAGGCGAAGGCACTATAAAGAGTGGACAAAGCGGGTCGCTGCAGAGTAAGTACGGAGGGCAGGAGGTGAAAATTATGGCCAACCCAAGCCAAGGAGGAGCACTTATTTACTACTGCATGTATCAATTAATTTACTGCTACAGCAGACAAAAAAAACCAATTCTTACCTCCTTTTCGAATTCCCTTCGGACGTTTTGTTCACCTGATAACCGAGCTAGCAAAGCTGGAATCTCTTCATCGGATTTCTTTAGATACATCCCGGGTGCTTCCCTTGGAACGTCAACCCACTCAAGACCCTGTGCTCCGTTCTCTGAAGATCAAGATATTGAATAAGAAAAAGAGAGATACTGTTCAGCAGAAGAAGGTACTGGCCGGTGCGTTGAGTAGGATTTATTAGAATACTAGTACGATACATAGTCCATGAATAGAATGAAAAAACCGAGCGAATCAAAAAACATTTGAAAAAAGGAAAAGTACTCTTGTCCGTGCGCAGGCGTCCGAGAACTCGAAACGACGCTCGATTGTCGTGTTTCACGGTATAAAGATTCTTCAACAAGACGTAGAGCTCAGCCTCGTCTTCGTTTTTCCCGTATCTCATCGCGTTCCCCATACAGTGCTTGACAACCTTTTTTATGAAGATGATTTCGTTGTAACATTGGTCGAGTTCTTCCCTCTCTACTTGTTACATATCACGACGACTTACAAGCCACGATAAAAAGGTCTATGTATCTATGGCTATGGATAAGGATAGGGGTGAGCGTGAAAAACTTGTTTAATATTTGTAGAATCATGGTATCGTTTTCAAATAATTCTTGTACAACTCTTTTTGCTCCGATTGTTACAACGGTTGCATCGCCGTCCATCGTGTCTTCTGCGTCCACGATCATTCCCGAGGACACAGACTGTGTGGCGCGGCCGAAAGGTACGGAAGATGATGGCGAAGAGGTGGCCATGCCTTTTGAGGCGTAGCCTTTTGAGGCATAGGATTTCGACGACAGGCTCCTTGATGCCATTTTTTTCTGGGGGAGGTTCTGTAAGAAGTTGGTAGTCGTAACAACTTGTGTGACCTTGCTCACGATCTCTCTGTAGTCAAGTAACACCAAACTTTCTTGCACCTGACTCCAAGATGCTATCGGTTCTCAGTCAACTTGGAATTTCAACGAGGATTCGACGTCGTCCTCAAAAAAACCTTTTCTAGCACCTTTCCAAGACGAGGAAATCCATTTTTTTTTCTTCCCTTTTGATATGAGACACCTGTATTCCCGTCAATCTTCAGGTCTCCGATGAAAGTCGTGTCAACGAGCAGATGACTCCATTTTCCTCTTCTTTGTAGCCTCTCTCTACGTAAATTCTTCTTGCAACCATTTTGCAGTCCATATATCCTTATCCTTCTTCATATCACCGATATCGATTCTACTATCACGACGAGACAGACCCAACTGCTACTCCGATTTTGTGCATTTCTCGAACAATTTTGCACATCCATCTAAATTCAGCTAGACTAGAGCGACTAAATTACGCGGAAGCGTCACCAAAACTTCGACGACGATAATTGTTCTTCCAGCCAACTTAGGATCACACAGAATGGATGCTGAGACAGAACCGACTGAAGCAGACACGCTGCAATTTTGTGGCTTCGTCTTGGGTGGGAGAAGGTGCACCGAGCAACGAGGACGATGGATTCTTCATCCACGACGTGATAAACCATATCGAATATCACTGTCCTGTAGCCTGACATGTTGTTGTAGTCACGTCCTTCTTACACTCAATTTTTTGTACACGCGTAATTCCGCCATATCTTTGTCTAATAACGGTCGTGAGTAGCTCTGCATGTGCTTCATCATTATACGGGTCATCATTTTTGCTTGCGTATGCAGTGAATGGAGAAAAAATACTTTAGCACTGTCCGGCTCTTCCATTCCGAGGACCCTCCGGATCTACTTCGTAATAAGTTGTTGACATTGCGTAATAAAATTAGCGAAGCTGTTCTGTTGTTGACAATTGCGTAAAATAGATTGCGACATCCCTGGATATATGAATCCTTCCATGGATTATACTTTACAACTACTCTGCAAAACTGCTATCTGAGTCCCTGCAGCAGTGTGGAGCTAACATCTCCGCAACTTCGCGCTTCTTCTTGTTGCACGACGACGCACGAAGACTGCCACGACTCAGCTCTTTCAGTACTTCGGGTCGAACATACTCTTCAAGCGATACCTGAATACTTTTCACCGCACATTATCCATAGGCGGAAAATGGCAAATAAATCAACAGTCCCGAGTTTGTGATCTGAACAATCAATCGAAGTCCCACAAAATCCAAATTTTACAAACATAACTTCGGCTCACTAGCTACTAAATTCAAGAAAAATACGCTCCTGGTCCAGGCGTTCGCTGCGATATATCGTCAGCTGCATCCGGTCGCGTGCGAATCGTAATGTCGTACCTAATTTGCGTTATTTTTGTCCTAGAAGTGATGCTGAATGTATGACTATGATCAAAGTTGAAAGCAATACCGGAAGAGGAGTGCAAATTTGGAGTAGTGGCGGGCGCCGGACCACTCATCTAGGAATAACAGTACAATGTCCCGTGCTTGATTGGATAGTTCTTCCCGGCCTTGCTTGCGACGTTGTAGCGACCTGGACCTGGCTTTCCCTCTTCTTCGTTGAGTTTCGTATTGTCGAGATATCTAGCAGGCATGGTCCACCTAGGGTTGCTACTACCCCTAGCCAATCCGCTAGCTCCTGCTGGATACCTCGTATCATACTTGGCTGGTCCTGGCCCACTATACCGCGGATTCGAAGCTACCTTCTGCTCTATCGTCGGAAACCTGCAGTGAGTTGTTAAGGCACACTATTTATTAAGCAAACTGGGTGACCTGGCTGCTCCCACGCATTCAATCACTTCAAACGTTTCAAATCTAAGGAATCACTTCCAACTTGGGGGTTGTTAAATTCATTGAGATTGATCCTCCATCCTCAAATAGAAGAAAAATGTTACCTCCACTTGAGCTTGAGGTCTTTTATCAAGTAGTCGTGCTTGATCGCTGATAGTTTCTTCGTCACATCGCCGTACACGTTCGGTGCTGGCGTATCTCGCGTCGATGGGTCATTTCCATATTCCTTTCTTTTCTCACTCCCAATTTTCGCATGTGGACCCTTCTCCCACTTGCCTTTGAATAACCTTGACTCTCGGTAGTAGTTCGTTCCTGATGGTGACGCGCGACCTGATGGATGTTGATTGAAGAAGGTCACGAAGCTCAACAACAACTCACATGTCCTAACGAGACAGTCTAAATTGTTGTATGAGACCGCATGATGAAATCAGTCAAAAAAAAAGCATCGATAATTTGACAAAAAATCGATAGAGCTCAATCAAGAATTGAAAACAAAGGTGTATGCACTACATGGTCTGACTATGCTTGGATCGTCGACGTAACTTCTGCAGACGTCGCCGAAGCCATGCCCTTTACTCCGCCACCCACTGAACAGTGGACCATTTTCCCCGAAGGTGCTGTTCAACTGCACCATGTTCTTGGCACAACCTCTATTTAGATTGTGCTAGTACTGAATACCGACTTAGTTCTTCAATGCCACTGTGTCGCAGCAAGGGTCTTCTTGCCCTACAGGGCTCTTCTTCTGCTCTCTACTCTACAGTTACTGCCCGCTACTGCTCCTAGTGTCGACAAACGCCTTTTGCTGCGGCGAAGCGCAATTGGACACTTTCTGGTTGATCGTCAACCTTGCCGCTCCACCGTAACCTCGATGCTCTCTAGGAAGTACGACTTTTCGCCAATCGATTCGAATGCCGTCGTTGCTGTCGTCAATGCTTGTACTGCTTAACCTGCAGCAATTCTTAGCGCAATTCCGATGCAAAAAGCTAGTGATCGCCTCTAATTTCGAAGATGATAACTGGCTTAAGGCGTCCTGCGTAGCAAAGCGTCAGACTGACCTCCAGCTCGTCGTGGTGACACTTATCGAGAATCCCTCTCCAGTAGATGCCTTCGCAAGGCTTAGCGTGAACGATTCAGTGCAGCTGCTTTTCAAATCCAATACAACGGAAGACTGCCTTCGCTCAGCGATGAAGTAACTGGACGAGGTTCCTGCCGTGACTATTGAGTGCGGACCTTCGTAGCCAGAAGAGTATGCAGTAGTACTGCTGCGTTTCAAGCGTCAATGCCACGGTGATGGCGAACCTGCTGCTAAACGGCCGACTGAGCCTTGGAGGCAGACACTTCGTCGTTCTCCGAGCAGTGGCACTTTAAGAATTCTGTCCTGATTTACGGACGAGTCACTTTCATCGTCAGCCAGATGCGCACTCGCATCAATGATCATTACAACTCAAAATCAGTCCAAAATTGAGCTCATACACATTCTAAGTACCAAACCAAACTTCCAATATATTCACCAGATACTGACATCAAAACTACGGTTATTTTAAGTACCTACAAAACTTTCCTGAGTAACTTTCTCATTGATAAATACTTACTCAACTCGACAATCTATTCGATTTCATGTTTCTTCAGTGGATATCCATGTCTTCCTGAACGTATTACGATAGGATACATGCATAGGAACAAGCGTTGAAAAACAAGTATCCTGAAGTTGCTTCTACAAGAAATTGCTTACTCGGTTTTAGATTCACACCTAATGCATCCATTGCGATATACAACACCGTTTGGAAAGTGTTAGAATGAAGTCGAACCTATATACTCGAAAAGAGGGCGATAGATGACTTGGGGCACTAGGGGAGGGTCTCAGATTGCGAACGTGAGCCTTGCTCTGTCCGATGTCTGATAGATACCGTTACCGAGATTGCGAAGAGGGTGCATTAATCGGTCATTTCCGACTTGCGCGCTAAGACTATACCACCAATTCGTCTATCTTAACCATAGAGGATACAATTAGCCGAAACAAGAGAGAGTCGCTCACACATGTCACACTCAGACCCTCACTTGATTGTTCAGGAACACTTTCGTTTTTTTAGTGACTATAACAGGCAGAACAACTCACAGACAAGGGCCGCTCGGGGCGACAAATCAACTAAGTATGTGCAAAGAAATCAAAAGGCGCAGGTAAAAAACTTCATCCTCATCCACGAATCTTCTTGGAGTAATCATATTTAGCCGCTTCGAGATCTCTTGGAGCAGTTCGTTGCGTTTTGAGCAGCGATCAGTATCTATTGTCGCGGTCTCGGAAATGAGCAAAAAAAGCTGCAAGTAGTAAAAGTAGAACTCAGGGAGTCAAACAAGACCCTCTTCACCGTCTGCCTTTGCCGCCGCCTTTCCCCGGTGGCAAGAAATCGCCCATTACGTCCGGTGTGTCCCACTGGGCCAGCAATCCAGGTGAATTTGTGAGGAAGCGCATTTCCGTACCCTGTTTGTGACTCGGATGAATGCCGCTGAGGCCAGCCCAAGCGCCTTCACCGGGAACGATAGGAGGCCGTCCATCATCGATTTGATCCATGGGTAGTGGTCCGATCGTGGCTTTGGTCCACCAGTAGTAGCCATGCGAGTCATTGACAGTTGGATGGACCATCCAAATCGGGTGCGATGACTTCTTTTTCGAAGATCCGCTAGATTTCGCAAATGAAGAAAAGAGGAGGGAGAGGAAAGGGCGAGAAACCAACGGACGCTCGGCATCAATGGCAAGAGAATTACAAACAAGGACTTACTCTGGTGTAATCATCTCGTTCTTAGAGCAATCTTCTATGGTTCCATCGACGGGATAAAAACGTGACGAATCTAGTATTTTTGACATCATTCACTAATTTCCCGGAAAGATGAAGTGAACAAGTTAAGTAGTAATCTGATTCTTGTTCCATAAACTGCTTTTTCCGCTTTTCGAAGATTTAGAGCTGCTGCTACTACTGCTACTGCTTCCCCCTCCTAGCTGCGCTTGTGGATCACTGTAGTAGAACAAGGGGTCGGAATCCTTGTGCAGACGCCGCTCGAATTCAGTCGGCCACCGCACATGCATCGACCGGGTACTCTGCTCGCTGAACTTACGCTTATTACCAGCACCCCAGTTGCGACATTTGTCTAGTCTCGCTTTGTCCAAGTCATCACAGTCGTCGTCAGGGTTCTGCGCGTAGTCTCGTTTCGGCGTGCCCTTGAGATACTCTGGACCAAATGTTAGAAAAAAGACTTCGACCACAGAGGGCAGACATAATCTAGTCAAGTCTACTTTTATGATCCTATATTAGTGTCGGATGATTTACCCTGGTAGGTGGATGTTGAAGCTTCTCGTTCTTTATTCAAACCATAGCATTCGAGATCCAGCTACAAGGCATCAAGAAACGGCGATTATATATACGTGCCTATAATCTTCTCCTTCGTAACATTAGTGGTCCCAAGGGGTTGCTGTGGTATAAACCACCGAACATCGGCATCATTGGATTCTCCATGATAGGATGTCGTTGGACGGTGAAACCAATGTGCGCCGCTTTCCCTCCCAACGTCTCCCAGCCTTCTTGCCAGTGAGAAATCTCCATGCTTAGAGGCAAAGAGTCAGAGTGCTTTTCTCCATGGTATTCGATACTAGGAGCAGGCATAAAGAGGAAGTACTTAGTAAGTAAGTATGTAAGTATCTCCATAGTATTGATCCGGTTGCATTTCCTCGGACCACGACAAGAAATATTTTCAAGCAGGTCAAATCATCATGATGATCTCGATTATAACATGATTGAGTCTTTCCTAGTGGGAAAACAGCTACTGTCATTCTGGATTTTCATAGCTTTGGTTTGAATTTGGCAACGTTCGTTAACTTCAAATCGAACCAGTGCGGCCGCGGGTCATACTTCGGTACGCAAGGAAGAGTCATCGTTTTTTTGGCGCCACCCACTGGGTACTGAGAATCGAGATTATCATTAATATCAAAGACACAAGCAACATTTGTTTATTATAGCAACAAACATTATATTTAGTGCCATTATTCCGAGGATCATTTCGAGGATAAGTAGGCCTACTGCAAATCACGCGTCTACAAATGAGTTGCTCCAGAACAAGAACTACCAGAAAGCTGAAGTCCCAGTATCCTGGCTCCGGAAGCTTGAGACCGAGTCTAGGATCGTATATCGCATCCCAGAGGATTCTATCTGGTTTCCCGTCCATCCCGAACTCCTTCAGCTGGACATGAATCCGACTCCAAGCGTTTTTCTTATCACGAAAATTCACAGTCGGCAACAGAAACCCTCCAGGCTTGTAGTTTCCTCCTACGAAACCCATAGCAGTCTGATAATCACTCGCTGCCTGATCACTGCAAACGAAACGCCCGCTTTCACCGCTTGAAGTCTCTTTATAATTCAACTGGTCGTGGAAGGAAGTGGGGCGTTGCAGTAAAAAAATAATGACAGGAGCATAAAGTTACTGTATAAAGAAAATAAAGTTCACTACTTATATTCATGACTCAAGCCCAACACTGACCAGACGAAATCACTGGAAAGGTCTTGAATAGTACGAGTACCACAGAGCAGCAGCCACCTAATCTTATTCTATCTATTGATAATATTGACCATGAAAATATTGGACAAATCGAAAAGGTACCCCCGGCAGTGATTTCGCTGCAATATTGGTAGAGTAGATGTCTGTAGACTGATACTGCAAGTGGATGAACGGCTTGCCCAAATGTGGGCCCATTGCAAGCGCGGTCCACATCTGCTGCGATAGCTTCGCTGGTGACCATGTAGACTTGTTCCGCTCCTCAGTCATGGGGATTAGCCGCCAATAATGTTTTCAGAAATAACAATAAACTTTGAAACTTTGATTAGGATAAATAAATATGCTCTCGTTCATGTTCACTAGGTTATACCAACCTGGGAGTCCTCAGGACAGACAGCTTCATTCATTTTCGACGGAGAAACTACAAGCAATTTGTGTGCGGACATTTCAGTACATTCACAGGAGCGAGTTTAGAGTTCAAAATTGCCGTAAATATTTCACGAGGTCGATGATGTAGTCGTTATTTCCGCTCAGCTGGGAAGGATCTTTGCCGTCGTTCCTTCCTCGTTTTCCTGATGATTTCCGGCCACGGCTTCCACGTGACCCGCCACGACCACGAAAGCTGGTCGCTCGCCGACGAAGTGAATTTGATCCAGGGGAAATCGCGTTTCTTCCTTTGTTTCGCCCCAAATTCACCACCTGGTCTGCGAATGACGTGCTACGCTGTACAACGTGCCGCTCCAGGCGTGGAACATGATCCGGACTAGGAACCTCTAAAAAATCCTCGAGACCACACTTTTGATGGCGAGCACATGTGGTGCGGTGAGCTAGCGCCTCTGAAGTACCAGAGTAATGACCGCGCCATCCTAAAGACTGATCATCGTACACGGCCGGGCATTGCCATTCTTGTCCGTCGTGTTGCCGAAAAAAGGTACTGACTACCTCACGACCGTGAAGGTTGCGCCGTTTGGGCGGTCGACGATACCGCATTGTTCTTTGAGAAGAAGACGACGATGCGGTACCGCTACCAGCAGAAAGCGGATGTGGCCCGTCAGTGACCTCCGCAAAGATAGTCCTCAAGTTCCGTCCTCGCAAGGTCGAAACCCACGACGAAAGTACCCCCGACGCGTCGCCACTGATCAAGCTGTTCAGTAAAATCTCAGCTAGAGACCCCATGACTCAGCCCAGGGCTGCTTAGAGAGCGCACTGCACTCCGAAGAATCATTTACTAATACTCTTTCTTTTGCTTAGGCATGCGACAGGTTTTTGGGTCTATCCCTGGAAACTTCTCAACTACCAACGAAGCACTCTAAATTATATGAGATGAACATTTTTGTAATTATGAGGAAAGCACTATTATGACAACCTTAGATTGTTTCTTCCCGAGGTACGAATTTACGAGGAAGCCGCGTCATCGAAAAGCAACTCCATTGCCCAAGAGTCTAGCTGTGCCGAACGACGATGAGCCTTAACGACCGAAGAACGTGGGACGATCAAATCGCGAGCCTCGAAAACGATGAATCAAACACTTTCATTCAATGCCCGTACCGCTGACGTGGAATTCTGCCAGGCGGAAGCCAACGTGATTGTAATGGCACTTAGCACTTAGGCTCTCCAGAAAGAGAAAAGCACGAAGACCCAAACACAAAGAGACAGAGCAGGTCGTCTTAGTGAAATGTTTCTACGCCTCTGCCTTCGCTACTGCTGTCCCTTTCCGCAGTTCGTCTGCATTTCCTGCCCCCCCTTCACCTTCTACTTCATTGTCGGCCGCTCCTTTGGCGTTTCCAGCGGCAGCGCCTGCGCCTCCAGCTTTAGTCGCACCACCTGCCTTGCGCTTTGGACCTACAGACGGCGGAGTTTCTTCCGGTTCTATATGGGCAGTCTTCAAAGCGACAACCGCATTCGACACATACTTTTCAGTAAGCTCAGAATCACGCGCTCGCCCACACGTTTCGACACGCGCAGCTGCTGCAGCTAACTGCTGCTCAGCACTTGCATTGTCCATAAGACGTAGACGGAGTTCGCAATCCGGCAGGGACTCCTGTATTAGAGCTTCCCTGGTCAAAATCTACAATTAGGTACTTGATTAGGTATATCAAACACGATGACACACTGTGTCACAGTGTACAATTACATCTTCCAGAAGCGGTATATCAATTTCCTGCATAGTGATCGACTCGAAAGCGAACCAGCTCTCAAACATCATGTCATGTCATGTGTGCGCTCCGTGCTGCGATCCTTACTCGATCACCTAAGGAGCAAAACTTGGAGGACCACCTTAACTTCAGCAACAGGCGGCCACTTTGTGGATTTCGGACACTGAAGACACGAATGATATCCCTTTGCAGCGTCCGACACTGCTGAAGGTGCCGTCCGGTGTCTAGCAATGCGTCTGTGGCCCGCTCAATATTCGAAGGGCATGACTTAAAAGTGCCGTCTTTCAAGACCGTGTCAAGCTGTAGAGGAGAATACAAAAAAATTTTTGGATTCAATATGTGCATTTTGGACTTCAATGAATCCTTTTACCTAAGCATTGTTCATGGATCGGAAAATCGTGCTTACGTAAACTGACATTTAGCCAAAACGACACTGCCATCCTATCTATCTATGTATCACTAGTAAAATATCAATGAATACTATATTTGCCGCATCTTTCAAGGCATTCTCCACGGCCTCTTTCCCGCCTGATTGGCCCGTCAACCATTTTCCGAACGTTTCCAGGGTAACGGGCTTCCCGAATAGAAAGCCCTCACCGGCACTGAGATCCGAGCTCTTTGCAGGTAACCTCGGGCTTTCGTAAAGCCCCGTCTCTCCTTTCAAAGCTTCTTGCCCCTCTTGATTCGGCATCACTTCACTTTTATCGAAAATTCGGTATGCCACATCAGCGTTTTTACTGCTCTTTCGATAAAGAACCGAAGCTGGATCTTCGGCGCCTGCTTTCACTGGTAACCGTTCAAGTTTCCGACCGACCCTGCGCACGCACATGCAGCGCGGACCGGTCTTTCCATCCGCACCGCAGAGACGCCGCGACATCGTGTCAGCTGAGTAGCCGTAACACCGTTCGTTCGGAGGAATCTTTCCACTCTCGTTGTTAGACGAGGAGGTACGAAATTCTTCACGTACTCTAGGCTGTAAAAGAGGTACGAAAAGCAGCGTCCACAATAGTTAATAGTTTTGTTCAGTAAAAAGCATTGTGCGAGGAGGAATGATAGAAAGTGCCATTATGCTAGACTAAGGTCATAACTCTGGCAAAAAAATCGCACACTCCTCGGTTCGCTTTGTCGTAACGTCCCCAGACAGGGCATCCTTCGTTGAACTCCGTTCGAACTATACCACTCTTTAGAGCTGGGCCAGCTGGAATCTGTATCGTCACCTTGCTAGTTCCCTCGGAGGCGTTTTTTGCTGTCTCCGGCGCAGACACCACCAAGTCTTGCATGTTTTAGAAGCAACTATCTATGAAGTTTAATTTTATATCTTGTGCTTGGTTAAGACACTGCTACGAATCTTCAACATGCTGACACTTTCTCTCTTAAAATCACACACGCAAAGAGTGATATGTTGTTGTTGAGCAGTTCGTTTGGTACCAAGAATGAATAGTACCTATACATCAATCGAAGGCCTTAAAGATTAGCGCCACCCCCTGGCTTGACTGGTGAGTGAGCGATTGCATGCAACTTCGACGTCAGTGGTAAAAAGCCGAAAGTGCGCACATCTGATACACATTTGAAGCCTGGGTCGCAACGTTCTAGGTCCGTCCCCGCATCGACACCGTCAATAAAAAGTTCCTCAAAGACACTTTTCAGACTTTTAACAAGCATCCCTGTTTTTGTAGCGCCACCTGAGTGTCTACGAAGCCTTCGGGCTGCGCGTCCGTGGTTCGCCCATACGCCATGATCATGATCGACCGCATCCTTTAGCTTTCGCGGGACCCCTACTGGAGTCCCCTCAACGCCTGTTGCAAGCAAGGCTTTCAGGACCATTCTTTGCGGCGTCTCTTGTCTCAACTACGAACACCTTATGCTAAAAGTAGACCAATGTGGTGCACCACAGCTTTGTTCTCGATCAAGCAATGCGTCTGCATGCACTAGACCCGTCACCTTCTACCGTATTAGAAAGTGAAACTACCAAACACATTCATATACGTACACTTACTTTTAGTATGCGACTATGGTCATTAGGAAAAAAACGTAAGAAGCTGAGTATCCGGGATACGGGTGACACACAAGTAACAAGTCATGCAAGTCATCTGTTTTATGGTGTTCAATGCGTATTCCCGCTCAGCGTCTCAAACAGATTGCTTCTAGGGCGTAGCTGGCTCTCGCTAAGCTAGTACCGATAATTGAAAACATAATATCTGTCTAGGTCTACTGAATACCGATTTTTCCGATGCAGATATGATCCTTCATCTTCTGGACTCGAGTCTGTGAGGGAGCAGGGAAGGTTATAAGAGTGAGAAAACCGATTTAAGAGCCGCTTGCTGAGCACAACCGTTTGGAACCGACGCATAGTCGCATCACTAGAGGTCACCATTAGCGGAGGAACACCGCTAGAATGCCAGCCACTACAGGAGCACTGGTCGACTGGCCGCACGTGTCCGTGTGTCCTCACTTACACAATTCCATTCTGTCTCTGCTGAAAAAATATGGAAAATAAAAGCATACAGTCTTTTTCACTACATTTTCAACAACAGAATTTCATACATTTGTTTCTGACCCCTCCACCTCACATGGAAAACGGCTTACCCGTGAACGCTTCCTGCCAGATGCATCCTATCAATGTGAATTTGGTGGTGTAAGTTCCAAAGAATGTTGTTGCATTTTTGAAGATGAAGGTATCAAACAAATATTGAGAAGACCGGAGTCTTTACCTCCTGATGAAATTCATGCAAGTAGAATGATATAGTTTGCAGTTGTATATTGCAAATGCCACTCGAACTTTACTTCATGCAAGTACTTTTGAACGTCACTTCATTACCTCATTTGACTTTATCCTGAATCTAAACACGGTGATCGTAGTATATCACATTGATTCTGAAAGTACATGATTTTACATACAACCTCAAAAAACGACTTCTAGATGCCTTCAATACTGACAGGCACATCACTTGCTTTCGACTACTTAAGATCGCCACTGGGAAGGCACTGCGTTCGATCCACAGCCTTGAATGCGCTCCACAATGCCAAATATCATATCCCGTAGTTGTGGCCCCACAGAAGAGACACCCAACATGATTCTAGATGCGCAACTTCTGAAAATGTGTTGTCAATGACAAATTGATAGAAGATAATTTTGCAAATTTTGTTCATAACTTATCGGAACCCCCTTGTCCTGTTGGACGACTTCACCTGACGCAACAATCGGAGAATATCCCATCAATACTTACGTAGTATGTCGTCCCGTGTGTTTGTCTTTATCCATGTAAAAAAGTTGTTCCACCCAAAACCACAAATAAACATGGAAAGAGTGCTGTAGCCAAAGCTAGTATAATGTCCTCATCCCTTGAATATTACCAATTGTATACACCAACCGAAAAAAGAATGACTGTAGTAAGCAAGATTAAAAATCGATGGAACAACATCGATGTCTTACTATGCCCTGAACTGTTCTGGGAACACATTCCTATGTTGACAACGGTGCTGAGTCTGTCCTAAATGAATCGTTTGAACCTATCATACACTCACACAATTTAAGAGTGAAACAAATCATCAGTATGAATAAATCTATTCCCCATAAATCTATCCCCCCAATAGTGTCATGCCGATGTTTTTACCTAATCAAATAATCTTTCCCTGCTGTGTAAAAAATATGTATACCATATAGATACAACTTGTATGAAAAAAGACGCTGTGTGACTCGATCCCATGTCTCCAATCGACCGTCCATTTTCCCGCATACAACATGATCTTTATCGCCTGACATTCTTATGATCGAAAAACCTGTTCAAACTTTTCATGCTTTTCAGATATGTTTGTGGAAGTAGACAAAATTGTGTCGACTCACACGTGACTCTCATTTTGCGGAACATCTAACTTCTATCCATGTTGAAATGTTCATAAACTTTTGATGCTGTGTCGACAAGGATCATCAGATAAGCATGGTTTCTCCATTGGCTCCTATACTAAATAGTGACCTTTTCTTTCGAGGCAATAATCTTTCTTCATCAAAATCCTTTTACAAATGAAAAAACCAGATGATAAAGGTTCTAGAAATGCAAATGCTTCTACAAATCGCTCACTGGTCCTCTAGCATTCGTAGTTTCTTCTCGCGACGCAATGGAGCCTGCTCGGCGACAGTAGTTCGAAAGCAGCGCCAGCTCTGACTCCTGCAATCCAGTTGTGACGAGCGGAGCCGCTGCCATGAATTCCTGCGGACCCACCTTTAGTGGACCCTTGTTGTAGGCAGCTTGAGCAGCTGCAGCCTGGCTGCGCCTCTGGTCCGCGGGATCGAAGGGAACGAACAAGCTCTGAGACGTCGTTGTCTTCCTGGTCGATGCTCGCGCCTCGGTGGCGGTCGATTTGCGAGCGGAGAAATAGTAGGACCCATTGTTATCTCTGTCGCGTTCCGCAAAATCTTCATCATTGGCTTTGTTCAACATTTGCTCGTTATTGATATAAGCCCCACCGTCATTGTTGAAGGAACGAACCATGGTATTCGAAGATTCCCTGTTCAAGCCACTGCTCACGTCCGACTCTCGTTCAACAACGGATTGAAGCATGGTGCTGCGCTGCGAAGACGGATACAGCTCTTGGCAGAGCTTCAAGAGCTCATCAACAGTCGGCGGCTTGCCTTCGCGGTTGACGCGTTTCGTAACTTCCTCAAAGTAGACACTCCTTGTCGGACGACCCTGTTGCACGCTGTAGTCATCAGCAGGAATACTAACCGTCGACTGTCCCCGCTCCCTCGGGGGATACAACTCCGCGCAAATCGCCAGAAGCTCATCTGCAGTCGGGACTGGGCGTTTTTGGCGCTCGTCGGTCTTCATCGAGCTTCCGCGGAAGTAAATCTCGGCACATAGACTGAGGATCTCGTCCGCCGTAGGCGGATCGCTGGTCCGCGTGGCCCTGATAGAACTATTCTTCATTTGACGTGTATCCGAACTCTCGGCGACGCCAATGCTACTATCCAGGTACTGGCTGCTGCGTGCCGCATTGCTGGTGCTAGCATTGTTGTAACGGCCGGAAGCCATGGAGCGCCGTCCAGCAGGGTAACGCTTCGCGCACAGTGCCAGAAGATTCTCCTGCGTGAACTCCACTGCAATGGGAGCAGCGTTTCCACCCTTAGCAGAAGGAGACGACGTGGCGTGATGTGGTTCCGGGAAGTGCGACAAGTACGAGCACACGTCAAGCATTTCGTCTACCGACAGCAAATTCTCTTTCCTGTTGCGGCCAGCCGCACTGCTGCTACACTTGTAGAACTCGTTTCCACGTGTGACCGAGAACGGTGCGCGCCCGTTGCGACGGAGGTGGTAAACATCGAGCTCATCTTCGCGGCCATACGGCTTCAACTTTCGCAAAATCTGAGGACTCAGTTTCTGAACGAAGCAGTCATCGCTGCTATTGGACCGGGCCGAGCGAGTCTTGCTCGCTTTTCGCGAACCCTGCTGATCCGGAGACAAGTCTCTGTTCTTCTTGTTCTTACCCAAATGCTGTCGCGCAAGTGTATCCAAGAGGTAACTGCATTCTCCTAGCATCTTATCCACACTGGGCGGTTGTCGTGTGGGACGAAGCTGGAACTCAGCTCGGATATCAAGGTTGCGCGAGCGCAAGCCATCGCGGAATTCCTTTCCCAACGAAATATCGTAAGGCGCACGCCCATCTCTGCGGATATGCCACACTTGTGTGACATTCGCTTTGCTGCCTTGCTCTTGGTCGTTCACGAAGAGCGGGTTTCCAAAGACAGGATGCACGCGACCCCGGCCGCGTCGCAGGCTGAGCTTCTCGGCTTTCAACAATTCGCGAGCCATGTTGCGACGAGACAGTTTTTCCAGCACTTTGTCTTCTTTCCTCTTCAGGTCTGAACTGCGGCGCTGCAACCACTGACGCTGTGACAACGGAGCCTTAATGATGCTGGTAGAAGCTTTTGCCGCCGCCCTGGTGCGGTCGCGTCGGTCCGTAATGTGCATGCGCAAGCGCGAGCGGCCAGCCTGATCCGCTTTTGGCGTAGAAGCGGGCGAGCGACGACGATAAACAGCTTCCTCCTTTTCGACGTCTTCTTGTGATCGCGTGCGATGTCGCAGAGAACGCTCTGCCGTGTCGATGCCCAGACGCGGTCGGCCCTGACTGTCAAGAGGGAAGAGATATCCGCGACCGCGATTCGAGAACATCTTCCTTTTCCTCTGAGCTGGTTTTCCAGTGGAGGCAAAATACCCGTCTCCAGCCTTCTCGATGATTCGCAGTTCCTGCTCTTCAAGTTCCAGCTGATCCAACGGCGTACCTTCGTCAAACCGATTTTGCTCGAGTTCCTTGGCGTAGCGCGCGTCGTGGCGGCGCGCTGTGGCACCCTTGTCGCGGCGGGACCGTGCGAGATGCGCTCCACAAGCCAGCTCGCGGCGCAAGATGCGGAAAAGATTGCGGCGCGTGCGCTTCGTGTGGATCGTCCGATGGGCAGACTTCACACCGCGGATCTCGTCCTTGGTGCGGTTCCACGGCGAGTCCACTGGATGGTTCGCGCGTTTGAAATCGAATTCCTTCTTTTGGTGCTGGGCGTCGTGTCCAGCGTAATTTCCGAGGAAAGCAAAGTCGCCACTGTTGCGAGCGTTCTGCTTTTGAAAATTCGCCGAGAAAGCAGACAAGGCTCCCTTGTTGCGGGCCGCCAGCTGCACGCCATCTCCTTCGAAGAACTCGATGTCGTGCAGCAATGTGGGCAATCCGTCGACCGACCAGTCGAGGCAGACTTTCCAGCTCGAGCCCTCGTATGCGCGACCACCGCGCGGCAGACCGCGGCACGACCAATCAAGAGTCAACGTGTCCCAAGGGGACGAACGCACAGGAAGGCCCTTGCGAGCCCAATCCACTGAGGCGACATCATTCTTATCGCAACCGACGCAAGCCATAGCAGTAGCACGGTGAAACTGCCAAGGCAAACCACGTTTAGACCAATCCATTGTGAAATCCGCACGAGTCCAGAAATCGCGTTTACTCAAGTTCACCGGATCCGGAAGACCTAAGCGAATCAGTCACGAAACCAATATCTAAATACTAGCCTGCATACGAGGATCACGGAGAAAGTACCCGACACGATATTAAGACACGCCAAGAGAAAGATGGAAGACAGTGCCTGAGAGTGTACATTCATCGTAGAATTCGTTTTAGATGATCGTAAGCAAGATAGTAGTACCAGTCTTGCTCCAATCGCAAGGCACAATGAACTCTTCCAAGTGTTTCCAGGGCATGGCTCCCTCTGCAGACCAATCAAGGACTTGTTCCGAATTGGACTGCTTCGGTGCTTTAAGCTCCTTCGGCAGGCCACGCGTGGACCAATCCACAGCCTCGAAGAAGCGTCCTCGTACTTTGCTATCACGCTCCAATTGCGAAATCGTATTAGGCACAGCAAAACGCAATGTCCAATAAGCGTCGCGTTCACTCCTGTAGAGGTGTTTTGTTGGAATCATACCATGACATCCATGTGATTATGGGATCTAAATCTATTACTATTACGTTATCCTAGTTGTACTAGCGTCGTAGTAGTTACGCTCTTAATTACTTGCGCGTAGTTTAAGTTTCGCGTTGTATTCGACAACCTACACAACGAGCGAAGAATCATGTGACACAGATGCTCCAGGGTGGACTTAGAAGCAAGATTTTCTTTGTACTAGCTGTATCATGATCTATTTCTCAACGTCTGGTACAAACTAGCAGAAGTATATACTTGCTTCGGAGCGGTGGATGCTTTTTATGGTGCTTGTCGTATACGTAGGCTCCTTCATTGAGGGAATTGGGGAGGCCCGCATCCGACCAGTCGATCGGACACTGGCGATCACGATGGATGGTTTTTCGCAAGTCGACTCCGCTTTTGGCCCAATTGACCCAGCACACGTCTTGGGATTGCTTCCAAGTATAACGCATCGGCTGCTCTGCAAGTTTGAAAGAGCGTTCGAAGTAGGACCCAGAAGCATGTAATTGTTCTCGTTGCGTCTTGCTGGAGGTCGAGGATGGAATTGCAACTCTTTTACGTTTTCCCGCAGTGAGCTCTCCGTTTTCCCACACGTACGTGTCAATCGTCGTGAATTCCCTCCGCGTAACGAAGTCGCGGTTTTTTCGCAGGTTGAAGCGCGATGCAGAGGCATCGCAGGTTCGATCCACTGCAAACGTAACGGACATGGTGTCAAACCCCCCTACTTGCGTCCAATCCATCGAGAGGTCGTCCCAAACAGAGCTCTGCAGCGGAGGCGCGCCCTTCTGAGAAAAGTCGAGCGCCGTAGGTTCCTCGTACTTCTCCTCAAAGCAATGCGGTAGCACGACGCGCTTACTGCTGGAAACATGGTGCTCGCACGCGGCCGTAACCGGGACCTCGACACCCGGCAAGCGCACTTCGGACCAGTCCACCGCCAGCTGCGTCGGCCAGCCGCCGGCGCGTTTGGCGCGTTTCACGGCAACAAAACGCTCGAACACCAACTGCGACGCGCGCTTCGTCTGCGGTCCTAATCTTCCAGACGTGCTTGTCAAGTGTTCGCGCCACACGTGCTTGTCGGAGGTCATGCCAGCCAAATAGCCGAGGGGCAACCCAGCGCGGCTCCAGTCGCATAACAAGGCACCGTGGAAGAGCTTCAAATCGGCATCATTCTTTTTGCTGCTCGCCATCAGAGGTTCGAAGAGGTCTCGACGAGGCTGGCCGGTGCACGAAGACCAGTCCAGAGCAAGCTCATCAAAGACTTGTCGCCGTCCATCCATGTGCATCCACGTGGCAAAGCCGCGGAAGCAGGCGGGCATCTTTTTCGTGCCGCAATTGGCCCAGTCGATTTGCAGGCAATCGAAACCGGTCCACGGCGCGCGAATGGCCGCATTTTTTGAGAAGTTGCTCGTCAGTTTTTGCTGGTACTGCTCGTCTTTGGAAGCGGATTGACTGCACTCGTTTTTCCAGGCACCCTCGACTACGAGGCGAGCACGATTCTGCTCCTTGCTCGCCCGATCGATGTGTGCAGGCAGACCGGCACCGGACCAGTCCAGTTGCCGACTCCAGAAAACCTCTTCCTTTTCGGCAGGACTCAACCGCGGTCCCCCAACTTTCTTGCTCGCGGTCGTGGACGCAACACCCGAATTCCCAGAAGCGTCGCTTTCCAGCAGATTGCCAACTTTGACATCAACATCTCCTCGAAGAGCAGCACCAGTCTTCATCGGTGTTTCGTGAGAGCGCTTCCGTTCGTAGCTCATCTTGCGCTGCATTTCGTGCTTGTTGCGACGCGAGATATGCAGGTTGCGAAGCATCGCGTGGCACTCTTTCAGAAGCGCGTCTGCACTGGGCGTCGCCGCTTTGGGCGCCCCAAAGTGCTTGTCGTAGACCTGCACCGTGTAGTCTTTTCCAGCCGACACTTCAAAAGGCAGACGGCCATCTTTGCGCAGGAGGATCACGTCCTCGATTGCGGTGCTTGCAGTCGGCGCCGGGGAAGCCGAACCGTTTGCAGGGGAAGAGCAAGTCGTCGATGCCATGCTGTTCATAGCGTACATCGCTGAGTTGATTTGCACCGTGTCCGGGACCGCCAAGTCGTCGTCTTCGAAGCCGTTTTCGAAGAGCGTGATTACCTTGAGCGCGCCCGCCTTCGGGCTGGCAATGAAGTTGCGTCCGTACTTCAAACTCCACGGCGCATTGCGGATCTCCGCGGGGATGCCTCTGCGACTCCAGTCCAGGCCCAAATCGTCGGCCGCGGCCAGTTTCCTGCGACCCAACGGTACCCCCGCACCGCTCCAGTCCACCGCTGCGAACTCGTTCTGCTTTTCCCTCTCTTTTCGCGCAGAAGTCAGCGCGCGCACCTGCGCAGGCGTGCCGGACGCAGACCAATCGAGCTCCAAGACGCCCAAATTCTCCGCAAACGGATCGCGCTTGGTCTCGCGCCCAAACTGCGATGGCAACCCGGAAGATGCCCAATCGAAGACCAACTCGCGGTCGAACAAAGACGCTTTCAAGGTACTGGGAAGTCCGGAAGACGACCAGTCCAGCTGTAACGGCTCAGGAGCTTCTGAATTGTCCTTTTCATTCAGAACCGTGAAAATCTTGTTGCCACGCTGCACGAAATCCCCTGGTCTCGCCTCCGTCAGATTCGGAGCCGCGAAGCACATTGAAACCAGGTCTTTTCGTGCCCACAAAAACGAGTTGAAGCTCCTCGTCGTCCGCTTTTTTGTTCCTGGCGGTGTTTGAATTTGATGTGCGGAAGAACGCTTAGTCTTAGCATCTTGATCTTGTTCTTTTCGTTTCGTTTTCGCTTTCTTGCCTTTCACATTTCGTTCTTGGTCCACGAAGCCCTTGTACCACGAAGCCTCCGCCGCGCGGTTCCCAATCGGTGCCGCAGGGCCCAACACTCCTCCACGCAAGCGTTGGCGCACCGAATCCGCTTGACGGCTCGGCTTGGCACCCACTGTTGCCCAGGCACCGGGCAAGCCCGTCTCGGTCCAGTCGCAGTTCACAATCACATCCTGACTGCCGGAGCTCGCATTCTTGCCCATCGAAGCCGAAGAGAAGAGCGGCCCTCCCCTGTAGCCAGTTGCGGTGAGCAAGCGCGGTAACCCCGGTGCCGACCAATCCAAAGGCTTCGCTTCATACTCCTTCGCAGGGTAGGTCTTCAGCTTCATACGAATAACCATGTTCTTCACGAAGGCATGATGAGGCATCGGCATCCCCGCATCACTCCAATCCAGCAACATTCCATGATCCCAGTACGACAACTTTATCTGGTGAAAAAGTTGTAGTCATGGTATATCCTAATGAGGGGACCAAAATTCATATGTCTGAATTACAGGTGTGGAAGAGAAAAAGCATTTTTACAGAAAAGGACAGAAGAAAAAAATAGGCCAACCAAAAATGATATTTCTGTCATCAACTTTTCGAACTTGTCAATACAGAAAAGTTCTTTCATGCCATCTACGAAACTATACCGGCATTCCTTTTCGACTCCAATCCAACATGATCAGATCTCGGGTAGGCACGCCTCGCGTCTTATTCGACTTCTTACCGACATTGAAGATAGACGGCATTCCTGCCGCCGACCAGTCGACTTTGACTTCAGTTCCCGCCTTGCGCTTCGACAATCCAAAGCCGGCTCGATCGATCACCTACGAGGGATACAGGGCCAGGAGTTTGTCTGACATATGCGTATACTTACAACAAGCATTGATCTGACAAACTCGATCAGGCTTGAAACCTATAATATCACGACCATGACCATCAGAGCCACAATATTAATGATCTGAGGAAGTAGTCGTCCTCCGCACAAGGGGGCTATCAATTAGAAAAAGTGTACCGTAGGAATTCCGCGTTGCGACCAATCAATGCCTTCTAGCGTGACACGGAACAAGGCGTCAGTCGGACCCGCGGCGGCCGTAGCTTGCCGACTGGGCAACAGGGACCGCACGGCTGGGGAGCCCATTAAGGAGGGCGCGGCCGTACTCGGGGCAGCCGTCGACGGCGTGGCCATGTACAGGTTGGATTTGTTGTTCATTCGCTGGTCCATGTACTTCTGCTGCAATTTGGGCGGAGGAGTACCACCAACGGCACGCGCATTTTCAGCGACTTGCGAGAACAAGGGCTTGTTGTTGTTGTTGGTGTTTTTCATCACCATATTATTGTTATTCGACGCAAGAATATTAGCCTTGCTGTTGTTCTTATTTTTGCGTCCCTGCTTGCGGTTGCGGAATTGTCCCAGATCATCGGAGGAAGTGCTCGAGACCCCCAGCTTCGAGAGCGCGTCTTCAGAACTACCGTGGCTCCCATGATTGCCATTCATCGACAAATCGTCATAGGTGTAGCTGCTGTATTCACCGGGACCGTAGCGCGGTTCGCCATGAACCGTGGCGTACACGCCGAGCCCTTGATGCTGTAACATCTTGCCTTGGAGGTTTGTTCGGCGTGGTTTTAGGAGTTTATCCTTCCTTTCTTCTACCGGCTTCTCTTACTAGAGACTCTACGGTTCTCCCTGGGAAAGCTGCTCTGGTCGTTCCACGTGCTTCGCCTCCTCACGCACAGGGGGCGGGATCGGGGCACACGGCACGTCCCTCACGAAGCCCACCAACTACCAGAATCACGATTTGCAAGCAACTTCAGACAACGACAATTTTGACCCAATTTGGGGTGGCCCTCGAGGAAACCATGTATTTCTTTATCTTTTATTATTTAAGGAAGATTAATTCCTTTTTTCCATGTAACCTAGCTAGTAGTTAGGGTTAGCAGTTGTTAGACTCAATATCAAACAGGAAAAATGGATGCGTTATTTATCACACAGACAGTTTGTTATGCTAAGTTTCACGAAAGAATATGGACTATGAAAACCGACCCGCGATCGATCTTGCTTTTTCACAAAAAAAAATATTGAGGTGGGTATAGAACTTTTCATTAAACTATCTTCTTTTTCTAACAGTGAGAAATTCTACGACGCTAGAAGCCTCTTACCTTCACATGAGCTTTTTGACCTGTCTTCGACGCAACTAATTTCTTTGCCACAATTATGAAAAATATGTTCCGACTACTCTTTTTGTAATTGAATATGCTGGATATTGACGTTTGACAATATGATGAGGTCAAAGAAGATAAGTTTCCGATCACAATCACTCCATGTTGTATTGACTTCACGACCACCTCACAAATTTAGTAGGACAGTCCGCTCTGTGCAGGTAGTCAAAGAGCCGATTGACTGAACCAAAAGTGCTAGGCTGTTGCTTGCGACGAATTCACGGGCATGAAGTTACTTAAGAATCTTCTAGTACACAAGAAACTAGTCAAGAATCAAAAAAAAACCTGAACTTACAAATTCAATTTCTAGTAACCGCGCGAAAGAATACTTCTTCAATCTTCATTCATGGATTATCTTTATCGTGGGTATGCAACAAATGCTATGCAACAAATCCTCCTCACGACTTGCTTCGTTTGCTCAAAGAGAGCCGATCGTCCTCGAAGAAAGTGTGGTAAGGAAAAGACGATGTGAAATCACTCAAAACAAAAACCTATCAAAATGATCAAGACTCGTCTTTTTATGGAGATTAAGAATACTCACTCTTATGGAGAAAATTATTTAACAAGTACGTTGTTCAAAATCTAAAACGCTTTTGAACAAACTATTAGTAGCTTTTGGAATTTTTGAAAGGGACTTCGTTTTTCGCTACAACACCTCTGTATCGTCTATTTTTCTGTCCCTTCTCTATCTAGTATCATCCATAAAATTACTACATAAATACAACCAAGAGTTGGTGGTGGTTAACAACTCTGTCGTTGGATGATCAGATTACTATGCATAGAGCAATTGCGAGAATCCAATGATGTGGCAGACAACTAACTGATGCTATGCTTGTTCACCCCTACAATTATTGTCAACTGCTCTCAGGCTATATTATGTAGTTGAATATGTAGATAACAAGGCTGAGGCTGCAACGTTTGTTCTATAAGAGGAACCCCCCTTCTCTTCTTTTTCTCTGAATCGCTGTCCCTGTGGTGATACATTGAAATGGAGGCTTTTTCAACTCGGGTGTCATGACAGTGACACTCATCATGGGAAAAAATACCGCGTCTAGCGATAACAAACAGCTATGAGCATGCATTAAACAATGTTCCCTCGTTTCTAACAAGTTACACAAGAGCAATAGAAAAAATATGTTCATCCGCTCAGAAACAGAACAAAACGCAGAACAAACAGTCCTCATCGCGCCAATCACCCGACAGTCCACCCGGTAACAGAAACTGTTTCATTCCTTGTCAACGAAAAAAAAAGAGCAACGTAATCCGTATGAGATAAAAAAGTGCAGCTCTCAAAACTCGTCGCGCGTTGATGGTGATCAAGCAACACCTGCACGTGCTGCCCCTCGTTAGTACTCAGCATGTCTCAAGCATAACCCTCGTTCAGTCATCTAGTCGCTAAGTCTGCAACTCTCCTCGTTTTTTTAAGCAAATTCAATGCCAAACGGCCACCGACACACTCGACACCAAAAACAGATTTTTTTCTTTTCGAATAACCGGGAGCGAAATCGCACTTTTTTAACTCTCATTCTTTCAACTCTCACGCAGGCTGTTGGTTTCATCGAACAACCGACACTCTCTTGCAGTCTAAAAAAACTCGGGAACCGTTCACACAAGTGGCTCTCATGACAAAAAGGTCCGGAAAAAGGACAAACACATCTCTCTCTCTGGAAGCTTAAGCCCTTCGATGGTAGTTGTGGCGGTCGTTAACCTAATTTGCGTTTGAAGGTGAGGTTGGTTTGGTCCGCTCCTGTCTAAGGTTCTTCAAGTATTAACCATTCGTCTGTCATCGACTAACCCCTAGCACTTCCCATCAAATTCTCTTGGTCTAAGAGCAACGGTCGCCATGAGCAGACGCATGCGCATTAGCATGATCGCCGTGTTTTTTTTTCTGGGTCCACGACACCATAAAAGTTGCATCTATACTAGTCCTTCAGTAAGTCCACGTCCTGCAAGCTCGGGTTGCTTGCTCGTGTCGCAGTCAGGCTGGCCTGTGCCGGTGTCGGTACAGGAGCGCCTACATTCAGTAGGTCTAAGTCACCAACTTTTAAAGTTACTAACAGTATTTCATCTTCACTCTGACGCCAGAGGGTGAGACACCAATGATCGTGATGTCCACTCTCCTGGGAAACCCTTCTTACTAGGGATTTGTGTCACACGAAATCATGAAAAACTACAGTCATAAAACTTGCGGAACTTGGTCGACCCCCGGCGTCGTACCTGTTGTTGTCGGATTAGCTGCTGTCACACCGTTATCACGAGCTAGTTGCAGGTCCTGTGCACCCGCCGGATCTGCTACGATAGTCTGCGACTTAGCGCAATCTTTATGCATCAACTTCAAACATGTTTTTGTCACACATTTTCTACAACGTGAATCCTGAGTCGTCGACGTTGACAACGAGTACTCCCACGCTGTTGAGTCAACATCCATATTATCCTAGTTGGTTTCAAAATTACAGCGCGTGGTATGCTAAACGTAACTGGTGGCCCGTCTGAAGGCTTGCCGGTCTTTTCTTGTAACCATGCCTTGCCTGATTCCATTGTCCCTGACCACCACGTCGCTGTTTTGCTCCATGCTATCTTACTGTTGTCCACTAGGTCACCCCGCAGCTTTTCGGTTTTTTCGTTTAGCTTGTATGTTTGTGGTATCGTCAGGACAGAACCTGGTCAACTTCCAAAATGGCTCCAGTTTTAGGATAGGATAGCAATCGGCCCCCCTGCGGAGAGGTGCGCATTCACGACTATGAATAGGCAACGAGCAATAGTTTCAGATTGTTCATCTATATTCCTAGACAAGACTCTGAAAGACGTTCTCTCTTCTTCTAACCTTCATAAAAAGTACCTTTGACGGCATATGCTAGACTTTCCGCTCTCGCCGCAAAACCAAAATTACCAACGGGGTTTTCCGGGGGTGTGACCTTTCGAAATTCTTCTAGCTGGGCCTTCAAAAATCTTTGCCTTTTGGAGTTTTAGACGAACTCAATGAGTTACAAGTAGTTTTAGTACGGCGTATAAGAGATTCGTCAACATATCACAGAGCCTGAGTACTCCTGGCTATGGTTAATCACGAGTACGAGAGGTCGCTCATCATAAAAGTATTCGCCTGCGATTTGAAGTAACTCGGCTGCGTCTTCGTTGGCCGAATTTTCGACCAAATTCACATATGTTCTTAGAAAACGACCGAGGAGCCACGATGGAATGAAATTCGAGATCAATTTGTTCCTCGTATTTCATCCTTCTTGGCTTATTCTAGACCAGATGCGACTAGGCCACCAGGATGAACATCGTGGTGGATGGAATTCTTTAGCAAGAAGAATTCTTAACTGTAGTGCCCGATGATACTGGCGGATCGCGTCCTCGAATGACTTCCTGTATGTTATTAATGGAGTCTTGTTCAAGAACTCAGCATACAGGACTTTACATGTTCCATGTCCACTTATCAAAGGCAACGAAGTGAATTCCTTCATTCATGCACTCGGCCTCTTTTTTTTTGGTGCCTGGGTCTACAATTTCCCGCAACAGTTCCATTCAATTACCCCGCGGGAAGCCCGAAGCCTGAGGCCTCAGCTCGAAGCCGACGGGCAGTATTCAACCAGTTGGGAACTATACTGTAAGTCATACACTGAAGGCGGTTAGGTTAGGTTAGGTTAGCGGATCCTTCACACGCCAGCAAGGAACGAGTGGTACAATATTTTTTGGTCCATTTCCATCGCCGCTACCACTGCATTTTTCGCTATTTTGCATTGTTCTCGAGCATCCAGAATCCTGAACTGTTGTTCCGACAAATCAACCAAATGCGCCATCCTGATCGTCCTTGTTGGATAAACTAAGGCGACTCTGCTGGTAGAAGTGGTAGGATTAGTAGTGGCTCACTAGTTGCAGATCCAGTTGTAGTTAATTAGTTGGCTTTGGCTTATAGATAATCGCGGTGATGTCAAGTTGTAAATGGCATTGTACTATGAAATTGATAAAAGACTTTACGTCTCTGTTGCAGTAAAAGACGAATGTAAGTATGTCTCTAAAGAAAGACTGCGGAGTGTCTCAAGAACCATGTAAGTACGTCACTGCTTATCTCTCTGCTCTCCCCGGCACGCCTCTCAAATGATCTTCGTCGATCTGAGTGATATGCACAGAACTAAGACTGTGAGGCTTCATGAAACGTTTTGAGAAACAAACGAAATTTGTAGCGACGCGGATCACCACAAAGGACACCACACACACACCGCAATGGTGTCATACCGACGCTGAGCTTAACACCCGCATCCGTGCTCCAACTTCTTCCCGGGGCCTGCGATCAAATCAGAGCTACAGCCTGCTCGTCCTGGGTGACAGAGTCCCCACTGGCCCGTTTTCCAGGGAGACAAATCACAACGGATGCGTTCGCAGTTGTCACCTTCGTGATACCATGGGTTATTCTCACGTCTTCGGCGTATAGCACATAGATCATGCAGTTTGTCATGTGGTCATATTCTTAGTTATACCCCCGCTCCATATGGAGGTATGGAAAGGGACGAGGAATACTTAAGTATGGCATGCTAAAGTCAAGTACAGTATATGCTGTCGCGTAGAGTTGTACAGTAGTGAAATCTCTATGCACTGCCTACTTGACCATCTCTATATCACGTTGAAGCATGCTAGATTGATTGCAGGAGCACGATGCTCGAATGTTCGGCTATTTCTCTCAGCATATATCGATTTGCGATGAATATATTACGTCGGTGAATGGATCACACGTCTACAAGATGTAATTCGTACATTATTAACTTAAAATTCGAGAGCCAGATGTTATAGTCTGTGTGAAGTAGCTTCTGGCACGTCATGCCGTATAGAAATAAGTGCTGTATGGATAATTCTGTATCGATGATTCTGTGTTGATGATTCTCTATCGATGATTCAGTTTAGCAGTGGATTCTGTGTAGATGATTCTGTGTCGTCGATGAGATTGATTCTGTGTAGTGAATGAAATTGATTCTGATGTAGATGATTCTGATGCATGACAGAAGAAGAAGATATAGTTACTAAATTTAATCCGCGGTCTAGCGTTGATATTCACTCTGTACAGCAACCATTGCAGCAGCTGTTTTCTTACCGCCTCTTTGGGGAAGGGCATTCCAAGCAGCTACGCCTCGCCCTCCTCGTCATCATAAACATCTTCCAGGTCGTCGATTTGGCTATTTCCTGCTACCGATGGAAGAGATCCACGAAGAGAAAGGCGGTTTTTTGCGGAACGCGCAAGTCCTTTGGCAGCGATCTTAAAGACACAAAAACGAAGCGAAGGGCTTGTCCCTCTTCTATTCTCAGCAGAAGTAAAAAGAACATCCTTCGAGTTTACAAGAGAGACGAAGTAGCAGCTCCTCGTCCTCTTTAAAGAACCAAACAGTCTTATTTATAAGAACGACCTTATGAGGCTCGTGCTAGTTTATCTTTTCTAGTAGTACACAGAAAAACTGAATTGATAGTGAACATGCATCAGAACTTGATAGATGTTGATGCTGATGCATCATGCGCCATAATAGCTACAACGTCAACGGACGCCTCTGAATTTCGCTGCTGCTCTTCGTCGACTGCTTTGTTAGGATTCCGGTACGTGTGAAAAACATAGATGTAGACGACATCCGCAAGGACATACATGAGAAAGGCGAAACGAAAGGGAGCACCTGCGGAGAAGCCCCGCGCCGCGGGATCGAAAAGTACATTGGCGTAGAGGTAGCATCCCAAGGCTTGGGAGATCTCGGCCGTCAATGAAAAAAAGGACAAACACATCGCTCGTTTATCGGCAGGCAACCGAGCAGCGATGAATGAAGACCTGGGTCGTTTATGATGATCATGCTTTATTTTGTTTGTTGTGGTACACACTCAACGATTTTTACCTCAATTACCATATTTTTCGTTACTGTAGGTATCTATTCCACATGAAGTAACTTGTTGAATCTCGAAGCATTCGACTGCACGACCACATGCTCTCGTGGCTGTGCAAAGCATGCGATAACGTGTCTTAGCACAGCGCATGATGGATCCTCTACCTAAATGGTACTACTTCTACATCAAAAAAGTTGAGGGAGTTGTACCTGATGCTCGCCAGAAACGCCAGGCAGTGACGGATTACGTTCATGAAGACGAAGAACCTGCCGCTGTATGGCGCCTCCAAGGTGTAGACGAACTCACAGAAAAGGTTGACAAGAGAGCCTACAATGAGCAGGGTCGCGAATTTTTCGTGGATTGACGTCTCTTCTTCGCTAAATTTCATCTTCGTCTCCTCTAGGCTATCTTCCTCGTTATATGTGTCGTCGTATCCACTGTGACTGTCCTCTTCCCCCGAGTCGTCACTGTAGTCTCTCATGTAACTACTCGAGCTCCTTTCGCGCCCACCAAGAAAACTACGTCACTGCTTAGAAGACGCACAGTAGCACGGAAAACGGAATAGCGAAATTGTTGATTTATCAGTTGGAGGGATTAACCTCGGACTTATGAGGAAAAACTGTAATCGAAAATAAAAATATTGATGTTGAAAATAACACCAGCCACGTTATTCTTATTCACCTAGATCTGAGTATGATCAGCCGAGAGGAATCAGGCGAGGGAAAATTCTCAACCAGAGGAATCTCACGAGGAACAAGATGATGAGTTGTATCTATATAGTCTGGGCGCACACTGCAGCTGATGCCCATCATGGTCATTCTCCCTGATCAGTATTCCGAAAATGTCAATGAGTTAGATACTCACATTAACAAATCATAAGTCTGGCAAATGGATCGCGAGGGTTTATCGAACTTGACCGAAAACGTCGTCTTGTCAGACACTGCCTCGTGGGTCCCCCAATCGAGTTATTTGCTTCGTCTTCTAGATTCTTTGCAGTTGGTTTCGGAGTTGTCGTGGTGGAGCTCTTCGACCAAAGCGCCTGCAAGTCGCAGGTTCTAGAATTAGATCTCTGGTCTAAAATATTCGCTCCATCTTCTCCAGCCAGAGCTTCCCGTCCTTTTTTGTTGTCTCCTAGCATTAGAATTTGGTAAGAAAATGGATCCGTCCGAGAGAAGAGGGACGCCTTTCAAGTGCGTCTGTCCTCTAGAGTCAAACGCGAACGCCCCAAAAATTCTGAGATCTTTTTCACTGTGAAGACACGGATCTTTTTACTACCAACCATAAAGCGATGCTATTATTCGCTACGGGTCCATGCTTCGCCTCATCAAGTAACACCCGTTCGCTAGGTCTCTCTGTCGAGCTCCTGTCCTCATCAGGATAGAACAGCATGGGTGATGCTGCTTGCCCGCCGACAAATGCGTCGTCCCCGTCTCGCCTGGCGTTCACCATACTCGAAATGGGAGAGTCCAAATCAACCGGGGCCGCAAGCTGCTTCCCACGTGTTGTCCCACCATGTTCTTAGGAGAGTCAATCCAATTCTAATGGTTGATAAGGATTGAAGATGGGAACATCAGAGTCAACAATTTTCAACTGACATTTGAAAACAAGTCGGACTCTCAGTTCTGTACGTCATTTTGTGATATTCAATGTAATTCAGTAAAACAAGATTGAGTAAGTTCTTTCTCGAGAGCATAATGTCGTTCTTCGTCGTCGATCTCGCGCACGCCATCGACGCTATCAATGATTCTTGAACTCTTAGCTGCAATAGAGTCTTTACTTCCACTTCTTTGGCGACTGAGAGATTTCTGGACTTCCGAGTACTTGCGAGCGCTAACGGGATCCAGCTTCGCTGCGGCACTACCAGTGGCAGAAACGACAACCTTCACCTTTCTTCGTCCGTCAGCAGACCTCGTTTCGACCTGGAAGATAGCATGATTTCCATTTTGAGCAAGAACGTCTAGTCTACATAAGAGAATTTCAATTTCCCATGACAACAGCGAGACAGACCAACAAATTATGACACCATGATTTCAAACTGAGAATGAAACTCACTTGAAGACAGCATGAGACGTCGTTAATACCTTCTTCATGTTTCCGTAGAGCATAAGCGGGGAGGCGATGAGAGCGACCAGATTGACGCACATCATACACGCGGACATGAATTCCAGATCGCCTTGATGCCAACCCCAGACTGCTATGGAATAGCTGCTCGTGATCTCGCTCATGCACGTCGCTAGAGTGTAGAAAAAGCACTGAACCGTCCACAGCTGAATAAACCCATTCGTGTTCAACAAAAGCTGCAAGTAGGTGTGGAACATCGTTGACAGGTACTCGAATAGCGCGTACACCCAAGCGACGACAACTACTATGAAAGAGGGAAGAAGAGCATGGAGGCTTGATTGATTAATGTACCTGATCTTGACGTAAAGGACCTATTTGCACGGGGGAGGGGAGACGGAGAATAATCATAATGTAGATCACCTCGTCAGTCTGTGTCACCTGTGGAAACACATGTAGAGGACCTGATACGATGCCCTTCCCGGTGGGAAGGTAAAAGCAAGTCAAGCAGCGATTCTTGTCTCAGACAAAACCAAATTTACGCGACCTCATTAAACCGCATCAAAGTCAAACAAGATGGAGATGGCCTACTATTTAATCAAGCTGACGTGACAGACATAAGATGTGAGCACATGGCAAAGGCAGCTGCGACTATAGCACAGAAACGCTTTATTCGTGACGTTTCTTGTGCTTGGTGGTGTAAAACCGTTTTTCTAGGGTCCACTCCTCCCATTGGGTTGCCTTCCTGGAAGCTGTTTCTACTGTAAATTCCGGAATCGCCACTGTCCTTTTGCAAGTTAGAATCAAATCGATCGACAAACAAAAACGAATAGATATGTTGGTGGCTGGTCCGCTACTAACAAAATCACACTCATGCAACATTCTTCATCTTTTCTAGGTTGGATTATAGTTGCAGAATGCAGAGTGTGTAATTTTCTAAGGAACGCTACCGAAGTTGTCCCTTCTTTCCGGTAAGGAGTCAAATAATGAAGGTCACCAGGAACACTGTCTCTATTCCATGTTACGAATAAGTAGTGTCTGTACTAAAGGACAACCAGAACTACAACAAAACTGTAAAGCTTTTCGTCCTTCTCATATCTGATAAACTGCCAGCAATCGCGACCGTGCTTGGTTTCTCCGTTCCGTCATTGTTGCTATAAGACCAATTTAGCCGTGGCAACAAGGTCTCCTTTTCCATTTCACCGGGATTGTCTAGATGGGCTACAAAGTCGTGAATACTCATTGTCAGCGTCTCTGGCAGGAAATTGGCTACCGCAACAAGCAACACGGCATATAGAACAAGCATCGCAAGGTTTAGAGGATGGAAAGGACGAAGAGAGGATCTTCTAACATCAGGAGAAATAAGGACGGCGCAGTAGTTTCAGCATGACTTACTGAATGAATGTACCCACTCCAGGGTTATAAAAGACCACTACTACGCTAATACTTCCGGTTGATGAGAGAAAGCCATTGAAGATCATGTGCCATCATGTGCCATAACGTGTAGAGCGTTGGAAATTCGGTGAAATCGCTCTCCAACATGAACGATGAAATCAAGCCACTGACGAGGACACAAACTTGCGTCAAAATATCCAGCAACGCAAAGACGAGCACTCGCTCGTTGCCCAACGCAGTCGTATCGAAGATCTGCGCAAAATACATAGTGTGAGCAGACGAGGTGCAGCGGTGTAATCTTGATTCTCTTAACGAACAGTTCGTCGGATCTTCAACTCTATCCTGTTTTAATTCGCACAACCAGGACGACCACAGGAGGAAACAAAAAGAATCTCTTACTTATGTTACAAGACTAGGTAGTGGGTACCATGGAATGGAAGGCGATGTAACTTGTTTTGAAGAAGCCACGCACGAGGTACGCGATGACCAGAAGCGTCAGTTCCATATCCACGAAAAGCCACTCACGAAACCTTTGGAAAACTCCCTTCTGCGGCTTGGGTGGTCGCAGTTCGTCTAAGCTATGAACCTCTTCCTTTGTAGCTGTCGCAATAACTATATTTGACGGGTGCGTACTGGATGTAGCTCGATCAACATGCCCACCAATGAGATGCGTATCCTTAGAAGATGCTTCGCCCTTGACAAGGAGTAGATCTTCCGCATTTCTCGCTCCTCCCGGTGCCGCATCATGAGATGCCGTTCTGGTCGCACCTGCTGCTGCAGATCCTGTCGTCACGGAGGCTGGCATATTTGCGGTACTATGTGCTCCATCTGCGCCGGCGGCTTTGGCAGCTGGTGCCACTCCCGTAGACCCCGCAGCACTTCCAGGGTCCTGCACTCCGCCATTTATTCCTGAAGCTGCTGCGGAAATCCCATCGCCCCCCTGCTTCCCTGAAGACGATGCCCCGGCTGCCTGTCCCGCTGACGCACTATCAGCGTGAGCAGTGTTCGCCACCGCCGTCGTTCCCTCAGCGGCGGTCTGCGCGCTCCTTGGTGGAGTTGTCCCAGTCGCAGAAGCCTTTGCCTCGACTACTTCCGTTTTGAACTCTTTTACTTCGTCCTCAGTATTTTGCGCAGTCGCTCGATCATTGAATAGCGCAGGCTTGAAGACCGTGTTTTGCAGCTTTAGCATCTCTTTTGGGCTTTTGGCTGTCGGCGCTTTCTTCGGCACAACCTTCTTCGCGGCTTCTGCTTGTGCTAGAGCTGCGGCTGCATCATCTGCAGCTTGTTGTGTTGTACTAGAAGTAGAACTAGTACTTGCAGCTGCTTGTGTATTTTTACCAGTTGTAGCCCCAGCAGTTGCGGGGCCTGTGAGTTGTTCGTCGGAACTCGTATGCGGCGTTGGCGCAACATTTGCTAGCGAATGGGCTTCCGAAGGCTGTTCCGGCTTTTTCTCTTGCACTACGGGCGCCGCTGATGCCGCTGGGACTGCTTTCGCCACACTACTGCTTGGAGCCGCAACTGCTGCTACTGCATTTGCCGCTATACCTTTAGACTGGGGTTGTTTCTGTCCTTGCGGCATCTGCTCTTGCGGTGGCTGCTTCGCTACAGCTGCTGGCTCTTTCGCGGCAGCGGCGCCGCCGCCTGTCTGTTCAGCCTCGATGAAGGAGGAACTCCTAGAATCGACAAGGTCAAAGGCTGTAGTGACCCCAGTCAACGAAGACTGCTGAGGAAGAATCCTATCGGATTTCGACTGGACATCTTCTAAGCTACCAGCGCTGAGCGGTAAAGACGGGCCCTTGTCTAATCCTCGCCTATTCATCTGTTCTTCTACGGATACTCTCGTCGTGCTGCCAGATGAGGCTGATACAGTTTCCGCTCTACGTGACGATGTTGAACCAGATTTACTCATCTCGCCTAGACTGGAGAAGGATGTCGGCGACGATGCCACCGGAGGTAGGCTCCCTTGTGCTGTAGTCCTAAGAGAAGCTACGAATCCCGATTCTGAAGATGCTGCTGTCGTTATGCTGCTCGTTTGTGAAGACCCAGCAGCTGCACTGGCGGCGGCTGCAGAAGCACTCAAAATGAATGATGATCCTTTCACTGATGGATTTCCGTCGACTACATCGTTCGTGACGGGCTTCCCGTTAAGAGAATAAGCAGCGCTGTTGCCAGCAGTACTGGGAATATTAACATGACTACCGACACCGCTGGTAGCGGTGGTACTGCCAGGACTGATGACACCTGTGGCGACTCCAGCTGCGGTCACAGCACTTGTTGCGGCCGAAGCGATACTCGACACAGTCCCATCACTCGTACCTTCTACTGGGTCCGAGATAAATTAGAACGGGACGAAACTGAATCTGAATATTGTCAAAATTTTGTTCGTCTGGGCCAATCACAGTCGTGCTAAAAATTCGTAGAGAGTCTTTGGCAAGGCTGATTCAATGAAGTATCTACTACCCTTGGACAACTTCAATTTTACTTCTTCACAAGGTTTCACAAGTCCTCTACCTGCAAGAAGTAAAACCTTCTCACGAAACAAATTCTATTTAGGCCGTAAATGTGGCCGAATATCGAAAATATGAGTTGAGTCATAAGCTGTCCTAGTTGTCCTTCTCCTTTTATCATGTCCTCGAAAAATTCAAATAAATTATAGTAAGTATATCCTCCGTGAACAACATGATCAGATGTTAGATTATGAGTTTCTTTGGTCTGACAGCCATAAGGATTATCCACTACAGGAACTGTCATGTGCTCCTTTAGCTGTGCAGACGGCGCAACCCAGATAGCGATAATGAGCAGGATCGAGTAGTAGATGATAAGTCCCCAGATCGCAAAAATGAGCATGTATTTGCGCCCTCGCTTGTCGCACAACACGCCAAACGCGGGAATTGAAATGGCGTGTGCCACACTCATTAAGCAATCTAGAGTGCCTTTCCGTTCCTGCGCTGTCCGGATCACAATATTCACATCGTCGCAGAAGAACGACCCCGTAAACGCCTCACTCAGCTTCGTGTCCGAAGCCCCGAAGAAGGAACTATGTTGATAAGCCGACACTGAGGAGGGTGCGCTACTGCTTGAGGCTTGGTAGTAGTTGTGCGGAGTTATCCCACTAAGCTGCGACTCCTGGTGACGCTGGAGAAACGCTGCCGTAGAACCGCAATTATTAGAAAACAACATCAAGAAGATGGGTCTAGATTTTCAGCTATTCGCTCAAAGCTGTACGTTAAAGGACGACGACACAACAGCACAATATATTATGAAGGGAGGCTTACGAGGAAAATTCCTCGGCTATTTCCTTAGTGCTTTGAGTGTCGCTGGACCTAAGGCACAACATCACAATATATTTCGTGTTTGTCAAGAGATTGACGATCCTACCCATATTGACGGCCCTTCATCTCGATAAAAATATCACTTAGGTGGTGCTGGATGAAAACTACACTACGATATGAGTCTTAACATTTGCCCCCGCGGCTGCGGGTTGTTGCACACTCGCTCCAGGTGAGCCCAAGGTAGCCCCTTCGACTGCTGCGCGCACTTGCGCGTCGTCCATCGTATCGATAGGGTTCGCGTCATTACCGCAGATTACTAGTGTGCGCAAAAAAGGGAGGAGGACCGGCCCAGCAGTGCTGTCGAGGACCTGCATTGCCAGATAAACTCCGTAGATTGGCCAAACTGCCTTGGGCACCATGGACCGCAAATTGCGCATTCGCATTATTAAGTCACGGGTAAATTGTCGCATTTCTTAGCGCGAGTTATACTAAACAAACGCAAGAGTGAACTCTATACAGTTGCTTCCCTATGCTAAATAGTCTTGACCTATTTTCGTGAGGTAGAAGGTGAAGTAAACATGCCTAAACATATACTTATATGATCCCATAGTTCTTTCGTATTCTTGACTTCTTTCTTTGCAAAATGACCTCAAATTTATGACATTGACTCTGCTCAATATCGTCCTCAGTCAAGCCTGTAAAAATAATGTGACCAGCCTTAAGTTACCCGGACCGCAGATCGCAAGGGTCGCGCCCGGCCGCTCCGTGCTCCTCCTGACGCAGAGGAAAAAACATCTCTGCTCCGTCCCCCAGTCCTGGACACATTAGAAGGTAACAAAGAATCGCAAAGTAAGTGAGTAGAATCTTATATGCTGAATAAGAACCCTTAAGAATTTATCGACTCGATTCTTCATCCTTCTTCGACAACCTCAAATGCTTACGAAGAAGACTTCTGCATAAACATCTTCTTTTTCCTCAATCCCTCCTTTTGATGTCCATGTCATTGTCTAAAAAAAGCTAAACCAAATTTACCTAAACAACTGACTTTTATCGTCATAAACTGCGCCCCGTTGAATGACCGCTCGTCTTCTGCATACTCGTAGCTTCTCTCCACGACTCTGTCATGGAAAGAGACCGTTCTTGCCGACCACGGCCTCAAGGACTCTGCCTCGTCAAATTCTTTACTGCTCCGCCGTGGCCCTCGAGCGCTCAGCGCCGAGGGCAGGCCACTTGATATTCCTTCGGGACCTGAATCCGGCATTTTAAAAACTCGGTCTTCGATCACGCCACGACTCCAACAACGCCGCCAGATGTCAAGCAGTGGGATGCTCAATGCGAATCCAGACTATACTTTTCGAGGCCCGAACTAGCGAGTAGTCCTCACTAGCGGTATCAAAACTACGCCTTAGTTAGTACTCTATATTAGCAAGACGCTTTATTTGTTACGCAGATCACAATTACTTCCTTTGGCTGACATGCATAAGCAAGTCGGAATTCGTAACTATGGGGATTTCGCAATGATACAAGATGATTATATTTATCTTTGTATAGAAAAAAATGGTAATCAACAAGAATGCACGGGACGGTGGAACGTGTACGTCAGTATAACGGATGATGAACATGAAGCACTGCAACGTGATATGAAAAAGCAATAGCTTGCTGAATATCAAAGTACAGAGATTGTGAGGGAAGCATATGGAGTAACTTTGGGTATCTATGAGGCCGAACTTAATATGGCTTCACCGAAGTCCGCAAGACCGACAAGATCACTCTCTCTCTCTCGCTCACTTTGTGACTTTTTTATTCCGTATGTAATTCTAATTGCAGGTCTTATGGACCGATCAAGGGACCGATCAAGGCACCGATTTAAACCGATCGGGCATCAGATGTATGGAAGCTATACACTGACATAATTCACACGTTAGACTAGGGAGAAAGATGCACGATGGACTGACATTTTCTGCAAGCTTGTCTTCAAACAGCGCCATCATTACGCCCTCTTGAATTAGGGCCCGGCTGTTGGAAAAGCATCTTCAGATTGGGGCCCAACGAAGGTTGGGCTATTTCTTTTTCAGCATTAACATTCACATTTAATTTTTACGACATAGTAGAATTTGTATTCATTTGAATAATTTCCTAAATTATTTCATGAGCGGTGCATCTGTTCAGAAAAACTTTTTCGGAAGTAGGGTGGTACATTAAATGGTACATTTTTGTTCGAAATGGGTACTTTTACACCAGCCTGAAGACCGACGTAAGCCTTCAGGTGAAGTCTAGGAGGCAAAAACGATGCGCCAGCGTGTAGAAGAAGTGTTTCAAGGTAAGCGAAGAAGAATTATGTACGAGTGGAGAAATGTCTCTGTAATTTGTTCACGTTCATCCCTTCTGAATATAATTGATGTGAAGTCCATTAACTTTATCGACACGAATGTGGTACCAATCAAGTACGATTTCGATGATCATGCCGGACTCCACTACTACCGACACTAACTTTTGCTTATTAGTATCATTGTATTTCTGCTCCAACAAAACGAGTTGGAAATGAATTTCTAGATGGAAGAAAACAAACGACCTTCATCCTATGACTTCACATGCTCTGTAATATGCACCATCTGACGTAAAAAATCCCCTCATGTTTCGATGTACCAGCGCGCTGGTGCGACTCGATGGCTCCTGAAATCTTTTTATTCACAGCACTGTTTCTGAAGATCCTATTACGTTGCACCCAATCATACTCCACCATACTAGGGTTGAGCTGCCCGCAACAAGCTCCCGCTGAGTCCTGACATTAGTGTATTTTATTCACCTGATCATGTCTTTGTATCTATAATAATGTGAATCTTTTTTTCATCCCAAGATCTCTCTGATACTAGCTCCTGGATCAGGAGGACGAAGCCCAAATCAATGATGACGAAAAAAGTCTTTACATCGGTCTACTACGTACTCGTGTTGAAAGTCTCCATGATATTAGCGGATCCGGCAATGTAGACCTCCTTGCAATAATCTATGCATCCTGGACAATTTCAAATATACTGCATAATTCTAAGTATCTATACCTTCATCATCCGTGCACACCATCATTGGGAGCATAGGCGCCAGCAAGCATCTTATGGGCAAAATCTTCCTCATCTTTCGGGGGATTCTTCTTTAGCAACCCTGAGAAGAGGGTGTGGGGCAGGTGGTTGCTGAAGAACGACGATGGGACGGCGGGAGCGGGACCATGTGTGATGAGGAGAAGTTGAGGTATGCTGGACGATGTCCAGTAAAGAGTTCATAAGTCGGTTTCTACGTCACCAGTTACTGGTGAAGATCAAAATTTGTTCATTGAGCAGTTGGCGATCTTATCTTGAATTCATGTAGGAAGACAGACCGGCTGTGTTTATCTCATCATCCAGAGCAAGCTGAAAGTCATTTCAAAGTGTAATGGTGCAATAGTGAACACCATGAAGAGGATCACAATTTCCCATCTACGGAAATATAAATCAAAAAATATTTTTACTCTCATCTGAGCACGTCCGTTTCGCGATTTCCCTAAGATCGCCGTTGCACTGCTTCCACAGACCCCTCATTGATTCCAGACCATCATCATCAGCTCCTTTTTTCTTGTTCTTAGAAGACATGATAAGATACCCAAATAGACGGGTGTGAATATAGACAGGTATCAGTGTGCATCTGAGGTGTGAAAATTAAAAATATTCTTTTACTTCGACGCGAAATGCTATGTGACGTGCTATGTAGGACAGTCCTTCTCGATGAACATGTACTAGGATTCATCTAGCTCCTCCATCATTAGTATAAACTCTCTGATTTGAAGCCTCAAGAACTGTGGGCTGGGGTCAAACATACTCAGTTACTAGTATAGACTCTGAGCCCTTTCCATGAGCTAGGATATCAAATGGCCATAACTTTTGCTGGAGCGACTTTCTTCAACGCCGTCTTCTTGTTGGCGAAGGTGTCCGCGCTAAAGTTGTCCATCTTGGATTGTGTTTTTGGAACTACTCGTTTTCGTTATATTTCTTAACACATGACAGCGAGTTTGTTCAGACAAATTTCAGACAAGACGAAGTGTCAACTCAATTACAAGTCCTGTTTTTACCTATTGTTCGCCTTCGAATTGACCTCTCATATGATATTTGATTTACTCTTTCTTTATAAACGTCGATCGCTGCTTATGCATATTTCTTATTACGATAATGCGCCTGATTTTCTAACCTCATTCTGCACAGCATAGGATTAAAGTATACAAATGACATTTTTCTTAAACACTACGGGACGTTACAGTACTTGATTCGGCACTGAACATGTCAATAATAGGGCCGCCACGCTGTACGGGTCTAGGTGCTCTTTGATTTTACAACGGAGTAAACTAAAGCTTCTGAAGTGTTCAACGACCTAATGTACGTTTCTTATCGACTCTAGGTAAAGGTACATACTCCTCAGTATACAAGTCGCTCTCGCCGCTGCGCAAATCTTGTGAACCTTTTCTCAAAAGAAAACTAATGTACAAACCACACTTTGCGAGCAAAACTTCGTTGGGCTCTTTTACCCAATGATAACGTCATTTTTCCCTGCAAATAAAATGTCGTTTTTTTATCGACTGCAGTTTAATTATTTCACCAACAGGCTCTCGCACTCACTGCTCTCGCACGTATACGGCTCTCTCGCTTTGCTGATCTTAATTTATCATTGTCACTTCTTATGACCACTAATATTTTTTTTTCGCTTTCAGGAGTTACTTTGTGACTGTCTCAGGCATTCTTTAACGAACACCTTACGCGAATTGCAGATTGCGATCTCTCTCTAATGATACTCGGTCTTGGTAGTGTTGCATTGGCTTATATTTCAGCTTCGTACGGAGTAGAGACTCTCTGTCCTCTTCTCAATGTTGAATGAACACATCAGAACAGCTTGTGTGATATCCCATGATCGAAAAATCAGAAGATCGCACAGTGTAGTGAATCTCGTCTCAAGCAAAACAAATTCAATTCGTCACATGAATCATCAGGCTCTTTGGATTTGCTAATTAAGTTGAGCATGTAAAAGCAGTTGTACACTTTCTTCAAGCGGATGACGACTGTGCATGTCGGACGAAAGCGTTGACTTCCTGAACAGCGTTTTTTATGGTAGTGGTACTAATAGCAGACGGGCACCATCGCCCCCATCCGAAGGGCGCGGCAGCAAACGTTTTTCCTGCGCCACCACGACGGGCCAGCAAGTCCACCAACTCGTTGCCGTCTTCTCCGCTATGACCTTTAGTATGCCAGAAATTCAAGGTTTGACATGCCACTGTCTCAGCCCGTTGATACACAGCGACACAGGTGGCCACGAGCTTCTTATTTTTTTCCGCTTTCCATTTACCGATCCCCACGTTATATGCATATGCGCTGTCATACAGCACCAGGACACGCGGCTTAGAGACAGTTGCAGGACTAGAACTACTTCCCACGTGGTGTGATCCAAAGGCGCACACCCAAAGTAAAGCTTCCGCAAAACCGGTCAACTCCCCTGTATTGTTGCTCTTTGTCTCTGCGCCAAGAAAACAGTCGTCCTCGTCGTCAACTCCTAACGTTTTTTGCCCATGCTTCTGCGTTTCTATCTGCGACCTGGACGACGGTGTCTTTGCACTAGAAGAAGAGGAGGAAGCTAGCCCACCAGACCGCACGACAACAGGTCCTGACAACTCCACGATTTTATGGCTGCGAATGACCTGCTTTCGCGTTTGTGGGGAATCTTGAAGTTTCTGTGGATTTCCAAATACTGCAACACCAAATCCAGCATTACGACTCGCCTGACTTTGTTTCTCATTCCCCGTACACGAGCCGTCAAAATATATGTACAAGTCGTAATACTTCCCTCCACCAGTATCGTTTTTCCGTTCAAGAACACGCTGCCTTCCCGATGGCTGTGAAACCAGCGCACTAGTTTTCCGCCGTTTTGCACTCTCTCCCTCCTGCTCCGCAGTTGGTGAGGAACTGTTTGCCCGTTTCAAGTTCCTTGACGCTGACACCACAGACCCAACTGTACTTGGTAAGTCACCACTCGGCTGTTGAGTAGATTTGCCCACAACCCCAGACGAGATTGCGCCTTTGCTGACGACAGCAGTTGCGATTCCAGAACTTGACGGAGCTCTGCCTCCTCCTCCGACTTCACTTCCCAGGGAGTTCGTCTTGATTCCTGCAGCCTGCGTTCCTCTAGTGACGAAGGCAAGAAACCGGGCTTGTGCTGCGGCTGCGGCAGCCCCGGAGAAAACAAGGCCTTGAGTTTTTGGATAGTACTGCAGACTGTAGTTCCCGCATGAAACCTGCCGAATGCCGGCTGCCTTATCGTCCCACCGGATTTGGGGGCCATGGCCCTCCGCAGTAAGCCAGCTCTCCACGTGAGCGAGCCCATATGGAGATATCTTCTTCATTTTGAGAAACGAGGACGGCGAGCAATTCAAAAATCTATTCTTGTTCTTCAAGTATAATAAGTACCACAACAGTTTGTTTGGCGACGTGAAAGGGAGAGAGATGCTCATTAGAAATTACACAGCAGTCTTGCTTCACATAGACGAGAGAGATCATCAAGAAAGGCGTCACTATAACATTCACAGTCGCAACCTCCAGAATTGATTTAGTAACTAGAATACATATGATCATTCTCAACAGAAGGGTACAACCACCAGAATGTAAATCGAATACTATCGATCATTCTTAATAAGCAGGTCGTGTGGAGACTTGTCATAGTAACCGCGAAGAGATCTCGCGGCGTATCATTTTTGGGGGCGCAGAACCTTGTGCAGGACATCTTCTACTACTAGGGGATCCACACTCGAAATCTACATATTTGTAGACACATCAGCGGTACAACAGATATTATTGAGTTCTAGCACGGATGTGTGTGATCATATGATGTAGATCCGGAGATAAAACAGCTATTTTCATACTCCTAGGAATGAAATGCAATTCGAACAGACACATCTTCTCTGCATTTTGGAAAAGGAGGCCACCGACTTTGACGCTTTATGGCTGATGAAACTCAACACAAGGAAGACGATTCGCGTTTAAGACTGACAAGATCTCCTCAGTTTGTAGGGAACAAAACGAGCAAAAGCGCTTACTCTGTTGATACATAATCTTCAGACGCAACTTTCTGGAAGTAGCAGAGGCGTTCCTCATGCTAGGTTTTCATTTCATTACTTCAATTGGTAAGTCTTCTTATGATAGGAACATAATCCATAAATCCGTATACGCAAAGGAGACTTCGCGCAGAGCTTAGCGCGACATTGTTGCAGCCAGTTCTAGATCGGCACTGTTCACTACGGACGTTCTCAAGCGCTCGATGAGGTCGAAGTCCAGGTCGTTCTGTAAGAGACCGAAGGATGCGATTTCTGCCAGTGTGCTGTGGCTGCGCGTCCAGTTCTTTCGAAGCTCAAAGGCAGACCGCAAAAGATCTACTCCCCCCGTGCTTACAAAAATATCCACCATCTTTGCATCGCGCAGAATATCCTGCTCACCCAGTGAGCTAATGACGTCACCCTTGTCTTCTGTGATTGCGTGTGGTCGTAACGCTGCGTCGCTGCATTCGTCGGCACTCGACGTCAGCCATTCATCTTCGCTAACGGCACGCATTGGGTCGCGAGCGCCTTTTCTTCCTTCTCTGTGAACTAGCACTTCCTTTTCCCCTGATATATCTCCTGCTGCAGCACTCTCCGGATCCGTTTTTTGCGACGTTGTTCTTGAAGAGTGCACGACTCGCTGTTCCGCTCTTTTCAATGCTTGCTTTAGGGACTTCTGGAATCTTGATACTTTCACATATTTCCTGAAAAGTTCGTAGTACATCGCCCACGTTTTCTCCTCCTCATCTGCAGTCGGTCTCATAGATGCGTTGCCACTGCTCGCACAGCCTTCTTGATCATCCACACTTTCTGCCCGAGCTGCATTGCTTCCTGACCGAGCAACTTCAACAGGCACCCTGACCAAAAGTTTTCGCCAGTACAGCGAACCCGACTGCCTTCCTGCTCCACCACCAGCGGCATCAACAGACGATGATGCTGCGGCTCCACTCATCATTAAAACTCCGTAAAAGTTAACAGACGCCGCGCACGCACCGAAAGTGGGTAGAGGATCTTCTCCTTTCAAACCTAGAGCAACGATAGAAGGTAGGAAAGATGGATTTCATAGAATCTGACTCCTCCACTTCTGAGCTTTCTCACAAGACACGAACTACTTACTTCTCTCAGCGAAGACAAACAACTTGGTTACATATTTCCAGTTAAAGGTGCTTCTACTTTTCATCTACTTAGATAGAGGTACAACACATGACTTGCTGTTGGGAATAAATACAACGCAATTTTTTAGCATAAGTTTCGCACATGACATCTTTGCAGACTGACTAAACAGGCTATAAGAAAGTCTTAACTCAATGGCTTCCTTTAGCAGCGTCAAGACTTCTCGGCAAAGTTTGTACTCGCCAAGACCAAGCTTCGCCTCGAAAAGCCGAAAATACTTCTTCTGGATCAACTCGCCACAAGAATTAAAGCAAATTTTTTACAAAATGCACTGTCAATGATGAAGTGAAAGCTGGTAATCTAGTGAACGCTGTTGCAGGAAACAAACTCGTATATCGACTTTCTTCATCTTTGTCGAACCATGAACAAAATGAAACACAATTTTGATGGATAGGGACTTGCGGTTGGAAATCCACCACGCGAAAAATCTACTAGTTCAAACATAATGTCTCGACCCACTTGCCCGTCGTTTTCCGACTGTAGCCATTCGTCGGCGGGGACGGGATCTTCCGCGCCTGAAGTTCTACCTGCGAAGCAGTCGGCTTGTCTGCGTGGTAATTTGAGGTAAGCGGCTAAAAGGTTGAGCCGCAACTTGGCTAGGTATCGGAGAGAGGCATCGTGCTCCTCTCGTGATCGGGGCTCTAGTTCTATAGCAGCCCGCGCACCCTCGCGGTTTAGAGGATGAATGAATGGCAACTGTCAGACTACAAAATAAAATGCAGGTTGCAGAAAAGAAAGTTCAGAGAAAGTATGTAGTGAGTTTACAGAGAAAACTTTAGCGAAATTTAAGGGTAGAGAGGAAAGAGGTGTAGGACTCAGTGAAAGGAACCAGTAGATCGAAGAAAACCTACGGCTACGCAGCAAAAAAAAGCATTTCTTAATCTATTATTGGGTAGGAAATGCGAGACCGCCACCAGGAGTATGCACGCCCGCGCGTGATCCCAATTCAGAATTTGCTATCTCTATCATGTCACTTCTGATAATAATCTCGCTCACAAACTTACTCTACTACCTTCAGCTTAGTCGCTTCTTGGATCTTGGTCATCCTGATGGTCTACCTTCTATCATCTAGTGGGCTCTTCTTGTCCTTAGCATTGCCAATCAAAAACCTAACTTCCAAAACCGAACCGCAAGCTCAAATTGCCTCTTCGCGAATGCTGTTCTGCCTTCGGCTAGCTTTGCTTCGAGGATGAATAGAGGGTCACGATTCACGCTCTGACCGCGGTTTCTTTCAGTGAAGCGTGTTTGCGCCACCACAGTGCGCCGAGGTGGCGGTGCCAAGTTTAAAGTCTCCTTTATCACTATCTAGCATCTCTCTAACTCTCACATCACACGAAAAACAGCTATTGCTTTGAGTGTCAATTACTTGAGATGATTAGCTTAGAGAAGTAGTTCACAATGGATTCGAATCTGAAACCATAAGCCGACAACGACATTAAGAAAAACATTTCTCAAAATTTTCAGGAAGATGTCCCTATCTTCGCATGCATTGGCTAAACCCAACAGAAAAGACCATAAGCATTGACTAGTCGCCATTGTTGCAAATCTTTCCGCGAAAATAACGCTTCCCGCTATCACAAATACCGGCCGCCTGACCAAACACTACGTGGCTGACCCTTTCATGGAAGATCGCCCTCCCTCGTCCGTTCAAGTAAGGCGAGCATGCCGTTGCTCATTCACCAATCGAGCCTGTCATGAGACCCTCCTGAGGCAGAAAATTATACTACGGCGCAATTTTCTTTCCTTCGCTGAAACAGAATTTATTACATCCACGAATTGATTCTGAAACCAAACCTAGAACTGCTCCACCAACGACCTAGACGGACGATATGGGAATTTCTGTGGTCCACCAAACATGCTGACGAAACAGACTCTGCCTCTGCTAAGTACTACCATTCTTGCCAGCTCTCCTGTACCATAAGGGAACACAAAGCCTCTCTCCAAAGAGGCCATACTCATAATCCTACAACAGTAGGTGGACCTTCCCAGGTGCACCAAAAATCAATTTTCACCTACCTCTTGCAGCTACTTCGTCAGTGTGATATAATTATCAAAGACGGGATGCCACTTGCATGTTGAGCGGTAGAATTGCGCACAGGCATCATATTCAGTTCAGTGCAAGGACGTGGCTCTGCGTCCCCAATCCAGGTGTGGTCACCAAGAAGCATTTTTCAGTTCAGTTCTCAGGTACGTATGGTTTATCATGGCGCCGATATCGATATCCCAAGTGAGTTCCCCTGCATCTCTTCTGGCCTTCATCGTTGAGTCATCACGTGGAGAACCTCCAACCCGGAGGTGCCATGCTGTTCCCTAAAAAATAATTTTTTTTTATGTCTTCCTTGCGTTGGTAATAATTCATCTAGCACATAGTCATCATCTTTTCCCTTGGTATCACGGTAATCACGTCTACTTTATCGCTTAAATAGTGCATTCAATGATGTGCGTTTGCTGACCACTCTTTTTTATCATATCAGGTCTTCGTTCTTCAAGGAACCTATCCAATTTAACACTTCTATTCAATTGTCAATACCTATATTCGATTTCACATACCTCTAATATCCAATTGTGCATACCTATATTCGATTTTACATACCTCTATCCGATTTTGCATATCTCTATTCCATTCAAATAGCTCTAGTATTCAATACTCGATAAATCTATTTTTCAATTCGTCTCCCGATCTTCGTATCTCCTGATGGACGTAGTCTACGAACTCCACATGTATATGGCCCCTTCTCACTTCCAATGCTTCTGTGTAAGATACCTCTACACTTCCACCGTTGTAGACAGTAAAAACCACAGGCAGAAACAGTCACCGGGTCCAACAATTATATATTTTCTTTCTCACCGGACTGCCCATCATCTAATAAATACAAACAACCACGTATGCAAGTAATTATTTTCTCGTTCATTTTTTCTGGCGTCGAACACTTTAGTATTTTTCTCAATCCTACCTGATTCCTATCTTATTCCATTCAGTAATTGTTACGTTTTCTCTCGTCCCGAAGTCAGTTAAGTCTATGAATCCCATCATTCAATTTCAACCAAATTCTTCCTGAGCCTGCGCTCTACAAATACAATTTTGAACGTCCACACCCCAGTAGCACCTTCACTTCCATCCTTTTCCTTCCTTCTCTTCCGATCTCCCCTCCTCATCCATTTTCCGACTCTCCGTCGCACTTGCATCCTACGAACCGCCTCCGACTTCATCTTAGAGTACTGCATGTGGACCACAAAGACCAAGTTCATCCCATATAACGCTCCCACTTCAAGCTCCCCCATTCGCCGCACCTCCAGCACTTTCGACCAATCCGCCGCTTGCTGCTATTGCTATGTATATGCGCCTTTGCAACTGGAGGCTTTGAAAATACCAACGATTCGATTACAGAAGCGGAACGGTTGATCCACCCCCAGCTGCTCCACCTCCTGCTACTCCACCACCCGCACCCCCAGCATCTCCGACCAATGCACCACCCCCAGAATCGTCTAAATTTCCTCCCTCCCCACGGGCTACAGCATCTCAGTTCTCCGCAGGCGCCTTAGACCCATAATTGTTAGAGCTACAACTGTGGTTGTATCCACGACCGAAGCCTTGGACTATTTTTCACGCGCAGAAAAAATGCCAAGGATGACGCCGAGGATGCAATTGCAGTAGCCTTAATTTTGGCGTAGAAAAGAAGATACGGATCGCCGCCATCGACTTGTAAATGAAGGTTATTGCGATTGTGCTCTGGCAGCTTCGATACTGCTTTATCGTTAAAAACGTACCAGTCGTCTACCCCACCCACACGACAAGCGGTAAAATAGTGGCCGCTGCCGAGACTAGTTCCCTGGTGATACACCACAGCAAAGAGATCATACAGCGGCACATCAATCTCTTCACCATTCGCCTTGCTGATGTAGCTTCTTAAATTCAGGTCAGTGCGTTTAATGTTGCTCACTTCATTTTGTAGTTTATGAGGTGGTGTGTGAAAACGTACTAGCTGAAAGACGAGCCCCTCGCCCATGACTCCCGCACCATCGATAGCCATAGGTGCAAGGCGCTCCCGCCGCCATTGCGATCCTTCGACGACACCCCCGTCTACTTCTTCCCATTTCTCCAAATTATGTGAAAGAACATCTTGAAAATTGAGTGCTGTGCCAGGCGCCAGCCCCGGGGGAAACATTAACTGGGTGACAAGATATTTGTCCTGGAGCTTTGCCGTAATCAATTGATTCGGTTCCGGACTATCCAGTGCTTCTTGGCTAGGCCTTTCCGCAGAAGAATCTGCTGCAAAACTTTCTTCAAACACATGTCCATGCTCAAAAATCGTCGCCAAATGCGCACGAAGTGAGCCATCGTCAGCTCCAAAATGCGCACCAAGTGAGCCATCGTCAGCTGGCCTCATCATATTCTGAAAAAACTCAGCTGCGTCTTTCTGTGGCTGCTCGCTGTCATCAGCCATCACCTTATCACTGAACTCGCCGAGGAGGTTTTGAGAAATGTCGCCCTCTATCTGACCCTTCATCGATCCAAAAATCTTCCTGAGATACCACGATTTGGAATGTATATCGCCCTCCGCCCATTCGAGCCAGTTAATACGCGCCACACCAGGGACCGACGCGACTGCCTGGAGCACCGCATTCATGTAGCATGTCGCTCCGCAATTCGGCAGTCCCGATCGTCCCTGAGGAGCGGAGCCAGAGGCCGCAAGTAGAGTACTGTGGCTACCGCCCCCTCGTTCAAACATGCCACCACCACCCCCACCCGATCGTCCCTGAGGAGCGGAGCCAGAGGCCGCAAGTGGAGTACGGTGGCCACTGCCCCCTCGTTCAAGCATGCCACCACCACCCCCACCCGATTGTCCCTGAGGAGCGGAGCCAGAGGCCGCAAGTGGAGTACTGTGGCCACCGCCCTCTCGTTCAAACATGCCACCACCACCCCCACCACCCGAGGGCTGGCTTCCTGCACTTCCACCACCACCACCTCCTCCCCCGAAGCCACCACCACCCGAGAGGAGGCCTCCTCTGTCTCCACCACCACCACCACCGTTGCTCCCTCCTCCACCACCAGCGACACTCCCGCCACCACGTGTTGCACCACTGAAAATCCCTTCAGCACGTCCCGCTCCACCTCCTTCAGGGGAAACGGCGGGAGTGCGCGTCGCCGAGCCCGCAGCGGACGCAGGCTCTTTCTCGTCCGACTTTGAACTTCCGCAACAACCAGTGTTGCCAACTTGCACGAGAGACGACGACTCTTCTTTATTCGCAATGATTAGACCAGTCAGCGCACTTAACAGCCATCTTCCCAGATCCTCCGTCTCAGTTCGTTCTTCCTAGCTAGGTAAACTACAATAATGTTGGGAGTGAATCAAGTCTAATTGAGTGCAGAGCCTCGGACTCGTTGAGAATCTGCCCTCCTTCTTATCTTTTTCAATTCCATGCTCAAGCGAACTAAAAGCAAGTTGTACATATCGGGAGAAAACGTCTTCCCGTTTCATTCTTGTTTGAGGGAAACTGAGATGACGGAAACGAAGACGATGGAAAGAATCTAACCATAAAGTTTTGACCGCATCCTTGACAGAAAGCTTCAGACCCGACACCATGAGGCCATATTGGCCGGTCAGCTTGATGAAGACCTTCATTTTCTTTCTGTTATTCAGATTGCGAGCCCAGAGCGTGAACCTGGTGGCTTTCCTTCCAAGTAATTCTGAATATTTGACCAGACGAGAGAGATATTAGTTTGTGGATTTTTTTACTCGTGCTGATAAGAAAAAAGTGTGGGAGAGATGACTTCTTTACGCAAGAAAAGCTCCTCGAAACGAGAAAATGATCAATATGTCAGACCTAACAAAAACAATGTTCAAAGTATTATGAAGGAAGGAAAGTCTCGCTTTCTAATCGTTTTTGAGTACCCACAAGGGAACGAGAGAGGTAAGGTTGTTGTTTGTGTAAGAGAAATCGGCGGCCTAGGCCAATTAGAACAGGGACTGTCAGTTAAGGGACAGTTGTAAGATTCTAAAGATTTCTTTTAGCTTGAAAATCGGTTCCCACTTTGCCTCAGACTCTCTGTACCGCAAACTAATCAATCAATATCGTCATGTACCTCGCGGCCTAGCTGAGGATGATTGTTCACTAGCACGGGTCAACAGAAGATTACTACTCAGACAGAAAATGATGTCTCCCCAAATCTTAGATATGGATCATGTATCCCCTCAACACACCCGTCAACAGACACAATGGACAGAATACAGTATGGAAAATATGGCAGTATAATAACCACACGCGGCGAGTTCGGAACCGATTGACTACACCTCGTGCTCTCAAATACAGAAGTCAGGCAATGACACACGCAAGCAGCCCTCAACATGACCTAGACAGATACGAGTACATCTCCTTGTCCTTCACACTCTCTCAAGCGTCTCGCACTAGCCCATCTTCAGAAAGTACGTAAAGGTTGATTGACAGATGCATGGACACGATCGAGCAGTATAGCCTCTCTAATTGCCAATATGTAGCACACACAAATACGCAGCTGACGACAAGAACAAGAGCCGGAGTGACTATGGAGAACAAATGCAGCCTACAAAAACCTGAGTTGCAGGGCACTCCTTGGGACCAAGTCGTGCTGTTTTCAGTCATTTCGATAGCGATTCCTTCACGCGAAAATCAATCTGGGGTCATCGGAACTACTCTACTGGGTAGTAGATGTAGAACGAGCTCTATCAGACGTTGGGACGTTCTCACTAGATTTTTTGTGCCATCTCACTCCATCATGCGTCAGATCATCTAGTGAGCCGTGTACTAGATTTGTTCGGGGTGAGCCAAGCAAAGAAAAGGGGGTGGGGGCTTGTTTTTCCCTCATTGAGGAGCTCGCTTTCATGTACAACATCGTCAGATTTCATAGCCGTTTCTAGAATAAAGTAGAGGTCAATAGCACGTGTACAAATTGCTTTGAGAATACGGGGACGTCATAGCCGTATCATCTTCGCGGGTCTCCTGTTTTTTTTGCTTCGAACGACTACGTTGTTGCACCCATTTTCTCAATAGTCGTTGTTTGTATTTCAATAGCACCACAAAATTTCAATAACTGATTACTCGTTCGATTTCAACACGATGGATTCTTCATTTGATGTGCGTGCATGCTCCTTCGCATCATTCGTGTTCATCGTTGTGCTCCGCAGTAAACCGTCCCTGTTCAAGAACATCTTCCTCGTAAGGTCTACTGATGAAAAGTCGTTTTGCATTCTTGAAGTTGCTGTACTAGTTGTTATAACATTTGGGGTAAAATCTCCTACATCGACGCGTAGTATTCGTTGATGAGTTATTGTACTAGGATCGACTAGAGTTCCTCGCGGAGCGCGCGTTCGTTCTGGAAGAGTTTTTCCACGAGCTCCTTCTGCGCACTCGTAAGCCTTCGCGGCATTTCGACTTCTACCTTGACGAAGAGGTGGCCAAATTGCGTCGGGTCGTCACGATGTGGCATTCCTTCGTTCTTTACTTTAAAAACTTGGAAGGGTGCTGTCACTTCGTTGGTGGCCACCTTCACCGTATGCCCGTCGAGGTGCGTGATTTTCCGCTGTATGGTCATGTAGACATATGTCAATGAATGGTCATGTTGTTGTAGTTGAGTGTATTTTTTTACCCAAGTACATCGAGGACAAATCATCAAGCGTCGTTTTAATCTGTACTATGTCAGTCTTCCTACGTCATTTTCACATTAGACTTAGATGAAAGACGATCATACTCCTTGATAATGCTGAATTATTTCGTGAATACATGACAACGAGGAGGTCATATTCTATTTAAAATACCGCCCATCCCAGCAGCGATTCTTTAAGCGATATTTTTGCGTTGATATGCAGGTTATTTCCCTTCCTTTCGAACTTGGGATGAGGACGCTGTTTCAGAACCATAATAACATCACCGGGAAGCTGTCCTGGTGTTTGCTCCGCCATATGTGGAAAGCTAATCTTATCTCCGTCCCGCATTCCTCTCTCGATTTCTGTATGGAGATTCGCCGTGTCCTATGATGGGATGTCGATTGCAATTTATCACAGCAGTAGTTCCATAGTCCGACACAGTGAAAACTGGCACTTCTGGGACTGGGTTTTTTATCCCCGATTTCTACTCACTAGTTGTCCTAAAAGCCATTAAATCTTCCAGTATCCTAATGGTACAAGTAACTACTTGATTCACTCCTTCTCAACTAACTTAGACTTATTCACTTACTACATGCAGTCATGCACAGAAACTACAACTACCTCCCGAAAATGTTACCTGGCTGCATTTGTCCTTACTGGGCACTTCTTGCTGCTGCTGGATGACCATGCCTGGCCCAATTTGCTGGTGCACGGTCTTGATTTCATTAGGGCACTTTCCGCAAGACCGGCATTTCGGATGGTTCGGGTCGTTTCGGCACACACGGCAAATAATTCGCCTTCGATGTTTATCTACTCGCTTTGCGCCCGTATACAACTCCTCCAAAATTTCTTAGAAAATCCAAACTTCTATCTCTACTACCTCTAGGTGATAGTGTATCTATTTCAGGATGAAAAAATAAGGACTAAAAAAAGAACTTTGTAAACTTACCCACGGAATAAGAAGAATTTTTGAGAAAGCGGCGCTGTTACACGAGTCTGCATTCTCAAAAATTGTAGGAGCGACGAGAAAATGCACTCAATGTGAGAACCAGACTTAAGTTACTGAGGCTTCCATGCCATGATCCTTGCCGCTAGCCATCTGCTCCTTTACACCTTCCATTCCGCAGCAGTCATATCTAGCCCTCTTCGCTGGATCGGACAACACCTCATACCTGTATTGAACGGATAAGCAAAGCCTACTCTTCAAATAGAAAATCAACGACATGAAGAATGATCTGGATTTAGGCGAATCCACTACAAGGGATACAAAAGGTATTCAAGAAGTACAATCAAACAAGTACAACAAGCATAAAAAATGTACGCTGCTGTCATTTCCTGGTACATCGCGATGATGTTTGGGTCGCTGTTTTTATCTGGGTGGTATGCGAGAGAGAGTTTTCTATAGGCCTTCTTGATTTCCGCAGGCGTTATTTCCTCACCACGCTCGTGCTTTTCGTGCAGCCCAAGGAGTTCGTATAAGTCTTGGCTGTCTTTATACGCCGAATGGTCAAAAACTTTATCAAAAACCGCTGATGCCTTCTCTCGCCGACTACTAGGTTCGCGATTGTCCAGCGCGCGATGTCCGACCAATTCAATGGCCATCAGCTGTGGTAGATAATGTACTAGTTAGGACGATAAACTATCTTCAGTACAGTTACAACATGTATGCTCTGAGTGCGTGCTGCTTAAAAAACTGTAGAGATCGATAATCTTGACAAAAACAAATAGACGCACGTTGAAAACCTTGATAATCATGCGAAGGTAGATTTGATATAATGTAAGGAACTGCGAGATTAGTAAGAGTAGTAAGATAGTAGTATAAATGTAAATATTTCTAACGAAGAATAGTTGTAAGTTGTACGGCATCTGGGTCTTGAGTTGTCGGGAACTCGCCATGCACCCTCATTGTGTGCAGGCCATCCGAACCCCATAGAATAAAGATTTTTTGGGCCCCTTGGTGTTCGTAGGCTGCCCATCTGCATTGACCTGGCATTACCTGACAACTTGGCGTCGGCGCCTCAAAAGACCCGTCCTTATTGAACTTCACATTCCCTTCGCGATTCCAATACCTGTTGTTGATATGGTCGTGTTATTAGCACTTACTAGGATCGACTAGGAAAAGAAAAACCTCAATCACAATAAATAGGATGCTGTCATGGATCTATGCTAAGAACTTTTTGTTGATGGAAACCAAGAATTTGATACCTGACTTTTCTGTGGGATTTGGATTTTCAAAGTCACATTGTAGGTGTTGTTATCAGTTGTAAATGAAAGTACCACTCGGTTCCTTTCATCCAGTTGAATTCTTTGGCAATTTTTTCTTCTATCCCTGGAGGGAATTTCGTTTCTTGTGGCCTTTGTCTCCTTCCTCCCATTCCGGGATGTCCACCGATGTGGATCCGTTGGCCTCCACCGCCCTGAAAAAGTCATAATAAATATCATGTAAGCATTCGTACGATATGATCAGCGCGCAACTGATAGTCGGTTTTTGAAGACAAGAATATCAACTACTAGGTTCAAGGTTCAAGGTCCGCGGCTCTGCGGCCAGGCCGCGTTGTCCAAGAATATTAATTACTACACTGTATCAACATTCTTGAGCATGATGTTATTAATCAGCCACTTCTAAGCTACTTGGGAGTCTTGATTTACATCCCACTCTGATCTTTACTTCCATAGAACAGAAGCAACTAGTACCATATGATGGAATTCATGGAAGCCGCCGCCGCCTCCGAACGCTTGGCTCAGAATTTCTTCGATGAACGCATGCGCACTGCCCAGTGACGCCACTGCAGACAGCAGACCTCGAGATCTACCCATCTTTGATGCTGCTTGTTTACAAGCCTAGCAGGATCGAGCCAACCGGAAAACGGTTTAGAAGCGCGACAGGACCGAATCAAGAGCCGAGAAATGTCCTTTTCCTTCGTCGTGACGAAACAGCCGTTCTCTGAGTATTATAAAAGCCAGGAGGAGGACACTGGGATGAGAGAATAACTCTCGAATTCGCTGCCACACGTAGTCCTTCGCACTGTAGGATACGTGCTATCCTCGTTGGCTTTCTCCTCGATTGTGAAATCCAGCAGAATAGTTGTAGAAAATCGCGTGTTGTGGGGAAATCAGATGAGCCAGTCCTTGGGCAGAGAGAAAGAGGCAGGCTCTTCTGGCGACTGTTTTCACGAAGGGAGATGAGGCGACCTGAAAAGCTGGGAACGAGCAAGAGACCACTCTTCGTCGAATATTTGTTAACACAATCGGTCGAAGCGGGAGTTCTTTGCAAATGCTTCTTATAGGAAGATATGCTGCCGCAAAGATGTTCTAGAGGGGAGCACCACAATGCTGATAGGATCCGATTACGTACCGCAATCGCGATTTCTACAACGCCGTCTCCGTAGTTTCTGCCGAGTTATTCGAAAAGCCAACGAGTGCGTTGTTATATTTTGTCGGAGTCGCTTCCGATCCGACAAACTTTTTGCAACGCGGGGCAGAGACGAGTCGTGATTTACTCGAGGGTCAAAAATGCTGAGAGCCAATGTTTACACCCTGGCAAACCTAGGATAGTACGGAATCTTGCAATGAAGAAAATTACACAGAAACTTAGACACGACAACAGACACTAAGTTTTGCAGACAGGAAAGAGGCAGGGTAATTTGATGCAGGAATCGCTAGGTTTATATGAAAAAATATCTCAAAGCTAGACACAGACAAGATTTAAATGCTTGTGAGAAAGAAGTCGCTCGTGGGATGCTAGAAGACAAAATAAAATCGTGAACAAATAAGAGTGCCTGGGAGGATATTGTTGGACGTGGTTGACAAGGCATCCCTAGGTAAATGGTGGACGGCAAATATGATCTGCTCTACGCTGAGTATCTGCAAAGTTCAAAATCGTGCATCTCAAGGACCTGTGTCTTCTCACTTTTCCATAAAACTACTGTGGAACGTCAGTCGGAACTTGCTTTTTGTGACATTTACCGCTTGATCTTTGTTCTCTTACGGGTAAGTCTGGTGACTGATTATGCAGATGAATTTGTAGTACAGGAGGTAGTGCTTCAAGTCTGTTGCCTTCATTCTGTGATCTTCCTCGTCGAGGATGATGCATTTCTCTGTAAACGAATTGAAGGAGAAGTGGCGACCATCACAACACGGACACGCACCCAAAGAACAACATCTACATCACAGACAAGAAAACCAATCAGATCTTATCCCTCAGATCTGGTCTGTGATGGCTTCTTCGAGTTCGATGAGATGACACTTTTTTGCATTTATGGTGTAGTTGCGTGCATCATGATTTGAAAATTCATCTGGTTCTGGGTGCTCCCTTCGTATCATGTTAGTGGTATTGGCGCTGCTGCAATAAAGGTATCATAAAAGCAGTCTCCCTCGAACGGAAGGACACTTAATATGACAAATAGTTTGATGGCCAATACATAGGTACGACAACGACGTTAGGTAAGGTAATAAACTTAAACGGATTCGTGACCACAGCAGCATGCACGAACTGCTGGTCCTGCCATAGTCAAAGGTGACACAGTGTGATGAAAAAGCTTGAAAAATAGATGTGTAAGATGCAGAGACATCATGAAATTGTGTGAGACGTGTATTTCGATTTGTTTTTTCACAAGGTTACGTAGGATTCTCATTCTATCCGCCCATAATTCCTCCTTCTCCGAAGCGTAGGCAAGCAAAAACCCATTACGTCGTACGCATCACCACAGAACACTCGACGCGTGTCAACATCCTCCTGGAGAAATTACGCAGCTACATGTTGTTCCTATTCTCGTTCCTGTAACCATAAGGGATCCGGGACCTTAATTGGCTTTCGGCTGTGCCCAGCTCACCTGCAGAATCAGGGAGTCGTAACCGTGTCCGTTCAGCTGCTTGATTGCGCGCTCGCCATCCTTGCGCTCACGGAACTGGATGAAAGCGAAGCCCTTGTGCTGTCCTTCCTTCGGGTCACCCTCCTTATGACGCGGCATAAAGACACGCGTAACCGGACCACATCGCCCAAAGAGCTGTTGCAAATCGCCTTCGCGTGTGTCTTCCGACAAATTCATCACACGCAATGTATTCTCGTTTCGGTTGTCCTGCTGCGGGCCGCCCTGTAAAGTTGTGCATTGTGTTTGGAATGAAATGTGATTAAAAGCAGAGGAAGAAGATAATCAACGAAATATAGAGACCTTTGACGTTGTATATAATATGTTCATGTTCTTAAGCAATGTATAGAATGCTCCAAGACCTCCAAATAAAGTATACCTCCGCCTTGCGCAGACTTGGTGGCATGTACTTGCCTGCGAGTGTTGAGTTCTGTCCACCGGTTGCAACAATACCCGCCTTCTGTTCTGCCTGTTGAGCCTGGAACTCGATTTCACGTTTCCTCCTCATTTCATTGGCGTCATACTTCTTTTTCTTTGCATCGTTCAGGATCGTTTCACACAAAACCACACTCTGTTCCCAGAACTTCTCGTCTTGACCTAGATGGGGTGGGGAGTATGGGTAAAGACATGGTTAGGTACTTCTCACGAATGCAGGACTAGCAATTGTGGAGCTTAATATTCTTGAAGAACGGTTGTTTCGAGAGAATTCTAGTCCAGATATGGAGATTCCCTTTGCTTTCAGCGGAAATACACGAAGATCTTGCATCTAGATATAGCGAAATTGTTGCTAATTATCAAAAGCGTTCTTACCAATTGCCTTGAGCTGCTTCTCCTTGTTTAACTCGATTTTCACTTCCTCCTCAGCGCGAACCGGCTTGTTGCCACCGTAGTCAGAGTATTTAGTTGGGTCCGTGCAGTTGCCAAAAGGCGCCCACTTCTTTCGTCGATCGACATGCTCGTTTGACTTTTTTGTTACTTTTTTCTGCTTGTAAGTTGTCACCAGCTTCACCGCCTTACCGTTTCGCTCCGTGTACTCAACTTCGGTTCTGAAGTTTCAATTTCAATTTTTTGTAAACAATTAGTTGGCAGAAAAGCAAAGGTATAATTCTAGTAGGTGTTTTTAGTAAACCAAACGGACCGCTCGAGTTGTAAGTAGCACAGAACTGTTTCTGCAGTAGCACAGGATAGGAGTGGCACCGACTGCGAGGAGACGAGTAGTTGTAGGATAGGATAGGAGTAGGCTGGCCTACGGAAAGATGAGCATTCACGATTATGGAAGAAAAGACTAACCTGATTCCTTTGCCATCAGCTTCGCTGAAGACAGTTCGCTTATGCTGGTCATGCTCGTCGTCGTCATCTACGTCAGCCCATCTCCTGTTCGTAGTCATCGGCATCGGGATGCGATGATCATCATCCTCGATGTCAGCCCACTTTGATTTCATTGCCATTTTTTCTTGTTAATGATATGAAGTATTCAATGAAGATGTGAAGTATTCAATGAAGGTGTTTTATTACTTGGCAGTAATCCTAATCAATCAAGTCGAGGAACAAATACTTGATTGAAGGAGCAGTTGATATTTTAGAACACTTACGCGTGTGAATGTTCTGGAAACAAGAGTGAAATTTCCTGTTTTGGTAAATTCATGGTGAGGGTAGTAGAATTGTTAATAGAAGAGTCTCTTCGCAAGATGACGATCAACTGTGAGGGTCACACACCATTAAAACATCTTTCAATCCATAAGAATCATCATCCTCAAATTCCGGGCAACATGCAAGGAAGACAATTGATTTTCCTTTCGTTTGAACCACCATGACTGTTCGGATCAGAAATCCCATGTTGAGATCCATTTTCGATAGAATTTCATGCGAAACCAGAAGCGCCCTGTGGAGGTGATTCTTACTCAGAGTCAGTGATCAAGCTTCTGGATCCTTCATCTGAATCGAGATCGTTCATCATTTCACCACATTCATGGACTTCGAATTAATCAATGCTCAATGGGAAACTTTTTCTTTCACGACCTGCATGAACCATGAACATACAGTGGCGCCATTCATCAACCTCGAGATACACTAGAAGTCAGCACACCTGGATCGTTGTTACAAGAAAGGTATCCTTTCCTGTTGTCGCGGGGAGATGAATACTTAATAAACCATACGGCCGCGAAATTTCATTATGTCATGAACAGAAGAGGTGATCTCCGAGGCCTGTCTGTGCCAGAGATCACGACGAGGTGGGAAAGTGTATAAACAAATAGGGTCCCTAATTCGCGGGAGGGTGACTCTTACTGATGTATCCACAACAGATCGAGAGTCAAAATGTGATAGAACGATCCAACTGACACTAGGTTGATTGTAATAAATATTAGTCAAAGTAGTCTGTGCTTGTTCTAAAATTTCGCTAGAAATCAGATTCCACGGCAACTCGTTGTACATGTGATCGTCAAACTTGTATGAATGAAGGCGCCAGGAGATGATTAGCTGAGTATAGAAGGTGTAACGGTTCCGCCTTCTGCACCACTTGAGGAGGCGTCCATGCCGAAAGCCGCGAGATTTACTTCTGGAGCTGGGGCTCCACTCGCTGGTGCTACTCCTCTCTCGTCAATAGCGATCTGTGGCCTGAATTCACCCTGTCCTGTTTCTTTGAAAATTTGCATCTCGCTTTCTCCGAAATTTACTTGCAGCATGCCACCGACCTGGATAACAATTTTCGACAGTGGTAAACACTAGAAATCAAAATGAGCAGACATGGGGAATATCAATGAATATCAAAACATCACCCTGTGGATAGGGTCACGCTTTTTCTGGGGAAAAAATCGAAAGAAAGCTTCTGTGATAAAAAGCATTGAACATTAGTCTGCAAACGTGTAACATACTACCACTAGCAAAGACATCTGTGATAAAATGTTTTCGCTACCTGTGAAAATTCGACGCTCCAGATCGGCTTTCCTGCAAACTCATCTTTAAAAAGTTTTATTGGCCTCCAGATAGTCTCGAATCTTTGCCACAGGATAACAGAGCCATCCCTAGAGCCGCTTGCTATTATATCACTATTCTGGCCTCCGTTGGGACGCCATGCTACACCGGTGACCCAGTCTTTGTGGCCCACGCCGCTCGATGTGTCTACATCTTCCCGGACCTAGTATGAGAAACTTGAGACGTTATTATTTTCAATGTCGTGACACTCAAACTAGCGCAGCTAAATCTTTCTTCACTCTTTGGGAGAGATGAACATTACATGTCATGTTTGTGTCCCTGATATCGCCTTTCGTGACGACCGTAGGGCTTCAGTCTGCAATTGATCACGGCAGAGCCGAGACGAAAACAGCCTACCCAAAACATTACACAGGGACTCACTTCTAATATAAGTAATCACATCTTGCAAGAACTACATTGTGTTCAAAAACTACCAGCATGCTGTTCATAGTTGTACCCAGCTTCCGTTCTTGAAGAGCCAGACCTTGACGGCGGCGTCAAGACCCCCGGTCGCTATCTTCGCACCCTCTAAGGGCGTGCTTCCGTTCAAATCCACACAGCCAGCGGGCGCCCAGCACAAGGAGCGGACACCACATGGATGCGCCAAAAACGTCGTTCTCGTCCACGAATCAGTAGTAACATTAGAAATCTAAATTGCGTTCCTGTCAAGAGAAACTTCCAGCCTACAAAAATTACGAGGCTACGAGCAACTAGCTATTTGCGTATTGTTGTCGTCGTCAAATAGCACGAAGGAGCCAGACATTCTTTACATTTGTTCAAGGGAGTTGTAAGGCGAGGGAAAGTTAACCGGATATGATAACTTGGATAGGTGGAGTTGAAGTTTTCACCATAATCTTGTATTCGAATATGCTAACTGCGCCATCGCTGCCTGCTGCAGCAAGGACAAGTCCGCATTCTACAGGTGCAAACCGAACCTGGTTCACTGACGCTCGCGCCTGTTCATCCTTGTGCGCGAGGCCCTGATCCTTCCAGATCATCACCTAGATTTTCAAACAGTGATATCCATACAACTATTTATTATCATCGCCAATCGATTCCAATTCTTTCGGGTTCTTTTTTGAAGTTTCTTCTCTTCCCACTAATACCTGAGACTCACGAGAAGTGATTTTGTTCATACTATCAGACCAAGTACAACTACCTTCTTCTACCATACTCGGGATTCAACATCTGTCCTTCCACCAAATTATACCTGCCTATCATAGCCACAGCTTGCCAGGACGCCCGGGTATTTTGGATGTGCCCAACAGATAGACCACACTGGAGCCTGATGGCCCTTCAACTCGTATACCTCGTGTGGCGCTTCCGCATTGCTTATGTCATAAACTCTTACTGAGCCGTCGTGTCCAGCTGTCGCCAACCGTCGCCCATAGAAATCTAGCTGGACCTCATGCAGCTGCCCATCATGCCGCGTTTCCACACGCCCGATGGTCGAAGCCATGGTTCTTGAACACTGGGTAACTAGTCTCCAATTACTGTTCGATAAAGTTCGATTACTCAACAAATCTGCGATTGTGGTGATATCAGGTCTCTCTTGCTCTTTTTTGTCTCCGAAAAAGACACGAAATCAAAATACACGTTGGAGGGAAACAAAACTTGCTAATAATTCTTCGTTTTTAGCAAAGAAATTGTGACTGTGAGCAATGCCTGTTATAGTAAGGGAAAACAAACACTGGAACTTCAAAGAGTAAAGGATCAGAGAAAATGTTTAGAAATAGGAAAAGACACAATCTTCAACGAACATGAACAAAGAAGACTAGTTATGACAATTCTCATTCACATTCACAACGGAGTTTTACATTCGGCTTGCTGCGAAAGTGCGTGTGCAAGGGCAACCTGAAGCAGAAAAACGTATTGAAAAGAGGAATGTATTTTCACCAATTTAAATTTCTGTCTATGCTTCAGCTGCAAAACATGATTCACCTGTGATCGGTTTCCGTGATCGGATCTGTTAGAGTTTGGAACTCACACAAATTGACTATCACAGAGGCAAACGCTTGATTTGTTCCTGCTTGTGCTTTGCGCAAGAACAACGTTATTCTCATTCATTTCCGAATGTGAGTTTTAGATGGCGCCGCATCGTGGGTTAGGAGTAAATCCTTTGTAGTAACTATAATCGTGCTGATTTTTCATTGGATGGTCTTATTTCCAAATTTTTGCTGCTTTCCACCCTCCTCCAGCCTCATCCTCAAGCCCGCATATTGCGCTTTTGACTGTATTTGAGATTGATTCGACAAAAGTGGGATGAGAATGTAGCATCCTGAATAGGCTAGGGATGATGAATGACGAAGACAATCGATCTATACGCATTTGGGATGTGACCACTCAGAAGAAACTTTGGTTTTTGTCAGAATGTAAGTTTCTGAGAAGAATATAAGAACTAGGTAGCGAGACACGAAAATTGACATGCCTGCTCACAAAAACTTCTTCTTGTTCCGAGAATATGGAAAAGGGAGCTCTTCATTCAAGGTGGCGACTTTATTTTTATATTTAGTTTACTCTTCGAGTTCGCGTGTTGGTCAACCAAGTCCTCACCTTCAGGATACCAGCAAAACCAGTTCTGCCCAAAAAGCCCCTGTGCTGCGTTGTTCTTGCCACGGTCGGAAGCTCTGGATGCAGCTACGCTCCTCCTGTCACTCCTTGTCGCTCTTGTTGCGGTGCTCCTCCTAGCAATGTAACTTGTTGTTTTCCTCTCAGTTACTCCTCGAGCAGAACTTCGATCGTACAAATTGGCAAGCTCTTGCACGTTTCCGACTGCTCCATTGTCGTAAAATTCCACTAGTTCTTCTTCTTCCTCATCCACTCGTCGAAAATTGACGGTCTGACGATTATTTTTCGAGCGGAAAGAGGAATTCAAGTTTTTGACCTTGTTCTGCTTCCCGTTTTCAACACGACGAGCAGCAGCATCTTGCGTGGAAAAGTTGAAATCGGTACTAGATGAGTGCCGCATTCCCACGCCTACTGGTGGGCTTGACGGCGTAGCTTCAGGCGGCACATGCGATGCACTGGACATCTCAGAATCCGAAACCATTATACCTCCGTCAGCAATCCGAACGCCCTGTGACGTCCTGCTTGGCATGAAAAAAGAAAAACCGGGCAAATCACTGTCTCTGCCTCTTGGCGAGGAGAAAACCGTTGCAACAGTCCCGGTACTCAAACGCAATGGTGCTGCGTTTGGCTCGAAATCAATGCCATTTATTGACGCAATGCTCCCTCTATAGCTGCTTCTATCCTTCCCAGATTTCGCGGAGGTGAAGTGGACGTAGGAAGACTCAATATCGACCGAATTACTCACAATTGGCCCCATCTGCTGCACGCTAATCCGAGGACTCGCCGGTGGTGCTGTCTCCAGTCCTCCACTTCGAACCTGTATCCGCTCCATGTTGATGTCCTGTGGATCTTCATCGCCAACAAACGGACTGCTACCAGCAGCGTGTCCTTGCTCTTTAAGGTTGGTCTCTGCAGACAGCACATGCTGGTCCTTGAGCGAAACAGCATCGGCTGGATTGAAGTAGCCTCGACTGACGCGCGGCTTCTGCCCACTCGTAGCCTCCTTGGAATAGCTTTTCTTGCTAGTCGTCCTGTCGCGGCGACGCACCTCAGCCTCCGAAGTTGCAAAATCCGTGTTGTCCGTCGCGAATAAATTTGCACCGGCACTCAACAGCGCCGCACCACTTCGATCCGTCGGCACCACTGGGCCGCCGGGTTCGAGTTCTCGATCAAAGGGCGCGCGACTACGCACCGGACTTGCGCGCCGCTGCCGTTTCGACGAGTCACGCTGCACTGGCGCACGGTAGCTCCCGCGCGGATGGCGCATGTCTCCTAGAAAGTCACGGTCATATTGACGTCCATACGGTAGTTGCTGCTTGTATTTCTGTGGACCCGCCGTTGCGTCCAGGTCTCCCATCCGTCGAATCGGACTCGTCGTTGTTGTATCTCCATCTCCAACTGCCTGCGTAGGATTTGCGTGAGGCGACGAAGCGAGAAGAAGACTCACATCAAAACTCCCGTCCACGACATCCACGAAGCTTGGTTTCTCATTCGGTGCGATTGGACTGGGACTCGGACTTTGTGCTGTCTGAGTTCCTCTTGGACCACGCTGGGGATCGGCCATCTGCACCTGTTCAGACTCTAACCCGGCAAAACCTTGCGCCTGCAGCATAGATCGGTGGACACGCAGTGATCCCACTGCAGAAGCACCCATCATGGTAGAAGAAGTCTGACGAGCCTGGTCTCCAAACATGGAGGCAGACGAAGACGCCGGAAAGTCTTGGAACACTTCTGCGGTAGTAGTTGTAACTTCCTGTTCCGTGCAACGACCTCGCACAGAAATCTTACCTGGCGCATTGCGATTTCCTCCTGCGTTTGGCAACTGGGTTCGCAATGAGATCCGACCTGGTGGGGCTGGTGGCGGCTGACTCGGGCGAAACTCGGAAAGCGGTTTCGCCGCGGGTGATGAGTACCGCTGTCGCGCTATCACCGAGCCAGCTCTACTACCATCTAGACTACTAGGAATATTGTTTGTTTGATGCATCGCTGTGGTGCTTGCAGTGTTGTTGACAGGTAGTGGTTGCTGATTTTCTGTTGTCTTACTCGACGACTCTGAACTTGTTTGTGGCTTCAGTTGTAGTAGTTCCATTATGTTCCGCGACATGTATCGATCTACAGCACCTCCGCTGCCAACAGCAGCGATCCTAAATTCACGGGTTTTGGAAGTAGAGGTCTTCGAACTAGAAGACGCCACGTTCTTCGGGCCGGACGCCTCCAGGTTTTTTGAGCTAGACGCCTCCAAGCTCTTCGAGTTTGTGGCCTCGCCATATTTTGAGCTCGTAGCCTCGACTTGTTTTGAGCTCGTAGCTTGGATGTTTCGTGGGCTCGCAGCCGGAACGTTTTGAAATGAGGTAGTATTCTGCTCAACTTTTCTTGACGTCGGAATCTCCTCGTCAAATTTCGAGCCCCAAGTCTCCTCCTCCACATTTGCCAATTTTTCTTCACCATTTCCATTATAATTTGATTTCAACGTCACTTCTTCGCTGATCCTACTCTCGGTGTCCAGGAGACTGTCTTCGATAGACTGTCTCTCAGCTGCAGTCAGGCGAAAGTTTGCAGCTGTATCCTGCAGTATTTCCTGCATTATCTCTAATCGCCGCTCCAATTCGTCCAGCGGCATACTCGAGAGAGACTTCTTTCGTTCGCTTGTTGGTGGAAGTGCAGCGCTTTCATCGGCAAGATTCGTCGATGTGTTGTCGATCGAAGTTATTTTTTGTTCTGCAGGACGATTCTCTGGGCCTGGCACAGATCTACGCAGGAATTCGACGACTGCATCATCTTCCTCCGGTGCCGCTTCATGGCCTTCTCCAGTCTTAGGTGGTTTTTCGGGTAAAAAGGTGCCGACACCGCTAGTGCGCATAATGAACTCCTCTACTATCGGAGATTCCGCGTCGTCCAGCTTTAAGTCCTGCTTCCCTGCAGAACCACCGTCATTGCTTTTCCTCGATATCTTTGATCCCTCGCTCGCTCCTGGGGAGAAGTCTTGATCCCTATGCTCGGACACCGAGCGTTCACTTAGCGCAATCGGTTTTACTGCTAGTGAGGAGAGCCTAGCAGGGGATGTCTGCAGTGTTAAGGCCGACACCTTCGAAGGTGATGACGATGGAGGGATTTTCGAGGCTTTACTATCTCCCATCCGCTCACCATCAGCCGTGACCACTTGTGCGCCCCCTATTTTACTTGCGTTGTCAAGCCGGTCTTCGCCGTAGAGCATTTCCATAGCTGACGACCGCAACATATCTGCTTCAAAAACAGCATTCGTCGGTCCCTCAGCTATTCTGTCGACCGCTGATTTACGCAAAGTACTAGGTGGCTCGGTAAGTACAGTTGTTTCGGACATTCTGAGCTTTCTCACTTGCGAGATACGACCAGCCGTGGGACCCCGCTGCAGGTCGCTTCCAGGATTCTTATCCGGGTCATCCTGATGTGATTCTAAAACCCGCATCGATGTTCTTCTGCGATGCACGCTAATCGTAGATCCCGGCGCCGCCTCCAACGTGTAAGTCGACTCTTCTTCAGCAGGAGCATTTTCTAGGGTGACTTCACGAGCAGGCACTGCGGCAGGTTTTGCTCCGTAGTGGTCGGGGGCGCTCACTTGGCCCAACGTTTCGCGCAAAGCTATATCCATAGTAGCTCTGCTGTCAACAACGCGGTCACTAACATTGCCGTGTAGAGTGCCTCTCTTAAGGCTTTCTTGAGTCAACCTGCTGGCACCGGCAAGGATGGTGTTCTTTCTCTGAGAATGATAAGAATCCATCTTGGTGGAAACACGGATAATTGACGCTTTCTTCATAGCATTTAGAATCTGCTCCTGTTGTTTCACATTGGACGTGCGTCCGGACGGACTGCCTACAGACTGCCCACTTGGACGTAGAACACGCTGCACTGACTGGCTCACACCACGCTGCACCGGCTGGCTCAGAAACGAGAGACGCTCGGACACTTTTGGGGGCGCCCTCGCTGGGCTTGAGGACCGTGGTGACCGTGCCTTCACTGACGGCGACATCGACGGACCCCGCCGTGATTTTGGCGAAGCATCACCTTCTGGCATGATGCCTTTTCTCCAAATCATAGGATTGTCTTCCTCTTCAAACTGGCCACGAGTGTACACAAAAAGCGGTGGATATGCTGCTTCACTATCGCTTTTCTCTTCTTCCTCTTCCTCTTCATCTGAGTGAGAATCAGACTCTCCTTGAACATCTTCATCAAAGAGCAAAGCCATGTCTTCACCCTCACCCTGAGCAGGAGGACGGTTTTGCCCTGGCGTAGGCGCTCCAGCAGATGCAGAATCCGCAATATCCTCGTCAGGGAAGCCGGCAACTGAGATTGATGCTGCTAGCATCGTAGATGACAACCTCGTGGGGCGCTTCAGGATTTGCGTCGTTTCCATCATGTTTGACGACATCCCCGCTTCCTCTACGCTGTTCCTGGTTTTACTTGCACGAGACGTTCCTAAATGATTACCAGTTTCAGCGGCAACACTCAACTTTGCCGACCTTGACGACAACGACTCAGAGCCCGCATACAAGCTCGGCCCGCGTGCCCTTGTAGGAGATTGAGGTCTATCAGCTGCAGAAATCGCCCTCAGAGGTGCAACCTTATCTATCGGCTCGTCGTAGGCACGGTCTGTTACGCCAGCAAGTTGCTGTAGGCTTTGTCCACCAGCCCTCTGGTGTCCCGTCTTTGCCTCTCGTCCCCCCTTGTTAAAGCTACGGGCTGAAGATTGAGATGAGGCCGACAGTTTCGACGCGCTGCTCCTCGAGGAAGATGAAACTGCGGAAGACGATGACATTTGAACGGTTTGCGTGGTGAATGGTCGTTCCCGCAAAGACGCTGCTGACGAAGGAGCACGCGAAGACCCAAGTAAATCTGCTTCCGCGTCAGAGTCATTCATTCGTATGAATTAGAGCTTTTTCGTTGCTTTCAATTCATTTGGCATATCATCGATTTTCCTACTTACTTGTACTGTGCCGAACAATGAATGAAAAAAGTATGCTGACAGTTTTTGAGGCAAAAATGAATTGCCGAGACCCTTAAAGAAATGCCTCCGGAGAGAGCTCACCACCGCCATCTGCATCGTCTAGTTGTTCCGAAAACGTATCCAATATCAATGACGCTGGCCTCGTTGACGACATTTTCGTGGGGCGCTTGAGAATTTGCGTTGCCTCCATTTTCGAGGACGCTGAAGCAGGACCAGGATTCGCCGTTCTTTTCGCATCCAAGGACGCTACCTGATTACTCTTTCCAGCACCACCCACACCCAGCCTAGTGTTCGACGCTGTCGGCCTCGAAGAACCCAAATACAAGCTCGGCCCGCGTCCCCTCGTTGGCGATTGAGGTCTGTCAGCTGCAGCGATGGCCCTCGATGGCTCAGCCTTATCTCTCGGTTCGTCATAAGCGCGGTCTATAAAAATTGCATCGTTGACTCGGCGTGTCTTGACGACACTTTCTTGTCCACCAGCGTGTTCTCTATTCCCCTTTCCATCCTCTCGACTCGGAGCTGAGGAACGAGACGACCTTGATAATTTAGAAGACGCACTACTCGTAGCCGACGAGGACGAAACTGCAGACGACGAAGAGAGGTCAATAGTCTGAGTTCCAAAGGGTCGTTCCCGCGCCGACACTGCTAAGGAAGGAGCCTGCGAAGATCCAAGTAAATCTGCATCGGCCTCCGAGTCATCCATACGCACAATTTAGAGACTCCTCATCTGTAGGACATTTTCTTAGCTCGCGCCCTCAGATAGTCATAGGAAACAAACGCTGAGAATTTCAAATATGAAAATGAATCATCCGAGGCCTTAAATGAATGCCTCTGGAGAAAGCTCTGACATTCTCGTGGGCCGCCTCAGGACCTGCGGGGCCTCCATTTTCGACGATGTTGAAGAAGCAGCATTATTGCCTCTAGATGCTGACTGTGTAGTCGATCCAGTAGCAACCACACTCAACATAGTGCTCGATGCTGTTGATAACCGAGCACCCAAATGCAAGCTCGGTCCGCGTGTCCTTGTGGGCGATTGAGGTCTGTCAGCTGGTGAAAGAGCCCGCGAAGGTGCAACTTTGTCCATCGGCTCGTCGTAAGCTCGGTCTGTTACGCCAGAGAATCGCTGTGTTGTAGCGGTTTGTCTCCCACGCTGCTCTGTCTGGGCCTTCACAACTTCTCGGTTCAATGTCGAGGAACGAGACGAGCCTGACAAAGACGATGATGAGACCGCAGACGACGAAGATAGATCAATGGTCTGAGTTGCAAACGGTCTCTCCCTGCCTTTTGTCAGACTGTCTTCCCCGGAGGCACCTTCTTCTTCAGCATCTGTTTCGAGTCGCGCCACGTCCTCAGTGTTGTGGCTAATGTTGTCGCTTGTGTGTTCCTCCTCGTCTTCTTCACCATCAAAATGCGTCGCTTCTAATTCCTCGTGATTGTCGCTGTGCAGATCTATTGCCTCTACTTCTACACTGATGTCATCGCTATCCTCTTCCCCTTCACTCCTCAGGTCGAGCTGTTCTGCTTCAGAATTTTCATTTGCAAAATCGCTGTCTTCTTTTCCTGTCGCGTCTCCTATGGGAGCCTTTTCCCACTGGATTCTTGTCTGCTCCTGTGCTGCATCTCCATTCTTTTGCGGCACCTCTGAATGTGACACCTTGCTGTTTGACGCAGTGCTATGTTTTGAAGATGCTTTCGAAACTTGACCTGAAGATCCTGCAACGCTTGGAGCTCCAAAACCAACCTCCGCATCGCTGTTCTCGTTGCCGAAGAATGTACTTCCTTCTGCAACTACATCGGAGCTCGCTTCTCGCAATGACTGCTGCTCCACACCTAGCGGAAGATCTGAGCTGTCGCCTCTCATCCCGGAGATCGGTGAAAGTATCTCAGAAGCACCGATGTCGTCTTGAACCATTCCCGGGGAAAGACCTAGAGCTAGAACTGGACTCTGTTCTCCAGCTTCTTCTTCTGTCAAAGTGCTGGGTCTTCGTTTGTCCGGAGACAGAAGCAGGCCCCCTCCCACGTGATGGCTACTCTGCGATGCGCCATTGGTCTCGTCTACACCACGCGCTGTTTCGTCCCGTGTTCGGACGAAGCAACCTCCTAGAATGTTTTCGGGTGCCAAGACGCTACTATCTTTGCTAGTTCTAGTTGGAGATATGGAGTTCGTCCTTGTCGGGAATACACCATTGATCGATGATCCTCTACTTATTCGCGATAAACCGTTGACGCCTCCTGCACTACGCCTGATAGTCGGTGCAAGTGGTCCCCCACTTGTCCTCGTCTCACCTTGCGACGGTATTGAAGTGCGCTGCGTCGCCCGCCTCTGCTGATGCTGCTCTAGAAATGCCGTCGCTGGACCAGAACGCAAAGTTCGTGAAGGATCTACAGCACGGCTGCTGGCTTCCGTCTGAGCGCCAGTCTGATAGGTCGGCGACAAAGGGAACACTGGTGATCTATTTGCACCTTTTTTAGATCGACGGCTGCCGTGGTGCTTATGTTTATTCTGCTTCGTTCCAGTTGCTTGTTTACCTTCGGTATTTATCGTTGTCGCCTTACTCGAGAAAGCAGAGCCAGAAGATGAGCCTCCGCCTCCACTATTGGCGGAAGAGGACGACGAATGATTGCGATAGGCTTCTTCTGTCCGCAGCTTCCAGCCTTGAAATCCATCATCGTCTGCTCCCTCCGCAGCACTGCCGTCGGCTTTAACGAACTGTCTTCGCCTCTCCTCCATCTCGATCCGATCATGGATTTGAAGCAAAAAAGCGTGGTTTGGATCTGCGATTGCATCGCTGTCTCCAGTGCCTATCAAAGATTCTTCGTGGTCGAACGTCGTGTCTAGCTCACCCTCTGCTCGCGTTTGCAATCGAAGCTCACTCGTTTTCGTAGAGGCTACCCCTATTGCTGGTGCTTCCCCACCTACGGTCGTCTTCGAGGCGTCAATGCTTACTCCGTCTAGAAAACCTGAAAAATCGTGCGATGAAATCGTCTCTCGTGCGATGAAATTGTTCATCTCGTCGTGCGATGATATCGTCTCTGCAACACCAAAATCCAACGGCCCGTCGGCCATAGAGTGCTCTAAAGACTGCGCACCAAAGGAGAACGAAGTCTGCCCTCGCCGCTCGATGTTTTCATCATTAGCGCCTACTGGCTCCTCTGCTACTGCACCGAAATTGATAGACGCTTCAATTGCCGTCGGAGCACCAAACCAGAATGCCGTCTGCCCTCGCCGATTAGTGTTTACATCACTAGCGCCTACTGGCTCCTCTGCCTCTGCACCAAAATTAATAGACGCTTTACTTGCCGCCGGAGCACCAAACGAGAACGAAGTCTGCCCTCGCCGACCAGTGTTTACGTCACTAGCGCCTGGTACTAGCTCCTCTGCGTCTGCACCAAAATTGATAGACGCTTTGCTTGTCCGTGGTTCGTGTTGTGCCGTGACTGCGTCCGGACTGCCTCCGATGGACGGCTCAATGGTGGCATCTTCTTCCTCCTTTGCACTTGATTTGGGTCTGGAAAGCCACTGGCGTAGCTGGTCCCTGCGCTGATTTTCTCGACGAGGTGCTCTGGAGCGCGCGGTTGGCGGCAACGCCATTCGCGGAACGTGAAGGTCGCGCCCATGACCGGGCGGTGAACCTTGATGAGAGTCTGCCTCACGCTCCATGATTGATCATGAATCTATCACGGAAGGGAACTTGGGATCTCTGTGGTGGATATCGTGTACTACTTACTTAGTCGTATGTAGTTCACCTCCTCCCAATTTTTCAAAAAGAGCCATGAAACTATACTTTCTAAATTTTTGTAATCTTAGTCCATGAAACGCTTGCTCAAAAATATTGACGATGATTCTCAATAAGAATTTGACAGGCAGATGAAAACAAAAAGTTGAACAATATTTGAAATAATGCAATATACATCTTAACCAAGTGTGAATGCGACAAATACGGTTCTGGTAGTGGCCAATGAAGTACTTATTCAAGAGGGGAGATGATCGAGTACGGTAAAGGCAGCGGCCTTCCTCGACATTCACACCGATGCACTCCACGGGAAACCTCCACAGACATCGGACATGTGTGTCATATATGTTTGGCGGTTGGAAGTTCTTTCATCATTCGCTTCCTTACACGTTCGATAATCCAGTCTTCTCTCAGAGACCGATAAAATTGCTTCTGTTTACAGAATGGTTTCTCCGTAGCGCAAGGGAACCTAGAAAACCGAGGAAAGCGAGCGTCTACAACTTAGTCGATCCTGGCTTCCTAGAGACAGAAATTAGCGATTTGTAATGAAAGGATTACAAGACACTTATCTCGATGACTCCCTATCAATGTGGATCGTCTTCATTACAAATTGCGCGCGATTAGTCATCATCTTCTGCGTTTCCCGTTTACAGCCATCCAGCGTTTTCTCACCCCAGGTGATGGAAAAAGCAATTTTCGTGTCACAAAGAATTTCGATTTTCAAAATTGGTATGCGCACAATTCCTTAGCCAAATATTCCTTCATTTTCCCCGGCATTTCTTTTCTCGCTTTGATAAGGTCCAGTGCGTAAAACGAATAGCCGGCTGCCTCACAGACTGCCCGTTTCAGGCTATCTTCGCCACACAGCATTTTCGTGGAGTCGTCTGAATTGGAGCCTGAACCCGAAGGAAAATTGACCTCTTCGCCTTGTTGAAGGTGGATATCATTCTTTTTCTCGTCGTTTCGGAGCACTGCGCCAAGATTTCGACCAATAGCTTTTGGTGTAGTAGAACTACTTACAGCAGGCTGATACTCGAAATAGTGCGAGGGACCATTTACCTCAATGCACAAGCGACGTTCTGGCACATATATGTCTACCAGAAAGTCTTCATCTCCTGTAACCGAAAACTCACTCTGCACCTTACAATCGGGAAACAACTCAGAGACACAGCGTCGAAGCTGCTGCTCTGAGCAAGGATTGCCAGATGGATCGTCATCGCCTAAATGTTGCACGCCATTCTTGCAGGTTGATATTACTTCTTCTCCGTCTCTTTTCGACACGCTAACGTTTCCGTGCTGAGTGGACTTTCTTATATCAACATGCAAGGCCTCATGCCTCTCATGATGCGATGTGAGAATCTGAAAGGCTCTATAGGCTCGCCAACCCTGTCGAAGCGCGCACAGCCTTTCCGTTCCATTGAGTGACTTGTGGCCGAATATTCGGTTGCCTGAACACGAAGCAGAGTCTGCGGTATCACTACTCTGGGAAACAGCTAAATCCCACGACGGGTTTGTGCGTTCCAGTTCTGCAAACAACATCTCTAGCCATTGACCGCAAAAACGCAGGACTTTCGTGTCTTCAATCGACTTCGACCCTTCACGTTCAGCCTCCAGAACTGCGAGAGTCACAAGGCCCAATGCTGCCGGGCCCCCGATGTTATGTGCAAGGCATAAATGAGCAGGACACCTATTCACAAACCATTTTGCCAGCCCCAGTACGAACGGCGCGTTGTATCGGCAACGGACGCAAGCTTGCAGTGCGAAAAATGCCGCAAACGCTTCTACTTCTGCGCCTGCGCTTGTGCTAGTTCTCGACGACGTCTCTTCATCCGTACCATTTTTTACTTCATGCGAAGATGCAGAACGATCACCACCTATACCTCCCGTACTGCTGAGTTGGAAGTGCGGCTCTAAATGAGCGCCCAAGTTGCGCAATAGTGTCCCAGGCACAATCGGGGACTTGCGACAGACAAACCACAGGGTGGATGCGTGTCGCAAATCCACCTTGTCGGTACAGCTATCAGAGAGCTCCCTCTCCTCGCTTCCAGGTCCAAAAACATTCTCCACATTCTGAGGACTGAGGAGGCGCGTCAAAATCGCTGATACCGTGCTGCTCCGATCTCGTACGGTGTGTCGCGACTCGGCTAACGCAGCGATCGCCCAGGCGGCGTTTGCTAGGTGCTGACTCTGTCGTATTCTTATCGGAGCAGGCGAATCCACGACGCTACATTCACCGGAGAGGATCGAAAAGAGTTTAGAAGTCCAGATCTTGTCGAGAAGGGCGTCGACATTTTTCTGGACGTCATCACTTCGCATATCAGCATTCCCGTTCATCCGGCCCAAACCGTAGAGCAGCTGAGACAGACACGTCTCATCGCGCACGAGAGCTTTCGCGGTGTCAATATCGTTGAGTCCCTTGTCAGTACCGCAAAAAGCGGAGACAAAAGATTCAGAAAACGTTCCTCCACTAGTGGCATAACTCCATACCAAATTTGCATAAAAACGAGCGTCTATTCCCGCTGTCCTGGATTGTTTGTTATTGCTATGGTGGTGCAACTTTGTTTCATCCCGTGCTTGAAAATAAGGTTGTCGCCGTATGACACACTCCACGAACTCTCGGGCAGAGTGGTCAAGCCCCAGTTTGGCCAGACTCCAAGCGATACCGCCAAGCTCGAGTTCTGAAAAGCCGCGTCTTCCATTCTCAATCTGCAGTCCATCCTCGAGAGAGTTCCCACCCTTGCTTCTCAGAGACCCGCGTACATCCTTTCTGGCATCCGAACTATCCAATGGGCGCGCTAATGCTGGACTCCTTGAGAGTTGCTTCACAAGACTTGATGAAAAATGCGTCGTTCCCTTCATAGTTGAGGACGCATCAGTATTGTCAGCGATATTCTTGCTTATTCGCAAAGACGGATTTTCACGAAGATACTTGCCTTCTCCTTGCGCTGTGCCCCCTTTTCTTAGTCGACAAAAGACTTCCGAAAGTAAAACGTCCTCAAAAAACTTATCCGATATTCGCATGCGCGCATGAGCAACACATACCTGCGCCAGAGACTCAGCAGACGCGTCAGAAATGCGTGCTCCGCCACCACTCTGAGAGAAGGCGCCCTCTAAATGAGACCAGAACTTTACAACATGGCTTTTCAATGTCTGTTCTTCTGCTGTCAAAGCTGCTCCAAGTCTTGCTGGCGCTCCGTCGCCAGGGGCAATACCAGCACCCTTGGCCCAGTTTACTGAACTTGTCCGTTCACCAAACACCCCCAACATGCTCAAAGATTCCACATCGTCATTTGCTTGCGCGTCTGTGGAAGAGCCCAGTTCCTTTGTCCGTATGCGAGCACAGGGCTCTTCCAGAACCACAGCTGTCGACCAGTAAAGGAGACTGATTTCTTGCGGGAGCAGCCGCCGAGCAGAAGCATCGACTTTTGCAACAACTGTTTCCCGAAAAAGCTTCTCTATTGCATCCACGATGTCGATTCCCTGGCGGCTTTGTAACAGCAAAGGCTTTTGCTGGTACACCTTACACAAAGACGCACACACTACGCTGCATGCACGGGGTGCAAACGTCGGTAGTCGCGAATTCACCTCCAACACCACTTGGAGAGGCGGCATCATAACTTGTTCAGTACTAGTTTCCTTACTACACAAACCGTTGCGTCCAAGTTTTATTTTTCCTCCAACAGCATTATTCCTGATATTGCTCGCTGAAGAACCCACCAAAGTCGTCAGCAGTGTGGCATACCCATGAAGCATCTGCGAAATCCCGATTTCGGAGAGAAGCAAACTGCCATCCCCTTTCCGTGTCCTCATCTCCTGGAGCTCTGCTCGTGGTGTCGTTCGACTTGTTCCTGGTTCTGCACTGTTTGTGTTACTCGTTGTAAAACTTGCTGTTGTAGGTATCACGCCAGCGAGCGTTTCTTGCACCTTGCGAAGAACATCAATAACCGCAGTACAGTGCATGAGCTTTGGCGCCTTTTGGACCATCTGCCCAATGCCATAAACTAAATTGCAGATGCAGCGAGGATCTGGTAGTGCAGGAAACCTGCCCACCCCACGCGGCCCTAAAATTAGCGCGACTCGCTGTTCTACATCGGTCTCGAGACCGGATTCTCCGACACCTGTCATGATGGAGGACATCATCGCATCACGACCATCTTCTGATGGTTTCGCGTGCTTCATCCCAAGAAGCGAATCGCCTTTCAAGTTCGCCACTCTCTGATCTTTTATCAGAGCCACAGTGGCGGGATCTTTCCCAACCTTCACTAATGCCGTCGCCACGTGCACTGGATCCAAGTGTGCTACATGCTCACAAGCTACCCGCAAGACCTCTCGCGGATCATTAGCTTTTTGAAGTGCCCTTTGGATATCTTTGCCTTCCGGAGTTCTCTTGCCGCTACCATCAACCATCGCTCTTTGAGTTGCCTTGTTACCATGCAGATGAAGATCGGATGATCCTTCATGCGTACGCCCATCAACTAGACTTCTCTTGGTCTTTCCGGTACTACTATCGAAAGCTGCACGCTCTTCCGTCCTTCGGAATTTACTTTTTTTCGCGGAAGATGGGCTAGAAGATGAACCGTGTTCTGCCAGCTCCGCAAATAAGCCTCTCGTCGTTGCGCCGCCGGAATCACCTTGAGCCAACGCGGAGTCCACCCCATAGTACTTTTTTGTAGTCGTCGACAGCGCCTTGGCTTTAGCAGACTCACCGTTGTGGTCACCATCGTCGACTTGTTCTCTAGGAACCGCGTCCGAAAATTTCTGACTCAATTCCGCGATGCCACCCACGCCGTTGCGCGAGATGTGCCCGCACACTTGAAGTGCGGATGCGCTCGCCTGCCTCGGATGTGAAGCCTGTCGAAGAAAACGCATGATGTTCTTCTGATCAATTTTCTAGTGCGGATCAAACGGTCTGTCGGACTTCGTTTTCTTCAGGCTTGCAGAACAAGGATAGAACTCACGTAAGACCCGTTGTTACGTACCGACGCGATTGTCGCAAAGATCAACACAGCAAGGGAAACTATATCAAGTTAATATTTTCATCGGTTTTTACGATCAGAGAGTCCGCGATAGTTTACAGGTCCTATGTCACGTAGAAAGGTACATAGCAGTCGCTTAAAAACCTCGACCCCATGCAAGCAAGTACCCGTGATCTCCAACACAAGTCAAACACGAACTGCATCGGAAATGACCATGTCTGTAATACCAGCTGCCATCGACTCGACCTTAATCCCAAAAAACTTTTCACTCAGCATTTGATCAACTTTTTCGCGTCAGCAAGAAACGGAGTGAGAAGAAGCTAAGAAACAGAGAAATCTTGAAGCACGAGCACAGCGTGTAAATTTTCAACGCGTCCCACATTGCGCAACAGCAAATGCGGAGAGTCAAACAGATAATCAAGACGGAAAAATGTACTCAGATGAAGAGGTACTCGCAAGTTGAAGCTGTACTAAATAAAACCAATGCTCAGAATTTGCAAAGACAAGAAAGACGACAGAAATCTCAAACGAGTCGAAAACTAATCAGATCGGTTTCTCGCTGCTCCCCAAGCACTGTTTTCAAGGATACTCCCTGACTGCTGCAATGGCGGCAGGCGCGTTCCATCTTCCTGTGAGGCTGCTGCAGCTTGACGTTCACGCTCCTTCATGCGCTTGTATTCGGCAATAGCGTCTTGTGCTTTTGGCCCCATGTTTTTCCGTGCTGGCCAAGCGACCCGCGCAGCGCGTGTACTTTCGCGAACAACAGTTTCCTTGTCAACGTCAGGCGGTCGCGCCATGCTCTGACGCCCGCCTGCGCGCGTGCTGTGTGCAACGGCTCCTCCTCCACGGCTAGAATTCTTACTTGGAGGAACCATGTGGTGCTGGCCACCACTACGAGAGGAAAGTTGCTCTATTCCTTGTTGAAAGTTGTTTTCTTTGTTGCTGCTCCGCGACGACACATCTCCTGCGTAAAGGCCAGTCGAAGGAAGCCTCTTGCGTCGATTTTCCCCTCCGTCGGGAGTCCCTTCGGGGTATCCGCGTAGTACCCCTCTACGCTCCTCGTCTTCAAAGTTCGCGTTGTGACCCTGTATCGATGCTGGCGTGGTGTCAACACGTGGTGCGCGGTCAGAACCATGGACACTACGCGACGCGGGCGTACTGGCTGCACTCTTTTCGAGACCTATGAGGTGATGATGAATGGCAAAAATTCATTCTCTGAAAAGAAAACTTTAGAACGAAGACATCGGCATCCTTAATAAATCACTACACCGAAGTCTTCCAGAAGAAAACTTCTTGTATGAGGGTTACCTGTCGATGTGCCTCGCCTGGCAGGAGCAGGGCCCTGTTTGCGTTTGAGCTGCATCCGCTTCATCTTCTTTTGAGACTGTAAGAACGCTGCTGCCGTCGCGGTGTCGGCGAAGCCCCACTCTTCCTTGACGCGGGACAGCATTTGATCGTATTTTGACACCTTTGGCGCAGTCGTAGGTCGACTCAACTCCGACTGATCAGCGATCTGGCTCAATGTTTCAGTCTGCAAAGATATGACGTCTTCCTCGCGCGGCGTTTTACGCTGCAAGGCCATAATATTTCGCATCAAAGTATTTGTGTTTCTGCCAGACGTGGTAGATCGACCGCCTTGCTCCGTAGGTGCGTCTCCTATTTCAACCGGAGCTTCCGATCTCGGCGTCGTGGCTCCTGGCGCCAGGCCAATGATTGACTGCTGCCGGCTGTGCTGCGATACCTGGAAAATAGATGACGATGCGTGACTCCTGCCGCTCAACGGGGTTGGTGTGATCGCACCGACTTTTCTTACTGAGGACTGCGCACTAGTATCTATAGACGCCCCCTGAAGGTAAACTCCACTGTTGGCCGACTCCACGCTACTTGCTTTTCTCGAAATGCTGTTTCTTGGCCCTCGCTCTCGCTCGAACACTGCGCCGTGACCACTGATAACCAAGCGCATATCTTGTTCTACAGGAGCGGAGGTTGTTAATGCAGCTGGCGTCTTGGATGCAGTAGTTGCGACGGCGTCCTTTTCTTCCGATCTTTTTCCAGCTGGGGCACTTCCGATGCTGAGCGGAGGCAACTTCATAGTGGCTTTGTTCGATCCCTCAAGTATCGAAGAATGCGCATTTACCCTGTTTTTCGTAAATTCGACGTCAGCACCAGTTGCCGGCACGTTCGTTCTTGGTGCCATGTGAACATCCGCTCCAAGAGGCAGTTTCAGTATCGTCGGTGGCTTGAGTTCTTTGCTGGCTTCGCGATTCTGGTCGGCATTTTTCGCTTCCTCTGCACTGGGTCCAAGCATTTTTGGGCGTTGCTTGTACATGTAATTTGCATTTCTAGGCACCATCGCAAGATGCTCAACGGCTTCTTGCCCTATGGGTAAATGAAAAGCCGGCGGAGGCTCTTGCTGCGGCTCGCGCGCGGGCGAGACGATAGACTTTGGAACATTACAATCAGCGGTTGGAATTGCGTACTCCGCGCCACCTGGCACTGTTTGGCCCCGTATCAACATGCGCACTGGTTCTGTTTGCTGCGTCGGGGGTTCAGCTGGATTTGTTACAGTGTTGATGATTACTGGCGGCACTGCAGATGCAGCCCCAACCAACTTACTGTAGGCATGTGGAGAAGGCGTCGGGGACATTTGTGAGTGTGCTTCTAAGCCGTTTCTCCGCTCATCGCGCGGACCGAGCATAACCTGCCTACCCTTCACTGCTTGGCCCTCCGTATCGCTCAAATGGCGATGATCCATAGCCTCTTCGCCCTCGCTGCACTCATGCGCATGTCGTGTCGGAGACCAGCCTGCCTCGGTAAAGTGCGGACGAAATGGCAGATTCCAAGTCTTCTTGCGCCTCTTTTTTTGCTGAGCGAACGACAGCTTCTTGCCCATCTGGGTATCATCATGGGCAGCCAGCTCCTCTTCCTCCTTGCAACTACCTGCAGATTCGTGGGCACTTTCATCTTCGGAGCAATCGCTCCTACCGTCTCCTTTAATGGACTCCTCACCTGCGTTGGCGCCCTGGTGCCAGTCTCTCCTCCCTCCAGGACTACCATCTGGCTTATGGTCCTGCCTTTTCATCTGCCGTTCACGACGTCTGCGCTTTGGTGACGCAGCGTTGGGAGACACGCTTGTCTTCCCGTCACGCAATAGCGTTCGTGGTTGTCTCGCTTGACGTGATCTTTCTCTAGCGTCGACACTGTGTCCGACGTGAACAATCGAATACCGCTGGTCCTTGCGCTCTAAGGCCGTGCTTGAAGAGGAACCACCAATCATCTCAGATGGATGCAAGAGCTCTGCTGTAGTAGTGTCTCGATTTTGAGTGCTCTTTCGCGGACGGTTCGATTCATGATGTCCTGCCGAAGAATTGTCCACATCCGAGGCCATCGGAGTTGGATCTTCGTCGCTTTCACCGGGCTGCCTTGGCGAATAGACGCCAGCACGCGGAGACACGGCGTCCTGCGCAGCGTGACACTTTGCAGGAAGTATCGGCATACTCTCCATAGCGCTCACATCAACTAAATTGCTGCTGTTTGGCACAGAAAATTCCTCGTTCTCGGGTGTTTCAGTCCGTGAGGAGAGTCCACATTCCTCTCCGGCTTCATCCAACGCCTCAACTTTTGTCTCCTTAGGAAGAGAGCAAGACTGCTGTTCCACGGTAACGCGCTCCTCCTCTTCGACTTTAGGAAGTGCACTTGCTCGCGCTCGCGGCAAAGCCTTGGCTTTCCTTTTTTTCTCGACGCCGGAAACCGAATTACCAAGCCTCTCACTTTTCAGACGAGAAGACTCTTCGACCTTGGCATCTTTGACTTGCTTTTCCTTCGTTCCTTCGCCCTCCTCCTCCTCTGTAGACATGAGCGCCTCGACACCTTGGATAGCGCGTTCGATATCCCCAAGGGTTTTCTCGGTGCGTGCGCGTGCTTTGTTGAGTTGTTGGAAGGGATTCTGGTAGCGTGCGTCATCAAAGAAGAACTCCGAGAGGTCGAGTTCAGGCATCGCTAGGTCCAAATCGAGGTCTAAATCCGGCAGATCTAAAGCACGACGCAAACGACGACGGACACGGCGACCCCGCCACCTCGCTTGGATCCGTAACGCTGCGTAGCGTCGCAGCTGAGCTCGAAACGCCAAAAACGCGCGGACGCGTAGCTGTAGACGGAAGACCTGCGGCAAGTGGCGTTTGAAGTGCGCAGCCCGTCTCCGCTGACGCAGCAACAGCACAAATTCGCGCGCCGAGAAGGCGCGCCAGGCTGTTTGAATACGCAGTGCAGCATCAATGCGTGAACGACGGAAGTTGTCTACTGCAGTGCGGACGCGCGCTGTTGCTTGCTCCTCCAAAGTAGATACTGCATCCTCACAGATCTCTAGTTTCGCAGGAAAATCTGCTGAAAACTCAGTCGTCGGCTTCACCTCAGGGGCCTCAGGGCGCCACATCTGGTCCCGGAGATGCTCAAACAACGTGCGGTACTGAGCTGCCCGTACGTTGCCGTGCTCATATAGTTCCACCTGCCATTCTCCCATTAGAGGTTTCTACTTTGCATCCTCAAATTCAAATTCGTGCACCTGTTACTTTATTGCGTATTTACCATATTTCAATGAGCGAGGCGTATGCATCTTCGTAAGCACTAATTGCAATGGCGTTGTGTTCAATTGTATGAAGAATCAGGAGTGATTCGTAACTCGAGATAGTAAAGTTCCGCGTAATTGACATCTGCTACTCGTCGGACCCCGTGACTCTGTCCTTCATTGGCAGTTCCCCTGTGCAGTGCCGCACCCATCTGCTCTGCTGCTTTAAAAAAGGCTTCAAGTCGCTGTTGCCGCGCTCGTGTCCGCTCATCCCCGCTCAACTCTCCTCCGGCGCGATCAGCGTAATAGGCATCAGTATTCTGTGGCTGAAAATCGATGCCGTCAAGCGTAGTTAAGATTTTTGCGTTCTTGACTGCACGAAGCACGTGCCTGCGATAACGGGAAGCGTGGCCACATAGGCCAGGCAAATTCCCAGCTGCAGACAAGGTGTGGAGGTGTGGAAAATCATGGAAACAACTGGCTGGCAGCTGCTGCAACTGGTTTTGGCTGAGGTCGAGATACCGCAGGCCCGGTGCAACTGCAACAGGCCGGCGGAGCACTGTAACGCGATTTCCACTTAGATCTAGGGAATTCAAGGTCGGCAGAAAGCCGATCTCAGACGTTGGCCCTCCGATTTCCCGAATGTGATTCCGGGCGAGTGTCAACTCCTGCAGAAGAGGCAACACGAGATTCTCTGCGCGCACAATCTTGTTGCCTGCTAAAGTTAAAGAAACCAGGAAAGGCAGCCATCTGGACAGAACTGCGCCCTGCAAGTTTGTCAACAGATTGTCCTCCAGATTCAAGTACTGCAGACGTTCGCAATCGCGCAGAAAGCAAGACGGCGACAGCTCGGCTACGCGATTCCGCGCCAGAGATAACGCTTTAAGATGGGCTTTAGCTCCACCACTGTGCTCTGGCAGATTCGTGATGCCATTGTCATCAAAACACGCCTCAACAATCCGCGGGCATCCCGAGGCAAGAAAATCTATGTCCGTAAGCAGATTGCTGCTCGCGTCGATTGCACTTAGGTTTTGAAGCAAATGCAGTCCTGACAACGAGAGAACGCGCGTTCGCCTTATGCGCAAGACCTCTAGCATGAGACAACTCCTCGCTATCTTCCATCCGAGGGCCTCCTCCATTTCCAGATTCACGTTTTCTATATGCAAAAACCGCAAATTCTGGCGAGACTGTAGAGTCAGAACTTGTGATGTCGGAGGACGCCGAAAGCCCGGGGTGTAAACAAGCCGCAGTGACTCGTTCTCTTCGTCAGTTTCACGAAAGCAACTATCATTCGTGGAGTTCTGCTCGTCACTGATAGCGAAGGTGCGCAACAGACCGAAGTAGGATGTGGCAGCTTGCGATGCAATGAAGATTGGTGGTGGAACTTTCGATAACTCCTCGTGTACAGCAAAGCTCACCTTCAGGTCAACAGAAATATCTTCCTGGTGATTTGCTGATGCGTCCCTGTGCCACAGATTTTCCGCGACGGAGCGCAGAACGCGCGAAACGCCGCGCGCCAGCCTCGTTCGAATTCGGTACGTCTGTGATAGCAGCGCCTCGGAGAAAAATTTTTGAGCAGCTGTTGTAAACGCACTCCGCTTCCCTGTATCACCTTCCGCTTCAAGCATGTCATCAACACTTGACCGACCAGTGCTGCCAGCACTACCTGGCGAATATTCAGGCTTCTGCGAAATCACCTCAAGCTCCATGTCTCCTACCGCAACCTCTTCCTGCTTTTGTCGAGCAGCATCTTTCTTAGGTCTCGCATCAAGATCCCTACATAGTTGTAGCCAGGAACCGCGACCATCAGTAGCCCAGAACTCCGACGGTGCCTGCGCAAGACTCTCTCCGAGCCCCGTTCTCACGTCGGCGTCTTCCGCCGACATACCTGGCCACTCGACCATGAACTTCTGTGTCTGTGTCCGTGTCTCTGCCGCTCCGTTGTTAGACGTTTCAAATTACTATTCCTTTCTACATTCAAATAATGCAGTCCTCTCCGCATGGTTCTAGACTTGGAGCTGAAAATATCGAGCCGAGGGCACACAACTACAACCACTAGATGAGACGTCCATCTATATATTTTGTTGGTTTACAAGATGTATAGAGAAAGCCTCATAATTTTATCTTCCGCTTCCATGCGATCCCATTCTCGCCAAACGTCCGCGTTGAGGCGCAGAGCCACGTCGTCTTCCCGTTCCATGGCAAGGCGTTCGCGTAAGCAGTGCACGGCCTCGCGGCGTGCAAATGCGCCAGCATCCTCACGCCGCATCGCTCGTTCCTCGCGCTCGCGCCGATCGCTCTCTTCGCGAGCCGCCAAATCGCGTTCGCGTTCCCGTCTCCGATGCCCGCACCGATCTTCGCGCACCATGCGTTGCCGCTCCTCCAAAAGAGCAGTCTGCTCTGCCATCTGAGCCGCGCGTGCCAAGGCATCCTCCTGCGCAAACCGTCCCTGCTCATATTGGAGCCTATGAAAGTCTTCGAGCATCGCGGTGACACGATCAGGTTTACTTTTTACGGCCGTATGTTCTTCAGGAACCTCGGAAACTGCGATATCATCTACTGGAGGAAAAAAATTAATATATGCAGATGGAGTTGTTCCGGCACCGGGGGTGGTACCATCATTGTCGTCTCTACTCGGCTTTTGTGTACCTGAAGTCGCAAGCAGTGCTGCCACTGCAGCTGACGAATCAACGAAGGTGTGAGTAGACGACCTGCCTGTCGCTGGTTCCATTTTAGTGCTCCGCTCTGCACCACCCGCCGTCTCGAACCCAACGCTCGCGTTCAGAGTTGGCGCGTCCAAGTCCAAAATCATTCCCGGCTTTATGCCGCCTTCTGACTCTTGTACACTGCTGCCTTCCCTTGGTTCTTCCTCACCGCCTATGACGATTTGCACGCGCCGTCGCTTCCGCGTTTGCTCCAAGTACCATGGCAGTGTAGCCTCTGAGTCGACTCCATTCTCACTCATCTTCGTAGCCCCTTGCTCATCGTCGTCCCCAGCTAGAAAAGGTGGACCGCGGTCATCGTTGTGCGCTGTGTCGCAAGACGAATCCTCGGCGGGCTGGCCAACATGCGTGGACACCGAAAAGTCGTCCTCAGGATTGTCTGTTTTTCCTTCGACAGAGGCAAGAGTGCCCGGCTTTGTGACAATCTCGAATAAGCGGGCAACAGGAAGAAGTGTCTCTGAGGATGCGTTCTCCACTACAACCGGGGGATTCTCTTCAACCCTGTACAGCTTTTCGTTCGGGCGCGCAGCACCAGCAAAGATCGCCGCGACGTTGCCGGTCACGCGACGTGTCGGCTTGTTACCATCCTCGTCCTGTAACCCCTCGAAAGACTTTGCGCCCTCTAATTGGTCGGCCAACGCAGGAGACGTTCCAGGAGATATCTTTAAAGCTACTCTAAGTCATCACTCACAGTCGTGCCTGTTGTTGCAGTACTATGGCAAGTACAGATAAACGATAACGAGGCGCACATGATCATATCATATTACTTTTCCAATAAAATCATTGAGGAAAAGGGATCAATTGAATTGCATTTCAAAAAGAAACCCAGACAGAAAATCATGCGGAGGTAAACCACGCACTCGCACTGCCACCTCTATTCTATTCGCATAGACATGCTACAGAATCGGCCATAACAAAATTTCAGATGTCAAGATGCCGGTCGTTTCCACGGGCGGAGCATAGAATCGTCGTGAGAGTTCGATCGCTTCTTCGACCGTCATATCGAACCATTCGGCGGCTTCTTGCAGATGCCGAGCCTCTCTAGTGTAGGCCGACTCGAGACTGCCAATATCTGGCGCACCGGTGTCTGCAATTTTATGCCGCTTATCTGTAATAGCAAAATCTCCTCTAGTACCATGCTTTGACACTTCGGCCTGCTCTGGCACAGCGGAATGGAGCGCTGGGCCGGAAAGCACAAGGCCCGATCGCAATTCGTCGAGCAATGCAATGTTTTCTGGGAAAGCCGACGTTTCCTCGGCCGCCGAGGCCGTTTCTGGATCAGAGGCGCGTCCATTTTCCTGGGTGAGTTCCTCGAGGAGTCGCTTGTAGTAGGTCTCGTCGTCTTCGTCGTCATCATCCTCATCGTCTCGGAACTCCATATCCCCAGGCTGCGGCGTCGACGTAGACCCCTCCGGCACCACGCTGCTAAACAACATCTTCCTTCGCCGCCGTCGGAAAGGCCCTATCGTATTCGAGACTCACGCTTTTCAGCGCCGTGGTGTTGCATTCTGTGGCTCTGCCGTTTGTGATTGTGAAACAAACATGGTAACAAATAGCATGAACGCGTGGTCGATGCGTGACATAAGCTGGATTTTCGTCGCTTGATGCGAGAGCCTGAAAAAGTTGGATGGTACGAAGACTCACGGAACCTCACGTTGTCTGATAGAGAAGCGTCAACGTTTGAATGAATGGCTGACGGCCATCCCACGGCCATCTAGCTTTTTCGCGTTTGAAGGATGAAGAAAAAACTAGACACTCTTATCTGTGTCGTTTGTTAAGGCAAGCTATTTCAATAATTTCCTCTCTCTCTCTTCGTCTCAGTATCACGCATCTTTAGGTCTGAATCTGATAGAAGGATTATCTATTTCATTTTTGGGCTGCTATTTCTGCTATCACCAAAGCGGACTGCTCCTGTTTTCTCAGCTGCGGCAGGCGTACAACACTGAGCTCCACCGCGGCCCCTGCGAGAAGAGAAATCTCAGTGATTTTACTCTGCATCAGATATTTCTTCTAGCAGATGTAGCACGGCACCAAGGGAGGGAAGTCTGAGGTTTACTACGAGGGAAAAGCTAAACGGTTGTTTTCATTTAAGCAAGGCTACGGATGTTGTTTGAAATAAAAACAATCACACAGAGGTATAATTGCTAGAATGAGAAATTCTAAGTTGCGCTACAAACAAAGGCGACAAGAGTCGTCTGCTTCCTTGTGAAAAGGAACAACAAATAATAAGAGTCTATTTTATTCGAAGTTGATAGATCTCGTCATTTTATTTGCAAAGCGTTTGTGCCTTGCAAAGCCCCCTGAGGCTATGCCTCCAGTGAACAACCGAACAGTGGATATACTTAGACAAAGCCGCAACACAGGTACGGCCACCTTCGTGCTGATAAAAAACTTCATATCTGTTCAACCTGAACTGTGATCATCATTTACAAGATTCATTAGACCCAAGCCTGATCTTGCAGATGAGTGCGGCAGTTGCTACATTCGACAGGTTTGATGATTCATCTTGTCTCTAGTTGGACCAGACAAAAAACACATTACATTGCTGGTTGAAGTCGTACTTAGAAAATCGTTTGACGCTTTTACAGAACAATGATACGAGCAATGTGAGAAAAAGAGGTACATTTGCTTTGTCTTGATCGGTGCAACTGCCAGTTCGATATTCTTGGTATGATCATTGTGATTCGATTGTTCATTTGCGAAATTACGGTGTGTCTTTAAGAAGAAGAGTCATAGTATGAATTTGCTTCATGAAGGTGGAGAAACCTCGTGATATAATAAGCATTATAGCGTCTATTTTGTCGGTACTAGTACCGACAACTGTTCATCGAGTATGCAGTCCCGTTGATTGTGTCAAGGATGAAATCGTTAATGTTCAAATTCAATGCTCTTATAACCTAATAACTACATCTTGTAAATTCATTGGAAGTACCGATATATCTTACTTAATCATGCATTTGGAGAGCGGTGATGTAAATAGGAAGATTCTTTATGCAATCCAATACAAGAGTCAGTCAGTAGGAGGACCTACTGTCTTGACATCCATCTACTCAATTTGGAAATGCTAAACATGGATTTCGGAAGTCATCGTGTAAGTCTGTCTGAATCAATATGAAGGCCAAGTGTAATTGCATTCTAGGCATGATGTTGCTATGATTGGTGCAGCTCGTTTACAACAGTCCGATATATTTCAAACACTTTTTGTTGCTGGCATTAGTCATATTTTTCTAACAGCTTGTTCTTGTTATTTCTAATGTTGATCTATCATGAGTCTTCTATTTTGCCCAAGAAAAGAAGTCGTTCTTATCCGAGTGTTCGACCTCGCAAAAAACTATGCGGCTTCGGGCTCAACGACGACGCTCTCCGTAGTGGTGTCATTAGAGCCAGTTCAATTATTGCAAAACCCTGCAGGTGCCTGTTCCTGTTGCATGAACATTAGCTAGAGAAATAATCTCGGTTTACGAAGATGAAACAATGAATACCACTAGGTTTCAGTTCTTAACCACAGCCGGCTCTTCCGTCAGCGTCGACATCTCCGCGGCGATTTGGTCGAGTAATTCCACGTTCTCTACACTGACGGTGACCTCTACGTTTTTGTCTGCTACCTCCTCTTCCTGCTGGTCGGCTTCTTCAACCACTTCGGCTGCGTCAACCACTTCGGCTCCGGCTGCGTCAACTACGGTTTGAATTAGAAAAAACTGGTAGTCAGAAATGCTTTTTAGTAACAAAAGTCTAGTACTATGGTATCAAATTCCCGACTGAGTCAGTTGTTTCGTGAAAAAACTTACAACCTATGCTTGTGCAGGTGACTATTGTAAAAAAATAGTATCTCCTCGTAACTCAGTCGTTTCCACGGCCTCCTCTGTTCCTTCGGCAACTGCCGGTTCGGCTTCACCTTCAACAACTGCCTCTGCCTCTTCAACAACAGCTTCGGCTACTTCAACAACAGCTTCTGTTGCTTCCACAGCCTCACCGCTCTCTTCTACAACCGGCTCCGGTTTTGCGTCCTCGGTGGCCAGTGGGGCGGGCGCAGATGTATCCTTTTCCTCTTCAGCGAATGTTAGATAAATCAACCACAACTAGAAGCGGCATTGAAGAAAAGATAATTCAAGAGACCTATCAGAACTTTCTTTTGATGCAAAATGTTTTTCGAAAATGCCAAAACCAAAATCGATACTTTCCCAATTATGGGGCATGTGCAGCTAGATCAAGCCTGGACGCTGATACTTGTTTTTATTCCAAAGCTTTCCTCCTAGAGCGGTTGCAGCGGCTTCTTCTTCAACCGGCTCAGTCCACATCTCGGCCGCGTCGACACCGCCTGCTGCAACAATTTCTTTGGTCGTCGTCTGCTGAGCTACCGGGACTGCCTTGTAATGAAGAAGTAGAAGAAAGCATCTTTTGCAGGAGTTCTAACTTTCATCAACTGTTCGGTCGATGAAAATCCAACTACTCGGCTAGATGCTTTCTGTCGTCTCTGTTGTTAGCGTTCGTGCTTACCTTAGAGACGAGATCTGGCAGTATTTGTTTCACCATAAGTTGCCGGCGAAGCGACGTTGGACTGAGTGACCGAGACCCCGCCGATACTGTGCGAAGTCGTTGTTCTGATGATGACATTTCCGACTCCGTGGCGAACTGCACTCGCTTTCCCTGCAACGTAACCCAAACACATCTTAGACGAAGATTTTATGCAAAAATCACGTAGGAAATAATTTCAAGCTCTGACGATCTAAAAGTTCAATGTACTCGAACGATGACGAGGAAGATTAAACAGATAATTCTTAACATCGTTGAGACGAGGGGAGAACACAGTCCCTTTTCAAAACCTTCGATCATAATTTTCTGAGTGACGGACCCGATGTAGCTTCGCGACGTGTCCAGACCAGGAATACTAATCTGTCTAAGAGGTGGGAGGAACGCGCTTGACGTTGCTCGTGGTGTCATGGGAGGTCCATGAAGCACAGCTGAAGAGAGATGTTGAGAGAAAGCGTGAATTTGGAGAAATATTCACCAGTTGGCCTGATAACCATGATCATAGAGTCACCACTATCGAAGAGAAACTAGTATTTTTCGGAGACAGAAAAAATAAATTGTTAGGTACGTAAGAAGTACCTGGAGTCCAGTTTCCATCAGCCGAAACCAGGCGGGGCCCATCATCCGCGCTGGGTGTCATCACCATCGGGGTTGCTGGTTTTATGCGTGAGTTTCAATATTCATCATCTGGAATCATCGACTTCAAGAAACCAATGGAAAAATCGAAGTGCATAGCTAAATACAAGAGGGGAGAAAAAACATCATCCATACATAGAGAAGGTAGTTCTCAACTTGCATAGGATTGTTAAGGCTCTGATAGTGATCCATCTTGGGAAATTAATACCCTGCAGCTGTGTCTCTCTCGCCAATCAATTTAGGGCTTTTTGCTCCTCTTCAATCATGAGGTACAGGCGGTCGCTTGCTATTCTCATTATGCAGACATAATAATTATATGCTGTTCCCCCTGCAGACGTTTATAAAAGAGGTAGAAGTACCTAGTGCGGGCAGAGCAACCGGCTTAAGTTCGAGTCGAACCGGGCGTGGGGCAGGCAAATTCACTGTTGGTAAGTGCGCCCGTAAATTGGAAAAAATTAGAGCGGAATCGTATGTGTACAAAAAGATGGATGAATAGTATTAATGACCTATCTGACATTTTTTTTCGGCAGATCACATATCATCCACATTCATCGACTTATTGGAAGTAGACACTTGCCTTAAAAGGAGGCCTGTGAGATGCACGCCGCTCAAAGCGAAGAATGGGCTTGTTTCCTCTGCTTGTTCAAGCGGCGTGACAAGTTCTAGCGGGGCCGCAACTGGCGAGAACATCGGGCCATGTGAGACGATCAACTCATTATCTCCCACCCCCTGTGAAGGTATTTTAATAGCAACGACATCAGATTTTTAAGCACGTAGATGTACAAAATACATGCAAAGAAGTTGAATATAGCTACTCATTGATAGCCTTAGGAGGAAAACAATATCTCGATAAAGCTTAGAAGGCCTAAGTAACAGTTCCTAAATATCAGTGACAGTAATGGGAAAGAGAGAATTAGTAGATAATATGCTCGCGATTAACTAAGTCGCAGATAACAAGAACGAGCAAGAATACAACTCCGCTAGCGAGGACTGGCGTCAAATGTTCTTCCTCTGGCTCGAGACGGCTTTCTGTGTCAGTGTGTGGTGGGATTTCAAAAAACTCAAAAAGAATATTATATATCAGAAGTAGTTCTTGTAGCGAAATAATTCTATGATTCTGTTCTCCAGCAGTAGAAGCCGCAACAAAATTACTGCTCATTATTATTGTTCGCTACCTTCGACGAGCGCTTTGGCATCCACAATAGCGGGCGTCGGTTGTGCGACAGCAGCGGGTGCCTCAGAAGATAGCATTAGAGCTTTATATAAGTATCCTATTCATTCTGTCATTTCGCAAACAAGAACTATTCTGTTTTCGGCGGCTGCAACGAGTACCAGAAAAAAGTCAGCGTAAGAAGTTCAAAGAGAAAACTCAACAAGCTCCTGACTGCTGGTATTACTATGAAACCTGCAGAATACTTTAATATCATGCAGCCACCCGCCTTCATAACTCTGTAACAGGCTTGTGGGCTGGTGTTGCTGCAGTGACTACGGGTGCTTTCACTTTTTGTTTAACAGCTCCTGGGGGCTTGCTTACTGCACCGGTGTGGCTCGCCTCTGTGCCCTCGAGCGGCTTTTCGAGAGGCTTTGCCTCGATTAGTGCTTCCCGCGGTGCCTTACCGCAACAGGCCACCATTGCTTGAACTTGACCAAGGTCTTCCTTTCTTATATGACACAAGGAAAGGTAGGGTCTAGCAAGGCCTACGATCCAGCAAGAAAGGCTTGACTAGGGACTTCCTATGATATGCCGATCATGTACACGTGTGGCATATTCAAACTTCCGCCTTTTCTCACGACGGAAATGTTGACAAAGATTTTCGAAGAGATAACCGTGACAGGACTAATTTACTTTTTTTAGCCTTCTTTGGATGCTCACTCGGGTGCATAAAATTTTCACTCCGATACCCTTGCGGATTCTTGTTTGCGATTGCAGTAGCGAAAGGGAAGTCAATACGTGCAAACATATTTTGTTACCCTGAAGTAGCGGGCGGCGTCGAACGACGGACCCTCTCTCCCTCTCGCGCGACTAGTGACTCAGCAGTAGACACACACGCACAAAGACAGAGCGGCTACGCAAGCCTCTCGCTTACGGATCTTGTTGGAACTCTCGGACCGACGCCCACGTAGTCTAAATTTACCCATTCATGGGAGCTTTTTCTGTATTCGGCGTACGTGGGCTTGTGGAAGTGGATAGATGTAGCGAAAGCTTGTCTGACTTTCAGTGTCTTTGGGAGGGAAGCACGCTCGGCAGAAAATGTACACCAGATTTTCAATATTTTTTTGAAGCATGCAAAGTGCAGCGCCCGATGCTGTGTGACTACGTCGACCGAGCAGAGAATTCGCAAAATAGGCCCCGCGCCTGAAAGGAGTCCAGGCTTTTTCGGCGGAAGCTGCAAGCCGAGTAGCCAGGCGGGGAGAATAACGCCCAAGACAGGACCAGTGCGCGCGGGCTTGTCCTTGTGGTCCTTTGCCCCAGACCGGAAAACGCAGCGCCGGCTTTTTCCTTGGTTTTCTTACCAATACGACATGGCCAACAACGTGCAAAAAGCCCCGATTTTTTTCGGCTGGAGCCAAAGGAAGCCCGGCCTCAGTCTGGCGACCCATCCTCCGAGGCCATCGGACGGAGGCAACACAGGCCAGAACACGCTGCGCCGATAACTAGCGGACCGTCCTCGCCTGGCTTGTGCCCAAAAAGCGCCAGCGCTTAGAGAGTTTGGGGTGCTATCTCAAAGAACACCAGGGAACAAACCGGCGCGAAAACAAAGGACCACGGCCCCGCAAGTGGGCGCCCCGCTCAAAAGCTGGTCCGGAGTTCGGGAGGCTCCAGAGGTCTCCCAGCGCCTTGCCGTGGAGGAGTCTGGCCCAAGGTCTCTGGAGGCGATCCGGAACCTGAAGCGGGGACTTTGGTCCCCTTCCGTTTCCTGCACTAGAACCCAGCCAAAAGCAACAAACAAAGCCACAAAAAGTGGCCGAAGATGGGCGCTCTGGATTCTGGTGGTATTTCAATTTCAAAAGCCGGGCAGCCTCCAATAGTTTCAAGGGGTCCGCTTATCGAAAACGAAACAGCAGCAGGCCCCCCGTAATGTAGTGGGGCCCGCGCTGTCTACCCCAAAGGGCGGGGGGTAGATTGGTGGGTAGGTGAGTGAGTAAGTGTATGGGTACGCGCGTGGGTACTTGGGTGGGCACGTGGGTGGGCAACTTGGCGGATACGTCGATGGGTCAATGGGTGGGCATTCGGCGGATACGTGGATGGGCCAGTGGGTTGGCAAATTAGGGGTGGGGGGGGTAGGGTCGAGATCACCCTCTATTTATAGCGACCTACGGAACACCTAATGGGGGCGGTGTTTCACCCCCATCAGCTTCCCCGACCCTCCCGCCCCTGCCTCCTGTCCGATCCCTATGGGCCTCCCGGCAAAGGTAACAAGGAAGCCAGCGGCTGCCGGGAGACCAGTGGAGACGCCACAGCAGGCCAAGGAGGCAGGGGCGGGAGGGTCAGGAAAACGGACGGGGGTGGGACGCAATTAACCCCTAATGTTTTCGGAGGGAGCAAACCCGCCGAAAAGCGAGACACACGGCCAGGCCTCACAACACATGGGGAATGGCCACAACACAAAACACAAGCGCAAGAAAAAGGCCAAAAAAGCGAAGACAAAACGCAAAAAGCTACCAGCCGTTTTGCGAGTCCCTTAGCGGTTTCGGCTTGCCTGAGCTCTGCCCCTTAACAGTTTCGAGCTCCGCGCGGGTATCGGTTTCGAGTGGATCCCCGCGAAACCCTTAGGCGAAACCGTTAGGGGACAGCGCTGCTTCGGTTCCCTTGTCGACTTCTCTGCCCCCTTTTTCCCCGTTCGCCCCCCCCGGTCTTGCTCAAGGCGCGGCCGCGTTTTGCTCTTGAGCCGTCCGCTTTGCTATCGGTTTCGCGTGCTTCCTTCTCTTCTCCTCTGTGCTTTTCTGGCGTCTGCTTATCGGTTTCGCCACGGCGGGGAGCGATCCCAGCACACAGAGCGCGAATCCCTTGCCGCCTCGGTCCTGCGTGTGGTTCACTACATCGCGAAGGCCTTGGGCAGGGGTGGCCTGGGTGGTGGATGCTTTGGCAGCCCCGCAATGGGAAGGGTTTCGGCAAGTTCTTAATCGGCGGCCAATGGTACCACCTGCAGCCGATTAATTATCTTGCGCCCACTAGATTCCGCGAGGAATAAGATCGGGCGGCGGTGTTACGCCGCTGCTTTCTTTCGGCCGTTTTTGTTTTTTGTTCTTTCGATTTTCGAGATCGGGCCCGTTGGTTTGTTGTTTTTAATTAGCTCCCTCGGTGGCTTCGGCGTCCGTTTACTGACACCGGCGCCGCTTTATTTTGATACAATTGCCCTTGCCCGGCGTTTAAAATTCTGGCCCTGCATAAGGGAAACCGCGCACAGCCTCCCAGGCTCTCCGAGGAGCTTGGAGGAGGCTCACCCATGAGCCTCGACCGGGCTTCCGCAAATGTGTCGGGGCGACTCCAGAGGGGCCCGCGGTCCCGAAGGAGTCCCGCGCCCGTTCTGGTTTTCTCTCTATTCTGGCAGGAGTCTGGAGCCGTCTCGAAGTGTCTCCAAAATGACAGACGGACGCGCCCCAGGTGGGTCAAATTTGGACAATTTCGACCCCTCCCCGGCAAGGCCCTCAGCGGCTTCATTTCGTTGAAGAGAGAGACCCGCCTCCCCTGGTTGACGAAATCAAAACCGACCCCGGCCGCGTGTAGATTCTAGTCGCCAGAGCTCCCCGACCCCGGGCGGGCTCCTGGGCTTGAAGCAGTCTAGCGCCCCGCGGGAGCGTCCTGAAAGACAAAGACGGGCAGCGCACTGCGCTCGCCTCATAACCCACCGCCAGCCACCGCGCGGCACCCTCGAATCTCGGGAGCGAACCAAGCACGAAGAAGACCGAGGCGGACACACTGCGCACGCAGTGCAGCCCGCCACCAGCCACCGCAGCGCACCCTCGAGTCTCCTGGAAGAGAGGAGAACGAGTGGGGAGCAGAAGAGAAGACACACAAAGGCAACACAGGCGGGACCGCGTTGACCGTGTCAGCACTGAAGGACCACGCGCAGCCAAAGCCGCAGCACCCATCGCCATACCATGCGCCGCCCAAGTCCCTCCCTCTGCCTCTCTTGTTCTTCTCCCCGCTTCGTTCTCGCTCCTCGGGATTCGAGGGCGCGCAGCGGTGGCTGCTGGCCGCGGGCTTCCTGCGGTTCAGAAAACCCAAGAAAAAGAAGAGAGAAAAGCCGAGAAGACGCACGCGCAGCGCGTCGCAGCCTGCCCGGCTTCGGCCGCCGGCTCAGCGCAAGCGGCAGGCCTGGCCCGGGTTTCGAGCATGCTGCGGGCTTCGGCCTTGCTTCGAGCTCCGAGCGTGCCCTGGGCTCGTTTGTTTGGTTTGAGGTCGGGCGGGCTCCCGTCGGGTTTGGTCGGTTTTCGTTTGGGTTTGGTTTAGGCAAGCGCCTGGGTCGAGGCCTGGCGAGCTGGGCCCGGTGTGGGTTTGGTCTACGTTTTGTCTGGGTTTGGTTGGAGTAGGTTCGGCCCACGTCTAAGCTGCCCGGGGTCTGGGTTCGGTTTGAGTCTGTTTCGGGTTTGTTCCCGGATCGGTTTGGGTTTGGTTTGGGTTTGGGTTTGGTTTGTGTTTGGTTGGTTTGAGTTTGAGCCTGGGCCTGCTTTTGAGCCTGGGCCTGCTTTGGTTTGAGTTTGGTTTGAGTTTGGTTTGAGTTTGGTTTGGGTTTGGTTTGAGTTTGGTTTGAGTTTGGTTTGAGTTTGGTTTGAGTTTGGTTT